GCTGCACTACAGCTTTGGCACAACACGAGGCATTTGTGGCCAACGGTGACGAAAGTGCAAATAATTTGATTAGCTAACTAGTTACTCTATTGCTAACATGCCATGATGAGAATATACTTGTTCAGCTCACATCCCTGCAGACAAGATTCTTTATCGACTCTATCATTGCTCTCAAGGATTGATGCTGAGTAGGTGTCAGAGGAAGTGAGTCACAACACTCTGCAGAAACAGGCCTCTTCTTTCACATTTGACTGTGACTGAGATGCTTGGTGGTTAAAAGACAGCAGGAAGAGAGTTTTTATTTATTTATTTTTTGTCAGAAAACCTGATTTAAAACATTTACAGGACAGGATAAGCAAAGAGTTAAGAGGTCCACAGGATGCAACAAAAATGGCACAAAGTAGAAGTTCCTCGCTGGATGAGGTGTCTCTCTTTTTTATTTTTTTCTGACATATTAGTATGACAGTTTTTGTGTACTCACCCTTTTAATTCATACAATGTAATATAAAAAGATCTGCCCCGTTCAGTCACTGTTACATCTTAACAATGTGCAGTTGAATTCAGACCAAAAATGACCATTTGTGCGCTTAGGAGAAGAGTTAAGGAACATCACATAAAGCAGAAAAATGAGTAGCTCTGTCAAAGGATGAACTTCTTGCTTATCTCGCTCATCATTAATAACATTTAGTGAAACTAGTCATTTGATTTGAACTGAGAAAATAGGCGATATATTAAAATTTAATGAGTGCAGCTTTGTGTACATTCAGACCACATTTTTGCTCATTAGAGGGCACAGAGGCAGAGATAGAGTCCTGTTCTCTGCTGAGGAAACATTCCTGGTCAGTAAATGAGCCTGCAGGGCGTCTCCTGCTGTTCACTCCCTGTTTTAAGCCGCTGCTGGTTCAAAGTGCACCAAACACACAAGGTGACATACCACAGCTGTGAGTCATGAGCAAAGCATGCTGGGTAGGACAGTTCTCTGCTGTAATTCAGCACACGCAGATTTGTTTGCTGAGTAATGACACCTTGTTATCATGTTTGTGCAGATCCATGAGGTTGCGACCTCTGTCCTCTTATCGGCTTCAAACTTAGATAGAGTCAGATTTTTTGTCGACGTGGTCCAGCACCTGAAAATTGGTCTTGAGATTAATTCTTGAAGCTGTAGTGGGTGTTTGGGGTTGTATGGGGTGGTGCATTAAATTGAAATGCATTCCTCCTTTATGTGTTTGAATGGAGTAGACACATTATGAGAAAAGCTTTTCAGTAATGTAAGACTCTTCAGTTCAACACCACCACCTAAACCATTTAGGTAATGAAAGTAATTATGTCCTGTCTGATCTTGTCGGCGAAAACTGAACATTTCGAAGGTTCCTGAAAGCAGAAGTTGTGGCAGAGCGCTCGTTTGGGACCGCAGGTTAGATAACCCAAAAGTAAACTTCTAGATCTTTAGGAAACACACTGATGATTAATATTTACACGTTATCACAGTGATAAGATAATTACAGCTGTTGCAGCAGTTAGCATTGATAGCATTGAAGAGAAAGAAAAGGAGGAGTAAAGTAGAAAAAAAGGAGAAAATAGAGGAAACTTTGGTAGTTAAAACTGCAGAACTGCTGAGACTTAATTTCACTTTTGAGACACAAAACAAAGCATATGATCAGAAAAGAGTCTTCACTCAAATCTGGTCCACATCTGTTTTATTTTTGTTTTTATTTTTCCCTGTTTAGATGATGACTGCATCCACTGTAGTGAAGTTGTGGTTCATGCAAAAGCATTTCCTCCTTAATTCCTTTAATTCTATTCCGTTTTTATGTTGTGAAGCATTTTGTAACTCTGGTTTCAAAAAGTGCTATATAAATTATGTTACCATTATTATTATTACTGTGATAACATATGGTTGCTGCACAGACCTGCTTTAGAATGTTGTTTTTTAAATTCAACAATATTTTTTTTTATTAGTTTTAGACAGACATACACAGGAGACACATTGCAAACACCCCCTTTCCCTGAAAACCCAGTCTACAGCTGGATATTTCTATTACTTTGTTTAAATAACAAATTGTGGAGCTATAACAAAAAATAGAAAAATAAATAAGTACATAAATAAATAAAAAAATACAAGTAAGTGCTGAAATTCAGGTTTTATAATGTTTGTTTTTGAAATGTTTTTTTTTTATGACAGTTTTTTGCAGGATGCAGACGATTGTGCAAATGTTTTAATATGTCTCTACTTAAAATTAACAACTGTGACATAACAATCACTAAACTTTGTGCATTCTGATTTATTACTTTTAGCCAACAAAAGGTGAGCACTGTGCCGCTTTAATGTTACCCATCAGTCTTGGTGTCATAATGTGTGCTCTAGTGTCTCAGTAAACATCTGGATACATATGCAGTCCTCAACGAGAAGTGAAGCATTCACACTCAGACACAAACATGTCCTGCAAAGAGTCATTTTGGCAAAGCTCTGGCCGTCAAGTTTCAATGTCTAAATTCAAAATAGGCAGAAAATGTATGTCTCTCTGCTAATCCTGTGTCAGAGTCAGCCATGAGTATGAAACATTATGTAAGAAAATAATCTAAAGCGGAAATAAAAGTCCCCCTCTGCTTGCTAACTCTCATCTAACGGGCAAACTTTCCCATGAGCAGAGCCTTAAACATCTGCATTCCAGGGTGAGATCATCTTTCACAGACAGAAAATAAACACAGACATTAAAATTCTGTATGAACGAGTAACCAACCCTGTCCCTGACAATCTCATTAGTCTGTGAAGGTCATTAAGAAGCACTGGTATGAGAGCACAGTGCCTTTAAGCATCAAATGTTGGAGCAGGTGGGTTAAAAGTTTTACAGATTTTATTCAAAGCAGCCTAAACTTCGGTAAAAGTTGGACATATAGCACTTATGTCAAAGTTTAAGCTCTGGACTGTAACTACAGCACCAGCACAAAGACTATATATCCATCAAACTTAAGTTAACTTAAATGAAAATCTGTGTTTCCTGTCATGCATTTCAAAACTGAGTTATAAGATAAGTTTTCAAAAAGGTATTTTTTTTTCAACCTGCAGTCTTGTATCAGTGGGTGAAGAGTTAAACAATCATAAAGTACATATACAGAAATGAGTCAGATGATTCATAGCTTCCTGCGGGGCGGAGAAGCTACCTCACCTGACTGCATAATATTATTTGTTCAAACAGGGAGAGTCTACAGTGTCTCATCTGAAAAGAATGGGACGCTCCTGTGGGCTGCTGCTGCTGCTGCCGGAGTCTTTCAAAAGAGACACGACCAGTCTTATCTTCATAATTCAGCTCTTACTCCAGAAAAATGGTTGATTCGACTGTGGAGGAGTTTGTGAAAAACTTTTCAATCAGCACAGACATTTTGGAGACAGTTTTTTAAAAGAAGGGAAACAGTCAAAGTTTCCCTTTCTAAAACAGTTATCCACTGCAGATTTCCCACCTGCATTTATGTGTTCACAGTCACTTCACACTGTCTTATTTTGCTCCGTCATAATGTGGAACTAGCTGTAATTTACTGACACTGTTCACCCTCCTCATACCTACCTGCTTATCAAGGTGTGTCTGACTTGGCAACCTGCCACAGTCATCTGGCCCCACCCAGACACACCCTGGGGTGGGAATCAGGCCGGAGTGGGAGGTGGGAGGTGGAGCTCTGTGATCTCACTTAACCTTAGTTTATTTTTTATCTCTTGCTCTGACTTGATGGTTTTTTATGTGGAGTTTCCTTTTTGTGTAGTGACATATGAACAGTAAACATTGTCCCTGTTAGAGTCTGGGCCTCACATTGATAATTGATACCATATTTAGTGGTTTGATCAGTTGTAATAGATGTAGACATTTCTCTTTATCTGCTTTTATGTTCAGATATTAAATGTTTTTTTACATTATAAACTGGTGTTGGATAGATTTTTGGATAATACTGCTTGCAATTTAATAATGAGAGCAAAATTTTTGACTATGACAATTTTATAAAACAAATTCTCCAGATCTAAAGACACTAAGGCCATAAACCCAACAAAAATAAGCATGTTGTGGAATAAATTTGGACAAGAGAGGGAGCATTGAACCAATAAGACTGATCAATCAGGCCGAATGATTGCCTTTTGAAATAGCTCTGACACCTGAGCTCACGAGGTCAATTACACAACATAAACAAAAACACGTCTGCAGACACCTCAGGCAGCCTGATCAGTGTGGCTGCTGTTGAGGGATGTTAATGTTCCCCCAAACGGGTCACCCCCTTTTTCCCATCCTTAATGACAGCATAACCAGGTCTAAAACAGAGACTTTCAAGGGTGTAGTATCCATCTGGTATGACGTCTAAAAAATGCAGTTATATCATTTGTGTAGATCTTATTGAAATCACAGTGTTTTATTATTTTGATCAACATAAGTCTGTGGCCCTGACACATCTAAAGTGGATTGGATGACAAAAATACAGGAAAATATTTGTTTTCCTGTTTGTTTTGGACACTTGATTGGAACATTTACTTACAAATACATTGGATACATGAAAAAGTTAGGACACTCAGTATTAAGTTTCTTGTACTTCTCTCTCTCTCTCTCCCTCTAACTCTCTCTGTCTTTCTCACTCTCTGTATTTTAGTTACTCTGGCACACACACACATACACACACACACATGCACAGATGAAGGGTTGAGTAAACCGATCAATCAAACCCAGAGAGCTTAACAAACTCTGGCCGGATATTAACCAACAAACTCACATTCTCTCTCTCTCCCTCTCTCGCCCTCTCCCTCTCTCTCTCTCTCTCTCTCTCTCTCTCTCTCCCTCTCCCTCTCTTGCTCGCCCTCTCTCTGTGCTTGTTGTGGGGAGGTTGTAGTTAGGGTCATCTCCATGTACACAAGAGCAGCCCACCCACAAGCAACAAGAGCGTGCGCACATACACACACACACAGAGAGAAACCCCCCGCAGTCTGAGCTCGGTCAGGAAATTAGTTTGGGTTCTTGTCCTCCACCATGAACACTTCTCTGTCTTCAGGTCCAGCAGTGAGTATTTCAGAAACTTTTTACCACTCAGAAACTTTATACCATGAACGGATATTCGTCTTTTCTAAGTCTCACTGCCAAATCATCAGAGCCGGTTAAAAAGCGAATGCATGAAATTGTCCTTTAAGCAGGTCCTTTTGAAGGTTTGACAGTGAAGGCGTTAGCTCAGAGAGGTTGTTTTTAGGGGTTTAATGAGGGTAACTTAGTCCTTTTGAAGGACTCAGGACACTAAGAGAAACTAACTGTGGTATTCCTCTTAAAACTGGTGAACTAAAAGTTATTTTTGTTTATTTAAAGGTGTATCTCTTCAGTCTCTTCAGTCAAGAAAGCAGTCATGGTACAGTAGGAGGAATACCAACACGTGAATGTAAACAGAAGCTGACTTGTAATCTTTGAACTGGATCGTAAACACTTAAGCAAACTGGAGAATTTCTTCAAACAGAGAGCCTCAGTGCTAAGAGATTAACCGGTGACTGGTTAGAAATGCAGCCTTGGCGAGCTGCTGTTTGCATTTCCTCAGCACTCTAACTTCTAACTAAATGGACTGATGTCAGTGTGCAGCACCAAAAAGGCAGCAGAGGGTGAAACTAAATAGAAGAAATGTGCAGCATGTTTTAAACGTGCACTTTCCAATATGTTAAGTTGTTTCCTTTAATAAAGAAAAATAAACTGGATACATGCAAATATGTTATAGCCTGTTTGAAACCTTACTATTGGCTTTCTTGGAATTGGACCAGCATACCTCGTTCATGCATTTGGGGATTGATATTGTCTTGTATGTGAACACTTCAGTCAGACCTGACCACCTGGTATCCTTATATGCATTTATGCTACTTGAGGTAGTGAACAGGAGAAGCACTTAAAGAGACAAAACTGTTGTGTGGTACATTATTAGTTCAGAGTTGTAGGGTTGTGAGTTTTCTACCATTTGACATGCGACTTGTTAACCTCATGCAGACTTGTTTGTCTGTTGTTTTTGTATGTGATGTAATAGCTCTACTAGGAAATGGTCCAAGTGTAACATGCAAAAAGAGGGCATATAGTAGGGCTGGGCGATAAACTGAAAATTTACCGATACCAAAATTTACGACAATAACCAACATCTTTTTGCCCATACTGCTGTCAAAAAAATAAATACATAAAAGTTTGTTTTAGATGTGTGTAGGTAGGCTGTGGTCTCATGTCCCTTTAAGACGCTGTCCTACGTCGGAGATGTGACTCCACCCCATCCAGTCAGTAACAAAGAGGGAAAGACAGGTGAGGAGATGGAGGACGGTTCAAAAGTTGTAGCAGCTGCAGCGGCAGGGAGGGAGATGAGCAGCTTGTGGAGTAGTTATTGTTCATTTATCATTATTGAGGTGAACTGCTCAATATATTGTGAGATTGCTTTGAGGCCATATCGCCCAGCCCTAGCCTATAGTATAGTCAAGATCATACAGGACATTTTATTTCATTCATTTGGTCCGCAGTGCACAACACTGGTAAGAGCATTCTTACATTGTTGAGAGGAACTTAAAAGTCGCTGTGCTGCAAAATGATGTAAATTAAACAGTGATGTGATAAATCGTGAAAAACTATTAAAATTCAGTGACTAATCACAGTCAATATTAGTTCATCAAATGGCAGCCCAAACACAGACATGAGGTGTTGTTTAGTAACAGAGATCTGGATGTTGCTGAGATTTGCTCTACTGTATTTTTCAGTTGCTTACCTGACCTAGGCGGTATCTATATGGAGTGAGACCCAGACAGGATCAATTTTTTAAGTACGCAAGATAAACATGTTGTCTCCTCGATTTGAATTCCAGGTAGATGCCATGTCATTTAAGTGCTTTTTTTGTTGACACTACAACCCTGTCTAGTTTGAATTATGTTAACACACTTTTAATTTGTTTTCCCAATTAAGTTTTGCTGAGAAATATGATAAGAAAAACAAATAAGTGTTCCGCAAACACAATCCAAAGGCGACAAAGTTGGAAGGTAACTGGAAGACAATCATAGCATCCCACATTTGCACTATTTTACTTTATAATGAGATGTTTCTATCAATGAAGGACTTTGTTGGGTCCTCTGAATGTCACATGCCAGTCAAATAATGTATATTGAGACAGTTTCTGTCTTACTTCCATCATCTTTTAACAACTAGAAACTCCTCTCTGCTCCCTGAAGCTCCTGTCAGTGCGTGTAATCCTCCTCAGAGGGATTATAACACAATAGACGTGTTTTGATTGCTTTTAATCAGACAACAGAGACTCTTTGTGTCATGAACACCCGGCCCACTCACGCTGTGAATGCATCCACTCATACAGCAAGGAAAGAATTAATTGCCTGCTGTCCATCTGTAGTTTTAATATACTGTATGTATGGAGATTGATTTTTTTTTCCTTTAGGATAGAAACACATATAGGAGCCAGCAGGGTTAGCTGCTTCAGCACAGACATACAATGACTCTCTGTGGTGGGTTTCAAACAATGGTGGGTGGAAAGCTCCTATAAATGAGAGTCTGTTCAGTAAGAGGACTTTAATGCGGTCACCAGCACCTCCAATTTATAATCCTCTCCTGTGTAACAATACTTCACAGTTTTGATGACACATTTTTGACATTTTTCACCTGTCAACAACTTAAAATGTTTAAGATTATCTCTACTTTGCAATCAAGTCCAATGAAAATTCAGGTTCAGTCATATTTTCTCAACTGTTGATGATTTTTCTTGACGAAGTTATCCAGTTTTTAGAAAGATCTGACCTTTTTTTCCCGTACCACTGTAGCTGCCTGTCACTTTGCCTTAGATCCGATTAATTATGTCCTCAAAACAAGGTAATCCATCACAGCAAATACTGGCAGAAAATGAATGTTTTTAACACGACCCTGCCTCCATTACCTGTCACTCACCTGGCACGCTGACAGGTACAGATGGAGGTCTCTCCAGGATACAGTCTTCCTGAAAAACATGTCACCTGACAAACTGCTGAGCCTGTTAGTGGGATGGTCATTTTAGGTTAAGTGTGCATTCGCAATTTAGGTGTTTCTACCTCATGAAACTGGCTTTTTGTCTTTTGAGGTGCTCTGAGATCATGTATGATAATTTTTCAGTTGTTCAAAGAAGTTTTAAAGAATTAGATGATATAATAATACTATATGACCTGTGTGAGGTAGCTATACACGTCTTACAGCTCAAAAGACTCTATATTTATTTCACACTGGGTTAAAAAAACTGACTTCACAGTTTGTTATGTCTGCTTTTCCACTTATATAAAGTACGAGCTTGTGGGTGTTACCTTTTACACAGCTTTCAAGTCATGAAACAGTGTGACATTGTGCCTCTACAGAAAATGTCTGAAGCTAGCTGTTAGCGTCCATGTTAGCCCCCCATGATACCATTCAGCCTATCAATCTCAATCAATCTTTCCTTATATAGCACCACTTAACTACTAAAGCTCTAAGCTAGTTATTACATCGCTATAATAGCTGTTGTTATAATATCACTTGCGGCTTGTAGGTCTGAGTTTTCATTGAAGAGTTTTTAGACGAAGCAGCTTTAAGTTTCACTAACAGTAAAGATGCTAATCCAGCCCGTACTGGTCTCTGTTTACAAAGTAAATGGCGAGCACAAACACATTGTGGCTGTTGATGTCCTAAAACCTAAAAACCTTCTGCTATTTTTTAAAGCTTTTGACACGGAAAGAGAAATAAGCTTTAACTTTCCATCACTACTTTTTGAACCAACAAAAATCAATGCTGAGGAGATAGCTGGTGATGAAACGCACATTCAGGACGGCAGAGTCTGACGTCAGCTTGGGGCCGAGTCTTTGGAAGTTCTAGAAATGAGCTGTTCAGAGTAGATTACACCCACCATTAATGTATCCCAGGACTAGTGTCAAACAATATGGTAACATCATTTGTATGTATTAAGCCACAGGTGTTGAGTTTGAGAGATATGTTATTTAAATAATAAGGGGATGATGGAAAAAAAAGCTACATTCAGTTGTAATTTTTGGAAAAGTATATCTGCATCCTGCACCGCCATTAATGTGATAGTGAGGCAAACTGCTCTAAATCACTGCTCCAATAAAAAGTGATACACCGTAATTCATGTACAATCCATGCAATTATGAGCAATTTTAAAACCATTTTGAGCAAAATTACACAGCCAGGGTGAATGTTGTGGCTCTCTAGTATGTTTGAAGTCCTGCGATGTAGAGGAAAGACCAGTGAAGTTGTGGCTGGAGTCCTTCCTGTCAACTGTCATGACCTTTTGACCTCTGAGTAAAGAAATCTGTTGTTGTTTACTTCAGAAATGGAGGCTGCCAGACAAGCCGTATGGAAGTCCTTCAGGTTACTTAAGAAAGAAAAATACGGCTGTTTGTCGACGCCAAGCAAAGCTGCTATTCTGCAGAGAAATGTCCGTCCTCTGAGGGTTGCATGCATCCTGCTCATTGAGAATAAATGCAGGAATCTTTACAGCGGAATAATGCATCCACCATTTCGAAAGTTATCAAGCATGTTTTGGGTTAAGCACTTTTTTGATACTATTAAAGGTTTCATAACATGTTAAAGAGAAGCTTTCTGAAGAGGTAGGGGGAGCAAACTTGGCTGATGGATGCAACATTTTTTCTGTTGATATCGGGTGATAGATCAACCTTGGTATTGTGTCCTGTTCAGTATTTTAAAGTCATTTCTGCATTACATAGCAATCTAATTCAATAGTAAATCCCTTAAGTCTGTGCGTTTCCTTTTCAAACTTGTAGTCCTATCATATTTCTTCGACTGCCTGACTCTGACTGAAACGAACCTGACCTTTAGTCCCCTCTTGAGTCTCATATCTGAGATGTGAAACAGTCGTCTTGTGGTATTCAGGACATCCTCATAATTCAGTCGTGAGGGCAGGATTCGCCACATTTCAACCTTTCCCTCCCACAATTCCTGTTTCTCTCCATTCCACGTCTATGAAAATGTTTCTTAAAGAGTCAGAGAGGAATGTTTTGACTGTTGGGTGTTGTCTTGAATCCAGCAGACGATGGCATCTCAGACACTCAAGTAAAACATTTTGTATGAAGTCCTCAGGATGAAAGACATTCCTCAGCCGAGGTTAACCTTACTATATAATTAAAAATATGTTTACACTAAATACACAGCTTGGTTATGAGACATAAAATAGACCTCTTGTTGCAGGTTTGCTACGATGTTGGTGGATTAAAGGATTAAAATGTAATCTGTCTCTTTTTTTTACAGTCTCCAGAGTTCCAGAGACACAGAGAGGACTTCCCTGCTCGCCTGGACAAACTACGGCAGCTGATTGAAGACAAAGTTCACATCCTAAAGTTCCCTGTCACTGAAGAGCAACAGGTAAATCAAAACAAACAGAATAATAAAAATTCAATCTAGTAGCATACAACTAATTAAGTTTTGTTTGAGTCTTCTTAAGTAAGGACTCCATCTGTATGTTCTTACTTGACATCTTTTCTCCATTTATTCCTAACTTGGACCACCTGGTGATCTTTCTGGTTAGGGTTTGTGTTAGACATGAGGTCTGTCTGTGATTTTACACGGTCATACCTGACAGTTCAGTATGTTCAGCAATGAGGCAGCTGCTTTTGTGCAAAGTTGACAAACAGCCTCATGCTTTGAAATTGTTCAACCTCAGACACAACAACGCTCCACATATAAGCTGGCTCGCTTAGAAACACAAACACTGCATAGTAAGCATGATAACATTACCTGGCTGATGGGTCCGCTGTTGATACAAGAGGTCAAACTGACTGTGAATTTTGACAGCATCTTGATCTGGATCCAAAGACATTACACTTCAGATTGTCTGTTGCATTTACAGGCTGTAAATTCCAGTTTAAGGGATTTTTACATTTGTAAAATTAATCTCATGTGATATAACTTGATGCTGAAACATGTCAGCACCACACAGTCAGAAAAATCAGGATTCAGAATACATTTAGCAAGCTGAGTCTGCAGCTACAAGAAGAAGGTGAGATTAAAGTCAGGATGTGTACGCTTCTGCAGCAGCTGTTTATCCTTTATCTGCTATAAAGTAAAACTTCACAAGAAAAAAACAGCCTGTTTCCTCACAATATCACCCTATTCATCATTTTAAACCAACACTTTTAACTGTAGCCGCCGATTATGACTTTTTTCATTTATTAGATAATTCTGTTATGGTAAGATTACAATTTTATTCCTGTATATTTGTGCAAATGCAATTTTCTTTAATTCTACATCCAAATTTTTTTTTATATACATCAAATTTATTCTTGAAATTTATTTAGAAGAAATCTCAAAATTCATCATTATCCTCAATGTGGTCCTAATCCCAATAAAGGATTTCTTTATTTATTTCATATAATGGGTATGGGGGTGGGGAGCTGGGGGTGAGGCAAACCATAACAACGGTATGGATGTAATTAAGCAACTACCAAATCCATATCTAGTTGTAGCTTTAAAAAATACATTTCATTATTATAGGAATAGTGACCACCACACTGCAGCTACAACTACATATGTACTGTTTGTATTTGGTAGAGATAAAAAAACAATAAAGAAACAGTATGTAAAGATAATTAATGGTAAAGTAAATGGTTCACAACCTGAGGGTGAAATTTAGCTTAAAGAAACTTTGACTTTTTAATCATTAAGATGAAAGTGAGGGTGGACAGAATCTGTATCAGAGAGTCTCCATATATATGATGGGAAACATAAAAACCGTTTCCAGATAAGTACTGGTGTTGCAGAGGCATCATAAGTCATTTTGTTTGCTGACGCAGAAACTCTGTAAAAGGGTTTTCAAACTGAATCTTTGCTGGAGGGAACAGGGCTAATTGCTCAGCACTGCCTTAACTGCATTCTTTCTAACAGTCTGTACAGGGCTTTGTTTTTATTGGCAGCCTCTTTATGCCACTCACTTCTTTTTTCCACCCTATTTCTCTGTTTCTTTTTTTGTTTGTTTCTGATCTCTCCTGAGGTCATTTTCACAAACCAGCTCATGTCCAATGAGAAACCGTCCGCCTGCTCGATAAGTGTTGTTTTTCTCAAGCTTGTGGGAACCAAACTTTGATAAAAACGCATGTCTGAAATGTCAGTCAGGGGGTTAATGGCCCCTCCTCGATGTGTAACTTGTCTAAACATCTCGTTAAATGAGGCTTGAAGGCTTGTAGTGACAGTCTCAGCAAAGATTAGTGGAAAAACTACAGATGCAGTTTTTTATGGATGTACTCCAAACATGAGGTTTGTAGCTGATGCAATCTTCATGATTTTTGGCGTTTATGAACCTGTTATGTCTAAGTTTGAGTCTCTGCATAAGCTGTACTCTCAAAATGAAGAGTTTTCTCTGAGTGTATGTCGAATTTGAGTTTCTGAAGAGCTAAATATTGTATGTTTGAGAAGAGAATTTGACTGCAGTGTGAATGTAGTGCCAGTTTGTTTCTCAGAGTGAGTCACATGGACACACATAGACGGACAGACAGGCAGAAAGACAGACAGACAGACGAAGAGACCGTCATGTGCCAGAGTGACTCAGTGGGCCTGTTTTCCCTCAGCCCACAGACGCTCACTAACGGACTCTGTCAGCTTCATGAGTTCAGATTCACAGCCTGATCAAACGTCACCTTCAACAACTTAAGCTTTACTCATCGTGTCCCCTCGTCTGTCTGTCTATCTGTGAACCCCACTCTCTTATCTCTCCACTAGTGATTCATCCCTCTCTTCTGTTTTACTCAACATGTTGCTATGTCTGACAAACTGAGACAGCAGGGTACGAAAAAAGTCTCACACGTTATATTCAAATCAGTCACTCTCCAGTAAATTGCTTTTCCCTCGTGGCAAAAGACGGGATCTTTATTTAGGCGTAAAACAGGCAGTTCTTGGACTCTAAATTCAGCCTGAGGTAAATGTCAGATTTCTGAGGGATGAAGTCAGAAAATTTGCATTAGTGTTGTTACATGTCTTTTCCTGATTTAATGTCGCTTTGTTCCCTGTACCTGTGCGAAGTTTAAAAACAACAGATGTCTAAAAGATCAACCTTAGCAAGTTATGTGTCGGATTTCAAGAGAAAAAGTGTTAATTGGGCTAAATTTAAGACACACTAACCTGAAAAGCCTAATTTTTAAGCATTATGTGCCAAAAGTAAGATCTCAGTCATTTTTGCATTTTCTTTTTTCATCAAAAGACATTTCAAGAAATTTGAGAGACACTAATATATATATTTTTTAACTCATTACTGCAATTTAATTCTTATTTTTGGTGTGTAAGAGCTTGAAGTAAGACATTGTATTTACTTGTAATGTAACAATGGCTTAGATAAAGTCCAGTCAGACATTTTTACTAAAAATAAGACAAAAACAGTTCCTAACATCTGGATTTTTTTAAACATCTGGATTGACTGTGCCAACACCTCTGTAAGACAGCTTCTCCTTTGTTTTCCTCTGTGTGGCTGTTGAGCGTCTAAAAGCTTCTTTAACTTCTTGGTCCTTGTCTCGTGATCAGGGTTCGGAGAACACAGGGACAGCAGGACTGTGGAGGTTTGCTGTTCTGAGCGAGGAGCTGACCTTTCACCTCCAGCAGCTGCAGAGACAGACAGAGCAGGAGCTCAGCAACATCTGCACACAGTGAGTCAGCAGCAATGAGATTTATTTATTTGCATTAGTCTGTTCGATAAGCGCAGTAGAGCAGGAACCTTTTTCTGGGTGTATGTTGAGTAATGACCCTCAAAATACTGATCCTTTGAGTCACAAGGTTGACTGTGACATATTTAAGTCAATTCAATAAGGTTCAAGAAGGTACTTCTCATTGCCTTCAAAATGTCTGATTATATGTCTAAAATTCAGAGTTTATTTTTTCCAAACTGGACCATCTTCTCATCTTAAATCAGACTGTCATCTTTGTAAACAGATCAAAACTCTGTACTGGTTTGTGGGGTTTTGTCACAGAGTTGAAACACAGATGCAGGAGTTTCACTGAACCTCCTAACAGCGGCAGGTTCTGCTTCACTGGAAAGTACAACAGGATCCAGCCTGTACCTGAGTGTGTATGAGAGAGTTTGCACAAATGCATGTCTGTATGGCTGAGAGGAAGTCAGAGATGGGGCGAATGAATCCAGGTACCAAAACGATTAACAAGCACTTCAGCAAGAGTCCAACTGGTTATTTGCCGAACAATGACAATTATACAATTTTAAGAGCCAGACTTTCAGGTCAACAGCCGACCTGACCTGTGAGATTTGTGCACTTTTGTTTAATTATGCTTTATTTAGGTCAAACATGTGGTGACTTGTTCAAAAACCTACAATATTAAAGACTAGACCAGCAACAGTCTGTTCTTCACAAGGTCAAAATGACTGTTTTGGTGTAGGTGGAGATACTGGTACATTTATATGCACTGTAAGTTAATTAAGCCACAATTAAAGCTCTATTAGGCAATTTAACTGCAATACTGTTCTCGTCTCAGTTCACAAGCACCAGACAAAATGTAATAACTGACAGGAGCATGTCTGTCTCCGCTACAGTGAACGGCGACATGCTTGTATGTACTGCTGGGCGTTCTCTTAGTTGACCCCAAAATAACCGACAAAATGTGCTGACACAGCGAACAATAAAAATCTCTTTTACAGCCCTGTACCGTTCGGTCTTATGATTCAATATTTCATGTCTTTTTTATATCCTTTCGTCATCTGTTGAGCCCATGTTCACAACCCTGCTTCCTAGAAATGCTTTAAAGACCCACTCCAACGAAAATCATGTTTTTCTTATTTTTTATACCTTCATCTGGCATTTTTCTGATGCTACAGGACATATCATGAGAAAAATAAGTGCAAAATTGCATTTCTTAGTATTTTTGCATTCAAATCGCTGTAAATCTCTGGCAGACCCAATTCGTAGCAAATCCAAGCTCCGTCCCCAAAGCCCCGCTATGCAGGCCACAGTCTGAGAAACAGAGAGGATGATCACAGAACAAGCTTGAACATTAGCGTATTAACAATGCTCCTAAGAAAGCTAATTGTGAAATTAGTGATATTAGAGATAATAGTGTTCGAGGGCTGAATAGCTCCTATGTTATCTGCCACTTCTACTACACTGGCAATGTTAGGCTGCAAGCTAATGTGAAGAGGGGAGTGCAGAGCAGCGCTGTCTCCGCCTACGACTAAGAGGCGAATTGCTAATGAGCTACCGGAGCTCTGCAGAAGAAAAGCCCTTGGAATTGACACAGGAGACGTGATTTGGGCTAAAACTTTATAATCACAGTTTAAAGGCCACTAAAAACAATTTAAGTATTAAAAAAAAAAGAAAAAAAAAACAATCGGAGTGGGACTTGAATGCTTTACTTTAAAGTGTTTCGAACACTTCTGCCGGATTTAGTTCAATTGAAGTGCAAACATGACTGAGAAAATTGATCTCCAACTGTATTATCCAGGTATGTTAGTCTGACTGTGAGAAGTTACATTTTGTGATATCATAGAACTAATATGTTTACGTTTCAATGTTTCAGTCGTACTATCGCGGGAAATACATTTTTTTAACCAACTAAGTGATGTAAAAGCTCATTTCTGTCTTAAAAAGGGTCTTACTCTAAAAAAGATAGAAAGAGATCAGAGAGAGCATCTCAACGGCAAGTATAAGCTCTTGTTATGAACATAAGTGCTGATTTGTGACTTAGATGCCAAAAGGATTTAATATGCCCAGGTTTAAAAATACTACAGTCCTTCTTTAGTCTGCTTTAAATTGTCAATACTGGCACCAAAGCCGAATAAGTGAATGAATAATAGTCAGAAATGAAACTCTGAAAAATGTGTCTACCATCACAGATGCTCTCGTCTTTTAAATGCTGTATGTGTAGCTCTGGTGTGGACATCAGGCTGGCTGGACAAACAGTGAAAGTGTGACAAACTGTAAAAGTTGGACTCAGTCTGAAGTCCTTGTAAAAACTTTAACAGAAAGTGTGAGAAAGTGAAAGTTTCCTGGTGAATTTTCAGTTTGCGTTACCACTTGTGCCGCGCTGACAGTAAACGTTCAGATGGTGGTAGGTGGCTGCTGCCTCACCCCGCTCTCTCGCTCGCCCGTACTCTCTGTACTGCCGCCATGACGAGCCGTTTGGCAGAGCAACACTTCAACTGCTCTCACTTCTGTCAGACAAGACAAGCTAAAACACATCTCAGGATTCAAGGTGTGCCAGCAGACACACACGCACGCACACCCACCCACACACACACATTATTCTGATCATATTCCAGGAAATCTCCAAATTTCTCTGTAACTTTAGTTCTCGTCTCCGGGACTGATCGGCTCTTGTCACAACTGGGATCAAAGACTTAATGGGAGGAGATGAATGGTGCGGTAATAAAACCTTTTACATGTCTCTGCCATGTTGCCCTGCCCACTTCTCAGATCCTCTTGGCTTACTGGAAGAAGACGTCACCCTGCTCCCGTTTTTACAGGGGTTTTCCTCAGCTTTAAAGGAAGGCTTATGTAGTCGTGTCAGCGACAACACAGGGTTGGGTTTTATGCAAGAAAAGAGGATCAGGCTGTGACTCTACAACAACAGAGATAAGACAAATCTGTTATTTCTGAGCGTACTTCAACAAGCTGCGGGAGTTGAGCAGCTTTCACACTGAAATTGTTGGGAAGAGTTCTTTAAAACTCTGCTGTGGTGCAGTTTTCTCTCTCTCAAAACGATAACTGAAGTCTTCCAAAAGTGAGCTGTCCTGCTGTAAGTCAGAAGTAATCCAAGCAAGCAGTAACCTTCACAGCTCTCTGGTGGAGTTAAAGCTGTCTTAGTGGTTTAGGAGCCAAAGTTTTCCATCACACAGAGCATGCTGTCCCTACAGAGCAGCTCACTCTTACTACAGACTTGGTGTGTGTCCTTTAAAGCCCTGTATGTACATATTCTTATTTTTGCATTCTTTTTCCATAGCCTGTCCCCACTCCTGAGTTGACAAATCTTGTGAAGCCTTTAGGGTCTCACATACAGACTCTATATTGCCTGCATAGAGAGCAAGCCCACTGAGCATTTTTTGGTCTAAAAGAGGACTAATAGACGTCTAAATGTAGCCTAGACGACTGGTCTGAAATCAGGCTACCACAGGTCTAAAAATGAAAGTTTTTCAATGTCTAAATTTAGACCAATGTAAGACTAAATCTAAACCTGGGCTTTATCTAATTATTTTGGTTAAGTACATGAAGATCAATTATGCAACTCACGGTTGCTTTTTGAAATAAATACTTCTAAATACTTCTCCCGTCCAAAAATGTACAGAATCTAAACGGTTGAAATTAGGCCTAAAAAAACTAGACATCTAATAGCCGTCTATTGCTCAGTGGGAGGAGTCATCTCAAATTAAAATGATTGGCAGAAATGATTGATGCTCAAGGGAATCACCCCGTCTATCCAGCATGCTGGAAGTAAAGTGAGACAGAAAAGTTGTTGACATGACATTCAGACTAAACAATAGTGTGATCCCACAGACAAAGCGCCAATGCTTCTGTACCATCTGTTGAGCCTCAGTTAAACTGTTGATAGCCATTAAGAATAAATTGAAACTTTGATTGACAATCTTAGAGCCAAAGAAGACACAAAGATCAGATCAGATCAATTCAAACATTCCGTACATGGACTATAACAAAGAAGGAAACAAAACCCGCTCTGGTCCACTCATTCTGGGTCAGGTTATCATCGGATAATTTGTCATTTGTGATCCAGAAACATAATAACCATTATTTTTTTATGTAGCTCATGCAGACCTTCATTAGTAATTTTTCCTCTGGTGTTACTCTAAGTTATCAAATTCTCTGACCAATACTTTCTACTGCCTTAACACAGCAGGGTGACTCAGTCTAAGAACATGAGAGTTTTTTTTTATCGTGGTTTTCTGGAAAGACGTTGTTTACCTATTGGCAAATTTGAGAAAATACGTTCAAGTAAATCCTGACCTGATTTCAATAAGAATATCAAGATTTAAGTAGCATCTGATGATGAGCTGTGAGCTTAAACCCACAAACAGAGAGTTCAAAGCAGATCAACTCAGCAGCTGGCATTAAAACAGCAGATGAAGTTTAACTGTGATGGATTATGCATGTTGATTTCAGCCGTATTTTCCCGTGGATAGACTGAAACAGAGTCTTCAGCTCAGTTACGCAAGGAGACTTCTCCCTCTGCCAAGACTAACAAACAGACTGGCAGCTTGGAAAAGTCCCATCTGAACTCTGTCGACTCTCTCCTCCTCTTGACCTTCCTCCTCCTCTTCTCCGAAGGCTAATCTGTTCCTGATATCTTCAGAAACTTCTGATATTGACTGTGAAATCAATTTGACACCTCACTGATTCGATACCTTGACCCTAAGATTACTGAAACCAGATAGAAAGCTGGATTTTCTTCTTTAAAGCACCAACAGCACAAAGGTCAGAGGTCAGAGATATCACAGATACCGTTTCCTGCCTTTTAACATTCCATTTAAGACAAACTGTTTGCTTACTGCCTGTCAGGTATCATTGTAAAGAGGTCATCAGTGTTTTTCACCTCATCTGCCAGTGGTCACAGGGCTTTGGGAAATCCCAACCTTAAATCAGGTTGCTTGAAATTTCCAGTTTTTGTATAATAACAAAACCAACACAATGTGAACCAGCTGTATCCTACACTGTCCTTTCCCCTTTATAATAATCCAATTCAAAACATGGTCCTGCTATGATTTAACTGAGGTGGGTACATAGACTGTATATACTATGGACATCTTGGTTCCGCCCTTCGCCAGTCTATGGATTTGAAGCCAAAAAGTTCTCGGTAATTCTGCGTTTTCGGTCCATTTCCTGAAACCGATATTACGCAGTAGCATTGTACGCACTCCACCGCTTGTGCAGTAGCATTGTGCACATTTGACGGGAGAGTCGCTGAGAGTCGCTGTGATGACGCTCGGCTCAAACAGCATATCCCCCGGGTGAGCTATGCAATCCCTGAACGCCCATAGGCTGTATCAGGTGTCAATCATCAAAAACGTGAACCCCTAATAACTTTTAAAAATGGAGCGGCACAGAAAAAAGAGGACTTGAGCACAAACCAGTCTTACAATAACTACATGTCAACATCACAAGCAGGGGGGAGAAAGATTTATGTTCTGTGTAATAAATCTCTAAAGTTTGTCCACAGTCCCATAAGCTTTGCTGGCGGAGGCGGGATTTATGACCTGTACTGCAGCCTGTCACCAGAGGGGGCTGTTCTCAGGGTGGCTTAACCCAGCGAGGAGGCAGACGGCGTCCATTCTATGTACAGTCTATGGATGGGTATCTTAATCCAAGTGCCCAACACGATCTTGGGTGACATGCATTTAGGCTCCCACTCTCCACACATGACAGATATAAGTCCACACTTCAGCACACTGTTTTGAGCAGTGTGCATCCAGAGATCTCACCGTGTGCTTTCAAACTGTCCGTCCCTTTTTGAAGCACATATGTGTGTGAAGATGTTCTTCACACATATGTGTGTGTATGGAGTCAAAAGTACGGTAAATTACTGCGTGTTACGTCAGAGACCAATTCCAAAGGCTGTAGCATGGTGTTCAAGTCTATCAGTCCCATTAGATACGGTGAGACCATGATAATGCATAAAAGACAAACTCTTAAAGTGAAGCACCTTTACACGGTCAGGCTGCTGGGTTGGCTAATGCTGCAGGTGTCTGTATTTATTTGGCTCTTTTTCATGTTGTAACAGCGTTTGGAAAGAAAAAAAAAACTTGCTTTGTGAATTATCTTGGCCATTCTGCCATCATAACACTCATGAAATAGTCCAGATCTGGTCTTGGAGGATTTCTTGCTTCACAACAATGGAAAAATAATCTGAATGATTGAAAACCTATCAGTTTCAGCCAAAGCTGCATCTTGAAGGTGAAACATACATAATAAGGTGAAATAAGGTGATCCATCTTATTTTAGTTTTTGGTCGTAACAGCCTCAATTACGTCCTTTCTTTCAGTTTCGTTCATGTGTATTGTTCTGTTTCGATTCAGACTCTTTTGTTATTCAGTTTGATACTTTCTCTTTCTTTCAGTTGCTGTTCTTTAACTTTCTTTCCCTCCCCCCCTGTAAGCCTGTTGTGTAATAGAGCCATACATGAAAAAATATGATTTCTTCATCCTCGTTGCTCCCTCTCCCCCTCATCTTGTTGAAACATTTCTGCTTCATTATAGCATTCTTCTCCTCCCCTTTCCTTCCTGCAAATAAATATGTAGAAATGTTTGTGCAGCAGTTCGAAGCAGAGTGAGACATAACGGCAGAGTGGATTTACATACAGGTCTGCAGCATCACCTTTGTCCGTGTCAGAAACAGTATGTGGAGTGGGTTTATCTTCTGTACAATGGATCCTTTCTGCTCTATAAATACGCCTGAGCGTGTACATCCTGTGTAACCTCGACATGGTGAAACCAACATATGTGACTGGCTGCGTGAAGTGATATACATTAATGTAAAAAAGAGAAAAATATAACACCCACACATTTTTCACCTGCAATTATGGACTGAAATGTGTTTGTCACATACATTCAAGCAATTATGGAAACCTATTCACGCTTTTCTGTACGTACGCACCTAATCAGAACACACTGACAGCTGGTGCAGTGTGTGTGTGTGTGTGCGTGTGTGTGTGTGTGTGTGTGTGTGTGTGTGTGTGTGTGTGTGTGTGTGTGTGTGTGTGTAATTTTAAAATTGTCAAAACACACACACACAGATACACATATATTCATTGGTAATTACTGTCTCTTCACACTGATGGATGGTGTTTCTTGCAGCTCATCACGCACACACAGGTGTTCTAATGAAGGCCTTTGATTGGTTAAGATAAGTTTTGATTGACAGGTGACAAAACAGCTTGTTTGAGTGAGGTTTCGATTTCTTGCAATCATCAGATATACTCCCAACACTGTGCTGCACACGTTCGTTTCAATATTTAACCAAACCTGTTATTCTTGTTGGAGATATTTAGACATGAGTTAAATAATTTATACAAAAATATGTGCAGAAACATGCAGAAGAAACAAATTTCAGAAACTGGAGACTCTCCTTGTTGATATTTCTCAATAAGGTTTCCCTGAGTCCAGAAGATTTTGGGATATTTTGGTATCAATAAACAGGGGAGGCACAGGCTTAAATTTAGCTCTAAATAAAAACCACAGTTTTCAGATTCAATGAAAAATGGTATGACCAGAAAAAAAACAAACATCAAAAATAATGGTGCAACTTAATATTCTTCAAGTCAGATTCTTTTAATAAAACTGCTGCAATAAAACAAGATGCTGGAGGCCACTGGAGACCAGATTTTCATTTTGAATGTCCATAAAACAGATTTGAAGTGTTTTTACAAAAAGCCCAGATCAAATGCTCTCATATTTCTGAGGGAACACTTTGTCATGTAGATTCCTTTCAGCGCTGCTTTGAGATGAGTTTTTACATTTGTGCAAAATCTAGCCTGACATTATCGCTTAGATGAGAGGATTTCAGTTACATCACGACAAAATGATCCAAGGATGAGAGTGGCTGCTGAGAGGAATGCATGTTTATATAAGGCTGTCTTTTGAATGATTAAAGGGATCTGCAAAATTTATAGTATCAAGTGTTATCTCTATATAATGTCCTAGTTATTAATCTCAGTGCAAATAATCAGGAATCTAAATGGTCACATACCTTTTTGTCCTTTTACGCACACTGTAGAAAAGCTGCAGCGGCTTCTTCTTGCTTCCTGCTGTCACGGTGATTTAAGGTAACACCACATTGTTTTCAGATATCAAAAGTGACATGCACTTAGTGTCATACTAAATTTAGGTATCACCAAAGTGCTTCGAGTTTGAGTGAACGCCTGAGTTAGGTATACAGGTGGAGCTAATCAGACTGATGTCAGCCGGCAACTGCATCACTAAAGCCAGCAGAGCAATACTTTGGTGATTTAAAGTCAGCGCAGACTGTCGATGAAATGCTTTAAAGCTGTCTCCTGCCTCAGAGCCGTAGTTTCAGACCACATCAGTGTAGCAGGACAGCATTTATTACAATAATGCACTTAAAAAGTCATCGCGTTCATTTGATTCCCGGATTAAAACACTGGTAAAGGTTGCTTTAAATTGTTGATATCCACTTAAAATATGGTTTTAAATTCAAAATAATGCAGTTTATGAAAATGTAATCAGCTTTTTAGATACAGCTTTAATAAGGACTTGTTTGCCTGACCCAATACTTATAGTCACTTTACGTCTTGGTCATAATAAGCCTGTATTTCGCACTCCAAATTTAGCAAACTCTACCTGCTGTATTTATAGATTCCCGCTCAGACTTTACCACCGTTCATTACTCTTTAATGACGGGATCATGTATAATGAGCAGGTGGTTAAATAAATAAGAATCTTGACTGGGTGTTCAGTACTCCTCTTTGCTCTGCGTTTGCTCATTTTTTAATTAATTAAAGTTAAAGTATGATTTTAAGCCGATGTCAGAAATGTTTATCATTAAGGAAAGGCAGCAGTGTCAGTGAACAGGATGGAGGTTTGAATTAGGATACCCATTTTTTAAAAGCTGAAATATGTTACCTAGATGTTCAGATTTTAAGAAAAATACATTGCAGTCGTCTTGAATCATTTTATTATCTTAGAGAGAGCTTTAACAACAAAAAGGTTTTATTATTATTTAGAAGAATCTGTAATCTTACGTCACTGTCTCCTTAAATCTCTAACATTTACTAAACCTTATATCAAGTTAGCATAATAAGTTACTCTTCATTTGTCTCTAGATGTGAGGCAAAGATCACCTCCATCTTTTAGCTCTTCTTCAGATTTTTCCTCTCCACAAAGCTGGCTGTGGAGTCAGCAGTCCTCCTTTAAAAACCTCATTAATGAAGTGTTAATATATTTCCCAGAGGGCTTTGTGTTTTTTTGTTTCTTTTAATCCGTCTTCCTCTACAACGTGGATATCCCTCCTTCAGTTAGTTCATTAAAGGCTTCCTCAGATGAGCTGCTCTTCTTCATCTTCTTCACAAACAAAACACTTCTCTGTCTCTCATCAGCGGCTGCTTACGGCGCTCTGTAACAGAGGGTTAGCGCCTCCCAGTGGACATACCACCAGTTACATCTTTGTTTTTGTAGTTTAGGTTCATATACTCAGAGCGTATTTTTCAGAATCTTTGTGACAGCAGAATAAAACAGGCAGGTAGAAATCATGAGCACATTATTATTTCTACTATAGCTGTGGTCTGTTTATTCTGCACTCCAGTGCTCCTGCTTTTAGTTTCACATTCACCATCGAGTTTGCAGCTTCTTTCATTGCCACTGGCTGCACAAAAAGTACAAATTACAGTACAGCACCTTAATACCCCCACGACAAGAAGACATATTTCTAGGACTATAGCCTTTACAATAGCTGATACTACAGTATTAGCATTTTAAGTAGTATGATTATAGTGATATAATTTGCTGCACTCTCTTAATGTCAGTATGAAATACTGTAATACTGCAGTACTCATCTTAAGCTCATAGTTCTGTTAATGCTATATTCAAGCTATTACCACTGCCCAGAACAGCAATGATACAATGATAAAGCACTTTTGCTTTGCCTGCCTGAACTAGTACTGAGAGCTAGTTCAGGCATGCAACCAGAGCAGCTCTGTGTCCTCATAATCACCCGATGGGTCTATTTAAAGAGCAAGCTTTCATGTTTCTGCATCTTTGCCAGTGCTGCACTGAAAGTTTCAGCCTCACCACCTCTGCAGCTTCCACCTGCAGACTCCAGCTGTAGGCGGTGTGAGATATTGTGTCATCACTCCTTACTTTGTGCTGGAAAGTTATCTGCAAGGATGATACCAAAGAAGGCAGCCTGGTTGTTTTGACCATTATCCCCACATCTTTGCTTAGTTTTTAATCGAAATATTATGCAACCAAAAGACGTCTTCCACATGCATCACTTTTATTGTTGTTACCTCTGCAGCTGGTCATACTTCTACTACTTCTTCATACTTCCAGTTGAAAGTATTCACTTCTCAACAAGGTGTCAAACAAAAGAAAAGTTGATTCCTAACCTGGTGTAAAAACATCCTATAGTGGCTACTCCTTCTGTGTTCACAATCACATGACTTTCTTGAGTATTCAGCAGTTGATGACTTTGCAAAGAAAACACAACAGCTCTTTGTGTGTCTTTCAAGAGTCCGCCATCTTTGTCTGAGGAAGGAGCAGTTTCATAATGAAGTGTGTGACCTGAAATAGGGCGTCTTCGACAAATCAGGAAGTGAGAGCAGAGGGTTCAAAGACCGCGATTAGCCTTTAATGAGATCTTTCAAGAACCTCTGATAGAGCAAACAGGACTTCTAAAACCCATACAGCCCTTTAAGAGTTTATGTGCTGATATGGTGCGGTGTCTGTCGTCAGTGTTTTCAGAAGCTAATCTCTGGGTGTCTTAAAGACAATCAGAGAGCTCTGACCTGTCCTGTCCTGTCCTGTCTCTTCTTTTCTCCTGAATTAAGGAGTGGCTCAGGTCGTCTGTCAGCACTCAAGGGGTTTAAGCTCATGTTTTCTCAGCTGGAACGACCTCATATATTAAAGACCATTCTGTACACTCTGTAATGATTGATGTCTTCACATTAACAGCGTTTTAATATATAAATGTTTTTTAATGAGCCCAGGGTAATTCATGATCGATTTCTTGACATTTTATGTGTGTGAGCTGACTTTTTCATGTTTGGTTGTATTAATTTTCGGTATGTTTTTACTTTTAAAAATATACAGCATTTCTAGTAATTCCCTCTTTGTCACTGAGTCAGAATTAAAGCTGTTTATAAAGGATAATATACTGCATTTATTTACAAATTAACTATCTCTCAATCCCAACCTGCACTGATTTGCATTTGAAGAGCTTTGGATGGATTTTAAAGACATTTGGTAATTTGACTGTTTTTATAATTTTGTGTTTCAGACTCTCACAGATCGAGGGCCGTCAGCAGCTGCTTTCCTCCGAACTTTTGAGCCTTCAGGAGAAAAAGAAACAGGCCGAACAGGAGCTCAAGAGAAACTCCAGCCTTCATACGTCCACTGTGAGTAACCACAGATAGGATTTTTGAGTGCCAGTCGGTTAAATGAGAAACTCAGTTTAACTTATTGTCACAAATAAGCAAAGAAGAGCATGAATCTAAGGCTTTTTTAGAATAAGGCGAAGAAATGTGCAGTAATAAGATGAAAACATGTTCAATGTGTGATATTATAAAGAGTCTGAGTTGGTATGGCAGCCTTTTCTGCAGGGTTTGACATGGAAACAAGATATTCATGACTATTATTTGTCATGGCTTGAGTTTAGGGACAAAACAAAAAAGGGAAAATGCACCGTCAGTTCAGTGGGGCAAAAGTTTGTTTCAAAAAATTGACAGTCCTCATTGCCAGTAGAGGATGTGAAATAAAGAGAGAAATAAACTACAACAATTTTTGCCATGTGGAGAGACTGTCAAAGGATGAGATAGAGAGAGGTTGACTGCCTGGTGGAGTAAAACACCATCCACCAGCAACCTGCAGGAAGACAAACACAGAACCAGTGAAAGGTAACCAATTAGCAGACCCTTTACAAGGGAACTCAGTCCTTTTGGTGAAAAAAACTAGAAAACTAGAACAAAATATAAACTAATGCAGAGAGGACCAACTTGACAAGTGATTAAAGTAATTTTAGGAGAGGAAGAAAGCCCGACTTAAACACAAATATAAGTTTATGCTCTATTTAGACACTTTTTAGAGCTGCATTTAGACACTTTTAAGGAGACAGCATGTACATGTTTCTCTTCCTGAGTTTGAGAGTCCGTGTCAGTCCACCAGTCGGTCTCTTGAAAACAGGGCAAGCTTATTGTCTCCCCTGTCCTACTGTCCTCATAAGTGGACCTTGAGCTGTTGATGTATCGTCTCTCATAAGGCTCTGAAAATGCATGAGAACACAAGAGAGAAAAAGAAAAACCTGAGAAGCTGAGCTGTTCAGTAAAACTGTTTTGTATTTCATTGTCCTCTTCAGTTTCAGTTGTGCACCTGTCGGGAGCTCCAGGTCTCCATCACCGATCATTTGCTCCAGTCGGAGAGGCTTGTGTTCCAGGAAGAGGCACTGAGCACGCTCCGTAACCTGTTGACACAAGATCTGCATAGGTACCAGGAAGAGAGGCAGAGACTGACCCGCTTCACGCAGAAAGTACTCACTCAGTCCCACAGGTAGACAAAACCGACTCCTAATAGAAGTTTGATTCCTTCAATTTAATAAAATAAAATGTCAAACATTAGTTTTTATACAAAAACTCTGTTTTATATCAATATCTAAGAGAGTAATGATGAAAAAAAATTATCTTTTCTTTTCTCATCAGGTTGGACAGAAAGGAAAGGTCTCCCCCTAGAGAGAGCGACCACAGCATGCAGGGAAAGAGTGAGACAGAGCAGGAAAACAACATGGTACAGCTTGATTTAAACTCACTTCACGTTGAAAAACCTTCTGACTTTGCTTGACTCTGATTTCCTGTTCTTGGTGCCAGTAGACCCTTTAACACCTCTTCCAAACAGTGTTTACTCTTTGGAAGCAAACTAACACTAAACCTAATCCCACCTGTTGTTCTGAAGGGTCCAGCTACTATTTTACCAACAGAGGTTTTAAACCAAACTCCAGAACATGGGTATACGTGTTAAATGGAAAATAAAAGGAACAGTCTGGGGTGCTCCATGAGAAGTGTGAGCAGTACTTGACTGGGTCTCTGTGCAAGAGATATTGATAAGGAGAAATGTTTGAAAATACGCTCCACAGTTGAGTGACAGAGAATAAGTTTCTGATTTTGCAGATTTTATCTGACATTTAAAGGGGAAGTACATTCATGATGCATGTAAAAACTGACTTTTGGGCTGGTGCTAATGTCTGCAACACAGTTTGTCACTGTAGCATCTGTCATCAGATGAGTTTTTTTAATGAACTTTATTTTGGGTCATTTTTGCCTTTATTAGAGAGGACAGATGAAGAAAGACAGGTAATGTGGGGAATCAAGAGTGTGGGAAGACATGCAGAAAATGCCGTGACAAAGCCTCTGTATATGGAGTGAACTTAGACCACTACACCAACAGTGCCCCCCATCAGATGAATTATATTATGAAGTAATGAGACCTAACAGCTGAGTCACAGAAATTAAACAATAATGCCTATTTAAGATTAATAATGCATATGTAATTATTTTCTAAGAGACTAGAGGAAAATTCACTTTAAGTCTTCTACGTTCTAACATTTTTGCTTAAAAGAAATTTGCTCCCGATGCAAAATAAGTAAATAGAAAGTGTTGGTTTCAACTTCAACATGTACAAGATTATAACTAAAACAGTAGGGCTAGTGAGGAGGTTAATTCAACCTTTTTTTTATTCAGCCACCTGATGTCAGGTGGTGAGTTACCAATATATACTTCTCATAAAGTATCAGCACATATCAAAGATATCCCCGACAATACGTGAACATTTTTTGACCCCAAACTCTCCAGTTTACAGCAAGAAAATGAAAAATCAAATATGTTATTAAAAACAAGGGTCTAAGAATAATGATCAAACTTGAGCTCTCAGCTGTCAAACCCATCAACCAGATCAAATAACAGCTCATTTAAAGACTACCTGTCCGTGCTTTCAAGGTCACAGACTCCAGGTGACTGCTGTCTATTAGGCTATTTCAATCTCTTCATAATAAAACTCATGTAGGTAACCAAATATAAAACAAATTTCACGATAATGCTCAATAATTCAAAACATATTCATTTCTCACAAACCTTATTCAGATATTTTTCTTTCTCTTGCAAAACTTTGAACTTGACCCGACAGAAAGTTGTTCGTTTTACCAGCAACTTTTATGCATATTCAGCATTCAAAAGGCCTTACAGGGTTAAAATCAGAACATAGGAAAGCATTAAAGGCAACATGATATGACGTGAAAATAAGACGCTTAAATTCCAAATGTTTGAAAATATAAGATTTAGTTTCCAAAATTAAGAATTAATCCAACCGTTTTAACCACATGTTGAAGTGGTCTTTCTCCTAAATTAGAAGGTATTAGTAATTTTTTCAGGTTTGGGGATTTAAAAACATCAAAACACCGTAAATCGTAATGATGATATTTAGATTTCAACTAAAGAACAAACTATAAAAGACAGAAAATCGCATTAAAGAAACCTCTCAGTTCAGTTAAGTTAAAGAAGAACAGTTTGACTGTCTCTTTGTCTGCAAATGTGTGTTTGTGTGAGTTTTTTTTCATTTTGGTGTGCATGTCTGTGATTGTGTGAGTGTGTGCATCCTCGTCTGTGCGTGTGTCTGGCATGGATCCAGCTGTTGTCAGTCTTTCTCAGACAGTCAGAGAGGAGACAGAGGAAACATCTGCCCGCTCATCTGGCTCTGTCTGTCACACACACACACACACACACACACACACACTTTTTGCATCTTTCTCCTTAAAAAAAAAAACCCACAGGCAGAAGGAAAAAAGTCCCATAATAAACTGACAGAGTTGTGACAGCAGAGGATGAGGGAGGAAACCTGGTTTTGGAGTCTGATTATAACAGGAAACCTGTCAAAGTGTCAGCACAGTTTAACTCATGAAGCTTAAACACAAACACAGCAGACAGGCCGCCTGCCAACCTGCTGAAGCTCCTGCACACAAATACTGTATGAATCACACTCACTGTTTCCACTTCAGACACAGCCTCATTCAGAAAAACTGGATTCTCTACAAAAAGTGAAAACTACATGTTTCAGTGATTTTTGGAATTCTAACTTAGTGACAGATAGTTTGATTCATGAATTAATCAGCTGATTTTATACATGTATGTCCATCACTATTAGTCATTATGATCCTGGAATAATTTATGCATACAAACTTATCAAATGTTCTTGAATTAAAAGCTGTTTAAAATACAACCACAGAAATTACACAATTATTACCTCTCATAGTCAGGAAAAGTAGATTACCATCCCCTATTCTCTAACAGCAATATGAAATATCCAAAATATGAAGACATCCACCGTATTAGTAAACACAAGGGTAGAATAAACAGGAAAATCTGCATTATCTCTGGTATTTTTTGTTAAATTTAGATTGTATTACTGATGATTTACCAGCTACACGACACATGATAACAAATGACTGTGGGGAGAACCAGCACTTTTTCTTTTCCCGTTCACAATCTTATGTTTAAAAAAACTCTTTAAAAAAAAGGACAGAGGAAACAAAAGCCATGCAAATCCCTCCATTTGTTCCTTTTGTTCCAACATTTTAATATTGATAAATGTTCAGTTAAGACTGGCCTCTTTTGAAGATTATTTTTGGATAATCCGTCACAAAATGAGGAAAAGGAATTCTATAAACACACACACTTTTGTTAGAAACATATTTAATGCATTTAATATAGAGGGCATGTGAATTTGTATGTTTTCTCACATATTTTATATGATCAATCTAACATCTATTTGTGCATCTTTAAAACCCAAAACCTTCTCAAACTTTCAAAAGTACTGAAAATAAGAGTTTTAAGTCAAATGAGCTTGTATTTATTTTTTCACTCTCAGGGAAATATTGGATAAATCTGATTTAAACTCATTATTCTTAGTTGAGTAAGAGCTGCTTATAATATCTGGCATAAATGTTTTAAAATAAGTTCCAGAAACTGAGCCTTATAACAAGATTTGGAGACTTTCTCTGTCGGATTTTAACCACAGATAGTTCCACTGTGTCCCAGGATTAAAATATTAAAGCTGCAAAATATTATTTATGAGACAAGTCAATTTGCAGATTATTTTCACATGGTTGGTAGAATCACTAAAATTATTCTAAAATCTGATCCTGGTTTCCTAAAGCTCTGGTGAAATGATCCTGTTTTAAAAACCTGAAATAGACTCATTGATGATACACGTAGAAAAAGGTAAAACCATGTTTGAAATAAACATTTTCTCTCATTTAGACTTAATTTGAACAGTTTTAATTGTTGCTTCATCCCCTCTTGCACGCTAACCTGTTTCTTTTTATTTCTACACTTAATTTCATTTCTATTTTTCACAGCTTGTTTGGCTGAAAGAACCCGGTGATCATAGACATAAGCTCATTTATTCATAAATGAGACATGTGGGATTATTTTGACTGGGTTCAGCCTGATCCGTAGTAAATATTCCATAATGTTAGGATAAATGTGGGCTAAGCACAGTGTGAAAATGCGCAGGCCTGAGGGTGAAGACCGAGGGCTGGTCGGCTGATTAATCTCTATTATTTACAGTCAGAATGAGTGGAGGTGGGGGGGGCAACAATAACAACAATAACAACAACAACAACACAGGAACATATTGTGGAGCAGATTGCCTTGGGCCAAACGTAGCTCAACGTTGAGAGACGTATGTGTCCAACATGAGACTCCTGCTGCTAATTGGTTATTTATTTCATTTTTTAATGTGCCGATCTTTACCCCTTCCTCAACGGTGGAAGTTTGCTGTACTTTGAGAGTGTTAGGAGTTTGTGTAAAAGGTGACACTTAAAGAGAGTTTCTTTTTGACTATAAGAGAAGAAAAGCACTCCCATAGAAGTCATAGACCGTTCGATTAGAGAGATGTCTGAAACAACGGAGAAAAATCACATTCAATGTCTCATGTGCGAGAGAAGTGTGCGTTTTAAAGCACAAGCAAGTGTACATATTTTTACAGTATATCTCTGTTAGGAGGAGTGCAGGTCAAGAAGTCAGCTCCTCTTTTAAACTCCCACTCCACAAAATCCCACCTCTGCGTACTAACATCAGGGAGGCATTCAAAGTAATTCCCACGATGCATTTCTGTCATATATCTGGGTCAGATGGTGTAAAGCTCTACACCATATGTCTGCTCTGTAGTGAGGCCACAGGGATGAAGGACCAGTGTGTGTGTGAATGTGTGTATGTGTTTGTGTTTGTGTGTGTGTGTGTGTGTGTGTGTGTGTGTGTGTGTGTGTGAATGTGTGTATGTGTTTGTGTGCAGGACTTTTGGGAGTTCAGATCTGGTTTTCCTGAATGTTTTCTATCTGTGTGATTTCTACGTTCACTTTGACACACATCATCATGCTAACAAATGTGAAGTTACGGTTCTGAACATAAGTGAACTCTTTTTTAAAATAAGTGTAGATAGAAAAACAATATTTTGCAAAATCAAATAGTGCCACAAAAAATTTTGGATGTCTGTTCAGCCATCTTAAATAATTTAATATGAAATAAAATTGAAGGTAAACATTATAACAAAAATAAATTAATTATTCATGCACATTAGAATTAAACATTCACGGTTATCTTAGCCGGTTACATGTTACAAATAGATTTTCAATTACTTCAATGAGAGCCAACGCTAGTGTGATGTTGTTTACCATCAATAAGTCTGAATAATCAGCCAACTGATTCATTAGTCCATGTCTAAGCTGTTATTAAGTCTACCTATGTTTTGAAGAGGCATCTACAGCTAAGCTCTACAATGCTTCAGCTCCAAAATAGCAATATTTTTCTTTCAGTTTGACCAAAACTGTTAGCCAGAGGGAAATTAAGGAGCTTTTAGCTGGTAATATGGAGAAGAAGATGATACTGATGTTAATGGTAGAAGGTTTTTCTCTCATGCTGTAGGGATAATATAACCAACATGCAAAACTAGTCAAGGATTTTTGGGGATTTTCACTCTTGGTAAAAATATTCTAAAACATAACTTTTGTCACTCAGTACCACAGGGATACACAAGTTACTATTGAATTTCAAGTCAAGTTGTGGCAGGAACTAAGACTGACCTTACACATTTGAAATTAGATCACTGTTAACCACAGTCGTAGCAACTCAGATGTACTTTACACACTGTGTGGAAGTGACAGAACCTGCAACGACAAGTCAGAGACAGATATTTTGTTGTTAATTATACTAAAGACTCCTAGACTTTTGCTGATGTGTTTACAGGCAGTTTTATGTGATTCAGCCGAACAGCTTCAGAGCGACGTATACAGTCTACAGGCTGTTCGATTACTCGCCATGATGGAGAATAGATGCATGTTCAGGCTTGTAATTCAGATCAAAAACAAAGACTTCTGCATGAGAGCCAATGTTACTTAAAGTTGATGGCTCTTGTGTTTTTCTGCAGCTTTGTGTACAACTGTTCTAACTGTGATGGTCTGTTTTGCCTGTAATAAAACACCAACACCACAGATTAATGCAAAATTATAAATGCTAGACCAAAACAGGCCATCCATCTGTTAAGACAAATCCTGTCAAAATGTGGGTGTCTTCATAAACCAAGGAAAAATTATCTGCTTTCCTTTCCTAGTTCTACTTTAATGACAGTGATTGACGGAGCAGATGCTGAAACAGACACAAAAAATGTGATTTAATTTCACATTCAAGGGTATTAATTAAAGCGTCAAAATGGATTAGACTTTTTAGTATATAATTATCTTGATTATACTTTTAATATACATGTGAAATCATTTTACCCATATTAATTTATCATCTTTAAAAGCCTGCCTCTGATAAAGTGATCCCTGGAGAGATCTTGACCTGAATATTCATAAACTCACTGGAACAAATAAACTCCACAGAAGGTCAGGAATTTAAGAGCGAACACGCTGGGTGTCCCCGTCTCGTCTTTCCATGAGAGTCCAAACTGAGCGCGCTCTGCTCACAGGGCAAAAATAATAACATTAAAATCATCAGCTCAGAGCTAATCCCATCCCGGCCTGTAAACATTTTAATACTGAGGTGATTAGCAGTGATCCACCCTCCCTCTTTGCCTGCCCAGACCCCGGCTTCACTCCCAGCCCAGCCTTGGCTCACCGTCCCCTGGGGAGGCAGCCAGGCGAGTCCCTGGATTAAGGCCACTCGGTGCTTTGGACCCTCAAGCCCCGAAAGTTAAACCCCTGGACATTCGCCACTTCATTTCTCTAAGTGGCATCAGCCTCCTTGTTATGATTGTTAATTAAAGTTGGATTTAATCAAGTGGCTTGTTGGCAAAATTTATAAAAGTGCTGCCATTTTCTGCTCCATTCTTTGTTTCTGAGTGAGTGGAGTGGGTTGGAGTGGGTTTACGAATCATGGCGTCTCACTGTCAGTTCACACGCCGTATACTGTGTGCTGTACATCCCGTCTTTTATTCAGTGTGAGAAAGTAAAATGCTGTTCTGCAGGGGGGGAGGGGGCAGATTTTTCAGATGAGTGAGCAGATGTTGCTCTTCCTCTGGAGGGATTTATGTCAGATAGAAGCACACACACACACACACACATACTCACTCAAACGCAGCATGTTGTATGCATTTGAACAGTGAACAACGTCTACCCTCTGCTAAGGATGCACTCTCTTATCAAGCTTAATGGAAGAGTCATATTAAAACTTGCTGTAACACTTACAACTTTTACTTTTACTGTTTGTGCAAGCTAATGTTCTAATGTTTCTGGGTAGACTGTGTAAAAAGTAACACCACCACCTCAACGTCATGCACACTAACTTGTACGCACCGACTGCAAGCGTCTCTTCAGGAAAGGAAATAATGGTACACTCAGTTTGTCTACTTTGCTCATTGCTGAAATCTAACATGCAGCTTTTGATTGATCTATTCATTAATTTATTTGTTGGCTTAGCTTACAAATCATGCAGACAGTAGTGCTTGGGATGCTTTGATTGACCTGCATATGGATCAATCTTTGGTGCATTATTTGTGCTTTTTGTTGACTTGGGTATGAATGAGTTAGTCAGTGTGCTCTATTTGTGGTGCTGATGGGGATGTTTTAGCGTTACTAGTAGTTGTATTTTTAATTAGTCATCATATATAACTCAATCATTTCCACTTTTTAATCAAAGCCAACAGTCATAGATTAAGTTATAACTAAACATGCAGCAGCAAAATCTCCTCTCTAATCGAAATGCAGTTTCAGCAGATGGCTAACATGAGTCTAGTTCTGCTCAAGGTTTCTGCCTGTTAAATAAGTTTTTCCTCACTGCTGTAACTTGCTAAATACTGCAAAGTGTTACACTCATGTGGTTGAAAATGGTATGGGAGTAGATCTGATTTTACAAAAGGGGACTTAATCTTATCCCATCTTGAAGTTTGGTCTTTCTGGATATAACAAATTGAACAGTCTAGAGCAGCTTTTTTTGTCACGTCTTGGTAGCTAGCTTATATTTTTAAAACGTATCTGTGTGGATTCTGGGTTAAATTTGAACAGGAATAACAAGCTTTATAGTTGATAGCAACAGACTCCACTCAAACCTGTCTGTCACTTTACCTGACCTGTTATAAAGGCAGAAATGACTCATAAAGGTAAACCAAAAAATTAAACAGTCTTACTTCACTGTATATGAAGATTTTTGTAATAACCCTTTAATATTGTTTTATGCTTCCCGGTATCAGCTTTTTTTCTGAGTCAGTATCCATTAATGTACATCTAAAACCAAAAGCCAAGATGTCCGCCCAGTCTGTTGACTTATCATAACCCATAATGCACCAAGACAGAGTAAAAGAAATGGGAAGCAAGTGTGTTCATGTTTATTGTCTGTAGTATCACCCACCATTAACTAGGTACATTTGCTGCTCAGACTGCGTTAACATGGTTTTGGGGGTCTATTATTGTGTTCACTTCTTTCAGCAAGGGTCTGAGCCTTCGCCTCGCAAATCGCCCACAATTGTCCGTCAGGGCGCCGTCAAAGACGAGGTCGACCACATCAAGAAGGCCAGTCAGAAGCCCTCTGGAGTCCTGTCCGGGGGTTCAAACCTGCGCCGAGCAGGCAGCATTAAAGACCTAATCAGTAAATTCTCTGGGCCAGAGCGCGCCTCTTCTCCACTGAGCCCCTCCTCTGGATCCCCAAAGTCTCCCTTTCCCGAGATTCTGGGCTCACCAAAGTCCAAGATGAGTCTGGTTACACTGAGCAGTCTTGACCCGGACCCGAGTCCAGCCCCTGTCATCACCGTTACTCCACTTCACGCCTCTTCTCCACTGAGCCTCTCCTCTGGATCCCCAAAGTCTCCCTTTCCCGAGATTCTGGGCTCACCAAAGTCCAAGATGAGTCTGGTTAACCTGATCAGTCTTGAACCGGACCCAAGTCCAGCCCCTGTCGTCACCGTTACTCCACTTCACGCCTCTTCTCCACTGAGCCCCTCCTCTGGATCCCCAAAGTCTCCCTTTCCCGAGATTCTGGGCTCACCAAAGTCCAAGATGAGTCTGGTTAACCTGATCAGTCTTGACCCAGACCCAAGTCCAGCCCCTGTCGTCACCGTTACTCCACTTCTCGACTCTTCTCCACTGAGGCCCTCCTCTGGATCCCCAAAGTCTCCCTTTCCCGAGATTCTGGGCTCTCCAAAGTCCAAGATGAGTCTGGTTAACCTTATCAGTCTTGACCCAGACCCGAGTCCAGCCCCTGTCGTCACCGTTACTCCACCGATCAGGAAAAACAGTCAAAATGGAGATAAACTGGCTCAGACAGACACGAAAACAAGTCCAATTATAGCAGGAATCGCTAGTTCAGAAGGAGGCGTCTCTGAGAAGACTGAATTAGAGTCAAAGAAGAAAACACAAACAACAGACTCTGGTAGGGAATCGGTGGCTGACTCCGGTATGGGATCGGTAAGCGAAATAAACGTCCCGAAAACCCTTCTGTGTTGATGTCCACGCATGACAAGAAAGCTCTGCATCCGCTGTGCATGAAGATGTCAAAGCAGCATGGCACTGCAGCTGTCTTTAAATGCATCTCAATCTGGATAACAACGATAACGAAAAGCATCAAACCGTGATGGGCTCTTTAATCAAACTAATCAAATTGGTCTCAAACTCCCCTTTCTGCTCGATCCTATCCTATGAATCAGCTTCTGCACTGGAACAATTCATCTGTGATCTAACATCATAACACCGACCTTTACTTTGTGACTGTGTTGACTTTAATTGCATGAGACTGTTTGGTTCAGGAGCAATGTGCTTAAGCTTGCATCTGACAATTTGCTTGACAAGTAATTGTGTGTTTACCAGCTTGTTGTGGTGTTCTTCTGCCCCCTAATGGCCAGGCCAGAAAATTCACAACTGTAATTTTTCATGAAATCTCAGTTGGCACATTGTGAAGGAAAATCTGTTGGAATGAAATCCTGGAAGCTGAAACAGATTAAAAAGTTGATTATTATTAAACTTCAGACAAAATTGATAATTGCTATGATCCTCATTGTATCTTTTCTCCCAGAAGGATTGTTACTCTTACGAATCTTCAAAATTAAACTGCTCTTTTTGTCTGATTTGATGTCCAATCTAATCATCTTTTGTCAATCTAATCTCCTCTGTCTGTTTAATAACTGACACAATGCTCCTTGAACTCATCCTGTGTTTTTCATACCCTCTGATGCAGGTGAATCTTTTTGTCAAAAACATCATTTTTATGCCTCGTCCCTCTTTTCTTTCCTCTTCCTCTAGGAATCTGAATTTGATACCAACAAGCAGCCAGAGAGCCCATCAGAGGAGGAGCCCACCACACCCAAAGTCGTGTCCACCAGCCAGAACCCGAAATATCAGCTGTTCCTCAACAATGAGATAAAGACCAACGGGGTGAGCGGCAGGGAAGCAGATGGTCTAGGCGGAGGCGGGCTGGTGGGGGAGAATGGCCCCAGGCTGCCCCGATTGGAAACACCCCGGCAGGGGATGAACCACTTTCGAGGGTCTCTGGAGTCCCTGACCCCACGGGAGTGGGACACTATGTCTGACAGGGTGGGTGAGGTCGATTGGGGACTCTAAATGTTTGTGAATCAGATCTGGGAGATTAGAGACAGTCCTCTGATAATCACATGCTGTTTTACAGCTGGATATCTGTGATTTCTAAAAAGAAAAATGGGAGAGCGCCATCTCCTGGACAAAGCACTGATCCAATTCTGTTCATACAATATGAAAACACCACATCTTTAAAGAATTAAGACAAGATACAACCATTTGGTAAAGTTTATTCTGGACCTCTTCTCCCAGAGAGAAATGATCAGTGCTGCAAAGTCAAACCTTAGCAACTGAGTAAAAAGTCATATTTTTATGAATAAGTGGGAATTTCTGCAGATGTGTGAAACTTAAAGCACAATTCTGCTGCACTTTTACATTATCCTGCACGAAGAAGAAATGTTCAAGTATTCATAGATAGCACCTGGAGATTAATCATCTGGTGTTCCAGGAATTTGACACAAAACACGCAAGCAATGAAAACTTATTCAACAACATACAAAGGCCGTCAAGCACCAACTCAAACTTTCTTCCCATAGTGCCTCTACATCTACAAAGATTAAACAGGAACTGATTTTAAAAAAGTGGATAAAGAGTTGGGGTTTTTTACACTGTCTAGTAGTTTATTGCAGTCAGAGGGAGCAGTGAGTTTAATGGCATGTCTTTGTTGGTTTTTAGGGCAAGGATGGAAATTTGCGGTGTGTCTGAGAGAGTACGGGGATTTGTAGGATGGTAAATATTATTTAAGAAAGGGGACTCAGTTAAAAAAATGCATTTAAAAAAATTGCACTAGAGCCTGTGATAATGTCTTCATGCAGTGCAAAAAGACATAGACACACAAAGAAATGCAGTTAATTACAAATATAAAACTTTTTTTTAATTGAACTCATGAATATTTTAAAGTTGCAGTTTTTTACATAGGCAAAAACCTCGGATCTTGAGAAATGAAGCTGATGCAGGTGTGCTAAAAAAACTGCAGTTCCTCAAGTGTCCTCTTGAGGCTGACTGCAGAAGCAACAAAAACTACATACACACTCAGCCAAAAAAAAAGCCTTTTTTTACAATGGCGTCCAGTAATTATACAGCCTATTGTCAAAACCCTGACAACCAACAACTTCAAGATATATTTTTTCCCTTCCAGATGTTGGATGACATCTTCTGGAAAAAGCACAGATTAAAGGTTTCTTATTTGCTGACTATGACTATCACTGATTTATCATACCAGAGTTTCTCAACTTCTGGCAGACTTCTGCAATGGTTTTAACATCATAAATGCTTTTTCAGATGTTAAATATTTGATTAATTAAATGTTGGTTGAGAAACTCAGTTGTATGAAGTGACCGAAGAGTTAAATGTTGCCTCACATCAAATCCAATCATTGCCAGAACCGCTTTCGCAAAGTCCAGCTTCTAAATGTTCAGTTCTATAATGGAAATAAAATGATCAACTAGAGCCAATGTGCAGCTGTCAATAAAAAAGGTCATGCTTAATGACAATGTTTCAACAAGTGATCAATACTAATGTAATAATAAATTATATTTTCTTTTTCTCAATTTATCTTCATTTAATTTCTGCAACAATTGTTTGAATTTTATTTACCACCAATAGAAGAAGATGCTAAATCTATGCTTCTGCAATTGTTTTCAATCCGCAATAAGATCCATTTTCATTACATGTTTCTCTATCTATAACTTTATTACTGTTTTGTTTTGTTTTTTTTCCTAGGCAAGCTTTTCTGACAACTCTCCCAGGGTGTTTCACAGTCCATACTCCACCTCCATGGATTACAACCCCACACATCGCATGTCTGAGTTTAAGGTTATTATATTTCCGCTACTTTAATATGCAAGATGCTACCTGGATGTATGTTTATGATTTGTTCAAGTTCTTCTGTTTTCTGGTTGAAGAAATACTCCAAATGTCAAAATCTTAGGTGGCTTTTGCCTTTAAAATTTACACAAGCAAGCCTCCGATATAACTGAGTGAAGGGACTGACTCTGGTCTTTGCCTCTTTGTTCAGCCCGGACCGTCTCCTGCCACCTCTGAATTGAACCTCTTCAGCTTCACCAGTCGCAGCACCAGTCCAGTAGCCCACCCTCTCAACTCTCCTCGCCCGCGATATTCTGCCTATGACAGTTTGATAAAGAGGAGGACCGAGATGATCCACCCTGTAAGTCGCATTCACACAAATACTGTCAACTACCCACACATATACTACAGACTTATTAATTACACTGTTACTTTTTTTTGATGTTGATTGAAATCTGACAAATATGGGACTTTAACACCAATACCACAAATTGTGTCCGGAATTTTTCTTGGTGGTTAAATTTGAAGAGGTGATGTAATATCTATATTTATCACACAATTTACAATAAACTAAAGCTCCTCTGCTTGCATGTGTCACCAAAAACTGTCATATTTTCTTAAAATGCTGCAATTTTTTTATATTTATTTTTGCAGAATCTGTTGTCGTTACTGATACCAATATATCTGTGATAGGCTAAAATCAGCTGCATAGATCAGTCAGGCTTGAATGTTTGTATTTAGGGTTTATTTATGTCTTTGTCGCAGCAGCAGCAGCATCAGCAGCTGCAGCTCCAGCAGCAGCCACAGGTGATAAATACCCACTACAGTATGCGCTCTAATACAGTGGGAGCTTCACCCAATAGGAAAGACTACATAGAAGAGCTGACCAAACAGATGGATGCCTGTCAGAAGGTATGCTTCATCTCCTTCATTTCTGGGAGTCCAGAACTTGCTATTGATGCCTGATGGAAGTCAGATATGAACAGTGTATTCTGTGTTTTCTTCAGCGTAACCAGTTCCTGGAGGCAGAGAGCATTGAAATGGACAAAGAAAGGAACCAGATTAGGTCAGGTGTTGTTTTCTTTCCATTACTTTCTGTTTCTGGTCACATTTACACTTTCTTTTGAATCTTATTTTTTTAGAGTAAGCTAACAAGCTGTTTTACTGTGTCTCTGAAGGTTTGAGATGCGCAACCTGCTGGTTAACAATGAGGACCTGCTGAGAACCAACACTCAGCTGAACAATGAGATGAAGAGGCTGAGGGAGCAGATGCTGGAGATGGACAGAGAGAAACAGGCCATGGTTGAGAGATTCAGAACCATGGAGGTAAGAGCAGGTGGATGAATGGATGAATGAATGGAAAGATCCAGCAAGTTATTCATGTGTTTGCATGAGTGTTTCTTCTTTCTGTGCAGATTGAGGTGAAGGAGGCACGAGAGGTGATGGTGGAGGCCAACAATCAGGAGTACGCCTTCAATTTCCTCCAGCAGTCACTCCAAACCCAGCTGAAGGATGCAGAGGTACTAAAGCCCAAAACCCCAGTAGTAAAAAGAGAGACAGAAGGAACGGGTGTCAGACAGTATTGCTGCCTTATCCTCAACAAAAAAATCTTGTACATTGTGATCAGAGTTCCTCAATAAATGACAGGGGTTTCTCTTTAAATCTTTAGGTTTTGGTTAGTACTAGACACCAATGTTAAAAAAAAAAAAAGAACCAGAGCCCTAAATACTGTGTGTTGTGTGGTGTTCAGGAGAGTCTGGAGAAGGAGCAGCAGCACTCCCAGAGTCTTTCTGAGAAGCTGTGGCACGCAGAGAGGCAGCTGGAGGAGCTGGAGTTTGATAAAGGCACCAAAAGCAAGAAGGCGTCTGAACTTAACAGCACTATCGAAAGACTGGAGAAAGAGGTAAAGAGATCGAAAAAGGATTGTTTGACCTTCACATGTCTATTAAACCAAAAACATTATTATCTATGGAAGTTGAAATACCATATCCTTATTATTGTATATTATATTGTGAAATTAGTGAGGAGATGGCTGAGTTGGGTATCATCTGCATGTCATGATACAATACAGCCAAACCGAGAATAGAGCCTTGGGGAACTTTAAAGATCAAACCTTGGGCTGTTGTCACTTTACTGAATTATTGTTCATGTTCATGTAATTTTATGAAATGCAGTTCACAGCAGTACCATCATGGGAAGATATGTGATCTCTTCAAGTGGTCTGCTAATGTTTTGGAGATCAGTTATACTCCTGTGAATTCACAAGATCAAGTACCCTTAGATTTACATCCTTTCTTAACGCTCAGTGGCTAAAAACAGCCACTGACATTGACTGCTGTGAAAACATATTGGATTCATATTTTTTTCAGATTTTTTTTCATATATCCCTTTATTAACATCTGCTTTATTCAAAACTAGTAAATGTTTCATTAAGAATCCAAATTTTAACCCTTTAAGGACCCATTTAAAATATAAAGTCACTAAAATTGGGGAAAAAATGGGAGGAAAACGACTGATTTTTATTAGATTTATTTTCTACCATATCAGTGACATTATGTTTTGAATGGACCCTCAAAGGGTTAAAAAAAATGTTTTTAGATGAAACATTCACTAGTTTTGACCAAAGCAGAAGTTAATTAAGAGATATATGAAAAAAATATTGGAAAAAAATATTAACCCAATATGTTTTTACAGCAAAGTTAGTGGCTGTTTTTAGCAACTGAGCGTTAACAACGGATGAAAATTTGCCCACCGTGTATTTTTAAGTCATATTCTCAAAGTGTCCATCAATATAAGCATCTGCACAAAAAATCCTCCCATTTGCTGCAGTAAAAAAAAAAGTTACGTGGAAATTAGTGGCTAAATTTTGCCCCTAGTGGCTGATTTCAGCCACAGCGTCACACAAGGGTTAATCAGAAAGAATATTAGCTTACATAGCAGGGTCAAAATGACAAATAATGTGTGTATGTGCCTACTAATGTATACAATAAGTTGGTGTGTGTGTGTGTGTTTCCAGCTGTCTGAGGCCCTGCAGGTGTCGACACAGGCCACAGCAGAGCTCAACCTGCAGCAGAAGCTGCGTGATGATGGCCAGGTGAGGGTGGAGGAGCTGGAGGAGTCTTTGCTGGAGAAAGAACAGGAGGTGGTAAAACTACAGGCCCTCGTCAACAAACTGCAGGGAGAGGTACGACCCTGAAAGTCTCTTTTCATCTAAATATGTAAAGCTGCAAATTGAAGGATTTACTCCAGGTGCATTGTTCTTATGGTCATTGCATGCGTATGTGTAGGTCTCTGGTAAACTGATCGATAAGGAACGAACGCTGGAGGAGGAGATCCAGCTGAGAGAGAGGATCCAGCTGCAGTGTAAGCAGGCAGAGAGGTCAGTGGAGGACCTCCAAATGGAGCTGCACACCACCATTCAGGGGAAAGAGGACCTGGCTAAACAACTCAAACAGGCCCAGGTAAATCACTGAAAACTCAGTACTGAACTGGTACAGTAAGAGTAAAATCCTGCTTTGTAGTTTTGGACACCATCATATTTTGTAAATAAGTAAAATAGCTGTTTATGGATGATAAAAGTTGCATGTTTGACCTGTAATTTTATAGTTTGAATGAATCTCGATAAGTTTTAGTATTCAACACTAAACATTGACAAATAAACACACGCACACACACACTTCTCTCTCCATTTGCCATGAATTAAATAAGTGCCATTATTAGACAGTATCTATAGTATAAAAACAAACATGACCCAGTGATTCAAATAGAGATGTCCACTTGAGTTTATCAGTCATGCAAACCATCAGAGTTTGGGGTTAATGAGGCATTAATTATGCTAATCCTGCTCCTGCCTTAATCCCGAATATTCATCATACTGCTATTTCCGTAGAAACTTTATCCGTCCCATTTCTGAATAACCTGAATTTGTTGTGCTGACGGTTGTCACCATGAATGTTGACCTGAGATCAGAGGCTGTCAGAGAAAAAATAGTGTAGTTTAATTGTTTAGATGATGCTAAATTCCTTCTTCTTCCTCTTGTTTCAGGAGAAGATGATTGACCTGGAGACTGACCTGGAGGAGCTGCATGACAGTGAGCAGAGGTGGGCCGCAAAGCACAAGAGAGCCATCGAGCAGGTAAAAACTCAAGGGACAGAAAGTGTCATTTGTGGGATTTATCAGCTAATAAACAAACTTGATTACTATGATTGGACCGAGTACATCCAACTGAGAGTGAGACATTTCTGTTTATTTTCTGTTAGACTGAGCAGCTGCAGCTGAAGCTGATTCAGGAGAAGGATATGAATGATGTGCTGGAGACTGACAAGGCCGGCATGGAGAGACAGGTACTTTGTGTTTATAGATGTGTTTGGTTGTATTCTGATTTATTTGGACCCTTTTTGCCATAATGTTTCACTTTTCACATGAGGGAAACCTGCAGATTTTCGAGGCTCATGTCGGTAAAAAACAGTTTTGTAATATTTAAAGGACATACTATAGTTGCAACTATCTTTTAAGAAGCCCAAATTCCCAGATATGGAAAATTTTATTAACAATACCCATTTCAAAGGGGCAAAAGTCACTAATTTCTTGTTAGAAAACAAAAAAAGGGTAAAAAATAGGTGGTGAGCAAAGATTTTGTAGTTAAATCACTGTAAAAATGTTGCTTTCTGCAACAAGCAACTTTGTTAAAAAACTTTTACAGTTATTAACTGTGACACAACTATGAGACAAAACGTAAGCTCAGCTCTGCGCTTTAAGAAACCCTGTGAAATCAAGTGTTTAAAAGCATTTCTCAGTATGTGATGAATGAACAACAGAGGCATAACTCGAATGAAGCCAAAATCTGAAATAAGCTTTTTCTTTCCCTCTCTCTCTCTATAGCTGCGTGAGTTGCGTTCAGAGGTGGAGGAGCTTCAGAGCTCCAGAGTTCAGGAGGATGTCATCTCCAGGGCTGAGACTCGAGTCAAAGAGCTGGAGAACACACTGAGGACCGAGGAGAGGTCAGTCACATCACTGCTGGTTTTGACTTGAACTGTTCATCAGGTTGTTTCCTCTCAAGTCTAGTCATACCTGTAGCTCAGATCTTTTGGTCAGGACCAGAAAGTGACCATACGGGGGAAAAAAAACATCCAAACTAGCATGGATTTGGATATGAGAAATATTTGACCAATGTAACCCATGCTGTAATGAGCTGGAACGCACAGACATGCATGTTCAGCTAAGCTATTGCTACAGGCTCATGAGTTTGTGTTGTGTCACAGGAACAAATCTGTTCTGGGAAACAGTGTCAGCAAACTGGAGAGGAGGATCAACGAGCTGACTGACCAGATGGAGGAGGAGCACAGGATAGCTAATGAGCAGAAAGAGCTGGTAACACTAAAACACAGAGATACACGCACACACACACTCTTTTCACCACATGATGGCAGTGTAAGCAAAGTAACCAATATGTTTAGTGTCCCTCTTTTCAACAGGAGTAGAAAGATGAAATATCCACATCTATCTTTATTAACATCAAGATACTTTTTATGCAATTAATTTAACATAAATGGACATCAAAAGTACTTGATTAAATCATCTGTTTTGAATGGATTTGGTCTTTTATTCTGAAAATATTGTTGTTTATGCCAGGACATTTTTTGCTTTCTGCAAGCAAAACTCCTTTTTTTTATTTTCTTTTTTTAATCTATCCTTTTAAAGGTACAGTATGTGTTTTTTTTTTCTGGCATTTGGCAGAACAGACTTGGTTGTACTGAAATATTAAGCATTTGTTTACATTAGTTCTTAAAAAATGGTCTTTTAAGGTGTTAAAAATTTGACATTACCGTGAGAGAAATTTGCTTCAGAGGATATTTCACAAAAATTATGACCTGCCAAACTATTCAAGATGATTTTGTTAAATGTTGTGCAAACATATATAGACAAACGAGGAAAGTCTATGTGATAGCTCACACTGTTTTTAGCCGTAGGTGGCAGTTTTCATCTTCTCCTGTGAATCCAAACTAAATGCTGCTCTGTGATCCCTCCTCCAGATGGCCCAGAGGATCCGTTCCCTGAAGCGTCAGGTAAACGAGGCAGAAGAGGAGGCGAGCAGGAAAGAGGCTCAGTACCGCCACACCCAGAGAGAGCTGGCAGAGGAGAGGGAGACGAGTGGCCGTCTGCAGAGGCAGCTGCTGGACCAGCACATGCAGACGAAGTATGAACATTAGCACACTGACATTTTCTCACACTTGGTCTACACTTTGGCATCACTTAGAAGTTAATACTTAAGATTTTAAAAGGCTGTAAGAGATAAGGGAGAAAAAAGGTCTAGTCCAACTTAAAAATACCCAAGATTTTTTTTAAAAAAAGAAGAAAAATAATAGGAGCAATCTTGTCATTTCTCCTGGCAGTTAGTTTTCTCACTCCTGGCTCACGGTAGAGTTGATTCCTGTAAACTTTGTGTTTAGATCCTACCTCTCATTGTTTACATGTCGTAGTGATCCTGGCCAAGACACTGAGCCTAAAACTGCTCCAGAGTGGTTCCAGGTTGTAAAATCAGCCCTGTTTTAACGCATGTGAGAGGGATTAGTAGTGCTTGTGCACCAGACCAAAATCATCACCTTTGTTCCATAAATCAACCTGTTTCTCTTGATGTCACAGGCGTATGGATTCTCTGACCATCCGTCAGACTCTGGACAACCTGAGGTTGGACTTGAGCGTCGACGATGAAGACGAGGAGCCGCCAAAAGAAGAAGAAGAAACAACAACGGGCCAAGTCACCAAAGTCTAAACATCACACTTCAGCTCATGTGATAGGCAATGTCTTTATACTGACAGTAGAGTTTGGATGTGTTTACATAGGGGATCTAAAACTGCCACCAACAGCAATAACTCAGAGAAGTCGAACTTGTAGCATGAAAAAAACAGACTTCAGCACTTCAGTACTTTTCTTGGGAAAGTACAGTGACGGCTGAGAGATAATGGAAATAACATCTGATGCTCATTTGAACTTTTGAAGGGGAAAAGGTTTCTTTTTTTTAACCCTTCGGTTCACAAGTAACATTAAATATCTGCAAAATTTAGAGTGCATATGACCAAACCCGAAGATTATCTTTACTTACAGACCAACAGGTTTTTATTTTTGACAAATCCTCTCCATGTAAACTCCTGTTTGCGCATTTTCCTTATGCATTTGAGACTTAATTCATAACATCTGCTGTACAGAAACTTAGTGCAGTGACATGTTGAGGAGAGACTTGCTGGTGACAAAAACAACTGGATCAGCATTTGAAAGAAGTACTTTGTCATTTTAATTTGATATTACAGCTGCTTCGACCAACAGCAGGGGTTTAATGATATTCAAAAGGACTTGTTGCAATCCTGCAGAATTTGGTTAAAGAAGGGATCACCTTTGTTTGAAGGTGTTGAGTTTGTCTTGTCATACCCACAGGTATCATTGTTGGTCACTAACATATTATTTAGTTTAAACTACAGAGCATGGTGTAAGAGAGGAGGAAGGATCTCTGCTTGTGATTGTAGCTGTTTTTGATTCACACACAGAAACAATAAGGAGATTATTTATATTGAACACTTTTTTCGTGTTTGAGCTGTTTTTATGGTTTTTAAGATTTAATTTTCTGTATCTTTGATGCTTTTGGGGTAAAAAAATATACTAAGAAAAGATTTGTGTTAAAAGGTTTAGTTTTAGGTAGTGAAGAGGTTTTGCTGCTGTATTGATTTAACTCACTGTGTCCTCTGTCTACAGTATCTGCTCAAGAGGGAAGTTCTGAGGGGAAGATTAGATATGCAAGCAACGGTGTAAAAAGAAAAGAAAAGAAAAGTCATAACTTTGCATTTTTCTATCTTTTAGAGTTGTAAATAATACAGATTAAGGCATTTTATCATCCAGGAGTAAAAACATGTCTTAACGAGATTTAATTAATGATATGTTTAATGCTAAGTGTTGAAGTGGCATAAAATATAATTTTACATGAGACAGTTTATATGCTATGTGGTTTTCTTGGTTTACTCTGTTTGCTCTTATTCTGGGGATTACTTTAAAGAGGACTTAAGTACACAGAGAAAAGCAATCAAGGCTGGGATGTTAAAATCAAACCAATGTAGTATTCAAAGATTTCATCCTGAAAATATGCTCAAAAAACTTTAAATCCTGGGCAGAAACTCTAGAAAACCCAGCCACATGCTGCATTCTTGGATGATTGATATTGTAAACACACAAAGCTAATATTCAGACGCTTTAACAATTGAGTTTGTTTACATTGTTAAGTGTGTTTTGCTTTTTGGAAATAGGAGCATGAATCCTAATATTGTGTCCAGGAGGGGGTTTTTGTGTTCAGCTGTTGGGAGTAGAGTTTCTGCTAAGTATCACTGGTGTTGTTGTTTTTTTTTTTTTTTTTCATTACAGAGGGGACAGAGTCTACACACATGTAAAAAGAAAACAGAATGCATATACTTATTTTTGTAACTACACTTCACAGTCTATTGGTTCTGCTGGGTATTTATTTTGGTTATTCACATTCTCGGTTTTGGTGAGAAGTTTCTACAAAACGGAAAATAAACTTTTCTTCATCAAAGATTCTGGGGAAAAGTGTGTTACTTTGATTAGAAAAAAACTTTGATTTAAAAAAAAAAAAAACAAGCTGGGACTGTTTTTATAAAATGTTGTCAAAAACTGGATTCAGTGGTTTAAAATCCACCCCTCACTATTTAAAGCTTTAGTGAGTAACTTTTGTTTTATTTGGCACCCCACCATAGACGGGCTCAAAATCCCATGAAATTTGGCAGGTGGGTAAGGACCGGCTTAAATTAGCATATTTGCTGTGCCCACATATATATGAACAAAAAAATGCTTGGGGAGTTTCCTGTATATTGGTTCTACCTCTGCCAGAGTTTAGTCATTTGATAATGCTCTGGCATCGAACAATTTGACACCAAACATATGTTGCAGTGCCACCTGCTGGCAGAGGGGAATACATTTTCGGTTAATGGTCTGTAACTCCTCCTTTATTAATGGGATGCAACTGAGATTTGTTCAGGACACACCTGATGGGGCACCACAGCGGCAAGAAAATTAGCACCATGTTTCGTTTAACTGTGCCTAGGTGGCGCTATGAAATGTCTCAAAAAAGAAGTATATATATACATAACAATCTGTAATATTGCTATAGATATGCACAGCCACATAAAATTGGTACGCAGCAGTAAAAGTACAACACCAAACAACACTGTGACAACATACCACTTGCCTTCATTTCATGAAAAACAGCTGTTGTTTAATCACCACTGATCAGCACTGGGTCAGCTGTATGGCGGCCATTTTATCCATATTTGGTTGAAAGGCAGTAAAGAGATCATTGGAAATTCAAATCAAAACAATTTTAAATAAAAACAAACCAAAACAAAACAAAAAAATGATGAAAAAAATCACAGAGCTGTGATGTCATCAGAGCTGTGATGATGTCATCAGAGCTTTGATCTCATCAAGGGGACTCCAGAGTAACTCTGAGCTAGCACTGTCTAGAAGACGTCTACGTTTGAGACACGGATTTATCAACTCTCAGCAATAAGAGGAAGAACTTTGGTTTTTATCAGCTTTAAGCGATAAGAAGAAGGACTTTGATCATCCCTGAGTCCAGAGTTAACTCTGAGCTAGCACTGTCTAGAAGACGTCTACGTTTGAGACACGGATTTATCAACTCTCAGCAATAAGAGGAAGAACTTTGGTTTTTATCAGCTTTAAGCGATAAGAAGAAGAAGGACTTCAATAATGCAGAACTACGGAGAACCACAAACCTTCAGCCAAAGAGAGCAAGGAGGCCGCCAGGTGATCCACCAGGCCCCCTCACAAGGAGACATGAGGTTTCGCCAACAGGAGGCAAGCCCTCCCCTATGGACGCCAACTTCGTGGGACCAAATTGAAAGTCTGAGTTTGCGGCTGACAAGGGAGAGGGGTGTGAGGAAAATGCAGCAAGAAAGAATTGAGGCCCTCAAGGGCGAAATTCGAGAACTGCAGCATAAGGCGAGGCTAGAGAGATGCGAAGGCTGTGAGAATGTCTATTTGCAGATGAACATGGGTTATTACTCCAATAAAACCAAAGAGGAGCTCATCCGTGTGATTTCTGCACAAAATGACATAATCATTGAAAAGGAGACACCGATAACCCTGAAGGATGAGGACATTGGCAAATTGACTAAATGGGACCTTGCCCGTGCTAACCAAAGACGAGTCCTTCAGATGCAGGGTGTGATGACTTTGCTGAAGGCACAGGAGGCCACCAATAAAGCCATGGAGCAAGAAATGGCAGAGCTAAAAAAGCGCTACATCGGTGAGACGACAACAGCGCCTTTCAGTTTGGAGGAGAAGGCTGATGATGTACAAGACATGGCTGGAGTGCAAGAACTTCAAGATCAGGTCGCATCTCTGAAAAAGAAGCGTGATGATGAAAGACAGAGGGCCTCTACCCTCCAACAAGAACAGGAGGAAATGAGGAGTATGTTTGAAGAGAAGACCAGTAAGGACACGGAGCAAGTTGAGAAGCTGAATGCTGAGAAACTTTCTCTGGAAGAACAGGTGAAGAAACTGCAAGAAGATGCATACAGCAGGGCTATGGAGGGATCCAAAAATACGGAGAAGATCCAAGAGCTCAATGACATTGTATCATCTTTGAGCAACCAGCTGGAGGAGGCCAAGCACCAGCTTCTTGAGAAAAACAAACAAGAACTGCAGCTGGATGAGAGAATGGAGGAAGAAAAGGATATCCCGAAGACCACAGTGGATGATCTGCTACAAGAGACATCCAAACTTGAAGATCAGGAGGAGACAAGCGATGTCATCTGTGAGGTTATCAGAGAACCCTTCCCTGAACTGGACAGCGCTCCCGTGGACAGTGAAGGAGATGATCCCACTACAGTCAAGGAGACAGCTGAGATGATCTCAACAACACCTGAGGTCATCACAGAAACACCTGAGATGGAGGCCATCTCTCTGTGGAGGAGGTTCAAAAAGAGTGTGACTCCCAAACATCGCCGCCAATACAAGAGGCAGAGGCAGAGGCAGGATTGAAAATCCCTGGCTCCTTGCCTAACTAAAAAAAAAAAAAAAAATGCAATAAAAAAAAAAAAAAAAAAAAAAAGTAAAAAAAGAACTTTGTTAAAAAAAAAAAATTGCAAAAAAGAACAAAACAAAACAATAAAACAATTTTGCAAGAAAAAAAAGCAAAAAATAAAAAAAAAATAAAATAAATAAAGAAAAAATAAAAAAATAAATAAATTTTAAAAATATACAAATTAATCAATTAAAAAAAATTAAATTAATCAATTAAAAAATAAATTAAATTAATAAAATTAAAAAAAAATTAAATTAATCAATTAAAAATAAATTAAATTAATAAAATTAAAAAATAAATTAAATTAATCAATTAAAAAATAAATTAAATTAATCAATTAAAAAAAAAATAAAAATAAAAAAAATAAAATAAAATTTTTAACTCCGCCAAAATGTCTCAATTGGGACATTTTTGCCGGTCCCAAGCCCGGATTAAGGAGGAGGGTTTTGTGACATTCAAAAAAAAACAAAACAAACAAACAAACAAAAAACCCCAAAACAAACAAAAAAAAAAAACAAGAATTGACAGATGACAGTTTGGTTTTAGTTCTAAACATGTTTTCGGGTGTAAAAAGGCCATGACTCCCAAACATTGCCAGCAATACAAGAGGCAGAGGCCAGACTGAAAAACCCTGGCTTCTTGTTTTACTTAAAAAAAAAAAAAATGCAAAAAATAAAAATAAAAACTTGGAAAAAAATGCAAAAGAATTGCAAAAAAACAAAAAAAAAAACCTTAAATCTTTATTTTTCTCTATACAAATGGACTCTTCTCTCAACTGTTGAATGGGCAGTCAGGAATTGTAAAAAATTGGTTCATTAAGAACCTGTTAAGTTAAAAGCTCACATACTGTTTTGGGATTTATGATCAATCTTGAACATTATCTTTGAAAGTGTTTGGTTTGTTTATTATGTCCTGTATGTCTGAAAAACCCCTGGCTCCTTGCTATACTTAAAAAAAAAACAAATTGCAAAGAAAAAAAACAAATTCTTGAATGAGTATTTTTCTCTGCAAAAATGTTATTGCTTGACGGCTCTTCTCTCAACTGTTGAATGGGCAGTCAGGAAATATAAGTGTTGGTTCATTAATAACCTGTACAGGTAAATGCTCACAAGCTGTTTTGGGTTTCACAATCAATCCTGAATATTATCTTTTAAAGTGTCTTTTCATCTCTCAAAGAGCTGCTTCAGTCAGCTTGCAAGCAGTCTGTTTTGTGTCTGTTTTATCACGGTGTACATGACCATTCTGCACCCCAGGTATTATTTTTAGCACAATATCGATATATACTTTATATTTTTATTCTATATAAAACAGTTATCATCAATACTGGTATACCGTGACAGTCCTTATGGGACTAATGGGACTAAACGCCCGATGAAAGGTGTATTAGGGACATCTTGCCGAGTTCACAGAGAAAGTGACTGTGTGTAGAGAACCGTGTTTGTCCGAGTAGACTTTTATTTTTCGCTATTTAGTTTTTTAGAAACATCACCGCTTGAAATGTTAGTTTCTGTCTGCTGTCTGCGTCTCGCTGATGATTCGTGGATACTTCTGTTGACTGGAAAATGGCTGCCCACCCGATCAGAAGGTACAGATATTGTGGTATTTTTTATTCTGACCTAATATATATTAAGATATTCCCCATATTTTGATTGGGTGGGCACGACAAACAATTTAAAGAAACCACTGATTTTAATTCTTAATCTGGTAAAACCACCCAACTGTAACTTTCTGCACAGACTCAAAGAAAACATGGAATAACAAATGAAAGAAACCAGATAAAACAAACACAACTTTATTTGCAGCTCTGACATTAGAAACATTGAACACATTGCAGGTCATTTCATTCTCGTTGTGTCAAACATGCTGACGGTGCAACAAACACACAAGCATCGATACACACAGTGAAACCGAGGAAAAACGAGTACAAACTGCAGGCATCAGAAGTTCACACAAAGAGGATTTCCAAAAATAAAAGCTCTTAGAGGTACTTGGATTGAGTCATTATTTTGTTATATATCTGCCACAAAAACAACATTGTGATTTCAGGTCTCTTTTGCCTCTGCTTTAAAATCCATAATCAATAATGCGATAAAATATTTAGTAGCTCACAAACTTTACAGAGGATCAGACAAAAGAGTTGAGAACAGGCACGACATGACTCTCCAAATCATGTAAACTTTCTGAGTGACTTCAAAAACTACAAAAAGTAATTTCAGACTGCTGAAGGAAAACATAGTTGAGGAAAGAGACAATGAATGAAGTGACAGTGAATGTGAAGTACAAATGAACAAGCAAAAAGGCATCAGAGGATGAACACAGTCTGAAACTCTAAATAAAAACAGAGTTAAAGGGGGGGTAGGCAAGAATCCGTTAAAGAAGCGTCTTTTTTTGTGGTGTATTAACAAAAAAGCTTTTAATATCAGTCAATAGCTATTAGTTATTGATGACATTTGGTAATATTACGATATCGCTGTATTTTGTTGTGTCTGTGTAGTCAACATTTTAAAATTCTAGAGCAGCCCGCTTTTTCTGACTGTAAACAAAGCCATTCTCCGCCTCCCCCAACCTGATTGGTTGTGAGACAGACGCTGCTCCTTAGTGCTGATTGGTTGTGAGCACAGACTGTATATACTATGGACAACTTGGTTCCGCCTCCCACCTGTATATGGATTTGAAGCCAAAAAGCTCTCGGTATTTCTGCGATTTTTCTTCATTTCCTGAAACCAACATTGCGCAGTAGCGTTGTGCGCATTCGGTGGGAGAGTTGCCGAGAGTCCCTGTGATGACGCTCGGCTCAAACAGCGTATCCCCCCGGGTGAGCTACGCAATCCCTGAACGCCAATAGGCTGCATCAGGTGTTAATCATAGAAAACATGAACCCCCAAATTACTTTTAAAAACAGAGCTTCACAGAAAGAAAGAGGACTTGAGCACAAACCAGTCTTACTGTAACTACACGTCAACATCACAAGCAGGGGGGAGAAAAATTTATGTTCTGTGTAATAAATTTCTAAAGTTTGTCCTCAGCTCCATAAGCTTTGCTGGCGGAGGCAGGATTTATGACCTATACAGCAGCCCATCAACAGAGGGTGCTGTTCTCGGAGTGGCTTCACCCAGCGAGGAGGCAGACTCTGTCCATTCTATATACAGTCTATGGTTGTGAGGCAGACGCTGCTCCCCCAAGTCGTTCAGGAGCCCAAACAAAGTTAGCGTGCTCCAATATCAGACAGTAGAAACCAACCAGAAAGTACAGAAAATTGTCTGAATCCTCCTTTGACCACGACTGCCAACACAAGCAAGAAAAAGAAGTAAATACCGGAGACTCTGGTGGAATAACGGGCGCTTAAAAAGCTGGGTAAGAGCTAAAAAGCCGGGTCAACATAGCATAAATGATGGGGAACGCGTCAGGATTTTACCGACCCTGTAGCCTTTCTGCTGGACAGGTAAACCGCTTTAACAAAGTAAGCCAAGTGTAACAGAAGTGTTTCTTGTCAAACGGGACCTGCTGCGTGTTGTGGCGCCGCTAAACTGTTTATCTCGGGTCCTGGAGTATGTCACTTTATCCTAGTTGTAGAAGTCCTGCAAACATCGTGTTTGCTGGTAGTCTGTTGTCATCTACAGTAGCACCAATGCTTTTTACTTTCACGTTGACTGGGCCTCATTTGTAATTATCTTTAGTATTTATCTGCATTATATCTGAATTTAATTGAAATGATACGAGTGAGCAGGAGTGTCTGTTTGTGGGCGGGGCTTGCTGGAGCAGAGACAGAGGGGAGAGGAGGAGCTGAGGGGAAAACTGGTTGGGAGGGGTAGAGTTTACATTCAAGGTTTCTCCCCCAAAACTGGCACTTCCTCAGGTCCTGCCTACCCCACCTTTAAAACGATCGCAGCACAATGACAAAGACGCAGATGAGAGGCGTTGTTTCAAGATGATAGGATAATGGGCATAATGGATAATTCAAAATTGAGACAAAGTTTTGAATATTGAAAAACTGTCTCAGCGCTTGTATAAAAGCTCTTTCTGTTTCTTTGTCTCGTAATCTGGGCTTTAAGGCAAGTCTTGAGGGTTAAATTTAGGGTTTTCATCTTTTTTTCAAAGCAAAATTCTTTCAATGATTCATTCAACTACGACTTGAGTTTTACTGTATTTCACCCCAAAGTATTTCTTCAAAGAAATAGTTGCAAGATAACTGAAAACAAAGGTATTCAAGACATCATGTCAAAATAATGCACGAGTCTTAAATGAATATCTAATGTGCTCTTACTCCACCAAATGTCAGGATTGTGCTGAGGCTTTCATTTGGCTCCAATGGCAAATTGACAAAAAAAATCAAGTGTTCATCCTGGTTATTCAAAGCTCAGTCCAAAGAGTTAAAGGACTTGATGAAAGACATTTCATCTCACATCCAAAAGGCTTCTGCACCTTGAAACTTACTGGTGAGCAGGGTCAGAGAGATCCGCCTCTGCAGGCCAAGAGAACGCCGATGATCTTAGTACTAGAAAAGCAGTCAATAATGAGGCTGTTGTCCTAATTCCTTGTGAAGTCTCTAGTATTCTTTGTGCTTGGTGAGTTGGTAGATTCCCAGTCTGGTAACAGCAACCTAACAACTCACCTACACTAGAAGGGCTTAGCCTTTTAGACCAGCAGTACAACAGCATAAAGATGTCTCTTTGGACTGAGTTTTGAACTGTGTGGTTGAAAAAAGTGACCCAGAATAACTTTTGTCATGAAAGGAACACAAATCCAGATTTCCTCTGTTAAAGGCCGACCTTGTTCTACTGATCCATTCCATCTGGCTGCCACCCAACGAAACCTCTTGATTTCTAAACTTCTAGTTCTGCTCTGAGGAAGTCCAAACTGGCTCTTCATTACGCTAGCTATATAACAACTCCAGTTTGCTACTGCTTTGTACATAAAACGAAGTTTGAATACTTTTGTGAGATATTTTACTTCTCTGTTGATAACAGCTATAAACCATATAATAGAGAAGACACCAATTTTCGGTCATTGGATAAGTCTACTCAACCCCTCTTTCAGTCTGGAAAAAGTAGACTACCTGGTGACCAAAATGGAGCAAAGATGATTGGAAATACTAAACTCACATTTTTCAGTATTAAGGAGACCTCCAACGTGGCATACTTATTTGTATGCTTTCATAACTTTAGAGTTAGATATAAAATTTGCATTATAAGAAGGCATACAACCAAACTAATGATAACAATGCAGAGGGGAAATAAATGAGCGGGCCATTAATTGAGAAACCATGAAACCAAACTTTATAATACAGACTTTTTAGGGAACCTTATCCAGTTCTGTGCAAATAAGTGACTGGCAAAGAGTGTTACGGTGTGAGCCATCTCCTTGTTTCATCAGCAGCAGCAAATTAACAGCAGTGGGTGTTTAATATGGCACTGAGATCAGCTGTTGGCAGAGGACTGTGCTTGGCTGTTCAACAAAAACAAACACACAATAAAAACACATTCTAAGTGTGGATGCAGGCAGGATGAGCTTCAGCTTTGTGGAAAACGGACACTTGTTTGTGTAGTTACCTTTTTCATTTGGCACACTGGCAGACCAAACGTAGGTCAGGTGAAACCAAAGCTCTATGACACCTCAACATATATCTGTTTTTCCACCATCCAGACAGCACAATACTGAACTGAAAAATGGCTTATAAGCAAATACTGGGAATCTAAATTGTAACTTAATTGCTATCCAAGTTATCTGCAGCAGCTCTGAATTGAGACTGTCAGGTAAACTGAAGGATTCTCAAATTGGCTTAAGATGTTTTATGAAGTTAGACAAATCAAGGTTTAACTTGACATCAGGGAAACTATTGAGCGTCTTGGATTTAACACTGACATTTTGCCGTTTTGAATAAACACATTTCTGTTGGGCATCAAAAACTGATGTTTTGCTTTGCTCAAGCTTGGAATTTCAATATAGGGCGAATCACATTAAAGTAAGAGGAAATATGATTAAATTAATAGGGTTTATGCAGAAAAACTGTCATTCTGACGGTCTGATTCAAAGGGACAAAATAGGATGATGCCAGTCTGATGAAATGTTGGTCCAAAGGTACCTTAGGGGCACTATTTAAAAAAAATCTAAAGCTTGTCCTGCTGGAAGGCTTGTAAACTAAACTTTAACAATTTTACTGATGAAAACAAAAGTGCAAGAGATAAAGATGCTGTAACAAGTCTCTTATCTGTGAGTGTGTTTAGGGTGCAACTTCATTAATCGACCCTCAGTTTTATGTCCCATTACTTTCCCTTTAAAAGCTGGGCGCTCCGCATTAGGTGCTTTGCTTTCTATAAATTCAATGAGCTAAAGAAGCAAATGTCTCTTCTGCTAAGAAACAGATCTGCTTATTTACACGGTGAAAGCTCTACAGCAGACCATCGGAAAAAAGCAGCAGGAGTTCACCGAGACTCCCTGACGTGAAGCATGTCTGACTGAACACAACACTGAAAGCTGGATTGTGCTGTCAGGAGACATGTTGCTGTACATGTACTTCATGTGCCGCCTGGAAACACCTCTGGAGGTGCATCGACACTCTTAAGGGCCTACTGGTTAAGGAAATGAAGAGCAGGTTTCTGGTGATTCTTGATGCCTCAATATGGCAACAAGCAAAATTTGCCTCACTGCACCACATTTCAAGACCCCCCAACACGCAAATAAAAACCACAAACCGGCACAAGAAGCTAGCAATGACTCTCCCTGTCTGTTGGGCTGAGTGTAAGATTTTGTACACGGTTTTCGGGGAGGAGTAAACGTCTTTATCGACTTCTTCTGTACATCTTTCAGTGTTTTTAAAGAATACTTTTCTTGAACAGACACTTTGACACTTGAATAAAGAGCACGCAGCAATGAAAAATAACATAATGAGAGTAAATAAAGGTGAGAATAAATGTTCTCTAAACAATAGATATTAAGAATACAACTAAAATAATATGACAACACAATTAATAACTCATGTAATACATTTCTTTAAATATAAATAACTGGTCACTGCCTATGTTATCAACATTGCTCATATATGGGGCTTAAAGTGATATTTCCTGTCTTGTTGTCTGTCTTAAAGAAATGAGAGTTGATGATCTACTATCAGCCTGTACACCTTGTGTTTTTCTATTTGAGGTCTTGAGTCATTTTGTCTATTTAAATGTCAGCTGTCCTGCTCTACTCATACACTGGCAACCTGCATTTTGACTAATTTAAAGTAGGCGGTTCTATTTGTATGACTGCCGTTATCTCTAAAGTTACAGACAGACAGTTTCTTTTATGCAAATCTTTCCTATTTGCAGTGACCAGGTGTACTGGGGACATCCAACGTCTAAGCTGATTTATCTCAGATTTCCATACAGTCTGTTTCACCACAATGGAATAACACTTTACAAGCCAAGGTGGTGGATCAGTGGTTTATGACATGCCATGAATGAAACACCTTGTAGGTTTTTTCCTCCATTGCACACTTGTAATGCTGTACCTACATTTGTCTGATGATATGAATCTGAAACTATCTCCAAATCGGAAATTAGACAAGTCTGGTATAATCATTACAATCCTATTTGTGAACTACCAGGGAGCTAGTGAAGTGCTTTAGTGTTTCTTGATCTGTTCAGGGTTCAAAATGAAGCGCTTAAAGTTTTCCAATTCATAAATCTAATGAGAGATATCCAGACTCTGTTCTACAATCCTGTTTTTAATCTTTAACATGTCATCTAAAGAGACACCAGTAAAGCTTTGGCCGGTAGAGGAAATTGGCCAAACTCAACATATATTATTGAAATGTTGCATCAAAAGTTATATCAAGAGATAGAGTTCAAATATTATTAGCAAAACTTTATTAACTTGCAGTTCAGTAAAATGAGTAGCACAAAAAGAATGGAGATATGTTTTTTCTTTTTCCACTGGTTTGTCTTTGTAAGAGTCTATAAAAATATCTTCTTGAAATGACTTTACTATTTAATGTCACAAACCGGCACCAAAATTACTGCTCTACACATTGTTAATGTTATTATAAGCGTAGGCCTGAAATTAACACCTCCTGCAACCTGCTGAGGCTGCAGCTCCAGTTAATGTCTGCTGCTGGGATGCTACGCTCTACGAAATGGATGTAAACAAGTACAGACGACAGATGGCATCTTGTAGTGCGATGTGATTTGGCAGTATATTAATCAACTAAACGGAGCTAAAATTCTGCGTTGGCTGATGACACTGGGATACTGGGATGTAACCAGCACAGGTATGTGGGCATTAGCCTGCAGGGGGGACTGACGTTAGCCGCACTCTTCAAACACAGTTTTTCAACAGACTCTGTGATCCAGAGTTTAATAAATTGAGACGGATCTGGACTGTTTTCTGACCTTTAAACTTGTTATGAAATTTTAATTTTAATTGCTATTTTGACTAAACTAGTTGCGTTGAAAATCTTCTTCTCGCCACTGTAAACACTGCTAAGCATTGTCTCTCTCTGTTAGCTAGGATGCACTCGTGAATGCTAGCTTTGGATGCTAGAGTTACCTTTTTTTTGTTTTTCCACCTTTATTTTAATTTTTACAAAATGAGCAACACCTTCAGCGAGTGTTAGTCCAAATTAACCACATGTAATACTTCAGATTGTCATACCTGAACTGATGTATTCATTAGAGTGTGTTACTTTTCTAAATCAGGATGTTAAGAGACAGTTTAGTCACCCTTTTCTGCTTTGATATTTACTTTGACTTACTTTTACCAATATAAGATATAACATAGGCTAGAAAGTTATCGACCAAACATATCTGCATTTGTTGAAAATAATCAAATAATAATCTGAAACAAAAATGTTCAACCAGGAATGTGAAATCTAACATCAAACCTTTACCGTACACAATTAAAAAAAAGATCTTTTTGCCCTTTTGGACTCAAACTTCTTCACCTTATCTGTTAACTAGACAAAAATGCCTCCAGCATGTGTTACAAAATTAGAGGCAGCATCTGAAATTATGTGAAACAGGGAGATACACACACACACAGATTGGTCAGACATTTGGTCAGCCTGATCTCAGAGGAAAAGTTTAGACCTTAAACTCCTTACAGACTCAATAATCCTGTCATCCTGTGACAGCCTGAACACCACGTGAAATCCTTTCCATTCTGTGCAGATGTGATGTTAAGGATTTTAAATTAAGGATTCTAACACTCTTAGAGCCTGTTTGGATCACTTTAAATCACTCAAACCATCTGTGAGCGGAGCTGAATTCCCAGGCTGCGTGTTTTAATGAGGCACATTATTTTTCTGACAGTGATGAATCTGTCTGCTCTGCTGTTTTAATTTCCCTCTTTAAGAGCTGAAAGGCAGACGGGCAGTAGATGTAATACCTTAAATATCCAATAGAGGGAGACACAGCTGCTTCAATGTGAGACAGGTGGACAGTTTAGGGAGAGATAAGAAAACATGGATGAGAGAACGAGGAGCAGAAGATGGTTCAAAGTTAGTTTCAGAGAGGAGACAGAGAGCGGGGGGAAATGTGCAAACAAAGAGGATGATGAAACAAAAAGAAAAAGGGACTGTTTAGTGTAAAAAGGAGTGACAACAAAGGAGGGCTGACTGGTAGTTTTCCTGAATCGCCTCCTGATCTAGCATGCACATTTCTTCTCACTGGACTGTGAATCAGTGAGCTTTGTGGCCCCGTTCCCATTGGCTGAATCGGCTGGTGGTTTGTCGACACATTGCTCCATCCTCTTCATCACCAGGTCCAACAGTGTGATCACTGACTTGTCCACCTCTGCACCTGTCGCTGCACTCGTCTCAAAGTATGGGATCCTGTGAGAAGAACACATTCAGATACAGATGCTATTGAACCATAAACCCTGTTACTGTCTGTCTGTTTTCACAACTAAAGAAATGTGCAGAAATAGGGTTTGAATACACTCAAGTCTCCACCGGTGCTCATCCTAGAAACAGACTGACATTTTTCATGAACTGTTCAAACACACATGGTATTTCCCCAGTTTTTTAGAGTTTAAGATGGCGTTATTTACTTCCTGGAAAAGATTTTTGTTGCCAGGCGACATTAGAAAAAGCAAGGTTGGGCCTGCTTAGCCAGCTGGAAAGACACCAGGTAAAATATGCAACCTTGTCTAACAGGAAGCAATGTGCCGAGAAATTGTTAAGACGGTGTAAACTGAGATAATGATGAAAGCAGGTGAGATGTCAGTCAAGAATATGCTCTCAAAGCAGCTCAAGTGTTCAAAAGAAACAAACTTACCCGTATTTGTCAGCAAGCTCCTTGGCCTGTTTCTCCTGAACCTCCCTCTGGTCGGCCAGGTCTGCCTTGTTTCCCACCAACACGATATCTGGGTTCTCACAGTAAGCATTGGCCTGTAGCTGGCCTGGAAATGAGTAAACACCTTTATCAAAAATGTAAAACGTATGCAAATGTCATATGATCAAAAACTGGATCTTTTGAAAGCAGAGTGTGACAATGAAAAGTGCGTCCAGTGTTTTACTGGTTTTACTTCACGCTTTTACCGTATAACTTTCATCAGGAACAGTCCTGCTGCCGTGTGCCAAGTTTAAGTCAAAATGTTCACAGTTTCAAAAACAATGAAACCTGAATCATACTGGTTAGGGTTGTGAATACAGGTGATTATGAATTACACATCTCTGATTCATCATTGACTGTTCATCTGCAGAAAAATACCACGGCTGATTATTCATCTTTGGACATAACAGGCAGTTGGCAAAAATCTGGACTCATAAAGGCCGTTAAAAATAAAGAAATTCTGTCCGTCTTCTGTCTCATGCAGGCAGCCTCATCAGTATAGCTGAGGTTGGGCAACATAAACATCATCGTCAATGGTTACGCATTCTGTTAGTCTGAAGAATAGAAGATCAAACCTTGTCACTGGCAATGGTTTGATGTTTATTCTACTGTTATTTATAAAGTGATAAAGTCTTTGACATCCAAATGTCACGGTCTGATATCTATATCATAACTCTAAAACCCATCTACTGCTAGCTATGATAACCATATATTAGGTTATGCTCATGTGTTGGTGTGTTCTGTGATCATTGGTATTGCCTATTGAAAAGTGTGATTGGCTGACCACTATCACACTACGCTAAATACATTCAGTTGGATATGGAATCATTGGAACCTTGACCACAAGGTATGCTCCGAATTAGACAGAAGTTCTGATTCACCCAAAAAGACAGAAGCTGGTCAAGTTAAGTGTTGACAACTTTAACACCAAATACTGACAAAGTAGTGTGAGACAAACTGAGATGGGCAATAAGATGCCATCTGTTATCTGTGCTGGAAATAAGCATCGTAGTATCTTGGAAACTATTATCAACCAGAGCCTCACCTCCAACTAGTGGCAGATGGCTCAAATGCAACATATGACTTAAAACTTTGGTCTACAATACCAAGAAATTTAATCATTTGTTTGACTAACAAATGGTGCTGACTGGTAACAAAGACAACATCTATCCAATACGCATTTATTCACAAAGCAGTCTGGTCAGGATAAAACCTTATTGGACTTCTGTGGTTCCCTGTAGTTTTAAGTTTTAGATTGTAAATTGTATATAAAAAAAACCAATGCAAAGGCAGAGAGCAGTGTGATGATCGCAACATACTCATCCAGTTTCTGACGTTGAGGAAGCTCTGCTGGCTGGTGAGATCGAACATCAGCAGGAACCCCATGGCGTCCCTGAAGAACGCCGTTGTCAGGCTGCGGAACCTGGTGCACATACAAACATTATTAAAAAAAAGTGTGTATGCATGCCAGTTTCAATGTCGACAATTTTAATTCTGAATTCATCTTCTCAGGCTTTTACGCCGTTATATGGAGAGGAGAAAAGGACACTGGAAGAAAGAGTGTGGGGTGGCACGTCAGGGGTGTTTCCACGACACGCAGGCCCATAAATCGATCATACAGTTTGCATCATGACTGATTAAAGGATGAAGAGGATTAGTTTATGATAACAGGAATTAGTGCCGTCACCCTGCATTTTTAAAAGTGAAGTTTAAATTATGTAACAAACACTGACTCATCCGGCGGTGAGTCATCAGACCTTTGGAAAACTGATTCAAAGGATCAAGGCCAGTTTATATTGACGTCCACACACACCGACACACACTCACACATGATTGATGGATGCCACACAAGGAGGAGGACGCATGGAAACACACAAACGCAGCACGGCAGACACTGGTCTCCTTTTCAGCATTGCTATTCATTTGTTTTTTCCAGGGATCAGATTTCTGATTTGCCGTTTTGCGCAAGGTTTTGAGCTGAATGAGGATGTAAAAGGTGTTGCTGTTCGACCGCATGAAGGAAAATTAAAAGTCATCGCTTATCAACAAAGAAAGCATTGTTTCCACTTCAAGCCATTCATACATGGAGGCGTAGAGAGAGTGAAACTATTGATTGTAGACCTTGCTGAGAAAAAAAAAAAGAATTGCTAATTATAACATGGACACACTTAGGGGTACTTTTAGATAGAAACACCATTGATGGCGGTGGCGACTGGGCCATGTTCGATTTAATGACACTTTAATGAGCCGTCTTTGCACAGTGAGGGGTCAGCTTTATTTCAGCCTCTCCAGGTGCTGTGAGAACTGGTCGGCTCCTTTTTGTCTCACTCCCCCAGATTTAACACACCTCGAAGCTGCTCAGCAGAGGAGTCACATGACAGGCTTTTCTTGTAACCATTATGAAATATAATAAATGTAATATCTGCAGTGTGATGAACGCGCCCACCTCTCCTGTCCAGCTGTGTCCCAAAGCTGAAGATGAACTTTAAAGGTTTTCCCCGTAGTGGTCCCATTGGGGTTGGTCTGTGTGTACACCTGAGGAGAAAGAAACGACACTGTTTTTTTATATCTGCGTAAAAAAAAAGCAGTAGAAGAAAAGTGAATACAATGAACCTCCTTCAGTTTGACATAATAACATGCAGCTTGTAACTCATCTGAGCTGATTATAAGTTTTCTGTCTGGATTAAAGCCATCAGTGTGGATCTAATAATAGTTCCCTCACAAGAGAAGAAGGACAGTTCCTCCAGTGTCCACCTGAGGCTGGTTACAAAAGCTAAAGAATTTCAATAAACACCCTCAGTTTTAAAATAAAAAGAAACACGTTAACAGCCTGGTATCAAAAATGATTTTGGTCTAAGGGATGAACTTTTGAAACGTTATGGCTTTAAAACTCCTCTTCATAAACCAACAGATAACATCACAGACACCAAATCTATGTTTCAAGAGTCTAAACTCAAAACCCTCACTTTAGATTGTTCAGAACTTTTGAACAGGATTGAGTTTACTTCGATCCAGATTAACAGGATCATCCCAATTCCCACTGGATTTTGTCTGGATTACGAGACAAAATGTATTTCTCATACTTTTCACTTAAAGTGCTTAATTGCTACTGTGACATTTTAGTAGAGATATACATTAGGGTTTTAGAAAGCATGTGAAATTTCCCCCATAAAGTATGTCCCTGATAACTGTGAGTATCAAACCAGAACATTCAATTTGAGGAAGTCTCAGTTTAAGAGAGCTGCAAAGCAATACACGGAAAAATCAGGACCAAAGTAACAGGATTGACTTGATCCTGAAGCACACAAAAACATCAACAACAACTACAGTTAAAAAAAAATAAATAAAGGGAACAACTGGGCACTTTTTATGTTGTTCTGAGTAGTTTTCTTTATTCTGTATGGGATGGACAAATTATCAGACACTCATCTCAGCTAAGAGCGACAAAATTCTACTGCAAGTACAAAAAACAAAAACGCATTTAATTTTAAACCACAAGCAACAATGTCTGATTATTGGGTTGATAAAAACTCTTGAAGCTTCAATCCACTGTGGTGAAAAGCTCTGAGGTCGGTCTAACAGTCTAACGGAGACCTGACAGTGGTCCTGACTCTGAAATGATGGAGTCTGGTCTGATACAGCAGGTTGTGTTTGTGTCTCTGCGGGAAGCCTCGGGCGTCATTCACACCTCAGACTCTCCCACATGAGACAGTGTCACTCTCACTGACGTTCTTTTAAAGGGAAACATCCGCCCACTAGTTGCTGTCATCTGACTTGCTAGATGGCCTTGAAAAGCACTGACCATTTCAGTCTGGATTCATGGTCTCCACCTTTGCTTGTATTGCAAAGCAGCATGTGGAGAACGCAAAATGGTATCAGCAAGGATTTTAACAAGAATACATCTATACCGCATGGACTGACTGCATACTGCATACCTCCTGAGGGAGAGTGTATCAGTACAAGAAACGCAGATCAGACAGCAGGAAAAAATAGCATTCTTGGTCAGAACAATAGTCCTAATTTTACAGAGATTTCTCCAGATTCTCTGACTCTTTTAATAAAGACTTAACCGACTCTAATAATAAATCTGATTGATCGACTCGATTTTTTTCTGCATCAATTTTCAGTCCATGGTTAAGGTCATCAGGAGGAACGTACCAAGTGCTAATGGGGGTGTTTTCAGAGCAACCCCTGTTTCACAGGTAACAGCCTGTCTTAGAAAACACTCCCCTTGTTTTCACCATTTTGGATTCGCCCAACCCACTGGAGACCGGCTGGAGACAGGAAGATTGAAGAGCGTCCACGTTAATCATCAACGGCCAGTGGTTTGCAGAACATATATATGTGTATAATTGCCATCTTGTGCTGATATCAGTATATTTTCACCCCACTAAGTCGTACTCTGCTGAGCCACGTTGTCCCCCGCCACAGCAGGGTTTGCCGTCACAGTCAGATACCCCCCATTAGTCGATTTTTGGTCGAAAAATTGAGGGTTTTAGTCGACCAAGAATTTCTTTGGTTGATTACAGCCCTAGGAAAAAATCCTTGTTGATATCAGACTGATTTTGCATTTAGTGTAAGTTTCTGGATACTGAGGGGGGAGCCACTAATAGCACTGAGCTCCAGCTGTGTGTTCATCAGCTTCTGTTTCTCTCTTACATACACATACACATACGCATACGAAAAACACACATACACATACACACACACACAAACAAGGAAAGAAGAAGTAATCAATTCTATGAGTCATCTGCTGTGGTGGGATTAAAGTGGCATTGTCAGTATTTCCGACAAGCAAAAGCTGAATGGCACCCAGGTGACCGAGTTTAAGACCACACAGCTGACCGAGCTCCGCCTACTCTCTGTGATAAGTCAACTACATCTCCAGTGTCTGGATGTTTTTATGGTCATGAGGCTCCACAAAACTTCAAGTTTAAACAGAGCACACAGACAGTTTAAGGAGGCACAGAGATGTCTGAGATGTTTAGCGTGTCTTTAGTTTGATTTTTTGGTACATTTTTTTTCACCCATAATGTTTGTTAGTCATTAAACTTCTACCGCTGATCCCTGCTCTTTCATGTATCCCAGAGATCTTTGTGCTGCATCGCCTGCCTCAAGCTTTGGCATGCCACATACACATGCAGAAAGACAGGAGACTCCCATACTGCAAATAACATAACTTTCTGCAAGCAAACTAATGATATTCTTTGACTCATTTGACCCTGACTGAAACAACTTTATGGTTTGGAGTTTGAAAAACTATTATTAAATGTGAAAGAAGATTATTCAAAGGTCATGTCCAAAAGCAATGCCACAAAAAAACACACCTAAGTATTGAATTCTAGGGACTTCTTTTTGGTTTTGATGCAATGGATTTGAGATAAAAAGAAGTGCACTAATCACCTGTTATACTTTTTTTTTTAACATCAGACAGCTTCCTTAAAAAAGATGATCCTTTTCAAAATATGGTGTACTCATCAGAGAAAAATGTCTATTAGATCTTTCCAAAGACCCAGCATTTGACACTGATCTCGGGTGAATGGAGTGTTTAAGGAGAATCAAATCATTACAATCAGGCAAAAGCTCTGTTTTATAATCCACATCAGGTAGTTGTTGGATCTGACACAGGTCTGACCTCCCTGCACACGTTCAAAAGATTGTGACTCATCTGAGCTGCTGCTGCTGTGGGAGAAAAGGAGCTGGAAAAACAGAACTGACCTGACCTGCAGATTCTTCTGTAAGAGGCCAACTCAAAGAAAGTGCCCAATAACATGGTAACTACGGTAACCCAGCCTGCATCAAATGTGTGTGGGGTAGGCATCTAATAGTTGATGACTATTTTTTTACAATGATGAATGTTTATTAGTCTTCTTTACGTTCGTCCAACCAACACAAGTATCCCGTTTCCGTCTCTTTCCACTGATCAAAACTCACCACTCTCTTTTCCCTGAAGTCGATGCCGACTGTGGTGATGAATTTGGGGTTGAACTTGTTGTCTGTGTATCGGTACAGGAAGGTGGTCTTCCCCACTCCGGAGTCCCCCAGGGCGAGGAGCTTTATAAGGTAGTCATAATCCCCATCAGTCATAATGATGACTGCAATAAACCTGGAACAGACAGAGACATACGTTAAGACAAACACACATAGAAAAAAAAAACTGTTTGGGCTGTGAGACTGTGAGTAGTACTTCAGCTGAAGAAACAAACGTTCACTTCAGTCTGAGAGAGAAAGAGTCAGACTAAAAGCTAATGCATTTACACGTAGAGAGGAGTTGATGTGTCTGTGTGTTATTCTACCCACTTCTGAGTGATGGGAGTGTGGTCAAGGGGTCGCCCTGACCACAGCATGACTTTCTGGGAAAATTGTTATTGTGTGTGTGGGAGCGTTGAGTCGGGGTTGGAAATAGAGTCTGCATTTTTTTATGTCTGAGAATGCAAGAGCCCAAAAAAAAAACTCATGGATCAGACATTTAAGGAGAAACACATCACACCAAAATTATAAACACCCATTCTTGAGAGTCGGGACAAAACATGTCCTACATAGAAAAGTCTAATTTATTCAAAACAATTAAGAAATTCTAAATGTTTGACATACTCAAAAAGTTAAATCTAATGGATTTGTGTATACCAATCCTATTTTTTAGCACAGATATTTACTTTTTTGGGGGATATTTGTTTAAATGAAACATCTGTGGTTAGAAGGTCCATGTTATTGCTTGTGTCCTCAGCAAGAGGTCACAATATTGACCAGCCCCAAAAAACTTTAAAAAACTCTATAACTGTGAAAACATATACATCAAATAAAAATTCAGGGCTATAAATATATTAACAATGAATGGCCTGAACATCAAATAGCTTTTTGCCTAAAAATCTGCCTATCAAAGTTGTGTCCTAAGTTTCTGTCAACTCCATCAGATTATTCTATAAACCTCATTAAATCATGCAATATCATGGTCAGCTATATCCCTGAGGACCCCTTATCATTTCCTGCTTCTGGTGAATGCAACACCACCACACATGGTCTGGTAGGTTTTACAGTTTTTGATATTTTAGACAAACAATCTCAATATTTGTATGGTCACAGCTGGACCATGTCAACACCGTCTCTCCATTATTATACATTTTTTTAAACCATAGTGAGTTCAATTAAAGTATTTTGGTGATATTATCAGGACAGCTAGCAACTGCCAAAAAAGTAGCTAGCTGCACTGTACAATAAATGTTTTGGAGGGAAAATACATGCCCTTACGTCAACTCCATTTCTAGCTTCCTCTTCCTCTTATTTCTCACGCAGCTCAACCTGGACATGTCTCCGTGTCCTCTACCCGTCCTGCTGCAGCTGCTGCTGCGGCAGCTGAACAGATGATTTGTTCCAGTGATCAGATGAGTTTTTTACTTTAAGCCTACATACAAATATTATAATAATCAGTTTTGTGAGCCAAATTTATTTTATATGCCAACATCTATGAAAGAAAGAGCCAGGCCACGGAGCGCGATTTACACACAGATGGTTCCGATTTTAATGCCATTATTGGAATTTATGTTGTGACCTTTGCGCACAACCCACCTTTGTCACGTGAGGTTTAAATATATGCAATTTAATGTGATTGTCTTTATTTGTGGAAAAGGGTGTTTGTCTTACCAGTGGGTCCAACATTACACACACCAAATCCATCTGTGCTTATATGAGACAGTGCGGAGGACGCCCAATGCAGCGCTTACAGTGACACTTGTTGAGGAGCTGCCTTTTGTCGCCATCGTGTGGCATTGCTGTCTTCAGACATCTCTTGATCTCTTTGACTACTTCACGAAATTGGTAATACGCCTCGCTAGTGGCGGATTCAAAGGCGAGAAGAGCTGATGTTATTGGTCAATACAGGTCTCGGCTGTGTTAAACCCACTCAACGCCCTCTCTCCTCCCTCCCTATGACCTACGCCGCTGGAAGGAGCTGAGTTAGGGGAGGGGGGATACTTATGCCGGGCTGCACAACTCACCAAAATACGAAAATGTGCTTGGAAACGCCTTGTCGGCGCGGTGGTTAATTGCATTAACGGTATGTTCAGTATGAAAACAAGGAGTTATTAGTTCTTAATCTATTTTCACCTATTGACCTATTGTCAATCGGTTTAAAAACACATTTGTTCAATAACATATGCAATGTCACCAACTCCGTCAGTTTCTCGTCAACTCCGTCAGGTGTTCGTCAACACCGTCAGATGTATGTTTTTCTTCAATTTTGGAGAAAAAAAAATTTGTTTCTTCAGTTTATATTGTTTAAGTAATAAAGGAGCATTGGCTCTACATCCTCTTGTGTCTTATTTACTTACAGAAATTGTTTTTATAATATAAAAATTAAAAACAAAGTTTGAAAATGCAACTATTTAGAAATCTTGGTTTTCAAAATAGTGTGAAATCACACATTAGGTTTATATATTATATTTCATGGCATATCAGAGTAACTAAACACTATTACAACATACATCAGAACTTTAGATTCTTGTTGGACTAGAATTATTAAAATTATATTCTTTTTTGTGTGTCTGATGGAGTTGACACAAATCCACTGTCTAAGGGAAACATGTTAATTTATAGAAAAAATGTTTTTATTTAGAGCCTGTTCCTTTACGGGGTTAAATAGCTAAGACCTTTCTCTACAGTAATAAATAACTCTAATCAATATAGTGTGCATTCTCAAAAAAAGTTTTTTAGGAAGTGTTTTGTCCCGACTCTCAAGAATCCCTGTAAAATTAATTTAGCTATATGTGGAAGTTAAGACTTGGATGTTGTAAAAGCAACAAACTTCTTGGCCAAAATTGGTACTAATGTATGTAATTCTTGTTGCTGGAGAGCGTTAGGGTCAGTAATGAGGTTAGATAAATAAATAAGAAAAAAGACCGAAGATTTTTCCCTTAAAACTTAAAAAAAACTTAAACTAGTGCTGGGACGATATGCTTTTCTCCCAATTCAATTCTTCTACGATTTTTTGGATGCCGATTCGATTTAATTGCGATTCTACGAGATTGTTGATTTTTCACCAGTGAAACAGTTGAATGATTATGATTGTCTACTGACTATTCCAGCAACCATATTTTGCCAAAAAATACACATCACATGTAAGTCACTTTTTAAGATATATTCTTAAATTAAAAAAAAAAAAAAAGATTTAAAAATTGTAACACAAAATATTGCGATTCTTATATGAATCAGTTTTTTCTCCCACCACTTATGCCAACATTAGAGGACATTTCAAAATAGACCAAATACAACTTCAAGAAAAAAGTTAACTGGGGCTCCGTTGTGGCCTATTAATTTTACCCCAAACTATTGCTGCGTCAAAGCTGTTACAGAGCATGGCCTTTCCACTATGTTACAGTGCTGTTTTTAACAGAAGAGAGTAGTGCTGGGCGATAGGACGATATATATCGTGGGCACGATAGAAAATGTCTATCGTGCCATTTTTATTTTTATCGTTTCGGACGATAGGCTGTATTTTATCCATAGGGCTTGTGCCATCAGATGATTCATAGTAACAACAACAATAATTGCACATTCAGTAAGTGTATTAAGTGTCGAACGGGAAAGAAAACAATATTTTCTTACAAAGAAAAGGATGCGTTGACATGTAGGCTCGCATTTCTCTTTCGATTTTACGACAAGGCGCCGCTTTACGTGCCCTCTTCGTGTCCAGCGTCTCCCGCCGTTGCGGGTTACCTGGGTTACACACGTGAGGAAATCATTGTAAGCAGTGCTTAATTTGTGCCGGAGCAAGTCGGAGCGCGCTCCGGGACCTCTTTTGATCGGATACGGGACCTATTTCAGCCGCTCCGGCACCTGTTTCATCTGCTCCGGGACCTTCCCTGTAGAGGATGACGTTTGTCGGGAATTCCCGTGGGTCACGTGATTCCCGCGGGAATCCCACGGGATGGGAGTCATTTTTTTATTAATCCCTTGATCGGGACGGGACGGGAAAAAAAGCAACGGGAGTGGGCAGGAGCGGGAACAACATTAATAGATGATAATTTTCAGCCGTGTTAAACAACCAGATGAACAGGTGCGTCCATTTTTGTAGTCATGTCTCAGTGAGAGCCAACACTCTTGACCGCGCTAGCAACACAAAAGAACTACAACAGTGGTTTGACTTCCTGTCAGCTGGGAGCGCGGCTGCGCATTTCTACAACTTCGAGCCAGGGGCGGGGAAACGTAATTTTGTGACATTCTGTAGTTTTTCAATCATTTCTGGAGTCGTGGCGAATCAAATCACCTTACCTGTCTGCCCCTGATAGGCGAATAAAGCGCTCGGATTCATGCTCGGATCTTGCTACGTGCTTCAAGAGTAAAGTAAACAATGATAGAGGCAGAGAGCAGCTTTGGAGGAGAAACATCCAGCAGTGTGAACAACCTCTTCAGAAGAGCCCCATAGACTTACCTTTTTAATAAAGCCTTTGGTTAGCTTTCCTCTATGCTTTATGCTTTTACTACCTTGCCTCTTACATTGCAACTCTATATTCTTAATTTTTTTTATTCGTTTATGCCTTTTTTTATGCCAATCTGTGACTGTCATTCTATTGCTTTTTTTATTGTTGCTGCTCTTTTTTTACTGTGTACTGTAGCACTTTGAGATTTTTTGTAAATGTAAAGTGCATTACAAATTAAATTTATTATTATTATTATTATGGAGTGCTTTGGCTCACACTATCGGCGTTTTCTGTGAGTGTTGCATAACTTTGGGTGAGCACAGACATGAACGCACTTCAGCCATTCATTTTTCTAGTTTTAAGCGCTGGTCTTGTACTGGCACTGTACTAGGGCAGCTGTATACACTTTAATTTTTCATAGAACTGAAAGCATACCATAGCTATATCGTGATATATATCGTTATCGTGATATAAAATGATCCATATCGTGATATACATTTTTTTCCATATCGCCCAGCACTAGAAGAGAGTATAGAAAGACCTTTATTTGTTACACTTCTGAAAACAGCTTCCCTAAAGCTCCCTGAGGTTTGCTATGAAGCTTCAGGATCATTGATAAATGTTTGCCTGGTACAAGAATTTAAATTGATTGGAATAATAATATTACACTTAATCAGATGGCATTACATTTGTGAGATACACTCCGGTGTGTAAAGATTCACAGATGAACGTTCGTGTCCAGGTCTTCTCTCTCTGCTGAAGAGATTGACTGCATGCAGGTACAGTTAGCAAACAAAGGTGAGGCTGCTGTGTATTCACCAGCTGCTCATTCTGCAGGAATGTAATTGATTTAAAACAAAGCCAAAACAAGAGACTGAATTATGGAAACTTTGGTTTAACTTGTTGGTGAATAATCAGCATTGACTAGTGTCAACCTAGAGAGTACTGAATGGAATACAGTGCAGATGAGCAAATGACATGTTGCAGTCCTCCATGATAACAATGTGTTTGGCTTGGCTTTTTAAACATATTGGCCTTTCATTCAGAAGTAAACAAAGAAAGAGTCAGTGTTTGTATGCAACCAGAGGAGCATTTCAACCCGGACACAATTTTATATACAAGAGTAAAGTTCCTATTAACTCCATAATCAAAATCCTGAAACTCACACTCTTCGAAAATGTGCCAAAAAAAGTCAACATTGACAAAGATGCTAAACCAGAACAGAAGATCAACTTTCAACTAAATCAGAGACAGTTCTTCAGGAAAAGCATCCACTCATTCTAGTCACCTGAGTCGTCCAGAGCATCAGCCCGGATCAGAAGACCTAAAAAGCAGAGGAATGCAGCTGTAATGAATGTTCATGTCTCTGGTGAGCTGTAGTCGGGGGCCTGTTCGCCCTGTAGCTAAGTGTGGTATATTTAGAGCAAGGATCATAAGACTCTAATTGACTCAGCTGAGAGGAAGCACGTTATACACTGTAGTTTGTTAGAGGGAGTAACAGTGATTAACCAGCAGCTGTGATCGCCCCACAACAACGTCACTCTACATCAGAATCTGAGGGGAGCTGTCTATGAACCGGACTAAAGTTAAGACAGAACTTCAGTTCGTCGGGTCCTCAGGAACTGGAAGTTTTCAGCACTTCTACATTGGCCAAATTTTTAAAGATGAGTGAACAATACTGATATCAGTAATGGTTTCAATGGGTTTAAAAATATTCTTGTCCCATACCATGCATCCTCACTTATTTTGGGAGTTTTCCAAAAGTGTCCACCATGAAAACCCAGAACCTGCTGGAGGGCTTATCAACCTCATGTGGCCTGGGAACTCATCACAGTCCCTAAAGAAGAGCTAGAAACTGCTGTCAGGAAAATGGATATCACTGCAGAGACCCAACCATAGAAAGCACAAATAAGATCCATGGATGGAGAGAAAAGATGGTGCAGTTCTGAGGCTCTGGTTTTGCCTGTTGTCACATTTAATGATACTCTAGATGGATATATATACATGATATATGAATGCCCAAAGCCCAGGCATCAGTATCAGGTTGAGACTTAAAAACTGAATCAATGCATCCCTAATTCAAGGCTTCTTCATTACAACAGTAGAGAGAAGTTGGCAAGAGATTTTGTGTTTTGAAGAACTATAATTCCCAAATTACACATTTGCAGAGTTTGGCTCTGATATGAATGAAACTGAGCTCTAACAGCTGAGCTGAGCCAAGTGATTAAAGTCACTATGTGGAGCTGGATTTTACTTCACTACTAATGACTAGATTAACTGATAAAGAATTACTGCCGGTGGGAGTGAACCAAAAAGAGGGACCTTGTTCACCGAACAACGCTGGTAGAAAACTAGGAATGTTTGTAGGATCCCCAGAGGGGGAAACATTAACAGCAGCTCAGTCAGCTGAGGGATGGGACAAAGTGGAACTAAGAGAAACAATAGGGAAGTGGAGTTTATTACAAATGTTGGTGAACTTATTCAAGAATTTAAAGACTGACTCTGGCTCAATTTACAAACAAGTAATCCATTCAACATATCATTTATTTACTGGGTCAATCTCAGAAGGTGCTGTTCTCCGAGTGGCTTCACCCAGCGAGGAGGCAGACTCTGTCCATTCTATATACAGTCTATGGTGAATATTGAATAAAAAAAAAGTTTAAGTAGTTAATTTACAAAATTGTCAGAGTTTGTAGTTTGTTGAACTGTTTCTCCTTAAACTGAGACAAATTTCTTAGACTTTGCCTGCCCATATTCACACACAGCAGCAGGAGGCTGTACGGTGATCCTCATAATGTCTTGGCTTGAGGAAAAAGAGGTAAATGAGGAGTTCACACATAGAGAGATAAATGCTAAACACCCCTCGCAAAAAATGTTTCAAAGATTTGGTGCATTCAGATTGGGGAAGGAGACATTTTCCCTGGTGTGCGCTAAACCTTCCTTTTCAACAGCAAGTGAGAACAAAATGATAAAACACACCAATGGAGACATTAAAAATGTATGAGCCATCAGCGATAATAGGCGACAGCAAACAGAAGAGAAAAAAACATACAGAAAGAGAGGATAAAAGGGTTCGACAGTCTGAAACAGGCCAGTCCAGCTGCACAGACACGAGTTTATACGAGGACAAACCGTCAGTGTCGCTTGTCAGAGTATCTATCGGGAAGTTGTGTTTGGCTCCTCCCTCTGTTTTCACCAACATCAGCAAGATAAAAACAGCCGTCACTTCTGTCACTCAAACTCCAAGGCGCGGACTGCAGCTTTGCAGATTAATAAAGTTGCACAGTTTTGGGTTTCAAATCAGGGCTCCTGTAGGTGTTTGTTGTGAAACATGACAAAATGTGTCCACGATAACATCAAACAGATGTTAATCATTACTATTAAAGACTGGCCTGAAAGCATGGCACAGTGATACAGTGCACTGCCGCAGAAAAAATGAAGTTTTACCTGCAATGCAAGACTTTAAGTTGTATTTATTAGTTGAACCAGAAACACTGTGAAGAAAAAGGATCTGAAGCTGTTTTTGACCACAAAGAACTTTCACATCTGAAACATCACATATGACACAACATGCTTATCTGTGTTTTTATCATCTCACTAACCAAAGAGGCATCAAATTATCAACATCCTGTTCTGGGTGTGCGTTCAAATGTTCAGTTTGCAGCCTTAAACCCTACTTACACTGAATTAGAATAACATGTGAACCTTTAGTAATTTATGCTGTTGATATTTGTGTTTTTAATCCTGCATGCATCAACTATGTCTGTAACTGGTAGGTCAAATTGCTGAATGCTGCATTGGACCTTGTGCACCAAGCTTTTCACAGCCTTTTTGGGTGCAAATTCAACCAGATCACTTTGCTACAACAATAAGCAGAACTGTTTGCAGGAAGAGCAAACTAAGATGTGCATGTACATATGCACATCAAGGTAAGATTGCCTGTAATACCTGAGGCGCACCATGTCGCCATTTTGGTATAAAATCATTCTGATTGGTCAAAACCCTCTGACAGCAGTTATTAACTCCGCATACCAAAGATGCACACCAGAGACATTCAGATCACTTGTTAACCATTTAATCACACAGGCAGACTCTTCCATATCAACATCTATTGTATGACATAAGCGTTTTATGTGCCCTAAAGGTTTTCATGCAAATTCTTAGTGGATGTTTACGAGATGTGGACTTAGTCTTCACTTTGTGGATTTCTTGCTGGCTGAATACTGTAGAGTGATGCTGCCCCCACAGACAAAGTGGATGCCAAACAGCACCTCGGCAACTGAAACAAAAAATTACATTCTTACTGACTTCACTTGCCTTGTGTAAATGTGCCACACCAAACAGGGACGCCAGCAGGTAATTTACAAATGACAAGACACTAAACCCATGTGAAGAGTATTATTCAAATAAACACATGACCAAAGAACAAACTGAGTGAGTCACACTGGCTTTGCTGGGTGGGTAAACCTCAGCTCTGTGATGCTTGAGCTAAATGTTAACATCTGCTGAAAACGGTATCATCCTTTGCATGCTGCACCTGCTGGCACTTTCTCATCAACATGTGCAAACTCACTTTAAAAATACTGAAATATCCCTTTAATATTTGCTTATAAACTGGAAAAGCACATGAACACCTGTTTAAACTGCCCTATCCATCCCACCACCCCTAACTCACTTTTTTAATTTAATTTTAATTGGTATTATTTATTTCTTTATTTATTCCTTTGCTGTTGTTTATGTCAAATGTTTTAATGTTGCTTTGTTGATTTTAACAGTTTTGATGATCAATGATTTTAATTGTTAATAATGTTTTATTATTGTTTTATATGTTCTGTAAAGTGTCCTTGAGCGACGTGAAAGGCGCTTCAAATAAAATGTATTATTATAATTTTATTATTATGAAGTTGATGGGAATATAATGAGGACCTTTGTGTTGCTGGCAAACGTTTGCAACATGCTCACAATAAAAGTGATGCAAGTGCACATCTGTCAAAGTGGGATGGTGTCTATTCGCTGCTTTAAGCAAGTCACACAACTGTACCATGATATAATTCAATAAATGAGTCAAAGAGATGTTACATTACGAAGGCTGTGACATAAATTAAGAAAAATTGAATTCATTTTTTGTCAGTTCAATTCCTTTGCTGCCTAATTTTTAGATTAGGTTATATAAAAAAGACTCAGTTACCTTATAAACTAATAAAAACACCAAAAGGCCATCCTTGTCCAATCTTGTCAAACTTCTCTGTCACAGAGCTTCAGCAACAAAATTGATTCATGACAAGTCCTGGAAACGTACAACACCTCCATCTTGTGTTTTACAATCAACAGGTTAAATACAACTCTAGAGCGCCATATAAATCATTCACAACACCAGAGGAATCAGCAGTCCAACAGAGGAGCATAAATCCACCTGACAGATCCTGAGTGTAACTTCCACCATTCAGTGCAGCGCTGCTCTAAACACACACAGATTTATGACACACAGAGCGTTTAAAACTAAACAGAGCAAGAGTAAACAAATGTCGTGACCCCCAGAATTATGCAGCAAATATGCATGCATAAGAGTCCATTATTAGATGATATTCTCATATACATCTATCTGGCTACAAGGTGAAATAAAAGACCTGAATTATCCTCCTCTCCTCATAAATACTGAGGCAGAAATCCTGATCCCTAATCCTTAACATCTTCACAACAAAACAAGGCAGTTCTGTCTCACCTCCATCCCTATAAATAATGTAAAACGAGCCTTTGATTAAACCAATCAATAATTGATTCTTTTTTCATTTATTCATTCAAAGGTTTCTAAATTCAAAGTATCCCCACCAGACTGAAGGCTTTGAGCAAGAATACATTTCTTCTCGAGATAAAAAGCACAGCAACATCTTGGCTGTCACAAGTTCAACCGGAAGTCCCCAAGATGGTTTCGACTTTAAAAAGTCCTCCATTGAAGTTTCTCAATCCAACAACACAAGTTTTGACATGAAACGCGGAGAGAAAAGCTGAGCACAAATGTTTTTGAAGGTCCCTCACCTCCACTGAAAGCAGCAGGGTGATGCTGCTTGGCCTTTGCCGTGTTAATTATTGATTAACACCAACGGGATTAATCTCCCTCTTCTCACTCAAAGCCTTCGCTGCTGTTTTAAGTAGTTCCCCGATGAGAAGTGAGATGTTTTCGACGCTCAAATCACGGTATGTTAAGTTGCTGAGGTAGCTGAAGCTCATCCAAAATCAGTCAAAATAATAATAACTATCAGCCTGTCCGAAGTTTGAATAGAGTGGATGTTTTTACCTTTTTATTAGGACACAATGAAGTAAATTGATCTTATAATCCTACGAAGCTTCTGTGAGGAGATTTTAGCTGCTTGTGAATCTACAAATACTGATGCCTTTTTATGATCTCAAAAGCACAAGACCACCAGCAGCAAGACTGACAACTTCAAATATTGTGATTTCGAATAACTGGGTAGGTGTCAGCCTGAAAAACTGACAGCACTCTAAGAAGAGACTAAAACACTTCCCTGTAAGTATTTCTGTGTTTTGCTTGAAGACAACTTAATTATTGTCTTTTTTTTAGTCAGAAAATACTACCTTTGAATGTACGGGACAAGATTTAACAAAGAGAGTATTTAGCCACAGGGGGCGCCAAACTCAACACAAACAGAAATTTTAAAGAGCTTTAGAAAAATGTATACAGCGCTGTAGCAAATGTCACTTGCAGAAATGAAAATATAAAAAAATTAAAGGAGACACATCTATAAACCATGAACTATTAAAACAATGGAGAATGTTATTTTATCTGACCAGCCTTGTATGACAAATGTACAGAGTTAAAAACTTTGGGATTAGAATCATTGAAGAAATAATAAAATAAGAATTTATTTTTCAATGCCACACGATGAAGATATCACGACAAGTAAAAGTCCTGTGTTCAACGTTATAAATGTCCAAACCAGTAAAAAGGTCTTATTTAGTAAAGCTTTAATGACTTTCATTGCTCAGTGAGATGCAGGATTATTGTTTTTTAAATCAACAAAAGTTAAAAGTGTGACTAAAATAAATGAATCAGCGTGATTACAATACTAATCAAGACAGTCGTCATTATCACTTGAGCCATAATTGTGCAGCTCTACCATGATCACCTTCAACTGTCAAACCCAAAAGTGATCTACGGGACTGAAAAGGGAAAAGTTTGCTTTTATTTGCACTACTGCTATTATGATGTATTTATTCACAGACTGATACCTAAATTAAATTAAATAAGTCAGTTTTTCTCCCTATCTTGATGATGACAGATATGGTCAGTGCAAAGAAAAATGAACTTTTCTATTGTATTTCTTTGGATTTTCAACCTTTAGAAAGACCCTTTGTAAGTTTATATCCAATATTTATAAAATGTCAGCAGACGCTCATCAGAGGCGTTTCTATTTGACTCCTGCATCAAACAGATCACCAGACGTCTGATTTGTTTTCCATCTCTTCTGCAGACTCTTAGCCTTTATTCCCTTTAACCAATCTATTCTCCAGAGAGAACGATCAATAACCGCTAACATGGATGAGGATTGACCCTTGATGATCCAATTTGTTCAGATGTCCTCCAGGGTTACCCGCTGTGATTGTCTGAAACCTTTCAGCATTTCAGACCCACTTAACAAAACCGAGAAGGACATCTGAGCCAGACGGCTGAAAGATCAATGAAGTGAATCCGCACAGCAGCTGGGAGGCCAGCTGTGGATCACTTCTCCTCACAAAAACTGTAATTACTACCATCACCCATGGCTATTTTAACAACATGAATGACTGGTCTCTTAAACATGCTAACAGGTAAGTTTATCCACAAATCTGGTACGTTAAAGTGGTTTTTAAAGGACTAAAACCAGATCATGTCGACAGAATGTGACACACTCAGGTGGATCTGGGAGTATTTATCCATCCCTCTGTGAGCCCCAACATGGCTTCCTCTATTCCCTCTTAATCCTACAGCAGGAGGTGGGAAACATCTGTACAGAGAGTGAACTCAGCTGGATTTAAAGGTCAACATGGAAGTGGGGAATACTGGGAGGCAGAGGAGGATGACTAGGGGTTCAGGTGCAATGGTTATGATAAAGTGCAAACACTTGTAGGTTGGTGAAAGCAGAAATAACAATAATTTTAAAGAGTTTATTATTTATTTATTTATTTATTTATTTATTTATTTTTGTGTGTTGCATAAAGTGCTTCACATGAAGTAAAAGCCCAACAATGAATTATACAAAAACCAAGGATTACCAGAGAAATAACAAAGTGATAATAAGAAAGTATCTTCAAGATGGTTTGAGATGAATATTTAAAATGTAGGGCGGCTTGAATGTGGCTTGAATCCTAATCATTATCTTTTGATTGGTATTGATATCAGGATTATTAAAAGCAATAACCAAAGATTTCACATCTGCAGTGCACACCTTGTCAAAGTCCTCTGTAAAAATTAAAAAAATGAAAAGGACCGTGCAACAATTCTGCACTTTACTCGAAGAGCTTTGACTTAGTTTTGATAACTCACTAAAATTAAACGTCAGATTCCACTTGTAATAAAATGATTTTTCATACTGTTTCATAAAAACTGGATGACTTGAGATCTTTTACTGCTTACATTTGATCACAGGCTGCAGACTGAACAAAAATGTACTTTAAAAAATGTCTGTTGGGCTTGATAGCGCTCGTGCACACTTGACATCACTCTCTAGTTGTGCTCATCCTGTCCTTTGGCTTTTCAGACATAGGAATACAAACACTATCCTCCACCTCCTCTCCCTGCTCTCCCCTCTCAGCCTGTAGCTGCCTTCTTTTAATGCAGAGGACGTAACGGGGCAACAAAGCAGGCAGCACAATATCTAGATTATCACATTTTTATGTTTGCGGGGAGCCATTAGGGCTGGGCGATATGCCCTTAAATCAATATCAAAATATATTGAGCAGTTCACCTCGATGTGGAGGATAACTACTCCACAAGCTGCTCACCCCCTCCCACATTAACTTCTTCTACTCCAGCCGCTACAACTTTTGAACCGTCCTCCATCTCCTCACCTGTCTTTCCCTCTTTGTTACGGACTGGATGGACTGGAGTCATGTCTATGATGTAGGACAGCATCTTAAAGGGACACGTGACCATAGCCTACCTACACACATCCAAAACCAACTTTTATTGATTTATTTTTTTGACATCAAATATATACCATTATGGGCAAAATTACGTCAGGTATTGTCGTAAATTTCGGTATCTGTAAATTTTTGGTTTATCGCACAGCCCTAGGAACCATAACGGTGATCAAAATTGAAATTCAATCAATCACCCAGGTCTAATAGCATGTGAAGCTGGTGTTCCTCTTGCTCCCTTTGTAGTTCCCTAAAGTTGCAGTGGGTTTTCGATGCCATGCCCCCGCATCCTGAAACTCTTCCCACTGTCTTGGTGGATGTGAGAGGCACCTATGTTATAGAGCACAAAAACTTGTTCATTTCTCATTCTCTATGATAACCAGAGATTCAATCCTCCTTAAGAAAAAACATGCAAGCACAGTTTCATTAGTCTGAATAAAGGCAAAGCTTTGTGGGTTGTTTTCATGGCTCACAAAAGTCTGTTATGAGGAAACACTGCTTACTTACACCTTGATACCACAAGCATCCCATACTGGCTGCACAAAGTTGTTGTATTGAGGTTTGTTGTATCCACAGCTATTAAAGTTAACCACATCAAATTAAAATCATCTCGTCGATTAGAATCATGAGACCTGTGGATTTCAGCACAATGCTGACCTGTGTCTCTACACATTTAGTTGAATTCCTCAGTAACAGTGCTCAGATTGGATTTGATCTGGTTTCATGTGGCTGGATTTAACAGAGTTCGGGTGGGGCACTTGAAATAGTCCGACAGTTACTGTAACTGCCTGCTCTGTCTTTCTATGAATGTCATGTCAGCCGAGGGGTTCACTATTGGTTTTCCCCAAAATTACAGTCAGTTTAACGATTCAAATTTGAGCTTTTATTATTATAACGTACTTTTAAGTTGTTTTTTTGTAAACAATGCACAAAGCAAAAGGAGGCAGTAAGCAAATGTAAATATTTGAGTGAATAGGACACAGTGTGAGCTGGATTACTGCGGTGTTTCAACAACCACAGGCTGGAATCAGCAGAACATATTGGTTGAGACGGTAATGTCACAGGTTTTATCAGCAGTAGTGTAAACACAATCTGTTCAGTCATCAGCCCTTATGTGTAGATGAGTGCAGATGAAGTAATTAGACTAGAGTAAGGGATTGTATTGCTTTAAAATCTTGGTCAATTAGAGAGTTTTCAGCAGTCTTTACTCTTATATTATGAAGAAACGTACATACTCTCAGTTTAAATTATATGGTCCACCTGAAGGCAGCCAAGCCAAAGTGAGCTGTTGTGAAAAATATGGTTACCCACTCCTAATTTTGCAAAAGATTTAGGAGTTTAGCAAGGGCAAGATGAAGGGATTAAAAAAAAGGTACAAAATTCTTAGTGGAGACCAGGAACTCCAAACACTGCTAGGTTTGTCTGTTTGCCTTCCTGAGACTGTCGTTCTCTCTTTAGTTTTGTTTAGCGAGCACACTTTGCACAAGGCTATACAGTCTGGTATCAGGTATCCCTTTGGCAAACTCATCAGCAACCTTGTCAGGGGTTTTTAGGTGGTCAAAAAACAGAGGCAAGTAGCAACAAGACCAGCTATTTTGGTGCCTCAACTTTGCTATTGTTATTCCATTTGTACAAAGTCAACCCAATCATTGCCTCTTTAAATCACACTTATATGTAATTCATATCTATTGCATGTACTCTTTTTGTTTGTAATGGTTTTTCAAAGCTTGATAACAGCCACCATTAGATGAGACTGAAAACACTATTTGTGTCATTACAGTAGAAAATAACTTAAGTCACACAAAGAGAGCTGTTGTCAGGTGCTCAGAGTGATAATGTGGTAAACTCCAGGTGAAATTCAGGTGCTCTTGAAGACAGCTTTACTGTCAGTAAGGAGGAAGCCTCATTTCAGCCAACAATAAAGTAAAAAAAAAAAAAAAAGACTTTGCATTAGGGCAGTTCTCCAGGCTTTTCTGTGCTGATAGAAACAACTTTTATTCAGATTTGGTGATAACAGAGAGTAACTTTAGTGAAAGCACTATTCCAGAAGTGTGATCAATATTACTGAAACCAGTAACATCTGTGTTTGAGAAGTCAAAATCAATCATTATTTTGTTTGGTACTGACATCTGCTTCAGTTTTGTTCTAAACACTCAGTTTCTTTGTTTTCAGCTATTGTTTTGAGTCCACTCAGGGTTAATGCTTAAACTGCTTGGGGTCATGGGATCAGTCAGCTGATTGAATTTGTAGTCCACCTTGTTGCCTCAGGACACTAAAACACACTAAGATCAGCTGTCGAGCCACCACATCCTGAACAGTCTGCTGAGTCCTTAAAGGAAAATGACTGGGTGTTGTCATGTTATGTAACAAGAGAGAACAGTAAGTGGAAGCGTTCAGTGTTTTAAAATCTAATATTCACTAAAATACCTTTTACAGCTTCTCAATAAAATAAAGGCTCTCCTCGTTTTCCCTTTCCAAAACAACGCAAGGTTCAAAGTGTCAGGATTTTCATGAGAGTTTTAAGTTGTTTGTTTTTTTTACAAGTCAATAAAACATTTTATGTTTCATTATTAAATTTTTCTCATTCAATTAGAAAGTGCGTCAAACAGTCTCATGGGTTTGCTTTCAAATGAAGCTTCTGTACTTCAATCGCTGCACTTTGATGATGAGCATGTTGACTTTAAAGATGTTTCTAAACTGCCAACCCAGTGTAAATGTACCTGTAACATAATAAAATAATTATTTCAGTCTGATTTAGAGCCTCAACACTGCATTGTCTATCGTCTTACGTTTTGGTGTATTTATTGTCTTATTTAGGTTTATTTATATGAGCTCAATAATTGATGTAGGCTTTTATTTTAAGTTTTATTCATTTTAATATTTAGGTTAATGGGTAATTTTTGAACACAAGAAGCAAAGTCAGCTCAGATCTTTTTCCATTTTTGTATATTGCCAAAAACCCAAAACTGATTCTGACGAAAACCATCTGACCTCTGGCCCTTTTCAACCTCTTAACATAATGATCAGTTTGACTGATGAAGACGGCTCTTACAAACTCTTATATTAACGTGAATCAAAGCTTGTTTTTAAACGAAACCATCAAATGACTTACTTTCTTATCTAACTCAGTTATCCTGGCCTGTAACACATATATGATAGAGAAATACAGCCAAGAGAAAAATAACATTATTTAGGCCTAGACTTGATAATGGAATTTCACTAAAATAAAACTGATTTTTAAAATAACATAATTCAGCTGTAAGATTTAGTTGGATTTAAAGAAGAAATTAGACTTGATTTGCATTTAAACCGGTTAAATTTGCTGCGTAGAGGAAATCTGCCTTGTTGCTGATATGGCGCTGCTGATATTGGTTTTGTGCTCTGTGGCTTCATCGTCAACACTTAGTACCCGCAGGAAGTGGTTTAGAGAGCACACCGCCCACAGCATCAGTAAAATCTGAAAAACCAAATGTCAGGCAAACTCAGCCACAAACAGACACGGTCACCAACTAAGTGCTGACAATGTGAAGTCTCATACATTACTGATTTATTGCTTTGAAAAGATTTTATATTTTTAATCTGGCGAAGTTCAGTATGATCCAAATTCTCTTTAATTATTTCCCAAGAGTGAATCCTGACACTTTGATCCCAGTAAAAACCTCTTTTTTGTTGAAATGATCTACTAAAGCTGGTTTGTTTTTCATAGAAGCTTACAGTTTCTGTTTTATATGGGTCATTTCACAGTCTTAGCACTGAGATGATAATTATATATGTCATTTTTAAAGCCCCGAGATCAAATTAACATCAAGAAGAGTTGTTTTATTCTTTGTGCTGCCTCCAAGTTTAGCTGAGAGCAACAAAACAGCAAAAACATGCTTCTGTGTTTTCTGACCAGAGGGAAATACACATCAACAAGAAAGAAAACCATCGTGTGTGTGTGTGTGTGTGTGTGTGTGTGTGTGTGTGTGTGTGTGTGTGTGTGTGTGTGTGTGTGTGTGTGTGTGTGTGTTTCGTTTTCTAAAGAGCTTCTGCATGCCGGTCAGAGTCAAATATTTACTTCAGATGCTCCTCTGCTGTAAATTATGAAAGAGGAAATGTCAAATCCTGGAAACCGCAGCTCAAACAGTGTTCAACTTATGATCAGGATTCAAATGATACTTTGAATGAGTTATACGGACCCCTCCTCCCTTCCCCCCTGCAGTCGAACCAGTTTGAAGATAATGTTATTTAAACAAAGATGGTGGGATTTGTTTTTCTTCTGCACAGCACAAGACACCTATTACAGACTGTTAGGCTTCCAATTCACACAAGTCACATTCAGAGTGTTAAAACAAAAACACCGGGCTCTGGACTTGTTACATTCATAGGAAACTTCTTTTTTACTGCAGTCTATCTGTCTGAATTTTAGAGACCTTTACTCAGGAAAGTATGCAGCTATCACAAATGCTTTAGTGCCACTAAACTGCAAATCAGCATTAACCTGGTAAGTTCAGAAATTAATGTTAGAGGACGTAGAGCTTGGGTGGAAAGCTTTCTCAACAGTTCTGAAACAGACAGAAATAGACAAGAGACGCATCTCTACGGTGTACGAAAACAACTGAGACCATGAATGAAAAGACAGCAATGGTTTCTTGATGGAAAAGGCAGGGGTGTCAGATTTGGGTTTTGACAGCGATGCCAATCACGCCTTTGTGATCTTTCCTCTAATATACAGGGTTTATTGTGCCATAAAAAAATAGCTTAAATAAAACAGTTTGATTTTTTTTTTAAAATGATACCCAATGCTCTTTTGAATCAAGAGGAGTTAGTTGAGATGGTTTGGGCGTTTGAATTCGACACCTCCATCTGGAGGTTTTTTAGAGACCTCCATCTGGAAGGAGACCCTGCGGTAGACCCAGGGTTTGCTGTAAGGATTACTTTCCCACCTGGCTTGGAAATGCCAAATCCTGGAGGAGGAGCTGGAAAACGTTGCTGAGGAAAGAAAAATTTGGAAGGTCTTGCTCAGACTGCTCCCCCTGAAATCAGGCCCCAGAAAAGTGGAAGAAAATGGATGGATAGTGGATTTCTATGTCTGCAAACACAGTTTAGGGGCTACACTAAGTTTTACATAGTTAGCTTGATTGCCAAATAGGCACACTGTAGCTGATAGCAAGGATGCTAAAACCCCAACTCTAGTCCACCCTGGTCCGCCTTTTTCCCTTTTGCTAGGCCAACCAAAAGTTAGGTTGAGTCAGCATCCAGTTATGTCGTCAGCTATAGATATGCTTCAAAACACAAATAACCAATGGGAGATGTCACTGTGACAAATTGTGTCAGTATTTAGATCTAGAAAATAGAAATAGATTAGCAGCTAGTGGTGTTAGCGCTTGCTAATAAGTCACATTGAGAAGCCAATCTGACCAGACTCTGATCCACAAACTTGCACTCAGTTCCCACGTTTTTCTAAGTGTGCTTTTTTAGCTTCAGATTAGCCAGTTAGTTGGTCTTGAATTTTCTTTTAAATAGCCTCCCTATCTTAAACCCCAGGCACTCAGAAATATCCATTAGTCAGTAACAATACCTCTCTGAGCTGTCCAGCTTTCTGACCATCACATAACAGAGTCACAAGTTTGCTCTCTAAGAGAACAAGACAATGAGTTCCCACAGTTTTTTTTTTTTTTCTAGGTTGCATTCTTACCACTGACTCCTTTTCCAAACTCTACACCTGAAAGCCATTTTAAACTCTTGTGTGACTGGGTCTTTAAGATAGGGTTTTCAATTAATTACTTTTAAAGCCTGGCCCTTGAAGCACCAGTCAGTCCTGAGAGATGTCGTCACCCTGTGTCTTGCCTGAATTTTCCTGCGTAATCCTTCCTCTATTTCACTTCAGCTATTCAAGGAGGTTAAATTTGCAGAATCTAAATAAATTGGCCTCAATCTCACAAAAACGGTTAAATGGTCTTAGCACCCGGACAACCTGCCAAATTCACCTCAAGGCTTCAGCTAGTCCCAGTTTTTAATGTATGATCAGTTGGTCCATATTTCAGGCAATGCTTTTCAAAGTTTTCTCCCCCCAAAAAGTAGAATAAATCAAACTAGAGCCAAGCAGTCTGACTGAAACAGGAGTTAGTCATATCATCCCTAATAAGACAAGATTTAACAGTGAGCCTCCCTCTTTCCTTCAGAGCGTTTCCACTGTCAGAGGACCCAGCATGAGAGGAAATTTATGACCAGCTTACATCGGCTGGACGCTCAGAGTCCAGATAATAAGCTGCCTGGATGATGCAGCTGAATGCAACAACACAGCAAGTTACTCGCTCGTAGAAAAGAAAAGGATGTGAGCTAATTTCACAGCCGCATAAAAAAAAAAGGCTCTGAAGTTTCCCTCCTTAAAACTTCTCATGTGTTCTGGTGTCTACATCTGCACACTGTCCCCCCTGCCTGCCTGCAGCCTGTCACATGCCTGCAAAAAAGTCAGCAAACAGCTCCTGAAATTAACTTAGCCAAACAAACATCCTGCTGATCTCCAGAGCCTCTTACCTCTCAGTCAGCGGCTCCTCAGCTGATTCTGCAGAGCGAGATCCTCAGGGAGATACCAGCCGTCCAGAGCAGCTGACCAGCAGCCCTGCATCTACACCCACAGACGTACTGACTGACTGACTGACTGACTGACTGACTGACTGGAGGAGTGACTGAGTGGGAGGCTGGACGTCTAGATGACTGACTATCATTGAGCCGGAGGCAGCAGAGCAGAGAGACACTCCCCTCGCAGACCAGCTGACTCTCTGCCTGGCTGCAGGGAGGACTCGTTTAACAGCACTGACTTGTTGACTGTCCTGGTGGTTAACAGAAGAAAATTAAGCTTTCGTAATTTAAAGAAAACAAATGTCATAAATAGAAAAATGTTAGAAATGAGGTCAAGTTAAAAGTTATGATTGTAAATTATCGTCATGGGATAAAATGTTAACATTATGAGATAAAGGGGAAAAAAAAACGTGTTAAAGTAATAATAGTATGACAAATTATTGATTCAAAACAAGGATGCACTAACTGAAAATAAAAGCTGATGTTTCAAATGAGAATTTAGCCAATGCTGAGAGCCTACACTAGTGTTTTTTGCATTACTCCTTTGTAGATTAGTATTTTTTGCGTTTGATTTTTTAAAAAGCTCCGAGACTTGATGTTGGTGTAAATAAATAGTTTGTAGTTTCTCCTTTCAAGTCCCTCTTTTAACATCCTAAAATGTTAAAAGACTCTGTGTAATGACTGAAATAAATCACTCTGTCCAGCAGGAAACTCTCTCTCTCTCTCTCTCTCTCTCTCTCTCTCTCTCTCTCTCAGTGTGTAATAAAAAGGTGGAGCTGAGCCACTGTAAACTGACAACACACACACACACACACACACAAACACACACAAATATCCTTATCAGTTGGTGAAGCAGGTCAGCCTCAAGTCATGTGTGCGTGTGTGCGTGTGTGTGTGTGTGTGTGTGTGTGTGTGTGTCTTTTGTTAAGGTAAAACAGGAAGTAGGAAAGTAGAACATCGTATGGGGGAAAAGTAGAGCCAGTTAAAGTCATTGAAAGCCGAAACAACTCAGGGTATATGACTGAAACTGAGAGAAACTTCAGCGTGGGTTCAGAATCACTACAAAAAATGTGAATTATATCATTGTTGTCTCTCAGAGAAGCCGTGGACAGAGACTGGAATTACATTATTAGACTTTAGTGGTCAAATTCTAGACTGAAATGCTCCCTTGCTTACTCCTCCTGTTGGTGAAGTGATGGTGGCCTTTGGGGACAAAAAGCGCCGGTGTTGCAAAACATGAATGACCCTCTTTCACTTTCCTCTTCTTTCCCTGTTTTCCTACCACAACATTTCTCATGGTCACTAACTGAACCAAAACATGAACATGTGTTACCAGTTTGTGTGTCCAACGCCACTATAGTGAAGCAAGACGGCTGCTTCCATGAAAGGGAACTTGCTCTTATGTAGATATAAAAAATGAAATCAAAGTTAATAATATTACTGTATTTTTCAAACTATAAGGTGCGCTTAAAATCCTTAAATTTTCTCCAAAACTGACAGTGTGCCTTACATATGATTACTTGTTGTGCTTACTGATCAATTTTATGTGGTACAATGTGCTCAAAAATTTGTGGAAATGTGTAAGTATGACTTTGGTAAGCAACGAAGCCACTCCACTCGATGGATATTCGGAGCATTACGGTACGCTGTGTCACTACCTGCTCAGCCCTGTAACAGCACCCCTGAGCGGTCTACAAGACTGCCTGACCGTAATGTCTAAACTAGAAGTGCATCCATGTAAGGGAGCCTGGGCCCAGAGTATGTGCTAGCAACAATCAACCAATCAATGCTTAATGCGCCTTACAATCCGTTGCACCTTATGTGTGAACAAAGACACGTTAATTTACAATGCGCCGTATAATCCAGTGCGCCATATCGCCCGAAAATATGGTAATAATAATTTTCTCCACATGGTTATGCTCTAATTTAGATATATTTCTGAATATAACATCCCTTTCTAGTAAATCTGATAAACTACGCACTGCACCTTTAAGAAACTCAATATTTTCCATCTCCAAAAAAATTTAATAAATAAGAGTGTTGCTTAATTTGAAACATTTGTTTAAAACAGAGACTTTTATCCATCTTATCTGTAATCTGTGTAACATGGTACATCCCTTCATCCACTTGCTTTTACACACACGTTACCATGGTAACTAAATGATCCTGCATACACAAAAAAAAAAAAGAGCACTCCCTTGGCGGCTCCCATGTCCACCAGATGGATTGTGTACATTTGTGTAGAAGTGTAGTCGCCGAAATTAAATTATTCATCTGACTATGTCCCAATCACAGGTCTTTGTCGAGCTTTTACACAAAGAACGAGCGCTTGTGCGTCTTGAAAAAAATACTAATCCACAACAAATGAGAGGCTTTGTTGTGGGAAAGTCTTTAAGCTCGAAGGTGTATCATTTTAAAATAAGCACATTTACAATTATTTATGTTTTCAGACTTCGCAGACCTGCACGCACGTATCAGATGGTGAAGGAGTGACAGCAGCAGTACGGTCAAAAAAGCTTCAGTAAAGAGAGATATCATCTCCTGGCCCCTCACAGCTGGTCTGGAGTCTTACTCCTCTGGTCGGTGAAGCATCATGCAGCTCATGTCGGTGACCTTTAGGCGACGTTAAAGGCCACCTTACCACAACAGCGACAGTAACCATGACAAAACAAGATCCATCACAGTCTCAGCAAGGGAACACTGACAAGCAGGAGACAACGTTCAGTCACATCAGAATGACACGTTTATCTCTGGTCCTTTTCTCTTCTGTCAGAAACACCTAAAGGTTAGTCAACACGTACGTGCGCTGAAGAAACGGTGCTTTCAGTGCTGTCGTTTATTCCAACTGCTGCTACAGTATAAAAGCATGTGCCGCACTGGAAACTGTTGTGCCAACACAAGAGCCTTTGACACAATTCCTGAAAGTGTGAAACATGACAATCTCCATCAGTATTAGGCTCGATTATCAGTTTATCCCAATAACAAATGTTTTGGAGGTTCAGCTCATGAGTCCAGCACTGATACTTTTTTAAACTTGAGATTTTACTTGCAAATCAATGCATCAGCAATGAACATATGTATGCACTCTAAATCATAGATGGTGATCAAAGAGTTGTGTATAATGGAAGAAAGAAAAATTGCATAAAAGGTCAGCGATCATATTAAGGGGATGTAAATGTACTTGTGCAGCCCACTCAAATATTCTCTATCAAGGAAAATACTGCTATTGTCTCATGCATGCCGATTATTTAGAGGTATACAGGATGTTGTCCTTTTACTGATTATCTATAAAGGCCAATAACAAGACGGCCAATAACAGTCGTTAATTAAAAAGTGCTCTCCTGGTGCAGCTCTGCTGTCAGTGTGTGTTTCCCTTTAGATCATTTCTTTGCTCCACTTTCTCACTTAATACCCCGCCCACAAAAATATTTGATTGGCTGATAACGCCACCTGACAGTACGACATAAGTGTGCTGTATGTGTAACTGGTTAACTGTGAAGTTGTGTATATGGATATGCTGTTGAATGTTTTAGTTTTTCTTAGGGCTGTAATTCTTAGTCAACTAAAGCCCTGAAATTTTGAACCAAATATCGAATAATGGGCGAGGGGGTTCTGACTCTGATGGCAAACCCTGCCGTGGTGGGGGGGGGGACACAGCTCAGTGGAGCGCGGCTCAGCGGGTGAAAATATACTGATACCAGCACAGGAAGGCAATTAAACACAAAAGGCAAGTTGAAAAACTCAAAATAAAAATAAATATTCGGCAAACCACCAGACATTGATTAACGTGGGCGCGTTTCAGTCTTCCTGTATCTAGCCGGTCTCCGGTGGGTTGGGCAAATCCAAAATGGTGGAAACAAAGGAGGCTGTTACCTATGAAACGGGGGTGCTCCTAAAACTCCCCCATTAGCACTTGGTACGTTCCTCCTGATGAAATTAACCATAGACTTAAATTGACACGAAAAAAAAATTGAGTCGACCAATCAAAATTTTGGTCGACTCAGCACGTATCGACCAATAAGTCGACCAGTCGACTCGGACTTTACAGCCCTTGTTTTTCTTTTCATTTTTGCTGATGTTGATTGATTTTGAGTCGATAATATTCCCTGAATCTTAATTTTGACAGCAGATTTTTATGTCATTTCGGCCCTGAAAAACCAACATCCCCAACCCCTGATACAATCCTTTGCGCTCGACTGGCTACCTCAAATCTAGTAAAAATGAAGAACACCAGCTTCAGGTGCAAGGGACACACATAGTGGCAATTCTGAAGTTGTTGATGCTCCAGTGTCTTTTAAATCTGACATGTGGGAGCAATTTGGTTTTCCCATTTCAAGAAATGAGACACAAGAAAATGTGACGGATAAACAAAAAATGATGTGTAGACACTGCCAGACAGCACTGAAGCCACTCAGCAAACTGCCACAAGAAAAAAAAAAAAAAAAGGAGAGAACTCAAGGGACCACAAGATGTACTGCTGAATATATAGCTGAAGACCTACAGATATCTGTTATAGCTGACAACAGAGGAGTCAAAGGGCTAATAAACAAACTGAGGCCGATGTAAAAATCCCTTATCCTGAAATTTTGTTGTTACATTCCCAAAAACTTAAGTCTTAAGTGCCCAATATCAGCTGATCACTGCCTGTTTTGCTGGATGAAATAAGTATACTTTACTGTAACGTACTGTACCACACACCTGCTACACCGGCTCTAAATAAGCTGTCTCGATTGTGTAAGGTTGTTGATGAGGTGCAGAAAAAAGGTATATTTTTGAGCATCTTAACTGATTAATGTGCCAGTATAAGACTGTCACCGTTTCCAAATGGTAACAGAGCTGCTAAATGAAAAGCTACACATACTGTATCACAACAAACACAACCCAGGGCAGCACGCATTAAGTTTGTTGACTCATCTAGTTTTATAGCACCTCTGTCACATCAAATCATCGGGAATAAATGAGAACCAGATAGAGTTGAATTAGTGTGAACTGCACAACTTTGGTGTGATATATGTTAATGAAGTTTTTACCCTATAGTTCAAAACATTCATCACTTCCGTTCATTAGGCTTGACCTAATGAACATGTAGCCTCTCGTGAGAGACATACTTCATGGTTCTCATGGGGACCCTTAACTCAGACTCTACGTCAGCTCACTGAAGACAAACTGCACAAGACCTGAGGATAAGGATGCATTATGTTTGACTGGAAGGTAGCCTGGCTGTAATGGAAACAAATGAATGTTTGTAGTGATTTAGCTTTCAGAGGAGCACTTTATCTTCTACAAGAGTGTAAAAATGGAAATCAGAGTCAAGTGTGACTCTTCCTGCTCTTTCTAATTTAACCTGTTTGTAAGAAACACAGGGAAATGCTCAAAGGTCCAACAATTATTTACAGATTGTTTTAGACCAAACTAGATTAGTTAAAATTTAAAAAAGTTTTCAATTCATAAAACCGGACTTGAATTCAGGAATGTGGATCAAAATCTAGTATAAAATGACTGTTAATCATAGGTAAATAAAATGCCATCAAAAGCAGTTCTGACTCTAAAAACTCAATGTTATATATTGTCATTATAAAACAAATAATATAATTTAAAAATACAGATAGTGGAATTGTAAAGGCAATAACATGACAATATCCACCTTCACACCATGGAGTTGAAGGTGATTCCTTCACTCCTCTTCTGGCTGTATCACCGTATCTTGAGTGAAAAGGAAGGAACCAACTTACAAGCAGATATTACAAAACTTCCTCTGGTTTACAAACAGTGAAAGAAACTTCCACCTTGAGGAAGCAGAAACACTGTTCATTGATTTCTCCTCAGCTTCAAACCGTGTCCAACCACACCTTTAAGCATATAAGCTAAAAAGTATTCATAACACTAACTAATTAATCAAAGCGTAAGGGGTTAATGGTGTTTTATCTGATTGTATTCTTTCTTCTACCGGTTCACCACAGCGCTGTTTCCTCTCCCCGCTTTTATTTGTTTAATATAAAAATGAATGCAAGTCGATATGAGAGGCGTCATGTCCTCAGATTTGCAGATGACTGTCATCATGATACTTGAACATGTTTTGGTTAAAGTAATTTTACATATCCCCCATTAGGCAAGGTGCAATATACATTACATAAAGAAAAAATTATAACAGTATTTTTCTAATATCATGCAGCTCTACTCTGAAAAGCGCTGAAGAGAACATGTTGGTATCAGTGGCACATTGAGGTCTATATAACATGCACACATCACTCTTTCATTCTGCTGCACATCATTTGTTTAATAGGTAAATGTTCTGAGGGGAGGTACAGATATGAAACTTGCTGGACCAAGAAATAAGCCAATCACAACAACAACAGAAAAAAACCCTGAATATTCTTGCATCTGCATGAACAGACTTGCACACGCATGTGTTTTCTGTCTCTCCATGTCAGCATCAGCAGCAGCACTGAACTACCCCTGACAGCAGCAGGGACGCTGGGAAACATTTACAATCCCTCCACCAACATTAGCTGAATGTGAAAAGGGTAGCGAGGTCCAAACCAATCCGCTCTGACTTTGATGTGCTACGAGTGGGGACAGCAATTGTTTCGATTCCCAGTGAACCAGAAAGAAGCACTTAAAATTAATTGTGTTAATATATTGGATGGGTCTCACTGGTATGCAACAAAGATGCACATCTGACAGAGGGGTGGATACAAACTCCCAGCGAACCCCGACGCTCATAACATAGATACACACACAGCTATAGCTTCACTTTATCAGGGCCCACAGGTCATACAACCGTTATTGCTGTTATAAATTTTAACCACAGAATGTCAATGGTGGGAATTCTGAGTGTCGTCTTGTGTGCATGTCTTTCTGTGTGTGTGTGTTTGTGTGTGTGTGTATTTCATAACTGCTAATAATAAAACCTAACAGGCCTGAGACACAGTGTGAACACAAATCACTTTATGTCCACTTTAAAACATTTTACCTGCATTTCCTCCGTTCATTACCTGCCTGTGTTTGTGCAAAGTGGTTTCTAATTGGTCAAATACTCATTCCAGGGTCTGCTCTGCACTGCAGACCTTTCTGAGGGTGCAGCGCTGACCACATTGTCTACATCTAATTTCTAACACACAAAGAAGTCTGATTGATTCCATGTTAACCTGCCATCCCACGCAAAAACAAAAAATAATGAAGAGAAAAGAATGTAGTGAGATTTAAAGACCCAGAAGAGGGAATGACAAAAAAGGAAAAAATCAACCTTTAAAACTCCTGGCATGGACAAGCATTTGAAGATGACCTTGTTATGTTATCTAGCTGTGTTAAATGCTCTAAATGTTGGTGTTATTTGGTGAAAGACAAGACTCATTAAGTCATGTTTCTCACAAAGATAAAGTATTGTTTTGTACTTTAATATTTCTGTCGTGTTATGGTGATGTCTTGTACCCCTGGATTTTGCCCCCTGATTTTTAACCAGCGGCAGCTACTTATCAACGTATTTTCTTTACGCAGATAGTTGGGCACCTCTAGTACATCACCTCCTTACTTATCTGCTCTTTCTTCCACCACTCGACATCTTGCAGTAATTGGTTGATGCTCAAAGTCCCAATGGGCAAAGTCTGTGTTAGAAAATAAGGGTTTCAAACTTCGAACATGCATTTGCAACAACCATTAAAAATTTATACATCCAAGCCTGTGGATCTAATTAAAACTGCAATATTTGCCTATGTAAAGACTGGATAACATTGAAGACCTCTTCATTTACAGTTAGTTACTGTAAATTTGTCCTTGTCACGAAAACAAGACGTAAATTTGTACTCATCCAACAGCCAACGAAAGCTCTAAATAAACCGCTAAAAACGACTATTTCGACCACTTCAGCTCTTCTGCACCAACATCTGTAGTCTTAGCTGAGCTGGCAGTCATGCAGCTTTTATTACACAGCAGCAGGAATGTCCTGTTTAAACTGTTTACCCTGGGAGAGACACTCAGCAGAAAACGACAACCGGGCCTTTTTCCCCTCAAAGTTAAAGTCATGACAGTTTGTAAGTGAAAGGTCATGGGTTCAAATCCCAGCAGAGAAGCAAACAGAAGAAGAAGGAGGAGGAGGATGAGTGGTCATTCTTAGATTTTTTTTTCTTGTGCAGTGATGACAAAAGCAGATTAGGTGTTGACCAGGTAAGAGTGCACCTTAAAAGTTGATACACATACAAGCAGCTGGTTCATGACCGTCCTTAGATTTGTGATTGGTGCTTATTGCAGATCTGCGTTCTGGTCGTTCTGAAGCGGTTAATTTGTCAGTAGTCGAAACAGAAATTTAAATTCCAACTATCCAACTACTATGAGAAAAACTCAGTTTTTTTATATCCACATTATAGGGCATATAGAAGTAAAGCAGTGTTAGCCCTGGCTAGATGCAGGTGGCTGGAAGATGACCATACACTTTGAGTCCAAAGAATTATGTGATTTTGTCAGTATTAGAAAAGTTAAAAAAAAAACAGAAAAACACACCAAGGCTGACTAAAAAAGGACATATTTCACAACATAATCAGATTTGAATATTAAAGGGATGTTCCGACGTAAAATAAGTTTGAGTCAAACACACCGTAACACCGACTCAGTCAGCCCGACAAGAGATGTTGCCGACTGCTTGCTTCTCTAGTTATACCAACTTTAGTAACGACCGAACAATAGCAATACAGAGAGCCACGCACGCAACCAAAACACCACTTTATAGCCACAAATAATGCTCAGAACAGCATCTAACTTCATCAACAGGACATACAGGGTCACAGCCAAAGCACTAGCCACCAAACATCTTTTTAGCTTTGCCTGATTTCGAGACCCTGGGCAAGCAGCTTAAGGAAGAGCATTTATGATCATTACTTTATCTTTTCCTTGAAGTAATAATCATCATATTAATGAGCGTCTCGGTCTTCCTTGAGCTGCGTCCCCCCGCTGCATTCGATGGACTTGCCCAGGGTCTCGCTACAAACAAGCGGCTGCTGGAAGAGAGTAGGTGAGCTGTGTTTAGTCTCTTTGCTAAAAAAAAATTTAACAAAGCTAAAAAGATGTTTGGTGGCTAGTACTATGACTGGGACCCTATATGTACTGTTGATGAAGTTAGGTGCTCTCTATGTGACGGGGTGTCTAACTCAGTGTAACGGTGTGTTTGACCCCAACTTAATTTTACACCAGAATATCTCTTTAAGAGAGTCTTTTCTCAAGAAACGAGATGTAGATTTAACACCTGTTTTCTATTCCAAATCATTAAGTGTAATTCTTTCTTGATAGTCGTCACATAATTTGGCTGGATCCAGCTTCAAGTTTGATAAAATCCAAAAGCTCATGTTTAGGTTACGAAATCTTGTTTGTGTCGCCTCTGCATTGACATCATCACACTGTTTCCCACAAACTGAGCAGGTATTATCAGTTTAGACAGAGTGTGAGTCAGTGAGCGCTCACTGTGTCCTGACTGAACAATAGACACAGTTGTAGCTGGACAGCTGATCATCATGTCATATTGTCGTGTTTTTCACAGTCCACACAGACCTCCATCTGGGAGCACAAGTTTCAGTTACTGATCAAATAACCTTATTGTGTTTTAGCTGAACATCACCGCTTTACTCCGCGGCTAATAAATTAATTCGTCACTGATCCCAGAAATCTGTGAAGATGTCAGCGACAGATGCTGCGTTTAAAGGATTAAAAAATCGCTCTGATTCTTGGCGTTGGCGGTGCCTGGAGAGTCTCCTTCACTGCAGCTATTTGAAGGGAGTTTTAATTTTCCTAGAATGCTGGTTAAACATTTTAAATTCATTTTGAAACCTTTTAGTGATATCCAAAAGTTATTAAGATCATTAGTGACGAGAGGGATGGTTTTTGTACCGTAATTTTTAATGCCTGAAAATACTGTGAGAGAGTAGGTTTCAGCCAGTCAGCTGAATTAACAGCCCCCTTTTTACAATTCCCACATACAAAACTCAAAATTAATGATTCATTGAACTGTCAAATGTTAGAAGGATGAGTTTTTATTTTCTTCAGACACCACTGCAGCCTGTTGTTAAGCCCCACCATTAAAACAGACTCCCTCCCTACACAAACTCCATCTCTACACTTATTCTTGTGTTTGCCTTTCCTCCTGTAAGACCAAAAGTATTTACAAGTTCACTATAAAACCTTGTCTTTTCACATCTAATCTTTGTACTAACTATCAATACTGTTCTTTTCATCTGAAATAGTCTCATTCAATCGCTAGCTCTGGTTTAAAGACAGATGAATGCCAAAGGGGTGTGTGATACTGAAGTCAGAAATCTAAAGTAAAAAAAAAAGGTAAGCATGGATGAAGAGGAGATGAACAGGCTGACAAAAACACTTGAGGTTAAAAATGCATGAGTCTCCAGCCTCCATATTGCCTGTTTGTGTGTGTGTATGTGTGCGTGCATCTGTGTGATTGTGTGGCGCAGCGAGGTGTTAGCATTCAGCCGCCAGAATAAAGGCCAGATGAAAAAGATCTGTGTTTTTGCGAGTTGTCTTGCATCATGCGCTCATGTCGCACACCCTGCTGGTATTTTTGAATGTGAGAGAGGAAGAGATGCCTCTGTTTGACTGATAATGATGATAATCACATCAGCTGAAGCACGGGGGGAAACAGTCGCCGGTCCCTGAATGAGGAGCGTAAGGAGGAGGAGATTAGAACAAGGGAAGAAGGAGGGAAATGAGTTAGAGGACAAGATGTGATGTATCAGGGAGGGAAGATGGGCTTTGAGGAGGAGGTTTGGAAGACAGCAGAGAAGAAAAAACGAGGGAAAGTATAAAGAGGGATGAGAGAAGCAGAAGAAAACCTAAAATTAAGATGATAGTGAAATAGTGGAAACATGTACACGTGCAAAAAGAGAAAAAAAGTTAATTATCTTTTATCAAATCTCTGAAATTACTCAGAAATATCCGTCTGAAGCCTATATTATCATTCAACATGTACAAAACTGAGCAATAAATAAACACAAGCACCTTAGCAGCTAAAAAAATACTTCCAGCAACACAACAGAAGGAATCAAAAAAGACTAAATAGATTAATCTCCTCTCCAGCATAGATGTATGGGTGAGAGCTGTAATGACCCCCTGGCTTCAGGTCTTATCGACCACGACCATAAATAATGAATCTCCCCTTCAAACCATTCAGTGCATCTCATTGACTTTAATAAGTGATTGATGTTAGCATGTTCCCCTACTCTGTAAGACATTGATATCTGAACGGTTAATAATGCAAAAGAGCAGAGGGAGTTGGATAATTCAAATGCACTTTGAATCATAAAAAGCTGTTCCACCACTGTGAAAATATCAGTGATAGAAGAAAACTTGATTTTCCACAAAACTGAGGGTTTGGTTCTCTGAGTAAAACATAGTTAAGAGTTTTTCGGTCATTTCAGCACAGAGACTCTTGAAACAGATGAAATGCATTTGACAGTGAATAAAATATTAAAGCTCCAGTGAGGAACTTTAAGTTTTTGCAGATTTTGGCGCCCCTGTGTGGTGAAAGCAGTCTTTGCTTATCTTGTCCTCTACTTGCTTTAATCGTGTCTTCTGACAAAAATCTCATCATGCTGATTTTTGACAGTCAAATGTATCATTAGTTGTGAATATTTTAAGTGGGATTTATAAAGACAGAGCTGTTTCTTCAGCTACTCAGGTGACACCTACCCCTTCACATCAGTTTCAGACATTCATAGATAAAAAATAAAAACCATCAATCTTGTCACTGATGATCTTGTTAGATTTTTAGATCATAAGTATTATGATGAATTTCACCATTACCAAAAACTACTCATAGGAGCTTAAAGATGTTAAAACCTTCAAAATATCTCAACTACATGTAAAAAAGATTCAATAAAAGAAAAAAAATGTGGGGGGTTAAGTTTCACTTCTTGCAGAGAAAGATTTACACAACAACAACAACAACAACAACATGGCTGCAAGCACGAGTAAGGGGTTTCTCTTGAAAAAGGCTGAGTCTCATCAGTCAATTGGAACCTGGTTGGTTTCGCAGAAGGACCTCAGGTTTGAAAGTCATGTCTTCGTGGTTTGTAGTTTTATTTTAGGGAGGGAAAGTGAATCAGGTTTTGTGTTAACCCCCCACCCCCCACACACTAACTAACTAACTAACTAAATAAATAAAAAAATTAAATGAAAAGAAAAAATAAACAAACAATAAATAAAACTCAAATAAATTAAATAAAAAAAACGGGAGGACCCATTTTTAGTTCATATCACCCAAAACAGGATCTGTGGAGAGCAAAAGCAGGCAGAATGCACACAGCAGTGAGAGTATCCCAGCTCCTGCAGAGAGTGATCTTGAGGGTTATTCCTTGACCTCTATAAAGAGATGTCTGAAAATTAAACTGAGTAACTGAAGAAACAGATCTTAGATGCATTGTTATAAAAATCAGTCATTATGTAGGTTTAGAAATCCTTGTGATCAAGTTATCCATCCACAGGATCACAGAGTCCACAGGCCAAGATGGTCACAGTGGTTTGCAAAGTGTTTGCCTGTGCTGGTTCTTCATTGCGCTGGTCGGAGTTTTATGCCATTTAAATCAGATACAGCCAATACAGAGTTTTATCTCCATTTTCTGGATCAAAATACAGACAGACTGTACCATGATAATGCAAACAAGCTAGAGTGACAATGTTTAACCACTTGGGGAACTACAAATGCACATCCATGTTACACACTTCTGAAAAACACAATTGTGAAGTGTGTATTGCCGATAGTATTTTGCACATACGGGTAACTTGATTTAACTGGACAAAGTTTTCAACCCAATCTTGATGCTGCCTTTGCAAAACTCTCTGACTGCAGTCTAAAATGCCAAATCTGATTTGGACTCCAAGTTCAGAGACACACGCCTTCATTTGCAGCAATTAAAACCATTAATCATTCAGTAATACACAAGATAATAAAATTAAGAGCCAACACCTCCTCTCCGTCCTCTGAGGGAGCGAGTGAGCACAGTAGGAGGGATGGCAGCAGCAGATGTAGCATCGTGACCAGTAACTCTTTGCACTTAGAAAAAAAAAAAAAAAAAAAAACTCTGCACCTCTCCTCCTCCTCCTCCTCGTTTTCTCTCCCTTCTTCGCCTTCTCGCTCCTTTCTCTCCTTCTGCCTCCGTCACCAGGCAACTAGCCTTTCCTCCCTCTCTTTGCATTTTTTTCTTTTTCTTGTCTTTGTCACTCCCTCTTTCTTGTGCATTAAACCTCCCTCTGTCTCTGGCTGTGGATAAGATGAATACTCACAACAGGTTTTTCTTTCAGCAGATAGTCTCCACATTAAAAATACTCTCAGCCAAACCTTGCTGCTGTCTGAACCATCAGCTCTCAGGATTTTAAGTGTTGGCTTCTTTCGGAGTGATAAATTTCGAGACAGGTCCGCAAAATAACATATGATATCGCTTAGATTTTTCAAAGACATAATGCTCCTTCCTCCATCCATCCATCTCAGGATATTCCATCTAAGAACAAATCTGCATGACCATTTTCATTCCTTGATTTCTGATCCATGTTCACACATCACTTCATGTCAATTTTCCTCTATTTATTCTGCAAAGATCGACTCTGCATGGATGCATGACACACGTTTTTCCGGTTCTGTTTAACAACACCATGAATGAGGTGTGTTTTTCAAATGCGCTGTGAGGGTTTTTGGCTCATTATGAAAAGAGTGAAATTGATATTGACTTCACTTTATGAGCAACAAAATCAAACAAGGCTCGAAAAACAAGATCTGCTGTCTTGATTAAATCATTCTCAATAAATTCGCCTCTTATCCCTCGGTTTTAAATTTCAACAGTCATTGGCAAAATCTCTATTTTAGGATTGGGACTTAAGAGTTTTTCATTTTTGGTCATCCAAGAGAAATTTCATGCTTCCCTTTTATTTGTAAGTAGGGCTGGGCGATATGGGAAAAGTTTACCACGATATATAAAAATCATTTGTCTATCTTAAATGTTACTCTTAAATTAAATATAACAGTGTTTATTGGTAGCATGTCTTTTTCACTACAATACTATGAGGTCTTTGTGTCTCTTCAATGTTTTGTCGTAAGGCGTTGCACTAGAGAAAGCAGACTAAATGGTCAGCTGTTTCGGCTGCACAGGCACCATGGGCTCCTTGCTCCGCTCGGGGTTTGTAACCTTTTGCATTGCGTGTGCTCTGCCGTGTGGCGCTGCTTCAGGTGTTGAAAGAGATTTGAGGTATTTTCCGACTTTGAGAGAACACGTACTCGACATAATTTGCAGTGCATATTACTCTGCTTCATGTCTGACCTCAAAAAACCAAAATACTGACGTTTTCGTACCAGTGTTGTCAACGATGTCATCATCTGTTGAGTCTTCATCAGCATTTCTGCCAGGGGTAGCACTGCTTCTATGCAGTTGTTTGCTACCTGGTTCTAATTCAGCACATGATTGGTTCAGAGCGAAGCAGCCCTAGAGCAACTCTTCTTTTCACTGGCTATTTGTATAGTCTACCAAAACATGCCATCTATCGAAAAGCATATTGACCATGTTTTATATTGATATTGATGGAAATCAATTTTCAATATAAATCATAATCGTTTTATAGCCCAGCCCTATTTGTAAGTGATCCATGGATGTAGCGCAGTACTATTTAATGGCAGTACTCTTGTAACACAATTAGCTGCTGTAACGTAACTCATTGCTACTGACAAAGCAGTGGGTGTTGTTTCTCTGCTGATGCCATTTCATGATACGAATCTCCCCTTGCTTTATTTGAACAGTCAAATATACTGTAAATTATATGCCACTGACAGCAGAGTGCAGTTCATCTGCTTCTTCCAGGTGGATGTCTACAGCATTCTCGAAAAACTTTTATTCTTTCACTTTATCCTCATCTCGTTCGCTGAGTTTCATTCATCCCGGGTACATCCCACTTTCTGCCCCTCTCACACTCTACTCTCACAAGCTCCACTTGAACCAGAACAAGCAAAGTTTGCCCTTGAAGATTTCCCAACAACAAGCCCTCTGCAGATCAAGCGCTCAGCTGGAGAGAAACAGAGAGAGGGAAGGTAGCGAAAAATATCAAGAAAAAATAAAATTTACAAAGTTGGACCTTTAAGGTGGAGAATAGTCTGATACCGTTAGTTTCAGACTATTCTTAAAAGCAGACTGCTCTGTGTTTTACAACTGAAGAAAAATCAAAACACTGATTGACTGACTGAAAATTTCTGCTTTTCCATTTCTGCTTCAGAAATCATCTAAAACACACACCTCAAGGGACCTGATTAATTTAATAAAACTCAGAAACACTAATGAGCCGAAGCTTGAAAATGACACAAATATTTTAATAAGTAAAAGAGTCAAGCATCATAATAGCAGCGGCAGAGTAAAGTAATGATTTAGCCCATAATTGAGAAGTCCCAGTTTAAAGTTATCAAAAATTTATCCATTTCTATTGAACTCGTAAGTTGGAAATTGCCTTTGTTCACATCGCTGTTGTATTCCAGGACAGGGCTCGGAGGAAAGCTCAAACTAGTGCTGGAAAATGGCAGCCTGAATGTCATTCATATTACAGATGTCCATATCTGCTGGTGAAATGGTCTCGTAAGTGCATCTTGAGGGACATTCAGCTAAACATGACATAAATTAAAAGTTACAAGCACACACACACCCTCTGAGCACTCCCACGAGTGTACTTTCGATGGATACAAGATGTATTCAGCTGCTTCTCACATGAATTATTAACAGGTTTCAATTAGTTTCCGAGCTGCTTCTTCCTTTTACAGCACATATAAAGTCTGATTAACAGAAAAATAAAGACTTTCTGAAAACACAGGCACAGGATTCAGACAGCACAGTGATTCAAGAGAGGGTTAATTAAAGGTAACCTCTCAGGACCCTGGATTTTCTCTCGGTATGTTTTCTACCAGCCATAGTTTGATATCTCCCTTAGTTTAGGTGACTGAACCTCTAACCCTCACAAGGTCGGTATCTTTCCCAATGAAAAAACTCGTCTGGCAGCATTAGGGGTGTCCCGATACAACTTTTTTATTTTCGATATGATACCGATATTGTAGCCTTCAGTATTGGCCAATACCGATAGTGATCCGATATTAGCGCAAACTTGTGCATGACAAGTTTTACACTCAGCTGCAACATCTTTTTCTGAGTTAAATGAAAAATACTGAAAACACGGCAGACATCACTCCTACTCCTTGCTACTTTCTCATGTTGTTGTGATTACATAGGATCTGCATGCAGGATCCGGGTGCTGCCAGATAGAGGTGCCAGAGCGGAGTCTGAAATCGACTGCTTGTATCAGAGTGCTGATATCTGAGATTTTGGATGCAGACAGATATAATCCGATATTCCTTATTCTGCAGATGTCAGACCGATATCTGATATTAATATCGTATCAGGACACTCTTAGACAGCGTATCGTAGACAGTCACTGGCTCGCTTTTGATATAAACTCTGTTATGTTGTTTAAAATAATGCAGTTTGATAACAATATTGATGTTTACTTTGAAATTTTTTCTTGGCCACCTTTACACCGGCAACCAGTCTTAAGGATCATGACTATGAAGTCACAAAATGACTGTATGACTATTCTATTTTAAGAGACAGTTACTGTCAATAAGGGAATGAGAGGTGCTCTGTTTCACAGTCCTGATTGTTAAACTTTAGTTTTGAGGGGTTTTTTTATGAACTGGTTGTAAAAGCCCATATTTCCATGAATCAGTTAACTTCTATTCTGCAATATTACTTGAAACAAAGAGCAGGTGTAGCTAGACCCATTTAAACATCTTAGAACTTGCTGTAGTTTTGATATCCAGGAATGTGAAACATGGAGAAAATAATCTTATACTTTCCCCTGTGAAGTCAAGATTACCAAAAAGTAAAAATATATATGTAGCAGTAAAAATACAGATCTTCCCGAGAATGCGCAGAAGTCAAAAATGTCGTCTGGAGAGGTTCTGCCACTTCTGTCTTTACATCAAGGACTATATTACTCGAAAACACCACCTTGTCTGTTCAAGCAGACTGCAGGCACAATGGAAAGAGTCTGAATTATTCTCATCCAGCAAGGATAGAAAGCCCTCATGTGAGAGGAGGTGAACAACCTGAAATATACAGACAGAACAGAGAAAAAGAGTTGAATAATTAATCCTGTAAAAAAGAAGTATACCACATGAGCCAGTGACGGAAAGATGAGAGCTGGAGAAGAAAGAGCACAGACTGTGTTTGGTCCATCGCTGTTTTCTTGGCAGTGATATAAAGATGTAATTATTTTCATCTTATTAATCCACGGTCAGTGGGTATGCAGATGATGCCTCTAACTTTCCTGTTAAGAATTCAATAAGCCTCCCAGGGATGATTGGAAAATAAACAAGATACAAGCAGTTACAATAACCGCTCTGAGGACCGTTTCAGGATGAGTGAAGCTTTACGTCTCACTGCTTTGCATTAGTACATCAATTAGACATTTGAACGTATCTCACTCTCAAGCGTGGGATGTCTTATCTTAGGACGTCAGAGGCAAAACCTCTCATGATGGTAAGGGGCAAGTTGAGAGCATCAGTCTCCCAACCTGTTCACCCAGCCAATAAAATACCAAGAAAATAACAAGAGATTATGTCACTGATATGGTGAATTATTGTACTGGACTGACTTCTTATTAAATACTCTTAAATAAGATGTCTGCTCTGCAACGTGTGCTGCAGACAGTGCAGAGAGTATGGTGACCTATGGAGTCAAGGCGCTCTCTGCTGGATACATTACGTGGTGAAAACATTATTTCCTGTCTTATATCCAGCTGAATCTGGCAAGTCAAAACTCCTTCACAACAGCTAATTATTAGTGAATAACAAGGGGGGTATTACGGAGAATCAGATCACACTCATGATTGACACATATTAAAATCACTCAAACGAAAGGAGTTGGAAATTTCACTCCTGCCTGATGATGGTGTGGTATAACATCATTAAACAACTTGGAGGATATTTTTTATTTCACCCTAAACAAATTTGGAGAAGACAAAACTTTAGATTGGTGAGCTGCCAGTGAAGACAAGAGTTGGGAAGACTGCAGAAATTAGTGTGATGATGTTCAATCACACAAAGAGCTGATGGTTGAGGAAGAGGAAAATGTTTAAAGACTTTAACGTAACAGGGAAGGAGACAGGTGATGCTGTTACTTCCTACAGAAAACACGGAAAGAAAGCTGCTAATCCTGAGATCTCATCATCTAAGACTAATGACTAACTAATCCGATCTTAGTAATACTTTTGATTTATCACAGTAAAGCAGGACAATGTTCAGGCTTTGCCATTGATGAAGGTCTCAAGTGTAATGTCATTTTCAAATTGTGAGTTGGCTGGTAATAATACTGTTCATAACAGAAGCACTAGTCACTGTCAAAACTGAGGGACTATTTATTCTGAATTTACAAATAAACCATTTTTTAATCAATGATCAGATCAGCACTTAGCATCAACTGGTTTGTCAAGGTGAACTGCTCAATATATCGTAATACTGATTTGAAGCCATATCGCCCAGCCCTACTGTCAAAATGTATTACTACTCGGTCAGTGTGCATTTTGTGTTTGCACTGTTAGGACTTATACATACATGTTTCCAAATGAAAATCATTGTGTAGCTGCCAGTAAAGGAAGTGGATGGTTCTGGAAAAGAGTAAAAATAAAATAAAAAATAAATAAGAATGTGAGGGATAAAAGCGAGGGTGAGGATCATACATTATTTCACAATGATGAGGAAAAGGTGACATCTTTTTTCACCTTGTTTCAACAACTACAGAAGCTCCTTTACTGAACATGGAATCTAGATTGTAAACCACACCAGCGTGAAGGGTCTGAACTATACAACAACGTGCTGTTTCTGTGCAACTGTGACGCTCTTCTAGTATGGTCTGCTACCAATGCTGTAGTAGAGTTAAAATGTGGTATTGGAAGTTTAAAGAGAATACCAACATTTTCTGGATTACAATCCACTGAGATAAAATAAATAAAATAAATTATAATGTGGGACTGCAGCCCTCAACTTCCTTATTATGTATCCAAGCATGCTTTAGCATCAAAGCCATCGGTTGCTTCTTTGCACACCATCTGCTGGGTAATATACTTTAACACAATAAAATACCTCAGTCGGTTTGGTGCATAGGAAGCAGCTGACTATTTAGATGATGAAAAAAGGTATAAAAAGTGCCTCATCATCATCCTCTGTCTTTAAGATCCTCTCTTTCTCTTCTTCTCTCTCATGTTTATCTGACTGTAAGTTATATCGACTGACTGGCTGCACTGCGCGAGACACTGGAGATCAAGTTGTTAACCTAAATGTGTCACTCCATCTCTTTCTCACGCCACAAGACTACAACCGCAAAACACTACAAAGAGCTTCAAACAAAACACAACTGACTAAACAGAGAATCTGAAAGAAGGGTGATATTCACAATCCCAGTTTTAGTGTTTCATTCAAATTTTGAGCGTTTAGGTTTACTGCAAATGGAGTTTACGAGGATCCAATTATCTCTACAGATTAATACAAGCAGACTACTGCTGCCAGAAAATACTCCACCACACAAACTGAGTGCTGTGGATCGCAAATTAAGAGCAAACACACACACACTACACCTGACCTGGAGATGAGTATCACCGCAGTATGTGCTGTGCTATGAGGTGGTAATCTTATCTATGCATTAATCATCTTAGGAAGGCTGAGTCCTGCTGGCTGTGGTTAATACTCCGCAGGTGGGTGTCAGGAGGAGGAGGAGACACAGACAGAGAAAGACAGGGAGTGAGAGGAAAAGGGCACAGTGGTGAGAGAGAGCTGTCCCCGAGCTAAAAGGTCAGAGGGAATCATCACAGACAAACAGCTCTCCTGTCTTCTTACAGGCTGAAACTCTCTCTGGATGAACCTCAAAAGTACAACTGGTTGTTCAAACATCACCATGGAAACTACGGCAACTTCTCGGGACACTAATGACAATGGCAAGAGAGGTCCACGCGACTCAACATAGACAGATTGACTCTGATTCCAGGGATGGAGGAAGAGACGAAGATTTTCTGTGTGATAAATTATGAATGATCAAAGAAGAAAGTGAGTTCTTAAGGAGTGTTTGTGTGAAAAGTTCATCTCAACAGCTGTTCCCTCAGAAATATTTCTTCTGTGAAAATTCTTTGTTTTATTTTTTCTTATTTACATGTCCTCTTGTGAAAATGTTGAATAGACTCACTCAGGGATGTTTCTAGATGTTTTGAAGGCCTGACAAGACATCAACTTACACCAACAGAGCATTGATCTCTCAGTCATGACTGGGGTTTAAATCAATATCTCTAGCTCATGAATATTTTGTTTGATTTAAGATCATCTGATTTATGCTTAATTCTGCTTTTGATTAGTAGTATTTTGATCAGCGAATCAGCCAACTAGATGGATTTTAATCTTGGTACAAACCAAGCCTCAAAATGACCCATCACGGTTAGTCACTCACTGGTTTTACTACTCCCTCTCCTCAAAACAAGCGGTTTATATTAAGTAGCTTTAATTCATGAACCATGTATTTCTCCAGCGGTAGTCTTTGGTCCCAGGGTGAGCTGCAATCTGACCTGTCATCAGCTCACTTCCAGGTGATGAGCTTGTTCTGGGTTCAGGTTTCCATCCTTTATCAGTCAAGAGTGTTTCAACAGGAGCTGAATTATCTGCAGTTCAATACAGCAGCTTTGCATAGTACAGCCTTGTTCTCTGATAACCTACAGATGACTAGAGCTGTGTGCATTTAGACCAAGTGGAAACCTCTGGTCTCGAAGAATGAAGCAGATAGGAAGTGATAAAAATTGCAGTTTCCTGAGTGCCCATTTGAGGCTGTCACATACACACTAAGCAAAATATGTTTACAGTTTATGTCCTGAATAGCTCAGGGCTCCGGCAGCACCCACTGTGCAGGAAGTGAACTATTTAAGAGTAAGCTTCAATAATCTGCTCCAGAAACAAATGTGTGACTACTATGGTGACAAATCAGTGGTGCTAGCACGATTAATGTTAGCCTGCAAAGCAATCTGAATAGAGTCTGAAGTTCTTTGTTTCACCATAAGAAAAAAATGTGCTAAATTTTTACTACGTTGTAAGTAGAGATGGGCGATAAATTATGATTCTTGATATATTGTCGGAAGAATCCTCCATGATAAATATCTCATGATAAATATGATAAATTCAAGTTGATGACGTAAGCGCGAGCGACAGACTCGCAGCCATAGCCCACACAGAGCAGAATAACAAACAAACATGGCCGAAGGTAAAGAAGAAGACGTTTCTGAGCAGCTCGTGACTGAACCAGGCTCCACATGAGGGATTTCCTTCAAGATTGGGGCTTAAATGAGCGCAGTTAGGTATGCCTGACATCGGACAGTAGATCTGCTGCTGTTCACTCTGTGCAATAAGAGTTTTTAATAAATGTTGAAAATGTTTTCACATTTGAGACTTGTTTGATGTCATTAGTTTTCTCCATAACCTACCACTTAAACTTTTGGTTGAGTATCTTATTTGACTACTTCAACTGGTGTTCTCAAGACAAAAGGAGTCAAAAATATAGATGGGAATTATAATATTTTTTATCGGGTCTTTTATCGTTATCGCCAGAATGGAAAATCTTATCGTGATAAATGTTTTAGCCCAAGTTACCCATCCCCAGTTGTAAGTGTTTTCTTACTTTAGATTAGCCAGCTATAAATCTCCATTCGAATAACAAGGGCGTAAGTTCTTTTGGAACATCCCTTCTTTTGATCCAGATATAAAATAATCAAAAATTCTTCTCCTGGTTATCAAGTCAGCTAAAATGAAAAAGATTGATAATAAACTGGAGAAAACTATGTACTCTGGGTTGTCAAACATGTGATCCAACTGACAAGCTTTTGTTGTTGCGTTTACTATGAGCTGCTACTTTCATTTATTCTAGGAAAAAGAAAAAAAAAGGTTTTTCCTACTTCATGACATCAATTATCCCAACTCAAGATTGTTTCAATGCCAGGTTATGTTTCCTCAGGGCTTTAAAAGCAGCATCAGGCACAAAAAGGGGAAGAGAATGAAAAACTGTTGATGTCTTAACTTGAGCTTTCTCTTTATTGATTAATTTGTCTTCCTATAAAGAAACTGACAAATGAAAAGCAATCCTGAGTAAATTTATTCCTTCAGTGTGTAATAAAAACCAGCAAAGATAACAACCCACAAGCTCAATGTAATCTGTAATTTCCATTATGAGTTTGTCAGTGAGGTTTCAGCCTAGATTGATGCTCGAGACATAAAACAATGAAGCTGCCAGCAGCTCAGGGGACACGGAGTTCATCACCAATAACGCCTGCTTTACTAATTACCTCCACTGCTTTATCTTTGAGTACTGACTGATTTATGAATCAACATGTGAGCCTGCCTGTGGAATGATATGTATTACCATCACAACGTCAGATACTTATGTGAGGATTTGAAAATACCATCAATCATTCGAGGGGACGTCTGAAAGAACGACTACCACAAGCAAATAGATTTGATTGGTAACAAACTAAATAACCAAAGACACACAGAGATTTCAGTCTATTGTCTGTTATCGTAGGTGCCACCAAACACGTGTTTTGGTAACGCAGATATTAGTACTAGCAAATAAGAAATTATCTGAATTGCAGCATTGTTGCAAAAGCACTTTCCCTCACCGTAACTCCTCAACCATTCCTGTCCTGACGCAGTTTACCAGAAAACCCTCCTCCTCCTCCTCCTCTGCGAGTCATCTTCACTGAAATCATCCAAAACAAAAATCTGTTTAGCTCTGTTGGTGACTCATAAGATCTTGCCATGCAATCATCAGTTCACAATTTTCTTGAGAAGACTTAAAATTTTAAGATGTAGTCACAGACCGTTTTCACACCTGGAAATGTGCATCCTGCAGCATGTTTCAAAGAAGTTGGGAAAGGAACATCAAAACACTTAAAAAGTTATGAAATGCTAAAAACCAACTGAGGTTTAGAACTTTTCCTTAGTTTTGATTTAGTTTTTATCTTTCAAAAGTACTTTGAACAAATCAAAGAGTTTGAAAATAAACTGAATATTGTATAGAAAAACTCTAAAAATCATCTTATTTGGCTTATTGCCTGGTCAGACATAAGATCTGTGTTGAAATAAACATCATCGTTGGTGGTACATCACATATGCACTAAAAACTGTTATTAATTGGTGTGCAGGTTCACCTAATTTAGGCCACCCCAGCAGTGTCAGAGCTCGGGTTAGGGCACCCCAGTCAAAAAGGTCTGACACGCCCCTGTATGTTAGCATGTACCTCTACCTTTGTGCATTATTTAGCTCTGAAACAGATGGATCCATGCTGAGCCGAGGACTCTATCTAAAAGTTAGATAATTAACAAGGATCTATGTCCATTTAGAGCACCACTCTCTGTCCAAGTCAGCCAATGTGGATCACCCAAGAATGATCCCTCTAACTCCCCAACATCAGTGTGCAGGCAACCCCTAAGTGGCCCCAACTTGACCACCATCTTGAATCCAACACATGGCAAACTACTAGCAGTACACAATGTGTGCCTGAAGTAGCTTGCGACTGAGTCATCTTACTTCATACCTATCTCTGTCTAGAGTTGCTATTGTTCAGTACTGATGGAAGTAGAGGCATTCAAGAGGTGAAACATGACAGAGCCAGGAGCGGTGGTCGATTAATAAGAGATACAGTGAAGTGAGAAAGCACCAGTATAGAATATGAAGATGAGAAGTGATTCTCTGATTGTTTCATGGTGGTTTTACACGTCCACATATTCACACTAACCTACATGAAAATGCTGGATTTAGTGGCTGATCGGGAGAATTGGGACATTTCCCGGTGGGCCGGGCTGGTTGTAGGACCACCGGGGCTGGTTAGCAGTGACAGTTAATTTGTCATACAGGCTGCACTTGCTAGGGAGGGGTGTGAGCAGCCTTTTGGTATTTATATAGAATGGACAGCGTCTGCTTCCTAGCTGGGTGAAGCCACTCCGAGAACAGCGCCCTCTGGTGACGTGCTGCAGTTTAGTTCATAAATCCTGCCTCCACCAGCAAAGCTTATGGAGCTGTGGACAAACTTTAGAAACTAACTACACAGAATATACATTTTTCTCCCCCCTACTTGCGATGCCGACATGTAGTTATTGTAACACTAGTTTGTGCTCAAGTCCTCTTTTTTCTGTACAGCTTCATTTTTAAAAGTTATTAGGGGGTTCAAGTTTTCTATGATTGACACTTGATACAGCCTATGGGCGTACAAAGATTGCGTAGCTCGCCCAGGGAACATGCTGTTTGAGTTGAGCGTCATCACAGCTACTCTCTACGACTCTCCTGCCGAATGCGTACAACGCGTACAATGCGTACAACAAAACTGAAAACTGGCGCAACAAGCACTCATTCATCTTAAAATCTGTGTGTTTTTAGGATGAAAATTAACCTTTAAGAAGAAGAAACAGCTGCACTAAAGTAGTTAGAGTAGAAAGCAGACTTACTGATTTCTGCTTCATTCACTCCAACCAGGTGAATCATGATGTCACGATCTCACACGTGCACACACACCCACACACATACACACTCGTGCCACAAACAAGCAGTGAGCAGCTCAGCTCTTCTCCTCCACACACACACACACACACACACACACACACACACAAAGAAAAGGGTCATTTGATTAAAGAGCAGGGAGGAGCAGGTCTTTGCATGTGCAGCGGCTGATACAGCACTCTGTGGCTCTGGAGGCTGCAGACACTTTGCTCCTCAGCTGCTCCTCCAGCAGCAGCAGCAGCAGCCCTGCACCGGGGCTATGACTCATACCGTCTTCCTTCCACTGATGCTGGAAACGACAATAACACGGAAACGCACCACAGTCCAGCCCCTTACCTGCACCAAACCCGAGCTGAACACTAAAACAGTCCGGGAAACTAGCTTTCTTTTCACTTTGGTGCTTACCTCGCTTTGACGTTGAAGAAACAAACTCAGATCTTCCTCTCAGGTGTCTGTTGCTGTTGCCTGGCCAGTTCGTCTCCTCCTCCTCCTCCGAGACGTCGCATCTCTCCCCCGGTCCTGATGGAGGAGAAAATCCCGCGCAGAGATCACCGAACCCGGCTGGAGCTCTGCGTGGCGGGCCGGCGGACTGTTAAGTGAGGTTGTTTCAGACTGTGAGGAGGCTTCGCTGCACCTCTGAGAGTCCAACCAGTCTAATGGATGTCGCTCCGGCTTCCTCGAGGGGTGGAGGTTTGACGCTCGTGATGCATTCAGTGACTTTACAATAACTCGGATTTGTCAGGTGTGGGCAAACAGCAACTTCCATTTGCTTATGAAGATAGAAATATCTTACTGAGGGTAAATTATGAAAATGATATCACGTATTCACGGTGGCCGAGAACCGCCACTGTTGCAAACAAACAAACAAAAATGCAAAAAAAAAAAAAAAAAAAAAAACGAAGCCCAGCTGCAAATAAAAAAAACGGTGCAAATTAAGGGAAAAAAGAACCGCAACGGAAGTTAACAAAAAAAAAGAAAAGTGCCAATGAAAAAAAAAACTTACTGCAAAAATAAAAGGATGCAAAAAAAAAAAAAAAAAAGCACAACAGAATTGAGCTACTGGGGACCAATAATGATAACCCACCGGTGTTTTACGATTTGGGAACAGGAGATGACCGTGAGAAGATGAGCAAAGAAATAAGTGGAAAGGTTATTGATTAATTTCACTTCGTGTGTTTTTCAATGTGTCATTTGGTTAGGCCATGTGGCGCCTGAGTTAATATGAAGTTGAACTGGAGGATACTGGTGTAGTGTTACCTTCAGTAACTTTTTTTTTCCATCGCCACTTTTTTTTTTTTTTGCATCGATAACTTCCGCTGTGGCTTTTTTTTTATCTGCACCGTTTCTTTTTTTTATTTGCAGTGGGCATCGGTTTCTTTTTTTTTTACATCGGTAACTTCTGTTGTGACTCCTTTTTTTTGTGCATTCTTTTTTATTTGCAGCAGTAGCAGTTCTCGGCCTCCATACCTATTAACCATCTGAGTAAAATTCACTAAGCTCACTAAATGCGCTTCATCAAAGTAACTCATTTTTTCATCCTTCCAAAAAGGAAGAATGGAGATAGCTGCAGGGTTCAGAACTATTTTATTGACTCACTGGTCTCCTGCATGATAATAATTCTACCTGACAATCCTAATTTTTACCTGGAAAAATAATAAATAGCTCTTTGTCTCATGTACTTATTTGTTACAGATACTTTTATAGCGATAGTAAGGTATCATGTTGAAGCCAAAGAAAAGAGTATATCAGACAAAAATTGAAGTAAAACTACTTTTATTAAATCTGAATACATATCATATAACAAGGCTATATTTTAAAAAAGAAGGCTACACTGGAAAATCATACAGTCGACACCATACTCACACATGGTAACAAATAAATCTGATGACAACTGTGTGCTGAACTTCAAGCTTTAAAATGATAATGCTTTCAAACAACCAGAGCCATAGAGTGTAGTGGTGGCTATAACAACTTTCCAATGTCGGTCCAGGATTACAACAAAAGCACCGGGGTAATGCATCTTAAATTTCAGGGGCTAACTTTGATCCTGTCCTGACAAGAAATACATAACAGTTCTGGAGTCACAGCTTTTAAAAAACAAAGGAGTACTCAAACCACAGTTTTTAAAATAACATTATTTTTATTTTTGTACTTTTGCTGTGCATTAATGTAATCAAGATTACATGGATGTACACTTGGTTTCATCATGTTTATTAAGGAAACATAGCAACATTTTTACACTTTCATACTACAGATATCCAGTGCCCTTCTTTTAGTCCCTTACACCTTGAATATAAGTTCCAGCTTATTTGTATTTGCAGTAACACCACAGAGAAAAGACCATGTGTTGAAAAATAACCACAAACAAGAGCTGAAATGAAGGACTTAATTCTTTAGAGGCTATACTTAACTAGTAAAAGACCACAACCCAAACAAAATATGAATCTGACAATTCCTGCAGCACTTGAAGGCAGCATTAGGTGTGTATAGATTCACTTTAGTGTAGTCTGACAAAACGGGAGCCTACTGGGTCTTAGCACCTCCAGTTTACGTTTTCATTAACTCTGGCCTAAATGTTCAACAGGTGGAAACACAAACCATTCAGTTTTTTAGTTTCTGAATGCCTCAGTCAAAGAGAAAATCAATGATAAATTAACAAATAAAAGAAAAAAAAGGGAAAAGGTGTGTTATATGACGCATCAACCCAAGAGTGAGTGTATATTTTATGACAACAAAAACAAAGATATTCACCTTTTAGGGAATTAACGATCTCAGTATCAGCACAAAAGCTGCAACTTTGATGGTTAAATGGTTAAATTATTTTATAACCTTTATTCATTTTTTAAAATTGCAAAACAATAAGATAGTTATGTAGGAATAGGCAGTAAATGATATGTATCAAGAAATAATAATTGTGACCAAATTGACCGATTAAGAGAAAAACAGGTGAGTAGAATGATGCATTGATTTATCTTTTAAGACATTTTTCTCATTTAAACACAAGCTTTGTGTTGTTTTAATGGTAGTACACCTTTGACTATGACTTTGGAGGACTGATGTGTGAGTCTCTGTTTCTACAACCTGAGATCTAATAAACCGTTGAACTGACAATTGTCCAATACTTTTGATTAACTGCCTTCTTTCTCGGCTCTTAAGCAATCAAGTTTTACTTGCTGCAATTTAGTCGTCATGGATACCACCCACCTCCGAAAAAGGACATCCCAGAATCAACCCCTGAACATATACGCACACACACACGCATGCACACACACAGACTGAAATCTTACCATGTCTTTAACTGTTACAGAGTGTACACTTATGATACACAGGTGCACACTCTGTGTCTTTCATGCCCGTGTGCACATCAGTGTGGGTTGGTGGGTGTGTGATGTATAAGCACACGCTTGAGTGAATTCGCATTTGATCATGCATGTGCTGATGTAAAGCTTGGTTGCTATGGAAACATGAGAGAGGGTTCAGTGTGTCATGTTTCTCTGGTCCAATTATTCAGGAAACATGAAAACTGTCACATCATGTTAGGTCAGAATAAAATAGCAATGAAATGAGGTAGAGAAGAAATATCCAAATTGCTGTGTAGTCCTTTATTGTACAATATTGTATTAATTAATTCTCAAAATGTAAATACAGAGCTTCAATTATTTGCCTATATTTTCAGAAATGGAAACATCACATAAAAGAGGGTTGAAACATCCCAACAAATACATTTTTTACACCTCGTTATGTGAGGTTTTAGTCTCTATTATATAATCTGCTTGAGAAAAAATGTCCAAAACTGTCAGCAGGTAAAAGTAAAATGCTTTGCACAGCAACCACTCCTGATTCATTATGAAAACTGATTGAATAAGTGTGAGGATTAACAATCTATTGGAATTAAAGTGTATTAATACTTTTAGGTAATAGTCTTTTCTCTTTAAATAACCTCACATCTCATCTACATTGGGCTTGAGCTTTCTGGAAACCCCAATCTTTTACTGTAAATAAACTCCTTGGACGGGCTGGACGAGGTCTAAGCTCCCCGAGACCTTCCTAGTGGGTACTGCCTCCATGTGCTGCAACAGTAATCAGCCTTACGAATTCTGTTTGCCATCACCGTTTTTAACAAATAGATTCAGGGACTCTCTACTTGGCTAAATCAGGGTAAACAAAAAATATCCCTACAGCCAACCAGGATGAAAGCACATATCCAAGGAGGGGGGGATCAGGGGTGGCCATTACCCCCCTGAAAATCTGATTGACCACCTCAAAACCTTATACAGTGATGTTTGTGTACAATAAACTATTTGGGCTGTGGGGACAACAAACTGCAACGCCACTTTAATGACAGTAGATATAGTCTGACGAGCGACTCAGCTGGACTATTGTTCTTGTCCTGTGTTACATGATCTGGACAACAATCAAATTATTGACAGAAGGATGTCCACCTCTTCTACAGAAGGTGGAAACATACCCCCTTTTACTTCATCACTATTGAACCATCCTCAATTGACATATTACCCATCAAAACAGTTGTCAAAATGGAGCCGAGCAAGAGGCTAACGGCTAACAGCATGTGCAGTGAGTAATAAAAACAGCATTTCTTTTGCAGCTCTGTACTGTTTGTCTGAACAAAAAGGGTTTTTTCATCTCCTTTCATCTCTTTTGCATCTTATCTACACCGGTTGAGGTTTGTTTTCTGATATAACATTATCCTTTTCAACTTCTGGCTAAAAGCCCTGCATGGAAACGCTGGAGCATGCTGAACAAACCCCTGTCACATTTAGGACCCTCTTCTTTTTCTGCAGATTACTCTGTCTTTGGTAACTCTTTAAGGGTTTTAATCAAATTTATATCAAGTCTTTGGGCCATTAAATACCTCAGTTTTCATCCCTTAAGGCTTTTTTGGCACTAGTGCACCATATGCAGACAAAAAAACATACAAACTACCCATCACTTGCCTCTGCCACATTATTCATGTCCTTCAGCTACCTTCATGTCAGTCAGTATGTCCATGAATTCAGCAAAGCCCTTAACATTTAGTCTGCCTCCCCTTCATCGTTTTAATGGTACTTTAAAATTTCAGCTGTATAACTGGGTCGCAAGAGGTTGAGGTAAGTGGGAGTGTGAGGCAGCAGGTAATAACCTGGAAATTTCACTGTAAGCAAATGAGAGTTAATGAGTGTTTTCAATTCAGAAAATGTCAGGAGTTCATGTGGAAAGAGGCCCAGTGATATTCAAAGTAGTTTATCTATTCTTTTGTGGATTGCAAAAAAATCTGATCTTACTTTTGGGTTTTCAAATATATTTTTGAGTATTCTGTTTAACTTCATTAAGAATTGATCTCTATAATCAGGGAAAAAGCTGCAGTTCAGGGTCAGATCATAATGACGTCAATACGGCTGATGCACAGATTGTATTTGAACCCACATAACATCTGTAAACAGTCTGGGCCAGACTTATGCAAATCTGTTGACATTTGGATCTCTTCGCTTTTACTCCATATATTCATTTCTTTCCCCGGATACAAATCACATTTTATAGCAGGTGTAAATTTGGTCATAAATCTTTGATACTGCTGAAGAACCGCTGTCACATTTATTTTGATGCTGTCAGCAAGAGGCAGTTTTTGGCATCCAATTAGCCCTGGGGAAAGGTAGAAAATTGGGCACAGAATTAGATCGGACAGGTTGTAAAGTCAAGCTCAGCCCACAGTACTTCAGTGGATCCTAAAACCAGCTCATATCAGCTGACAGCTCAGCAGATTAGTTTCTAGACATTCAGTCTGAATAGGACCTGTATTAAGCTTCTTTTTCCTGTTTTTTCTCTTCCTGTTCCTTCTACAAACTGCTTTGTGACCCAACTCCAAACAAGCTCCTCTTTTTCATGCTGTGTCTGAATTTACCAACAACTTTTGTACTATATCTGATGCTGGCTCTGTTTTCAAACATTCAGGGACCTAGATCAGTATTAGACTGTAAGTTTTCTTCCTTCTTTGAACAATAAATCACCTTTAACACTCAAGCAGACTGAATAGAATTGAATAGAATAGAATAGAATAGAATAGAATAGAAGAAGTTTATTGTCTGACACAAAAAAGTGACAGAAATTTATCTTTCGACAGGCCTCAGTTGCATCAGCAGACATACATTCTCCATCACACTTGTACACACATACAGAACAAGAACTTGAGTTAAAGTACACAATGACCTGTGATAAAATCACATGCATATGGCGCTTGGAAAAAAATCACTACCAGGTTATGGGAAAACCTTTGATGTTGAGGGCTCTGATTGTAGTTGGAATGAATGATTTTTTATAGACTGCTTTCCTGACCAGTGGGACTTTGTATCTCCTGCCTGATGCCTGAAGGACTGATGGAGGGGATTGGACAGGTCCTCTGTGATCAGGGTGGCTTTTCTGATCACAGAGCGTTCATACAGATGGAATAGTGGAGTTTGGGCTGAACCGGTTATCTTGCTGGCTTGAGTTGTGATTCGTGAAAGTTTTGTTTTTTTGTTAAATGAAGAAATGATGCAAGAAGTGCACCTAAACCCCAGTGGCCTTTTGTTGAAGGATAGCAGTCGCTACAGCGTCCATCTTCAGAGTCTGCTATAAATATTTCCATATTATTTGGGGCACAGAAACCATAGGTGGATCATGCAGTACCTGAAGCATTAGATGTGTGTAGGACTAGTTTGATCGTTTTTTTCAGTCCAGCATTGTTGGAATATACATTAAAAAGTTGTTTTCTTAATAAGTGTAAGTTACTTTAGTCAGGACTGAAAAATTCTTTAAAATGAGTCAAAAGCTCAGCTGCCAAGTTTTGTATATATTCTGGATAAACGTTCGAGAGGCAATACAAATATTTGTGTTAACTGGCAGCCTTTGGACTTCACTCTGAGTTATGACCCTCTGTTGGTCTTTATCTGGTTAGTGTGTGATTGTCCAGTTTGTTTTATATTAAGTTGCATCTAAAAACATTAAAGACACATATTGACCCATTGTGTAACTTGAAATTTCTTCCTTTGGAAAAGGCAGAGAGGTTTGACATGTTTTACTTTTCTAACCCCGGCTCTTTGCTTCAGATTGTTGATAAGGGCACATTCTTCTCTACTGAATCTGCTCCTCTGTCAGCTATGAATCAGAGCATTATAACTCCTCCCTCCTCTTCCTGTTTTGCTACACAGCCTGTCCCATTCACAGACTGTTCCACATGGTCAGATATTTCCTGCCTCTTTCCCGTTCTGCAGATTTACAAGTGAACAGAAGAATGAAAGACGTTGTCGACGTGAAGCCCGATTCTCTGCAAATCAGCAAGCCGAGATGAGGAAAGGAAACTGTACTTAGGTGGGGATCAGTTCTCAGTTTTATCTCAAATGAACAAGTGAAACTATTTCATTCTGATCGTCTCGTTTCGAGGGGGGAAATGGCGCAGCAACAAAACCTGATGGATCGAAGGAAACTTTGCTGTTCGATTTGTTTGGACCTGCTGAAGGATCCGGTGACCATCCCCTGTGGACACAGCTACTGCATGAAGTGTGTTAAAAGCCACTGGGATACAGAGGATCAGAAGAAAGCTTACAGTTGTCCTCAATGTCGAAAAACCGTCACTCCAAGGCCTGTCCTGGTGAAAAACACCATGTTGGCAGACTTGGTGGAGGAAATGAAGAAAACTGGACCGTATGCTGTTTCAAATGATCACTGTTACGCTGAACCTGAAGATGTTGCCTGTGATTTTTGCACTGGAAGGAAATTCAAAGCCTTCAAGTCCTGTCTGCAGTGTCTGGTCTCTTACTGCGAGCAACACCTTCAGCCTCACTTTGAATCCCCTGCCTTTGAGAAACACAAGCTGGTGGACCCCAGCAAGAAGCTCCAGGAGCACATCTGCACACGTCACGGTGAAGTAAAAAAGATTTTCTGCCGTACTGACCATCTGTGTATCTGTGTCCTCTGCTCCATGGACGAACATAAAGACCACAACACAGTTTTAGCCCTGACAGAGCGGACTGAGAGGCAGGGAGAGCTGGGAACAAATCGACAAAGAATCCAGCAGCGGATCCTAAACAAGGAGAAAGATGTGAAGGTGCTTAAGACGAGAATTGAGGCGATCAACTGCTCTGCTGATAAAGCAGTGAAGTACAGTGATAGGATTTTCACTCAGCTGTTGCATCTCATCAAAAACAGGAGCTCTGATGTGAAGCAGCGGATCAGAGCTCGGCAGAAAACTGAAATTAGTTTAGCCAAAGAGCTGAGGGAGAAACTGGATGCAGAGATCATTGAGCTGCAGAGGAAAGACTCAGAGCTGGAGCATCTCTCCCACACAGAGGACCACACCCAGTTTCTTCAAAATTACCCCTCACTCTCATGTCTCAGCAAAGCCGTAGACTCATCCTGCATCAACACCTGTCCTCTGCAGTACTTTGAAGGTGTGATGGTTACCGTGTCGGATGCCAGAGACAAGCTACAGGACGTCTTGAGTGACACATGGACCAAGATCTCACAAGCAGTGAAACCAGCGGACGCTTTAATGCCACAAGCAGAGCCAAAAACCAGAGCGGAGTTCTTACAGTACTCATGTGAAACCACGCTGGATCCAAACACAGCAAACGCACGTCTGCTGGTGTCTGACGGGGACAGAAAAGCAACAGTAACCAGTGAGAAACAGGCGTACTCCGGTCATCCGGACAGATTTACTGACATGTTTCAGGTCCTGAGCAGGGAGAGTCTGAGCGGACGTCACTACTGGGAGGTGGAGAGGGGCAGGTGTGAGGTTTCAATAGCAGTCACACACAAGGACATCAGCAGAACCGGGTATGAAAGCGGATTTGGAAACGATGACAAGTCTTGGGCTTTGGAGTGTTTCAACAACAGCTACCAGTTCAGACACAACGGTACCAGCACCTTCATCTCAGGATCTCAAGCCTCCAAAATAGGAGTCTATCTGGATCACAGTGCGGGTATTCTGTGCTTCTACAACGTCTGTGAAAACATGACCCTCCTCCACAGAGTCCAGACCACACTCACTCAGCCCCTCCATCAGGGACTTGGTGTTTTTGCTACGTACTGTTCAGGATCGGCCGCAGAGTTGTGCAAGCTGAAGAAGACAGTTTAAGGGAATACAAACCAAAAACTCCTCAAAGTTTTGAGTCATTTCTTCATGACCTTTAACATCCACATTTCTGTCTTTGGGATATTTTCTTACTTTCTTTTGTTTGAATCTAGACAACTTTTATGAAAGAAAACTAATAATGCAGCAAACTTTGGGTCTTTATGGTGTTTTTTTTTCAACACATCCTTGAGAAAAAAAATCACATTTTTACAGGTATTATGATGCTTTTTGCACTAGATGGACTGAAGGAGAATTTTGCAATGTTTACTGTGGCTGTGTCACTTCCTTTGTAGAAACCAAAGTGAGTCAGACGGATCTGAGTCATGGGGCTGTTATCTACAACTTGTTTGCTTTCTTTTTCTGTGCTGCTGATTGAATGTGACATGATAGTCTTTAATTCTATGAAAGCAAATCAACACTTTCATTTACACCAAGGAAGGAAAATGCTCTTCAGTGAGAGTACAAACCGCTAAAAAGAAAGTTTCAAGTTACACAGAAGTATTAATTCGGCATGCTTTACAGGTGCTGCATGTTGCTTTTATTTGTCTCTTTATTTTGAAGGCAGCACATTATACAACATAGAAATAATAAACTATACCTTTGTGTGTATTATGGTGAATATGGTATTTGGTTGAAATGTTGATGTGAAAATGAATACTCAAACAAAGTGGAAATACCTGAAGATTAAGATTCAATTCTTACTTAAGCTCTTATCTCTGAGTTCATGTCTGCCAAAAGATTCAGTAAGGGCTCGTCATATTCCAGAGAGAGAGAGAGAAAAAAGTCACTTTACTCCATCCATGAAGGTTTGTTATTCCTGTCTTCTTTTTATTTATTTCTTTTTTTGTTATAATGACAGATTTTCTTTTCCTTAATTTGATCATTTTCAGGTTTAAGGGCAGATACAGAAACGCCCAGGTGCCTTATTACAACAGAGACTGGTGCAACTTGTTTATGATTAAAAAGTGATTAAACAAATCATCGCCAAACACTTGAAAACATTTAGGAATGATACACGTCATCTGAACATTTGCACTTTGTGTTTATTGAAGCAGCAGTTACGATTTTGTGAATTTGATTTAATATAAATAATATGTGTTACATAACTGTGCAATCTTGGTTACATTTATTGGCAATAAACTGTATACTGTCAATGTCTCTAATGGCCGTGACTTTTATGAAGGATAGTAATTGAAGAAAATAAACAAAAAACAAACAAGCAAAAACACAATAATGGTTATTGGGAGCTTGTTTCTGGAAGTTTCCTTATTTGACTTGTGGTTTGGCAACTTTTCTTCACACCATATACTTATTTTGAGCTACTGTATATTCTGATATGATTCTATGTTATAATTGTATGTATATGTATGTTGCATAATGCAGTCTTGCTACAAATCCCTTTAAATGCTGGATACAACTAAGGATATTTACGTAGTGAGCATAACTATTGGTGGAGTAAGGTGTGCCTACTTGGACCCATGTCATTTAAAGTGATGTCATTTAACATCAGCCCCTATCTCGTCTACATAAAAACCATAACCTAAAGAGGTGATATAGTTTTGTATTGGTTACATCTGTTTATACCACCATTTAAACCAGTACACTGAGGGTGCTGAATCAGTCCTTGGACATTTGTATCTTTATCTGTGATTATTTTACTAACAGATAGTCATCACATAGGCTCTACCTTATCACCTGTTCTTTTATTATATTGCATATTCCTACATGTGTTTTCTCTACAGTAAAAAGAGCCAGATATCCCATCATAAAGAACACTTTTATTTAGCTCTATGAGGTTAAACTGAGTGGTGTAACTTTTATGAGACACTGTGAAACTGATATCTGGGGTTTTGTTAGGGTGATTCCTGTTCACCTGCAGTTAGAGAGAACATCTGCATGCCTTGCGGTGACGGAAAGAAAGCCTGGAGAGCACATGGATAGAATCTATGCTGCAGGGACAACTGGGTAACACATTTGACTTTTACTTTTAGGGAAAAAACAACAAAACTGATCTTAAACCCCAACAATGGATATGATGTAGTTTAGAGTTCATCTTACATTTACATGCAACACCCCCTTCATTGTCAACACTTGACTCTGGACATCAATCTGTCAGAGTCTCTCAGATCTCTCACTGAATCATCTCCGTCTATTGTAAATCTGGACGCTCAGTCATCAGTGAGCTGTAAATGACCGCAGTTAAGTCAGAATATTTCCAGCCATTTTGTCAAAATGTCAACAATATTTTTCAGGTTTCCAAAGAGTCTGACAATTACTACACAGCATTTAGACATCAACAGTCATTTTAATCAAGTGAGGTATTAAAATTGCAACTTTTTATTTTAATAAAACTTGTCAAGATAAGATATTCATTTATTAGTCTCACAGGGGGGAATTTCAAAAATAAGATAATTTAATGCAGGACTTACATTACCTGACATATAAGAGGCCTCTGTGTACAGCACCCATCAGTGTGAAATGGGGGGAGTCTTTCAGTGGATGTGGACAAGGACACCTCAGTTCACACCTTCAATTGTGATTTGAACACTTCTACCACTGAGCCGCAGCTGCCCCCTGTGGTCTGTGGATGAAATTTCAAAGAAAAGTCGAGATTTCAAAAACGGTCCTTGTTGTATTTCTTTAAAAAAAATACAAAGGGGTTAGTAAGGGGTCAGGCACCAGAGTGTAAAGAAGACTGACCACAGATCATGGTGCCGGTTCAGCTGTATCTGTAAGTTACCGACTCCGTGCGCACAATAGGTTACCTCTCCATCAGGAGACAAGACGCCGTTCTTGCTACTGTGGGGTGGCTTAAAACTTAAGCTCTCCAGACCAACAAAAAATGTCAAGGTAAAGAGGTACTTTTCTGATGTTTGGGGGGACATTCTTGTTAGAGAGAGGGGTTAAAATGTCAATAAAAGCTGATAGCGTGCGTAAAAACGCTCTGACTTATAATAAAATGTCTGTGTTTTTGCTGATACGGTGAAATTGAATCCCTTATTTGGTCAGATGGTTCGGAGATGCAAAATGTCCTTGTCTGTATACATCATTATACCGCTCATTGCTCTCTCCTCATAACCTCAGACCTGCTCTGCACCAAAGTTGCAGCCTCACCAAGCTTTGTTAGCGATCTCTCAATTAGGTGCATGAACGTAGACACGTTTACACACGTCCTATAGGTATTTTTTACAATCTTAAAATAAAATAAAAAATAAATAAATAATGGACTAATGAATGAAAAAAAAAAAAAATCGGCCTACACCTTCATAAGAGAAACCTAAAACAACAGTGCTGGTGTTCAGTGTTCAGAATTCAGTAGTCTCATTTCTGCCCTGAGTCACCACAAGCTCTGCTCCAGTCTCAATGAAGTTTATTAGGAAAAGCCTGAATAATGTTGAAGTTAAGGTGTAAAGAGCCATGAACTTGCGTCAAATATACATGTCACGTGAGGACGCAAATGCCTATAGAACGATTCCATAGTTACTGAGTTTGGTTCCATAAATCATAACAAAACAAAAACTAATATTCAACACACATTCAGAGAGTGTTTGAAGGTGAAGGTGTTTCGCGAGTATCTCTCCGCACACTTTGGCAAACTTATCGTCAAGATCAAGAACTTCTTCCACCCTGAGAAAGCCACAGACTTTTAAGGACTGACCAGAGTCAAACTTCGGACGTCTGTCATGGAAAACGTAAGACTTACACACTGAGACGATATTTAACATTAAGGCAGAATATCTGAACTAGACAGTAGACTACCAGATCTTTAGTTAGTTATTTTTTTAATAATTTTTTTTAATAAAAACTGATGGAAATGTTCCTTGAATACCAGTAGGAGTTATCTATTTTCCTGTTGTATCGTTTATTACAAGTCTGCAAACTCCCTGCAGTTAGACTGAGGATGATAGGAGAAGCTGTTAGGTTCAGTGCTTAAATACTAAACTCTGTGGCCTCTATTGAATATATGAGGCCATGAAAACAGTAAAAGAGTAAGACAATAATAATGTAAAGGTTGGCAAATAAGTTAAAGTGCTTAAACTTAAACTCTGGTACATGACACCAGATCCTTGAGATAAAGAAAACACTACCCTGAGGTTGGTTGTTTTTGTTTGAATTGTTGCCTTAAATTGATGCCTTAGGTTCATAGCATTGATCTTGTTTTAATAAGTAACCTTAAAAACTGAATATACATAATATTTTCAGTTGAGTGAAACAATATCTAGATAATAAACCATCCAGTCACCAGAAAAGCTAGAGAATCAGAGACCGATCAGGCTGTTTATGCAGCGAAAAACTATTAAAGTGAAGACCTGTGTTACTGAGGTTGGTCGTTTTAGTTTGCATTGTTGTAGTTTTTTAAACCTTAGAGGACAAATTGATGCCTTAAGTTCATAGCATTGATCTTGTTTAAGTAAGTAACCTTAAAAACTGAATATTCATAATATTTCCAGTACACTGAAATTACATCCAGATAGTGAACCATCCAGACACCAGAAAAGCTGAGGAATCAGAGACCTATCAGGCTGTTTATGCAGCAAAAAACTATTAAAGTGACAACCTGTGTTACTGATTCTGACATGTGTGTATCCATGTGTGCGTACAGTGTGTTGGTACGGTTGATCTACAAGACCAGGCCTCCGGTGACAGACAAAGAGCCTCTGCTCGCCTTGCAGGAAAAACAGGGCAGCAGAGAGTTCATAGAGGGTGTCCATGCTGTGGATCTGAGCAGGTATGATATTAGATCTTCATTAACACAAGAAAAAACAAAAGTGTGCCACATTTTTTCACAAAAGCCTAAAACAACTACATGTAGAATCAGAAGTTCTTTTTGCAGCCTGCTGTGAAAGAGGACCTAAGTTTGTGCATCTAATGCTGCCTTCTCTCCTAAAACATGTCGTATAAAAGTTTCCTGCTCTCTAACATCTTCTCTTATGTTCATTTTCCTCCTTAAATTATTGAACCCAAAGCAGCAGCACTCTGCTCCAACCGTCACACCTCCTAAAAAGAGGAAGAGGACCTCTGTGGCTCATCCAGCAGGAGCTCCTGAACACCCCCTGGTCCCGAGGTCTCTGTCTCCCATCTCCCCTGAAGAGTTGCCTCCAGCCTCCAGTGTGGCCCCTGTCCCCCTGCTCTCCACCTTTCCAGTGCAGCCTGACACTGAGCTGAAGATCCACAACCGCTCAGTGGAGGAGTATCAGCTGCTCTATCATCGAGTGGTGGACGACATGCTGAAGTATGTTTGAATAGAAAGATCAAATCTCTCGCCCTTTATACGTCTCCAATAGATGACTTTTCATCTCATGTGTGGTTATGATTTCATTTCTGTTTCTTTTGCTCCTCACAGCTTTAAGGACGGACGTGCTCGTCCCTTCAGCTTCAAGCGGGGAAGGCTGATCAAACAGAAGCTCTGGGAGCAGCTGGACCGTCCCTCTTTCACGGAGTCAGTTGATGAGGATGGACTCGTGCATGTGGATGTGTCATACGGGAAGCGATTCAATCCTCCCCATTACTATATTGACACATCCGACGAACCACAGCCTGAGACTCCTCGTGTCTCAGCCAATGTAAGGGTTGGCAAATAATTTAAAATGCTTAAACTTTACTAGCATTTCTATAGTTCAATAAGTACATAAGACACCAGATCCTTGAGAAGAAGAAAACACTACCCTGAGGTTGGACGTTTTAGTTTGCATTGTTGTAGTTTTTTAAACCTTAGAGGACAAATTGATGCCTTAAGTTCATAGCATTGATCTTGTTTAATTACGTAACCTTAAAAACTGAATATTCATAATATTTCCAGTACACTGAAATTACATCCAGATAGTAAACCATCCAGACACCAGAAAAGCTGAGGAATCAGAGACCGATCAGGCTGTTTATGCAGCAAAAAACTATTAAAGTGACGACCTGTGTTACTGATTCTGACATGCGTGTATCCATGTGTGCGTACAGTGTGTTGGTACGGTTGATCTACAAGACCAGGCCTCCGGTGACAGACAAAGAGCCTCTGCTCGCCTTGCAGGAAAAAAAGGGCAGCAGAGAGTTCACAGAGGGTGTCCATGCTGTGGATCTGAGCAGGTATGATATTAGATCTTCATAAACACAAGAAAACAAAAGGGTGCTACATTTTTTAACAAAAGCCTAAAACAACTACATGTAGAATCAGAAGTTCTTTTTGCAGCCTGCTGTGAAAGAGGACCTGTGTTTGTGCATCTAATGCTGCCTTCTCTCCTAAAACATGTCGTATAAAAGTTTCCTGCTCTCTAACATCTTCTCTTATGTTCATTTTCCTCCTTAAATTATTGAACCCAAAGCAGCAGCACTCTGCTCCAACCGTCACACCTCCTAAAAAGAGGAAGAGGACCTCTGTGGCTCATCCACCAGGAGCTCCTGAACACCCCCTGGTCCCGAGGTCTCTGTCTCCCATCTCCCCTGAAGAGCTGCCTCCAGCCTCCAGTGTGGCCCCTGTCCCCCGGCTCTCCACCCCTCCAGTGCAGCCTGACACTGAGCTGAAGATCCACAACCGCTCAGTGGAGGAGTATCAGCTGCTCTATCATCGAGTGGTGGACGACATGCTGAAGTATGTTTGAACAGAAAGATCAAATCTCTCGCCCTTTATACGTCTCCAATAGATGACTTTTCATCTTATGTGTGGTTATGATTTCATTTCTGTTTCTTTTGCTCTTCACAGCTTTGAGAATGGACGTGCTCGTCCCTTCAGCTTCAAGCGGGGAAGGCTGATCAAACAGAAGCTCTGGGAGCAGCTGGACCGTCCCTCTTTCACGGAGTCAGTTGATGAGAATGGACTCGTGCATGTGGATGTGTCATACGGGGAGCAATTCAATCCTCCCCATTATTATATTGACACTTCCGACGAACCACAGCCTAAGACTCCTCCTGTCAAAAGACAGAGGAAGTTGAACTAATCAAGACATCATATGAGTTCAACTGTAAATATGTAAATATGTAAATATGTAGTTTTAAGTCTGCAATCTTTGAGAGGAACACCACAGACCTCCACTTCAGTCTCCACGTCATGCAACCTCCAGCTTTGTCCTCCACCTTAAAAATGTCACACAGTTTCAGCCTCACATCCAACTACCACCTGGCAGATGCCTCCCCCTGCAAGTGTGAGTAGAGAGCTGAAGCCTGAACCGAACATGACCAAACACCGGATAAGACCTCCACTGGTAGATGCCTCCCCCTTCAAGTTGGGGTAGAGAGCTGAAGCCTGAACCGAATTTGACCAAACACCGGCTAAGACCTCCGCCAATTCTGTCATCTGCAAGAAGTCTGTTCCTTTGCTTCCACCTGCAGATGGTGCACAGACAGTTGCAGAAGTTACCTCCATCTACACAAGCCTCTGGAAAGCCCACTGAAAACTGTTGCCCCCGCCTGCAGCCTCAGCCTCTTACTGCAGTTTAAGCCTCCACCTGCAGATCCAGACAGAGAGCTGCACAGGCCCCCGGTGTCAGAGTCCTCCTGCCTGAACCCTTGTCCTCTGCCCAAATCTTTTGCTGAATTCACTGCCAAACAAGCCTCCAACTTCAGTCCTGCTGCTGCTGCCTCCAACCGCAGAGTCTGACTGAGAACTACTCTGTGGATTTCTGCAGGTCCTTCAGGGCTCACAAACATCAAGATCTCCTGAAGCTGACGAAAGCCTATGAAGACAGCTCCTTGTTCCACAAGAGCTGTGCATGAGAGATGTCTTTATCTCCTCCTCTTCCTCCATTTTCACATAAGCCAAATAAAGACAGATTCTAAACAAAAAAAAATCTGTGACTTTGAAAAGTTTGGGTACTTGCAAAGATAAGAAGTAAATGTCTTTTAAACTCATACTTGAGAAGAAGAAAACAATATAAATATACTTACACATGAAATAAGGCTCATATTGAACATATTGGTTGCTGATGAGTGTGTTAGCAGGTGTGCCATCGAACTTTCTGCTGCTGCCGCATAAGTGTTGGGTTCAGTTGTTGCTTGTAAACAATATAAGCCTTAGTAATATGTAAAATCTAGTTTTCTTATTTGCAGACATACTCACAAAATCCTCCAAAAGATCTTATGTAACACTGAATCATGTCTATACTGGCCACTTATAAAATTCAGAATCCAACTCAAAATTCTTCTTATCAATTTCAAAGCCCTGCATGGACAGGCACCTGCCTATATTAAATAGCATTTATGTCTTAAACTCCCAGTAGGACTCTGTCCAGGGTTTGTTGGCCGTCCTCCACTCCAGGCTTATGGAGACTCTGTATTTGCAGTTGTAGCTCAAACACTCTTAAACTATTTGCCAATTGGTTAAAGAGTAGTGCACACTGTGGCAGGCTAAAAGCAGCTTAAAAGCCATTTATTCAGATATATTTATGTTTGTTTATTGTTCTGATTGTGCTCTTATTTTTTCTTTATCATTTTCTCAAAAAGCTTTCAATAATAATAATAATAGTAATAATAATAATAATAATAACTATGGGTCCATGTTGGCTTAGATTTTACAACTGTAGTTATCTAACCTAACATCCAAAGATCTATCTCTCATTGTGAACATTTGCTGTTAAAATTATTAAGACTGTTACTTTAGTGTTTTTGTTTTTGTTGGTTTGCAGGGATGAACAACATCTTCAAATATATGTAGATTCACTAGTTAGAGACAAAACTATGATTTCCTTTATGTAGTGATCCGAAAATATGAAAAAAATGGCTCATCTTACCCCACTCTACCCCATGTTCCAAAGAAAAGCAGGTCTTTGCCTCGAAAGCTTACAGCGGAACCATTGTTTACGAAGAACGGAGTACTAAACTGTGGCACACAGAATGCGGAAGTGAAGCGTCGCTGCTCTGTTTATGTTTTTCCCCCCTGACTCAACACGGTGGAGAAACAGAACTTTTTAAAACAATATGGCTGTGAGTGCGGTTCACCTGGAGTCTGACGCCTTCCTGGTGTGTATGAATCACGCGTTGAGCACCGAGAAAGAGGAGGTGATGGGTTTGTGTATCGGAGAGGTGGAGGTCACTCGTATCGTCCACATCCACTCTGTTATCATTCTCCGCCGCTCCGACAAGAGGAAGGACCGGGTGGAGATCTCTCCTGAGCAGCTGTCCGCGGCGTCCACGGAGGCGGAGAGACTGGCCGACATTACCGGCAAACCCATGCGGGTGGTGGGCTGGTACCACTCCCACCCACACATCACCGTCTGGCCGTCACACGTCGACGTGAGGACCCAGGCCATGTACCAGATGCTGGACCAGTGCTTCGTGGGCCTCATCTTCTCCTGCTTCATCGAGGACAAGAACACGAAGACGGGTCGCGTGCTCTACACCTGCTTCCAGTCCGTGCAGGCGCAGAAAGGCTCCGAGTACGAGCGCGTGGAGATCCCGATACACGTCGTGCCTCGCGAAGCCATCGGGAAAGTGTGTCTCGAATCCGCCGTGGAGCTTCCACGCATCTTGTGTCAGGAGGAGCAGGACACCTATCGCAAGATCCACAGCCTGGCGCACCTGGACCCCGTCACGAAGATCCACAACGGGTCGGTGTTCACGAAGAACCTGTGTAGCCAGATGTCCGCGGTGAGTGGGCCGCTGCTGCAGTGGCTGGAGGACCGACTGGAGCAGAACAAGCAGAGCATCGTGGAACTGCAGCGGGAGAAGGAGAGGCTGCTGCAGGAACTGGCCACTCTGTGAAATCCACGATGGAGCTTTAACTGTGGACAGACTGAGGACAAGGACCCTCTGATTGAAAACACCTCAAACTGGGACTGTCTACTTCCTGAGGTCAAAAACCATCGTAGCTGTGTTATGATTGATAACATCATAATAATCAGAATTAGTGAATGGGCATTTTCTCACTGAAAACACAGTCTTGCTTTTGTGACTTTAGAACTCGTGGAAAGTTTTCACTAAGTTCTTGATAAATCATAAATCATAGAATTATTTAGTCTTGAAAAAGTCAGATTTTTTCAACCCTCCTAACATGAAAAGCCCCCATGAGGAGTTTTTCTTAACTTTTATATATAAAAAAAAAAAAAAAACAGAGATTAACATTGATGCCTTTTTCATAATATCTAAAAGAAAACAACACCTTCAGTATGCTTTGCTCCCCAGAGATGGGAAAATACACGTGAGGTCAGCTTTTCAAATAAATATCTCAATTTTGACAAATATTCTTGGATTTAGATGGAAACTTTGCACACTGAACATATTGAACAGTTGTCATGATTGGAACAATGACCCTGAGAGGCCAACAATGTATATCTTGTCTTAAAACATGTTTGATTCTGCTGTGAAAATGTTCATATTTGTATGAAACAGGAGCAGCTTGTTGTTGGATGAGTTGTTCCTGGAAGAATTAATAGAGTTTATTGTAAAGAAATATCAAAATAAAATGAGTGAACCATGTTAGCTAATGGCAATTTCTAAGGACTAATTGTTTTTTAAACATTACAATCTAAATGGCACCATGAATTTGTTTGGTTTAACTTCTAAGTTTGGGCATCCATTCTGTGTTTCCTGCGGTGCTAGTTTAATCATTCAGGGAGCTTTTTGTCTAGATTTGTAGTCTTCTGTGAAGTGAAGAACTTGTCTCTGAATGCAGCATGGCAACACAAGCCCAAACTCGTTTTTTGAAAGATTTCCCAGTGTCTACACTCGCACTTCTTCACATCCCAGTTTCACCAAACTTGTCCCCCATGTCTCTGTTAAACCACTAGGTGTCTCCCTTGACTAAGTTTTCCTCTTTATTGTGGACGCTTTAGTTCACATTCCTTCATAATGATGCTGCTTTTTTGCAGGCTAAATTTTCTCTCTTATGACTTGCTCTTGACCTCAGTGCCTGGTTGAAATATGGTTGAAATGAACGAGGGAGTGATCTGTAGAGGCAATAATGTTACATCAAGGCTGCAAAAATGGTAAATGAAGAGAAGAACTTTATGCAACTCTGCATTTGGTTCATTTTTTTAGACATAAACTTAAACATTAAGATATACAGTACATCGCTTAACATTTTCAAGCATGGACATAATACAGCTGATGGACGTAATAAGTATATTATGCCATTCCCAAATCAAATCAAACCATCTCCTCTCTTCATATAATCCTGAATTACAAGTAATCTCAACAACCAACAGGTTTAAGCACTTTTTAATCTTTGGGATTTTTCATGAAGGTGCTGTTAGTGAGCAGAGCTCCCCCACTGCAGTCTCTGTGTATGTTTCTTCTGACCTCTGTCCCTGGCTGAATAGCTCTTGTTGTGGCGCGGCTTGTGTGTACGCAAGGGATCAAGAGGGGGCAGCGAGTGCTGGCCGGGGGGCAAAATGTGGCCTCCTTGATGAGACAGCAGGCAAATCTCCCTCTTGAGGGCCTCGGCCTCCTGGGTCTGCATTTTCACCATGTCCTTGAGCCTTTGTATGTCCTCCTGGACCACATGTCTGTTGTGATCCATGAACTGTCTCCCCTGGAAAGACACAAACATCCCTGTAAAGGTAATATACACTCTGACAAACCTGCTCATTAATACTGTATTCTTTGTTAAAAAAACAGAAAGTGGGTTGACTTGTTTCTATTCAAAGAGAACAGAGTATAGTATCCCTCCAACGCAAGTCTAAAGGGTTACAAGCTCATAAAAGTGAAACCAGGCTGGTTCAAACCTGCTAGCCCTGTTTATTCCTGATCTTATCATACAACCTGAGTGGTCTGATCAAAAGGTTTGAACGCACAAAGTCATACTGAGGACCAGTTGGGAGCCTTTTTTATTTCAGGGGGTCATTTTTTAGAAGTCGAGTCAAAACCCTGACTGACTTTCAAGACCGCAGAGGAGTTTTTAGGTGGTGGTCAAACATAAAAATAATGATAGCTGCTTCTCTATGCTACACAAAAACCAAAGAGATCATTAATATACAGATGATGTGAGAAGCATTAAAAGTTTCTAGATTAGTGGTCCATAAAACAATTTGATGATATTTTTCAAACTAAACATGCACAGGATAAAATCAGCAATGAGATATGATGTACAGCTTTGTCCAAAGAGGGCATCAGATTTGATAAAAGACTGCAACTGTTTTAAGTTAGTATTTTTGTATTACGCCTCTTTGACCATCTCTGTAATTATCTCATCTGACTCCCTAATTCAAAGTAGTCTGTTCCCTACTTAATGATACACGGATATCCTTGAGTGTAATTCAGTAATGAGATTTTGCTGTTCTTCAGACACAGCTGAATAAATCAAAGTTAAATAAATCAAAAACGTGTTTGTTTGTACAACTCCAAAAGTACAAATGCAACAGAGATAAATACTCTTGTTGGGAGGGGCAGAGTTTACATTCAAGATTTCTCCCAAAAACTGGCACTTCCTCAGATCCTGCCTACCCCACCTTTAACATTCACTATAAATAAAACAGAATTTACCCTTTTCTTCTGTCGAGCGTCGAGTTTATTCTCCAGGTCCGCCTTCTGTTTGTAGAGGCTGACCATGCTGCGGAGACACAATGCGCTCTGCTTGTTCGCCTCTGTCAGATTGTCACGTGCCTTCTCTACCTTCTCCTAAATTGAACAGTCACAGTCACAAAAACACAAAAATAAAAATCAATACATAGATTCTTCATTAGTTTCTAAAAAGTTTCTTATACATGTTGGAAGAAGATGACAAAAAAATACCATTCAAAAGAGAAGCCACAGAGACACAAACACAGCTTACATCACACTCTTTGATTTCTTTTCTGTATGCGGCTTCCTTGAGGAGTTTCTCCTGTCTGAGCTCCTCCAGTTTCCTGTTCCCTGACAGCGTCTGCAGGGCCTCCAGGTCCACCAGCCTCCCAAACTTCAGCATCATCAGCTGGTTGCATTGCTCTTTCAGAACTGCAACAACACACAAACACACGCTAAAAACACGCATCGATTCATATGTGCAAATGTTTCTCTGGCAGGAATTCTTCTTTCTTGACCTCTCTTTCTTAATCACACTTACCCATTATATAGATATTTGTAATAAACTTATCATATATTTCATGTTAACTATTAAGACGACTCTCACCATGGGTTTTGGCACTCATGTCCTTGCCCTCCTTGAGGAGTTTGACATGCTGCTTTCGGGCTGCACAGTACAGATCTCTCTGATGGTTATCCTCCAACTGCAGCTGCTTGATTCGCTTCTGCAGTCGGTTCAGCTCTGTCCTATCCAGAACCAGCGCTTGGCTCAGGTCAGACGGCACTGAGCCATTGGTGGAGAACTCAATCTGTAAACCAAATCACTTTTAATTAACGCCAAGTTATGTATTTCTTTTTGGTCATCAGTAGCTCTTTGACTTTTGTCTGTTTACCTGACTTAGTCTGAGAGGAACTACCACGTCCAGTTCGTTGATTTTCTGCTGTTTCTCCCTGTAGACTGACTCTATGTTGTCCTCTGCTGCTTTACGGTTGCTCCTTATAACTTCCTCCTAAAGGGACAAACACAAATAAAACACTAGGACACACAGGCAGGATGTGTGCCATGAGAGAACGCAGAGAGAGAGAGATGTGATGAGGAAAAAACACAGATATAAGTTTGACCTTCATGACGAGATTGTCTTGCTCCCTCTTCAGAGCTGTGGCACTCATCTTTTCCTCAGCAATAAGTTCCTCTAGGTCCATCCGGCGCTCTCGTAACTGCTGCGTGTTCTCAAATAACTCTGGATCACAGCCTGTCACACAGGTGCACACACACAAGATTTTCTGTATCACAGCTGAAGTTAAGAACCCTCAAACTTGAGGTGAGTCTTTACTAAATGCCTCATATCTAAAACACAAATGCCACCAGTCTGGAATCTTCAAGTCCTTGCTAGTTCTAGGGTTTTCATATGAATCAGATTAGGTCACGTTTAAGACGCTCTTTTCTTATGTCTTATGTCTTATGTTGTGTCATCAGTTGGCAGCTTTATCTGTGCAGCTCTTGGAGTCCAAGGCAAATTTTCCAAAGGGGACAAGAAAGTGTATCGTATCATAACGTACCGTATCGTATCGTATCATGTTGTATCGTATCGTATTATGCATGTGCAACCTCTTCAATTAACATTCCTGGCCTGACTGAAACAGCAAATTTCAGAATATTTATTGTGTTGCACATTTTGGATCATGGATGACGGTCAGCTCTTTTGTTTGAAGATGAAACAGTGAGGATGCAGATCAGAAGTTGTGCAGCAGAAGTTTCATTTGATGGTAAGCTGAAGCCATAGGCCACAAAGAAGCGCACATGTGCTCTTCTTAAACACCTGAAATGTTCGTTCCCTCTTATAATGTAGAAATATAGGAGTCTACTTTAGAGAAGTGTGTAAGGAAATGACCACACTAGTCCACACAATACTAACCTGAAGGGCAAACACTGAGGTCCTGAGCACCTTCCTCTGTGCTGGTATCAATATCATCGTCATCATCATCACTACTAATGTCATCCACGTCACTGTAATCATCCAAGTCTTCATCAGAGTCTTCATCACTAACCTCCTCCTCTTCTGCAAACACAGACACACCATGTACAGCGATCAAAGATAAACTTGACATTGTGCTCTTCTGTTTCTCTCTCTCTCACCCTCATCTGCTGTCAGTTTCTTCTTCACACGATGGATTTTCTTCTTGTAGACTTTGGTCAGGAACTCTTCAAACTCGTTCTCCTGTCCAAGTGAGGCCTGAAAGGCAGCAAACAGAGCCTTCCCTCTCTCCTGCAGCTGGGCTATGTCTGCCGACTTCAGCTCCAGTAGTTCATTCAACTCCTCCAGCTTCGACTGTAGGAAAGAGAGGGAGGGAGAACCAAGGCCATAAGAATCTGTTAACCGCTGTGATACAGCTGACTGTGTACGGAGGAGGATGAGGGCCACAAGAAAAGAAAAAAAAATATTACAGGAGGGAGATTTTGAGATTAAAGTCGAAATTTTAAAAAAAGTCTAAATCAAAAAAAATCAAAAATTCAACATTAAAGTCAAAATTTTGAGCTAAAAAAAATTGAAATTACATGAATAGTCATGAATTTTCGACTTGTGAAAGTGAGCAGGATAAATCATTAATGTATACAATAAAACCCAAATCTGAGTATTGATATACAGCTGATGAATTATTTGGTACTTTCTATACCATCAAACCTAAATTAAGTCAAGATTAGACCGTTTCAGATCATGCGGTGAGGAAAAGTATCAAAAATGTACATTTACAGAAAAAGAGAAACAGTCTTTAAACATGAAAATTAGCTTCAGGTTGGATTTTTTTTCATGAGTAAAGGAAACAAACACAGCCATCGTATAAACTAGAAACCCTGATCACTGTAGTAAACTCAGAAGAATGATAAGTAATATTGAACAAAGTATAGCATAAAAAACAAAGGACACAGCTGTTAAAGGATGAGATTGTCTCAATGAACCTGATACTTAAACTGTCTCTCACCTTGACGTCGTCTTCCTCCTTGATACATAGATCGAGTTTCTCCTGCAGACTGTCTTCCGTCTTCTCAAACACCTTGACAATCAGCAGCTCCTGATACAGCGTCAGCTGATGGAGCTCGGACATCTTCAGCTGCCAATCCAGACGCAACTTCTCGTGAAGCAGGAGGCGGAGCTCAGCGTCAAACTGACACACCGAGTTCTCCATCTGATAACGACACGAACAAAATCATACGATCACACAGGTTATACTTTAGTATCATGAGCTGTCAGACAGAGATGATCGATAGAATATATATTTTGTTCATGTCAAAGCACTTAAATTTGGTCGCCTTTTTTCTCTTGTCAAAGGGAACAAAATAACAGACCTGTTCAAGAAGAGAGTCCTGCTCATGCAGAAGTCTGATCTCCTCCTCTTTCTTCAGCTCCTCCTCCAGCTCAGTCATCTCTGCTCCTTCGTTTCCTGCTGTCTCCTCCTTTTCTTTAGATAAATCTGACAGTCTGAGTGTCTCTCTCTCTTCCCTCTCTTTCTCCTCCTCCTCCAACTCCTTCTGCAGCTGCTCCAATACGCCTGTATCCTCTTCCTCCTCTATACTTTTGAGCCTGTAAAATTAATGTGTAAAATTAATATGTGGTTTACTCTTAACCTGTCAAGTCAATTTTTGTCCTCGACTCCTGTCTAAGACTGGACATGAAGCCTCTGTACCTCTGCTCCCTCAGAACCTGGTATCGCTCTAGGGTGGCACGGCTGTACTGCATCCTCTTCTCTGGGGTTTCCTCTGGTAGAATGGTAAAGAGGGTGGGCGGAGAACGATGGAGGTGGGCTGGTAAATGCCGCTGTACCCTCTTTATCTGTTCAACCTGAGCACGCAGCTGAGACCGCAAGCGAACCTTGGAGTCCCTCAAAGCCACGATACGTCGGTTCATCTCAGTCTGCTTCTGATGGATCTGATAGAATGAAGAGAGTGATTCAATTCATGCTTATTAGTCTAACATTAATTAACCTGTTGGTCATCATATCTGATTAACCATCCAAAGTCAGGGTATGTGTGTGTTTTTGTGTACGTTTTTCTCCAAGCTCGTTAGCTCCGCCCTCTTCCTCTCAGCGTTCATCCTCAGCTGTTTCGGCATCTTAAAGTCTTTGTCTGACTTCAGCTGTATGTCTCCGATGGTCTCTCTGGCCTCTTTGATGGCCTGTACGTCCTCTGGATCCTCATAGTTCTCGTCTGGTTTCTCTGCATAACTAAGGAAAGAGCACATGTTCAACATCAGCATCAAAAGTCATCTAAAGCCTCAACTCTCTAACAGATGATTCAGAAACCCCAAGAAATTTAATTTCAGCGCAGAGGATTGGGATTATGTTGTGACATGACACTCACAGTTGAGCCCATTCCTGTTTTCTCTTCTCTATCTTGGCTCGAGCTTGCTCAGCTTTCTCTGCAGCCTTTCGGAGCCTCTCAATCTGTCGATCTCCCAGCTTTATACCTGAAGAACAAGCCACTGGCGGGCACAGCACGACCTCCCCTGGAAAACACACACAGATGCAAGTCAAGTATGTCTTTGACAGGTGAAAGAAACCCACAAAGATCATCTACCTTCTAATTTGCTGCCGTTCTTTGCAGGTTCAGCTTTAGATCTTCTGCGTCCTGTTACAGTGGTTTTGTCTTCATCAGGCTGGCTAGCTGTGCTCTGAGGGCTGAACTGAGTGGAAGTTTTCGTGAGCGCAGGTAGATGGTAAGTAGAGACTCTGTGCTCACTGCAGATTGCGACCACAGTGACCACAGTTGACTCCAGAGAGCTCCTGAACCTGAGAACAAAACACCAGAATAATAAAACGTCAAAGTGCAGGAGACTTAAACCTGCAACTTTCCTTAGGACTAACAAAGGGGACTCAAACAAGGAAGATGGATGGCCAAAAAAAAAAAAGGAAAATATATTAAAATATGTAAATAAACATCTTAACAAACAACTGTTACCATGTCTTTACAAACATTTCATTGTACTTGGATTTGTTTGGATGTGCGTGTTTGGTCAGTACCAGTCCTGGAGTTTGCTGAGAGCTACGCTGCAGCGCTCCTCTTCCCAGCTCATCTGCATCCTGACTCCCCTGACTCGCTGAGCCTTCTCCCTCTCTGCTTGTTCAGTAAACCGCCGGTCCAGCTGCAGCTCCTTCACACACACAAAAAAAAAATGTAACACACAAATGTAACACATAACTCAGAACACCACAATGGCAAACTAAAGCTTCCTGAAGTATTGTCCAATCTTCACTAACCTAACCATACCTCTCAAAGAAAAATTAGACCTATACCAAGAGAGTTTGGAGTCTCTCTTTTAGAGTCTGTGTACCTCAGGTTTCAGGCGCACGTGCTCTGGCAGTCTTTGGTTTTTGTCCATCAGCTGTTTGAACTTCTTCTGGAGCTCTGCCAGCTTTTTACGCTTCGCGCTGATCTTCAGCTCTGCCTCTCGGCGCAGATGGTCCTTCTCCAGCTTCTGTTTCGCCGTCTCTATGCTAAGAGAGAGGGAAAGCTTCAAATTTTTAGATTTTCTTGAACAATATTTACTGTTGAGTATAGATATCTCGCTGCCTCTTGTTTTAGATGAAGAAAAATGTGACATTTAAACAAATAACAAGGAGGGCTGACTGAACATAAAAAGAACCTAACCATGTCCAACACATTATTGACACTCACCTGTAGGCTGCTGGGTCCTCGATGTCCTGAGCCAAAGCCTCATCCTCAAGACCCCTCTGTAAAAATAAAAGTATGAATAAAGTTAGTATTACCAAGATGATGAACACTACCACCCAACTATAAGGCAGTTCTCTTAAATTAAATCAGTTTTATGATCTCTATTGTATGGAAGCGTACTGCATTCACCAAAAAAAAAGCTCTGTTTTTCAGAGTGACTTTTTCTGTTCTGTTTTTCGGACTAATTTTTTCTGTTTCTCGGACTAATTGTGTTTCCTATTCTCTGAAATCATGATCATTTAACGCTTTCATTAGACGCTTTCATCCCGCTCTACTCAATCTATTGGAAGCAAACACCGCCCACTTGTTTGGTTTAATCATGTTTTACTTTCTTTTGGTTTAAGACACTGGTAGATACTCCTTTCTTTAAGTCAGATAGATGGAATCGTCATAAGTTTGTCTACTTTGCACAGGCACCTCAGCATGAAATGCTGTTTGATTCCTTCACAGTTAAGTTTTTATAAGACAGGAAATACATTTCTTTAGTTTTAAACGGATGCTGACCCTTGGTGAAGGAATCTTGGCCCTCTTTCTCTGCAGACTTTTCTGGAGCTCCTCTGGGGGGAGAAGGCTAAAGGAGAAGATGTTCCCATCGTCGCCCGCTGTCAGCACAAAGTGGTCATCATAGCTGCAGCGGATGTGCCGCAGGTGTCCGTAATGGTTGTCGTGGACGCTCAGGGTCCAGTATGCCTGTATGGAGGTGAGGTCGTGGTCTCCAGGCTGCAGAGGGTAAACCCTGATGGAGCCTGAATGCATGCCACAGAGCAGCAGCTGTCTGTTGGAGCTACAAAACACAGTGAAGAAAAAAACGTAAACAGATTAAAGTCTTGTGGTTTTTAAAAAGTCTCCTCTATAACAATCCAATTTTTAACTCTTTCTGCTCAAAGACAAAGAAATGGTCACTTCCTTTCAACCTTGTTTTCTAGGTTTAGTGACACACAGCCTATCAGAACAACCCACGCTAAGTTTGCCCTCTAGATACCTAAAGGTGATAGAGCAGATGGGGTCTTCATCTGCATTCTGAATCGGCACAAAGCCAAAGGGTTCATCCTGCTGCTGGTCTGGATCCTGGTCTTGGTTTTCGGAGAACTTACAGTGATACAAAAAACCTGCATCAAAACCTCCCTGCAGAAGAGAAAAGAAAAGACATATTCTTTGAGGAAAAGACAACAGTATCTCTTCGGCTCCTGATTAAGGGTTATGGGACATTATCTCGTCTTTCCTTAAATTTCTGCACAGAGAACAAATCCGCAAAAAGCAAAGAGATCCAAGCTAAAATGCAAACAACAAGGTGCAAACAGTTCAAACCATCATGAATCTGAGCTGACTGACTGAAAGGCTGTTAGAGTGTTTTAGACTATAGTTCACTTAAAGTCCTCATTTCATGCCAGTTTTTTGCTCATAAATCAACCTCTGGACTTAAAATGATTGTTGATGATTGAATGGGATCTAAAAAAAACACAATTTTAAAAGAAAAGATCAAATTAGACGTCTGAACATCACGGATACCAGGTTTTGTATTTAAGGAATATGGTTAATTACTGTCTCTTGAATGTTGAGAAATACAAAATGTGTGATTGTTTGTGTGTTTCTGTCTGTTCGTACCATAGACAGCCAAAACTGTCCAGGTTGAGAGTAGAAGCCACAGTAGAGAGGACTCGGAGTGTGTGGGATGTAGATAGGGGGCAGTTCCTCCTCTTCCTCCTTCTCTTCTTCTTCCTCCTCTTGCTCTCCATCTAGCTGCTTTGATTCTTTCAGCCTCTTTTCTCTCTCTTCCTTCTTCTTTTCCTTTACTCTCTGACGTCTTGTGATTTCTTCCTCTCGCTGAACACACAAATCGAAACGTAAGAGATCTGCCGCTCAACAGCAATCCTTGTGGATAAACTCAAAGAGGGGAGAGGACACAGTAACAGCCACACAAATTAGTATAATTAAGATTTTATGGACCTTGATCTGTGATTTGATGCTCCTGAATCTGAAAGATTTGCTGGGCATTGACAGCTGGAAGGTTTTAGTTGGTTTCTGCGCCTCTGGATTTGGACTCTGCACCTCGACCACATGACCATTCTGGCACAGGATGAGCAGCCTGTTTTCACTCTGTGTAGAAAATGTAAAGAAAGTGTTTGGATCAATGATCTCTCATCACAGAAATGTTACACTAAATGTGAGCTGGAGGCACCGTACTGACATGGGAATGGGGGGACCACTCCAGCGCCTGCACAGGCCCAGGGACCTGGATAAAACCAATGGGCTTGTATTTTTCTCCAACAGTGAAGAAGAACACGGTGCAGTCTGAGCTCTGAGTAGGAAGTAAAAATGTGATATAAAGAACAACAGAGTACAAAATAAAACTATTATCTACTTCAGGGTCTGGTCAGAGTAAATGTAAGAGTTTACAGTTTACCCCAGTGGCTAAGATTTCTCCATTTCGTTCATATGCCACAGCAGTCACAAGTGCATTGTGGGGTTTGAAGGCCTGCTTCAGGCGAAGTTTTGCATCTCCTTTAGGACTCCTCCCACTGACCAGATGAAGCCTTTGAGGGTTGAACAGCTCCAGCAACCGGACCACTCCATCCTCAAACCCTGTCACTAGTAGACCGCCACTTTGGTTCACCTGCACAAACAGGTGGAGTCAGTTTTTGTTGTGCACAGTGAACTGGATTTGTTAGCGTTCCTTATTTCCATGCTAACACACTGACCAAAGTTGGAGCCCAGCAGAGAGCAGTTCCCCCCTGATTGAAGCGGCTCGTGGTCAGCTCTTTTTTCGCCAGGAGGTCAAAAACTTTTATCGAGCCTGGAGACGACACAGAAAGAGTTCCAGTTTTTAGCGTGCTTGTTCAGTTTGTGTGCATGCCTGGAGGTGTGTGTGTTACTCACGGTCAGTAGCGGTCGTAGCCATCAGGTGAGATTTCCTCGACATGTCCAGGCCCTGGATCGGCCCAGCGTGGAACGAGAACAGACACTCTGGATCTGGAGTCTGCACACACACAGAGAGACCACACATCAGCTGTTATCCCAGTATCTTCTCAATTCTTTTACAGCTAGATTCAATCTTACACGATCATGTGCAACATAGCTTTCCACTGGCTGGACCATTTTAACTTTATAACTCCTCGTGGCTCATCTTACAAACTTTTGTGATGCACCATCCCTGGTACATGTGCTCCATCTCAACTCAACCATTCTTTATGTAGACATGAGAGGCTGCTTCATTACAATTGTTTTAAACACTCATTCCTTCCCACCTCAATTAGATATTTAAATAATGTTTCCTAAAATATAGCCGGATTGTCCAATAATGTCATGGTGTTATCTTATTATTTCCTTTTTGGTCTTGTTTTCCTTGTCTTCACTTGCTGTGTTTCTTTTGACCATTTCTATGAGATGCTTGTGCAATATGTGTATGTGCAGTGTGCGTGGGTTGTGTGACTGTGTCTTCGTTGGGTCTAATACTTTGTGTCATCAATTGGCAGCTTTATCTGTGCAGCTCTTGGAGTCCAAGACCAATTTCCGTAAGGGGAAAATAAAGTTTATCGTATCGTATTGTATCGTATCGTATCGCATTGTAAAAAAGCTCAGGAAAGTCAAGCACTAAGTGTGGCTCACTCACTGTGTAGGTGAATGAAAGATCCAGTTTCCAGATGGCTCCACTGGAATCCTAAAAAAAAAAACACCGACATGACCTCAGTGTTGGGACTGCATCATCTGTTTGGTTTGATTTTGAATGGGCTGATGTGGTGACCTTCTTGAGTTTTCTAACCTGTGCAAACCAGACAAAAGAGTCTGGCGTTGAGCTCTTCACCACAGAGGAGAGGCAGACATTGTGTCCGACCACCATCTCATTCATGGGCTCCATCTCAAACCTGCTGCTGTGTCCGTTACTGTCAGCTGAGTCGATGCCCTCAAAGTCCCAGCCCTGCAGGAGAGCGGAGTAGAAGGGTTGATAACAATAATAATAATAATCATTTTGGTTTGATTGATTGCATCTTAAAACTTATACTTGTTTCCAGACCATAAACCAATAGTTACTAGTATTAACCACCTTCTTTAAGAGCAGTGCCACAGTGATGCTGACCCATCGCCTTCTGGATCAAATAAATGTATCTCTTCACCTTTTATTTTTGTGTCACATTTCCTCCTAAGTAATATATTACTTTAGTCATGGTTATTGTAAGTATCTTACCCGGACCACTCCATCAGAGCCAATCGTCATCAGCTGACCATCTTCCAGGACAAACGGCTGGACCTTCCCAGCATGGCAGTTCCTCCCCTCTTTACGGCAAATCTCTACCTTAATGGCGTTCCCGTCCCACAGCAGCAAGTTGCCCCAGTCTGAGCCGGACACCACCTTACAGGAGACAACTTCAGAGATAAATATTCATCTTCCTTTAAACATCGCAGAGGATTTTTGAACACCAAAATATTTGTGGGATACAAAATCAGACTTTGAAAGTGCAGCATTTCATTTTGTCACATGATTTCACAAAATTGAATTTTAAAATTGCAAAGAAAAAAAAGGACAATGCTATCCTCTGAGGGAAGAGATCTGACACTTTTAAGGACTCCTGAACTGTCACTACAAAGGGACTACAAAGAATTTAAAAAATAAGAAAAAATGTGTAGTATTACAATCCCCAAACTTTATTTATACTCGCACATTTAGCTGCCTGAAAACTTAAAATTCTGACAAGAACTTTTGGTATTTGTGAGATGACAGAGCTTGAAACATCTTTTCCTTTAGCATTAAAATTGTAGGTACATTTTTCAGACCATTTTTGACCCAAAAGTATGAATCTGAGGATGTTTACCCTGTAAATGAAATCTGTTTCACTTTATGATAACAGTTTGATAGCAGCGCAGTGTTTAAAAGGTCTAAAATAATCCTACTTTGTCTCAGAATTATAAAGATGTCGTCCTGCATTGATCTGACTTGTCAGTGTAGTAACACACACCTTTCCATCGGGGAGTTCCACGTAGCCCTCAATATCTGTTGCTGCGGTTTTCCCGAAATGCCCCATCAGCCCTTGCAACTTAAGACTTGTGAATGTGCTGGCCATTTTCCAGAACCTGATAAAGAGTGAAAATGTGTTTTTTAAAAAAGCACTTGAAAACCTGAGAGTCATTTCCAAACATCTCCATTTGTTGCCAATCAAATACTAAGAGGAAACGGATCATTTCAATCACAGCAGAGTTTAACAGTGTGACAGGGTTTAAGGAGGAATCAGTTAGTCTTTTACTTGATGTGATGAGATCCTGATGATGTGAGTAGTCCTGGGATATACGGGGAGAAGCTGACCCGATACACTTCTTGAGAAATGGCCTTACAGCTCAGCGTCACTTCCTCCTTCTTCCAGTCCCACAGTGTCAGCATGTAGTCAGGATCACTCCCCACGCTGGCCAGCAGGCGCCCATCTGGGCTAAAACTCACATGGCTGTACGCCCGCTCTGTGCCGCCTACAGACATGACAGTTGAAATATAATCACTGATCAATGACAAACATCTAAACTGAAAAAAGGAATAATAACTTAAATCCTTTTGGTCCTGTTTACCTCTGAGGATCCGATATGGTCGTAATGAGGGATATTCATACACTATGATGAAGGGATGGTCTCCCCTCTCTGCTACAGCAAAGTACTCCTTACTGGGATGTGTCTGAACATGCAGACACACAAACATCAATAGAAATAAGTTAAGACAATACTGTTGAGTAATATTAGGCCTTTGTTTTCCTCCACATTCATCTGACTAAATTGTTTTGGTGAAGAAATGCACCCAAGCAGTCAAAAGGTTTTTGGATCTCACATCCATCTCTGTCTCACCTCTTTCCTGTCATCTTTTAACCTTTTCTTAAAAAGAGTGACAGCAAGGTTTGAATTTAGTCAACTTAATTCTTTAAATCCGGCCCGAGACACTCAAAACAACACAGAAGAATAGATGTTCCTTTGTTTCTTGTTGACTATGTTAGATTTGTTTTGAATATTTGCTTAAACTTCTGTTCTGATCGATGACTTGAATGTTTTTGTTTTTTATTTCTACAGTACCACTGTTTTAAAGATGAACCCCCTTAGTCCAAATACAGTAATGTCTTTCATTGATCTTGCTAGTTTTCTGAACATATCATGTTTGCTCTTTTCAGGTTGGATTTGATTTTTCACAGTTAAATAAAATCTTTTGAGCAGAACTTATCCAGGATGAATGATGCGTCACAGTCCTCTACTAAGTTTTTATCCCATCATGAAAATTTTGAGACTGTTATTCAAGTGGAAAATTCACAAAAAAATTAAATCCACCGCAGATGAGTACAACAGTTCAGATACATACAGGCTGTAGCTTCACAGTAACATTATCGCTTTTAACTATCTTACCGTGATGGAGCCAATTCCTCCTCCACTGCTGGAGCGGAGGTATCTCTGCTCTTTGGTGAAAACATCTAGGAGGACCAGAATGTTTCCAGCAATAAATATCAGAGTTCTGTCATCCAGCAGCTGCAGGTTCCCCCTACGTCCACTGTCATAACCAAAGGAATGTCTGTACGTAAGGTGGGTTAAAGATCTGGTCAAATTCAGGGAGGTTTTTTTTTTTTTTTAGATAAAAATATTTCTAGTAAATATGGCCTTTTGCACTAGTAGGGTATATATTATTGTTAAGGTGCATATAATTTTTAAGGTTATATGTCAAAATTTCATTTCAGACTTGTTATGCAGGTCAGCTTACGGGTTCGCCTGACCCGGTTGTCCCCCCTGGTCAGCGACCCTGCTTATCACAAAGCTAGTAAATTCAACAATTACAAGAATTATCTGCAGATTCACTTTTTGTTTATCCCCTTTCCCAAGTTTGATGAAACTCAATTCTCACTGAAGGATACGAGAGGTACAGGAGGTTTTCTGGGATGTCAGAGTCCGGTGTGATGAATGGTCTGGAGTGAAGCTCCTTATACTTGTAGTTCATGTCTGCAGGAAGCTTCTTCTCTGATTCCTCCTCAGTCTCCTGCTTCATCGCTGAGTTTCTGGTATCTGACAGGAGGAGAGAAAAAATATTGGATTAAGTCATTTTACTAGTAGTAGTAACAGTGGTAGTAGAAGTAGTAGTAGAAGTAGTATTTGTAGTAGTATTAGTTTTTTTTTTTTTAGGTTTACCTTTCCCCTGTGTAGCAGACTGTGTGTTCTCAACCTTTTCAGGAAGAGAGCCAGTGTTTTCCTCCGACATTGTCGCTCTTCAGTCCTCCGTATCTCCGGCTGGTAATTTTACAGAAGAAGTAATTATTCAAAGTAACTGTCTGGGTAACATTACACCAAACTATCGTCAAGTTATGACATTTTTTCTGACTTTAATTAAATAACAGACACAGTATATAATGCGCTTTTCCTTCGCCTACTTGCCCTGCGTTATAATTTGGAGGCGTTTCTAAGCAACGGTAACGTTACCCTGCTGCAATGCCTGCCGGTAAATGTTGTTTTCAACACGTTTTTGTTTCTTTGCTGCTGTTTTAATCTCAATTATGAATTTTCCTTATGGTAAAAAAAATTATTTATAATCCCTGGGAAGGCTTGACTCAGATTTTATTAAAGATAAAAAAGGGGAAAGTTTCAACATCTGTGTCTAACTGTTACCATGGTGACTGGTCGATGCCTTCAACTGCAGGGAGCAGACATAAAGTCACTCTCGATCATCACTGAACATGCGTAGTTCAACAGAAACACGGATGAACACTTGATGGACTGTGGAGTGAAAGTTTTACTGAACTTCGTTTGGTGAGAGGCAACTGTCGTAATGATAAACGTTTTTCGGCAGGGAATGCCATAGACAAAATATACGTAGACGCCCCAAAGCCTGATGCTGCCTAGCGGAGCTCTCGTATCAGCGCGGCCGCCATCTTGGATAGCCATGTTGATAATAACTCCGAATCTCTCCCCGATTTTCTTAGCCTGGGCCATCCTGTTTCGTGAATCACTTGCCGTTCCTTTACACTTGTTTTTTTTTTTCAACCATAGAGTGCAAAAAAACAAACATAGTTGCTCGTTTTCCATCGACCCCGTTTGGCTCTTGATCAAGCCTGGAGTGGGTAGACCCATCCAATATGGCGGTGACGCTGGTTTACACTCCAGCACGTAATGAGACGTCTACGTATATAACATCTATGATTTTTCATCGGACGTGTTGTGCCGTAAACCGCGGCCGTGAGAGAACGCATGGGACAGAGCAGAGGCAGCGTGTGTGTTCATTTCTAACGTAAGTTACTGGAACTAAATGTCTACAGCCTGTTATCGATTATGTTTATGGTTCAGATATAAGACAGAAGTGCGTGAGATCATCAGTATAGGAATGTTTGTTGTTGTCATCATCAGGTGTTGATGTTGTTAGCTGACAGAGCTAGCTTTGAGAAAAGCTACAGTCCGAACAAACTCTTTTAATCTGAGCAAACAGAAGTGTTTTTTTGCATCAACATCATCGGGAATAATTGACATATTAAAGTAAAATGTACTCAACAGAAGAAAGATTTACTCTCAGTATTTAGTGTTTATTTTTGGGCCTTTTGCCCAGTTAGAGTAAGAGAGTATTCCTGTGGTTTATGAGCTGACTCCTTGGGGGAAAAGTTACCTTAATATCATGGTTAGGTTTAGATTTGAGTGTTGTTCCTCCATTTATCACCTGTGCTTTAAAATCATTGCAAATATCTCGCACATCTATTCAGCCAGCATGTCGAAACTCTGTGTAATCCTCATGAAAACTGTCATATGTAGAATATATGCATCACCTTATTGACCATACTTATCTGTGGACATTTTCACATCTGCTGATACTAATAATACATTTATTGGCCATTATCAATATTATACTTTCAAAGCCTCTTTGGAAATCCTTGATCTTCCCATAAAATCAACTTCTAAGCTGCTTCAGTAAATCAAACTACATCTGGCCTGTAAAAGCTTTGCTTGAACATCTGGCTTAAGGGCAGAAAAAATGCTCATGTTTAGTGTTGATTCATCATGTTCATGGTCAAATACTGTCCTCATTTATCTTCTCCACCTCCAGCATTTTTACACCATTGCTTATCTCTGACCTAAAACTGATTAGGTTGATGATTTTTACTCCAAATTCACCTGTTCTGTATTATTCTAACCCATGTTTGGCCTACATGTCATTAAATAATGGCTGTTAGTGGTCGACTGATAACGGTTTTTCAACAGCTGATGTCAAAACTTATAATGGTAAAGCAGGACATCCAATAGATGAAATCTAGTGCTCATATCACATTGTTGTTTTTACTTTTCTTATGTTTTTAAGCATTTTACAACTACGTAATACTTAAAAACGATAAACAAAGCTGCTGGACATAAATGAATGAGTGAATGTTGTATTAAGTATTTGTTTGTCCAGCTGTTTTAGATCATTAGAAAAATAAGTAAAAATTTAAGGTAGCTGTTGTGATCAAAAAGTCATAAGTCCACTATTTCATGCACAAAATCATAGTTATCCGAGCCAGTCACATTTTTAAAAAGACATTTATTGAATTTTGGAAATATAATGACTTTGTGAGGGTCGATGCTGATATGATGCAGATTACTAAAAAGAATAAAAAGCGACTGATAAATCCGTCTGTCTCTGCAGGCTATTTTCAGATGTTTAAAGAAACTGTGAACAGTTAGAGTACCAGTCATCCTGCTTCATTTCTACAAACACTCAGCCAAGGCATTCTCAAAATTGGCCTGTAATCACTGCATGTAGTTGATCGGTTTAGACCAGATTTCTAATAAATTGTGTTTCTGTGTTTTCATTTCTGTCTCATTTTCTCGCTGGGATGTACTTTAGGATGGAGGCTAAATCAAAGAAATCCTTCTCTCCTAAAGGGGGAAAGAAATTCACACAGAAAGGAAAAGGTAAGATAAAGTGTCTGTTTTCCAGCCTGGAGCACCATCGGTCTGTGTCAGGGTGTTATCTGACAACTCGCCCTTTTTACAGATTCCATAGGGACCAAACTTGGTGGAAAACCAGGCGGTAAACCAGGCAGCAAAAAGCCCTTCAAACCGTACAACAGCAGACCAGGAAAGGGCGGCGACGGCAAGAATCAGCAGAAATTTGCCTTCTCTAAAGCTGGGAAAGGGCCACAGAAGAGGAAACTACCACCCTTCAAAACTCAAAATAAAGAGGAGGGTGATGGTAAGAAAACAGAGTGCTTTTCTCCATGTAAAAAAAAATATGTGTTGGGTTACTTATCTCCAAATGTGTGGGTTTCTATCACCAGGTCCTCAGACTAAGAAGATGAGGAAAGGTGAACTCAATCCAGAGTCAAATGAGGAGCTGCAGAAGAACAGGCAACAGAGGAAGAAGGACCTTAAAAACAGCAGACAGCAGGCAGAAAGAAAGGAAATGTTTGAGATCATCTGTCAGGCTAAACGAGTGTGGGAAGATCTCAGGAGGTACAGTTAACACAGCCACATACATGCACAACCAGAGTTACTTTTTACAAAACATTTTCAAACAAACCCAGAAAGACTGGGCTGCAGTTTTAGTGCAGAGATTAGTGTTTCACTTTGACTTAGAGGATGCTGTGTTTGTGTCTCACAGGAAGAAATGTGAGAACGACGTGAAGACTAAACTGATGAAGGATCTTCACAAACTGATTAATGGAAAGATCAAACAGGTTCGTCTTTCTCGCTCACGGTTTGAAACTGTACAACAGAGCTGCAGCATCACTGTCTCTGAGGAATATGTACAGTCTGCACAGTGACACACAATACAAGATGATACAACACGATTTATACGACACAGATACAATATAATGTAAATTTTTCTGTTTTGTTTTAGAAATTAGAGAAAGCTGATGCCTAAACATTAAAACATAAACATGTAACAATGTAAACCTGTACGACTGTATCTATAACAGCTTTAGATGTGTCTACAGTCAGCTTCCATTAATCACAGTAACCCTCAGGAAAACGTCTTCCTTGTGAGCTCTAGTACTTTTTATCTTAAATGTCACAAACTCCTGTCAAGAAATCAGTGTGGGCTGTTTGAAGAAGTTTTTTTGATTCAGTTTATCAATAGAGAATGGTGAACTTACTTTGTTGCAGCGTATGTGTCAATGGGATTCATTTAAAAGCTTATCTTTTTGAGTCAATTATTACGACTTTGGTCTTTTTGTAGACTCCTATTTAAGATCAGTTATTAATTTTAATGAAGTCAGAATTTTTTCTGTGCTGTTTAAACATAGCTACTACACCTGCATGGAGACACCATTTAAAAGTGAATCAACAGTCCCATGTTGTTGCAGTGTTATATATCTTAGATGATGATTTCATGTTTCCTGTCCCTTTTGCCTCCAGATGGCGTTTGCTCACGACTCTGTGCGAGTGCTGCAGTGTTTCATTCAGTTCGGCAGCCATGAGCAGAGACAGCGAGTGTTTGAGGAGATTAAAGGTGAGGGCACATTGTCACCTGCTGCTCTATAGCTCTTCTTTCTGTGTCTTTCTTATTCCTATGAGTGCATTGTTTGAGCGTATTTAGACAGCTGTTCTCAAACTGAATATGCAGGTCTACAAATACGAGGATGACTGTTACACATTTAATTTTAAAATCTGACTTGTGTCCGGCTAAAGCAGCTACTAGAAACAACTTGACTGTCTGTGTTCGTTCTCCCCTGCAGATGATATCCTCGAACTGTCTAAATCTCAGTACGGCAGACATGTGGTGAAAAAGCTGCTTATGTATGGGTGAGTATAACAAAACAAGACACACTATTTTTAAAGTGCAAATAAACTAAATGTTCTTAACATTATAACAATAAAGTGCCCCAATGTTTGAGCTGTGAAAAAGTCTTAAGGGGAGAAACAAAACAAAAAGAGTAGAAATGCATATTTTAGGTTCAAAAAGGTTTATATTGTGGCCTATTTTTGTTTCCCTTTATTTTGCGTTTTATCGTTGAGCATCAAATAATTGTATTTTTTTTTATTATCCAGTAAAGAATTTAGTTCTCACTATTTTGGGGTTGCAGTTTCTCTTTTTTTTGTTTTTGTTTAACAAATTCCAAGTATTAATCTAATTTTCCTCAAAGTATGTTAAACCTGATACATCAATAAAGCCTGGAGAGTGTTTTTCCTACATTTTAACACAGTTTGACACAAATGAAAGATTTAAGAAGAAGAATTCAAAATGCAAAAATCAAACTTGAGAGGAATTCCTGTTTCTTTCTCAAAGAAAGGTTGGAAGAAATTTCTTCCATTTTTCCTGTTCTAATAATGATTACATGAATGTGTTGTGTGTCCATGTTTCTCCAACAGTAACAAAGAGCTGCTGGCGGCTTTGATGCCAACATTTAAAGGTCACGTGCGTCAGATGCTTCGTCATGCCATGGCTTCATCCATCATTGAGTACGCCTACAACGACAAAGCCGTGCTCGCACAGAGACTCATGCTCACCGAGGAGCTGTACGGGAACACCTTCACTGTGTGCAAGGTACACACACATACACACACACACACACACACACACTACTGTTTGTATGCCATAGAGCGGTGGTTTTGTGTATAAAATAGCAGCTGCTGAGAATGGTTTTGTTTTGTTTGTGTTTGTTCAGTCCTGCGTGTTGAACACTGTTGAGAAGGTCGTCACGGAGAACCCCAACAAACTGAACAACATCATCGATGAGATGAAGCAGATCATCACACCCATGGCTCAGAAGTAAGAAAAGAAAATTAAAGAAAAAAAGAAAAACACAGCAGATAAGACCTGAGAGGTCAAGTATGGAGTGAAAGTCTGAGCATATTAACAAAAAGAGAAAAAGTTCCATTTTACCCGTTGGCAAGGAAACCAGCAGTTTCTGAAGAAAAAGATGAAACGAGAGATTCCTGAGTCTTTCTTTTGCTACATCAGTAGAAGATTGGCTTTGAAGCTTTGGCTAATTTGGTCAGATTTGAAGTCATCAGTAATATTTACAACATAATAACATTTCAGAAGGTCAGAAGCAAAAAGATAAAAACAGATATGCAATTATTATTTGTTTTAATTTTGAATTTGCTTGTGAATGAAACAAACTTTTTCACCTGCTTAACCTATTCTTCAGTAACATACATGATTTAATCTGTGTGATGTCTGATTTCAGAGAACAGGTCATCAAACACTCTATAGTCCACAAAGTCTTCTTGGATTTCTTCCTGCTCTCCCCTGAAAAACAGAGAACGGTAAGACGCTCCTCCTCTTCTCACACAGTGCATCCAGATAGAATAAAGGTATATTCCCATAATTATGGGAACAATCATGGATAAGATATGAATGTGTAACAGCATATACGAGGTACTGAAATATCTGATCAACAGTCAGTCAAATTAAAACAAGGACATTAACGGCGATGGTTGTAATATGATATAAAAATAGATATATAAAACTGTAACATGTCCTCTTTCTCCTGTGCTGTTGTCCTGATATGAGCAGGAGATGATTGAGTCCATCAGAGAGGCGGTCGTCTACATGGCTCACACACACGATGGGGCACGAGTGGCGATGCACTGTCTGTGGCACGGGACAGCCAAGGTATGCAAACACACACACACACACACACACACACACACACACACACACACACACACACACACACACACACACACACACACACTCAAACTCAAACTGCTGTCTATAGACTTTATGGATTTCTTAGCAATAGAAAGACTTCATCAGTGTCCACATGTGTATTTTTGCCTTGTGTGATGCACCGGACTGAACAGGTCATTAGACAGGACTTTTCCCCTCAAAGTACACCCAGTGAAGGGGTTGGATCTTTTTACTGTAACATCTGTCAATCTTTGTTTTTATTGTAGCGTAGTTTTCTTCTCTGCCTTTATAAACACGTCTCTGTATTACAATGAAAGTTGAAGTCTTACAATGGAAATGATAGAAATATTTTTTTGTCTGTACAGTGTTTTTGTTTTAAGCCAAAGTTTTGCGTCTTGTTTCAGGACAGAAAAGTCATCATCAAAACTATGAAGACGTACATGGTGAAGTTTGCGACGGTGAGTTTCTTTAGTTAGTTTAGTTATCATCAGAAACTGTTAGTTTCTGGTTTTTACATGATAAGGATGCAGAAAAAGATGGTTATTAACACTGAGGAGGTGTTCAAATGAGGACACTTCCTTCATTTCCTCTGTTTTTCGCTTTGCCATTTGTTAACTTTGTTATTTGTCCACAGGGCGAGTTTGGCCACCTGGTCCTTTTAGCCATATTCGACTGTGTGGACGACACAAAGCTGGTCAAACAAGCCGTGCTCTCAGTAAGTCTGATGTCCTGTTGTTTAAAGATGCTCCGTCAGGGATGTTCCTGGTCAGGATTGTTGATATACAAGCACAATAACTGTTGTGATCTTGAACTCTTGCTTCATGTTTTTGGCCCAATTAGGAGATCTTGTCCTCACTGAATGAAGTCATCAGTAACAAGTATGGCAAGAAGGTTTTGTTGTACTTGCTGAGCCCCAGAGACCCGGCTCACCTGCTGCCAGAGATCATCAAGGTGCTGGAGCAAGGAGACAGCAATGCGCACAGGTACCGGCTCTCCTAACCTTCGCTTATCTTACTCCTACTGTTAAAGTCTGACAAAGAATTTGGTAAAAATGCAACAGAAAGGAAAACACGGAGACTTTTCCCATGATGGGTAAAAGTACTAGCACTGACACAGCAGGGGTAGCATGGGGTCTACACACCAGTAAATCGCATGTATCAAAGTGATTTCTCCTCTGTCTTCCTCTCCTCAGTAAAAAGGACACAGCGACTCGGAGGAAGGAGCTGCTGGAGGCCGTCTCCCCCGCTCTACTGGAGCATCTCCGCGACAACTCCTCCGCCATGGCGTTGGACAAGGCCACCAGCGTCACCGTCAGCGACATCCTGGCGTCAGCCTGCGGGGACCTGCGGCCCGCCATGACAGCTGTGGCTCAGCTGGCCAATCAGGAGCTTGTGCCAGGAGGGATCAGCGGACAGGTAGTTTGTTTGTGTCTAGGAAAAGAAAGGAAGTTGAAGTTTATCCGTCAACGGATTCTGGAAAACACATCAGAAGAAAAAGATTATCTTTGTAGCCAGCATTAAACACACGATAAAAGTGACCATCGGTTGATAAAATTAATCAGGACAGAGAGACCAGAAGAGTCTCGCTTTGTCATTGATTGATCTGAATGAATACAATTTTAAACAGATACCTAAACTTTGGTGAAGTTGCTGTTGTCTCTAAACTCTGTGTCTGTGTTTGTGCCGCAGCTTCACATGGCCGAGCATCCTGCAGGACACCTGGTGCTGAAGTGGCTCATCGAGCAGGACACGAAGCTCGCAGAGGCGGAGAAGGAAGGTAAAGAAAATCCTACCTAACACATCTTATTGGTCTCTTAACTGCTAACACAGGCAGATAATATTCTTCTTGCATGCTGACGTTAACACTGTTGAACCTTTTTAAAAACTCAGACTTGCATGCCTGCTGGCTCCTTACATTTACTTAGGGTGAAATGAACTGGAATTGAATGTCCGTGCACCACTTCACGCAAAGAGCACCCTAATAAATGTTTACCCTGCTTGTTAAAATCTGTAGTAACTATATTTTCGTTGGACAGTGTGAGACAAGATGAGTTAAAAAAGAGAACAATCATGCCTGTCACCTAAATAGGATGTTGGTTAAAGTGTGAAATGCTCAGAAGGCCACAAGAGGGCGCCAACTGTTTTAAAAATGTAACCACAACCCATTAGATCGTCAGATGACTGTCTAACCTACATTAGAGCAATTTAAAAACTTCACATTTGAAGTCAAAGATAACAGACACAGTCTCCTTGGGTTAGACATCAATGAAAATACATGCCAGAGTGTGTAAAGCTAAAGATTTCTCTGTTCCCTCTCTCTCTCTCAGAGCGCTTTGGCAGGATTCTGATCGACACAGTGGGAACAGAAAAACTAAAGACCTGGATCAGAGTCAACAGAGGAGCCATGGTGCTCAGCAGGTTAGTGTGCACATTCACACCAAAGACTGTCTATGGGACATATGGAGGGTCGTATATTTTTAATGGCCAGCGGGATGGTACTGGTTGTTTGAATGAGCCTGACTGTACTTTACATCAGCAGAGAAGGAACCTTCGTTTCAGCTTCTTTATTTACTCACAAACCACTTCAAGGTCTTGGTCTTTGTCCAAGTCATTTTTCACCATAAATAATCATGTTGTCAGTTATCCTCCGATTTAGAGTAGATGAGCGGACGAGGCATTAGTATGTCTTTGCTGCCTGCTGTTTAAAGTGACTAAAGTAAAGGCAAAGTCAGACAAATTCTGGTCTCTCACAGCTACAAGGGACTAATCAGGCTCATTTTTTTAAGTTGTTCAGCGTTTTTAACAGCAGAAGAGTTTTCATGCTTATTCTGCAGCTTTTTTACAAACCTTCACACTTTTTTTCCTCCCCCCTGCAGCCTTCTGAACAGCTGCGACACGTCTGTATCTTCAGAGGTGAAGGCAGCGCTGGAGTCCATCAAATCAGAGCTCAGCAGCATGACTGGCAACAAAGGAGCTGAAATCCTGCTGGAGAATCTGAACAAGTAGACGTGTCTGACATTTGAAACAAACTGTTGAGTCCATCTCTTCCTGTGGAGAAGTGGATCTTTTTTTTTTCCAGAAAATGTCTGCAAGTCTGCAACCAGGAACAGATTCAAGAAGTGGATACAGGCTGGAGCAGACCTTGAGTGATATAAAACTAAACGTAAATTTGTGTAAAAGCTTCGAGGATGTCTTTTGTGAATAATGAAATAAAAGTGTTGTAGGGACTGAGTGACATTACGAGAGGTCTGTTTGTGATTCTGCTTGTGTTAAGGGAGGAATTTCTTTTTTGTTTTTTGCAAAAAAACAACAAAAAACAGTAGCTGTTACTTAATTATAAAAATCCATCTGTTTCACGTTTTCTTTGAGTCCAACTAAATACCATCCTCTGCTCTACTGAGGTTCCTTTTATAACACAAATACCTGTTTTTGTCACCACTCACTCACTTTTATTCTCACTTAAGTGTTGCGTTATCAACCTCAGGATCAAAAGCAGAGAGGATCTGATGTATGATTGATTGGGCAGTAAAGAGTACAGCTGTTCAAAAACAGAAACTCTAATTTGAGGTGATTCTGTTGTAATGTTGGAGCAAGTTTTGGGAATGTGTCCATTCAGGAATTCATCCAGACAACTGAAACACTGAGAAAGTTTAAACAAGTTTACTTCTAACAGGTCGACTTCTTCGAAAAATCGGAGCTCAAGAACGGCTTTATTGTCTTGTATTTAACATATATTTAAGAAACAGTTCAGGTTTTGGGGTACAATTAAAGAGATGTCTTTAAAGAGTGAAGTGCAAAACACATCGCTTTACTTGTTTGCATATAACATTAAAGATGTCCCCCCCACACACATTCATGGTTTAAAAAACCTCGAACCTGTGCAGCTGGAGCTAAAACCAAAACGATTCTGTGTTTTCCATCTGTGAATACAAACAGCAGTGTAGGTTCCTGTTATCTCAAAGTTTGTATGAATTGTGCCACCCTGTGCTTCAGATTTTTATGTAACACTTTATTACTTATTATTGTATCTGATAAGGAAACGTTTGTTCACAAAATAAAGATGAATTCTTAAATCTACCTGAAGAAGGACTTAAAAAGCTTGTAGTACTGGAAAAAAAAACATGAAGTGATTATTTTTTTTAACATTTTCATGTCTTAACATATTATTCAAGAATAAACAAAAATGAGAGTTTGGAAAATAAAATGCAGCTCATAAAATGACAGAGCACATATTTCACTAACCCGACACTGAATTATTATTTTTCCTGCCTTGAATTATTTCATATAAACTGAAATACGACAAAGTTAGAAAATGGAGGATAATGGATAACTATTCCTGATGGATGAAGGACTTCCATGTATGTCCACTTTAAAGTTCTATGTCTCAGCTGCATTTCCTGTTAAATCCACACACTGGTAGTCCTTACTGGATGACTAAACTCGGCTCACTGCAGGCAGGATGTTCTTGGTCTAACAGCGTCCTCGCAGCACTCTGCCAACTTCTTGGCTGCTCTCTTGGCAAAATGCATCTTCCCCCGGGCCTTGGTGACAGCTGTGTACTCATTGGACTTGAGTTTGGTGTAGTAGTCAGAAAACTTGTTATAGAGGATGGAGATGGGCATGCCGTTCAGGATGACACCGAAGGAGATGCAGCCAAAAGCGAAGATTCGGCCCAGGTTGGTCTCTGGAAAGATGTCGCCGTAGCCCACTGTGGAAATACTCGCCTGAGGGGCAAGAGGGACAAATTTAATTACAGTACAGGCTTGACTGCATACTTGATGATTTCTACTTATCCATATTATTCATGTATGGACAGATGCAGCTTTTAAAAATCACAAAAAAATGAACATTTTGAAGCTAAATAGAAGCTCGGAAACAAAATTGAAGTTATTTTTTAAGCAATTATGAGGAATTTTATGACGTTTGTCGACTGAAATTCACATTGATGACTTTTCATGAAATACAAAAGCAAACAAGACTGTAAAGGACAAGACTTATGATTGGTAAACTATATTTTTTAATAACTAAAACCAGTGTGAAGAGAAGAAGGTGTCAGTCAAGCAGCTGCACATAATGCGCATAAATCGTTCACAATACAGAACATAATTGGCCGTAATTGACAGCTGGATGCTGACCGTACTGAGACAGTCTGTGTGAATGGTGTTTATGTCTCTTTGTGTTTGTACACTCACAGCGGCCCACCACCATGCATGTGGTATGGAGGTGAAGTTGGTGTTGTAAACATCGTGCTCCACAGTGTACACCATGGCTGAGAACACGAAGATGCCCATACCGATGAAGAGCAGCAAACAACCCACCTGCACACACACGCAAACACAGTTAATATCAACCGCCTCCTTCAATTGATTTGTTAATTAAGTCTCATGCTGTGTCTAATTTGGATGCAATGGTCTGTTTCAATATAGTTTATTATATAGAGCTTAATGAAATCAATTTAATAAACACCTCTTAAAAGATTCTTAGTGTGGGAAAACTAAAACGCCTCATCAGATTCTGTCCATTCTTTGATTTACAATTCAAATATGCAGACACTTGACACGAGTCATCGTCTCTGACCTGCTGGTAACACTGTCTTAGAGTGAATCCAAAAGCTCTGAGCCCCGTCGAATGACGAGCCAACTTCAAGATCCGGAAGATTCTCATAAGACGCATGATTCTCAGGACTTGACCCAGCTGCAGGCAGACGGAGGAAAAACCAGTGAACGCGCATGTAAAGCTGACTTTTTCCTCCTTTAACCAGCTGCTCTCTGGTTCTGATTCCTCTTACCTTTCCGACCCGTCCTACATTCTCAATGTCCTCTGAGTGCAGATGTATGTCCTCGTCCTCAAAGTGCTCCAGGATCATCTGCAGGTAGTGAGGCAGGATGGCGACCAGGTCCACTGTGTTTAGCACGCTGCGGATGAAACACTTGATGTCAGGGGTGGAGGCCAGGCGCAGGAGGTACTCTAGCGTGAAGAAGGTGATGCAGAAAGTCTCCACGTTCTCGCCGTAGAATCTGCCACTGGGCTGACCTGACGGGGTCTGGCGAAGAAATGAATCCAAACAAATAAAAGGGATCTTGTTTTTGAGTTAAATCCCTGTAGGAATGTTGTTGAGCAGATTACCAACTATAAACACAAGTTTACTAATTTTATGATTTAGGCTCTTCATTACAAGATACCACAGACGCTTAGTGCCAACACACACCTTGTACTGCATCTCCTCCACAGTGTTTAGCGTCATAGCGACAAGTGAGATCAACACAAACATGGAGGAGGCCACCCCCATCAGCTTGGCGGTGATCGAGGAGAACGGCTTCTCCATCAAGTTCCAGATTTTCCTCCTGATTGACCCAAAAGCCATGTCGTGAAACAACGCCTCATTCTCCTCCATCTCCACCTGGTTTTACAACCCAGATACAAAAAAAGATACATTACAATAGCCTCAAATATGCTTCAAAAACCATTAAACAGGTAGAATAAGAAAGAAATGGGTACATCAACCCGGTTCAGAAAGAAACAGCCGTCTAAATCTATGCCAAGGAAAAGCTTATTCTCCATTCTCCATCTGTTAAGTCACTGCAGCAGTGATTTATAATGTAGGTCATGCAGGCATGAAGTCAGGCAGCAGATTACTGACAAAATGTCACAGGTAATAAAAATAAAGAAACAAGCCGCTGAACCGATGACGCTCGTAAGGGATGTCTTTTTAAATATACGGCACCAGGAGGGCGAAAAACAAGAAATTAGAGTGCCCGTAATAATGGTGCTCTACAGAATTTATACATGTCTGTCAGTGAATCTCTTCACTGAGAGAAGTGTGCTAACTAACAGTCCTCCTGTTTGCCCTAAGGTCTAGTTATTCAGGATAAGATACTTTCATTGGAGAAATGTGTATAGTGGAACAAGCAGCATTAGCATTTCTAAATTAAATAATACAGCAGACGCTCTTTGTCAGGCGGTGCTGGTTAATTTAACATGATAAGACAGAAAACATGACTCAGCGTGTACAGCCATGCCAGCAGCTCAGCAAATCTGGGCTCTCAAGCTACCACATTTTTTTACCCAATATTAGCACGGTCCCAGTAAGAATACTTAGTGTTTTTGGTAAGTAATTTTAAGCTCAGGATGGGGAAGGCCATTTCATACACTTAAAAATGGATTGTTACACCGTTGTCAATCTATTATGATGAGACTCATAAATAGGTTAGCAAGAAACAAATGGCAAACGTGTTTACTAGCTAACATAATTAGCTTAAAGTGGTTGAGAGCTAGCATTAACCAATTTTTCCCAATGTTTTTATGCACATAACCATGTTCGAGGACTTTTGTTTGAACATTTTCTGTATTTATTTTCAACGTTTTGACTGTTAAGAAAATCTTATCTTCATGAGTGGTCACGGTTGTTGTCACATACAATATATCTGCCTCTGTAATAGTAAAACTTAAATTAGCCAACTAGTTGTTTCAGTGAGTGGTGGTGTGGTGACACTGAAAGCCCTGCCCCCTTGTGAACAAAGTCAGGTGTTTAGGGTGGACAACAGTCTGGTGTCTGAAGACCAGAAGTTCTGGGACAGAGTGTTCGGGTGGAGGGATTTGTCGGTGAGGAGAAGTATTTTGTATTTGCTGATGTGTCCAGAATCTGCAGCAGTGAGGGAACCACTGGTGATTTTGATGGGGATGGTCTCTCAGATCTCTGTGGTGTTCTTTTAACCCAGAACAGAGACCCGGACTTCACTCCTTCACACAAAGGCCAATAGATGTTAAAAAGGGATGCTGCTTAGACCAAACCAGTTTCTAGAGTTTAAGGGAAATGCAGGACATTCCTGCAAACAAAAGCAGCCATGCCGGCTGTTGTTAACCTACCTCTGCCATCAGCTGTTTCTGTATTTTCAGCTGCTCGTTCAGCTCGTCCTGCCTCTCCTCGAAGGAGATACGGCAGCAGCGTTGACTGTTTTTGATTCTCACACCCCAGTAATTGATCTCCTCAAGGAAGTTGCGAGGACACAGCTCGTCCTTGATGCACAAAACTCCAGTTCTGATGGGAATGACAGAGACAGGAGATAATGAGCCAGGAACAGAGGTCATCTCTATCATCTTTGGCCCTTAATAAATTGTAGAAAACCTGTAGAAATTATAGATGTTGTGGAAGAGTTTGGGGTCCCGGTCGAAGAAGAACTCTTTGCTCTGGACAACATAGTCGTCACACAGGTCAAGCTTCTTGTTGTGGTCGGTGTATGTGGCCAACCTGCCTATCCTTGTCTTTGGATACCTGGCAGCTAACATGGAGGGCAAGAGGTAAACCTGCAGAGGGGTAGAAGAGAATCAGATATACATTTATACATGCATGGTTAAGAAAAAGTTAATTTGAATGTAGTTATAAATGCAATACAAAGCTTTCAAAAACAGTATAAGATCAGATTACAAAGTAGAACTTTGTTGAAAGGTAGCAGGTCTTCTCTTTATGTTTACCGTTCCTCCAACGTTGATGTTAAGATTGAAGTGTTGGGTTTGAGAGAGCAGCAGGCGAGAGGGAGACACTAGGCTTCGATCCTCCTCTTCCTCAAATTCATACTCAGCATAAAGATCATAGATGTCTCTGCTAAGGTCCTTCACAAAAAGAACAAAACTTATGATTAAGTTCAGCAAGTGAATTCAGCTTTGAAATCTTTTATACAGCATGAATATAGAACTCGGCAGAGAACAAACACGACATGACTAATGAGAGGACACTTGTAAAAACATACGACACAGGAATAATTGTGTAAAACTGAAAAAATGCTGGAAATTGAAACATTAAAAAACACAACAGTGCAATCCCACAAATATATATATTGCCTTCTGATTCAGTTATTTTGCAAAGATGATACAAAAATGATCCAAGTAAAAACTAGATCTACTGTGCAGATGGATGTTGTTCTTGCAGTCAGATCTAAAGAAAATGTGGAGCAGAAAAATACAGGAACAGAAAAAAGCTTAAACATGATGAACTTTCTGACCTGCATGGAGCTCCATGGCTTCACAAAGCTGTTGCTGATGTCCAGATAGTCGTACCCTTCTTTCACATGAGAGTGAGTCTGGCTGCTGGTAAACACGCTCCTGCTACGGGATCTGAGGTGGGCCAGCATGGTCACTGCTCAACCTTTTTTTTTTTTTTTTTAATCTAAAAACCGGCCCCGCAGGTGATCACATCCTGGCAACATCCCGGTCTCTCCAACACTATCTACCTTTTAAACGTGCACACACGCTCGCACACAGCTGACATCCTGCATAAAACCTTGATCACAAACACTCAAAACAAAAGCACACATGGGTCATCATTCATGCAGGTAAGAAAAATCTTGTTTTGTCAAATTCAGAATCAGGTCACACACACACACACGGGGCTGATACCCACACAAACACAGCCATAAGGTAAGATGTGACATTCATGGTCTCCTGTGACTGACTGAGATGATCTGGGTGCTTAAAGTTTTAAATACTATTATCCTCTTTTATCCATCTCTTGATCTCTTTCTCTCCTCCCACTTACTCCAGCAGCTCATGACTTAACAAATCTGGCTTGCAGGGGCTGAATGGGAGAGATGAAGTCAATACCAGATTGTTAAATCAAAGCTCAGTTTAATAGTTTAATAGTGCTGCTATGATCTGATGTTGTTTTGCATACAGGAGTAAAATGACAGGAATCACATGTTAGTGGCTAAAGAGAGCCTGAGTGACTTTCCAAAGGGCTGGATTTACCAAAGACAGCATCTATCTTTGTAAGATAATATGTGTATTAGTTAAAAGTAGTTAAGTAAATGGGACTGTAATACAAAACAAATATTTACAAAATGCAATATTAACCCAGCACAATCCATGCTCTGAAATATATGTAGTTATGTGATAATTGAAAGACGAGAGTTGGGTTATTTGGTTAAATTTTCTGTGAATGTGAAAAGACGTTGAACAGATGTTTAGTTTCCTTTTTTGATTACTTTTGAATTGGACTTGCAGGCAGGTTGACCCCAACTCCAATATTTGCATTGAACTTCAACCTTTAAAGTTTAGTGGGGAATAATCCTTGCTGCAGTTTAACGAGGATAATGAGCAGATGGAGCTGGATTATTTCCAAATGCAACAATTTAAATGCACATCTGTTATGACCTGGCTCAGGTGGTCACAACAAAAAGAAGAAGGAAGACACACACCATGTAGAAACTCCCAAACAACTCTTTATTAATTCAAATTGAACCAAATTAGAAGATGTACGATATGAGGTGTAAAAATCAGTATTGTGTAAGGCATGCATGGGTGGAAGTAGGTGTATGTGCGGAGGGTAGTGATGGGATGTGATAGGCCTCACAGGTAACGTGACTGGTTCATTTTGCATGTTGTTTTTAAAAATAAAAGCACGACAAAAACACAGCGCTTTATGGGTCGTGTTGGGTAGTAGTTTGGTTCATGCGTTCGTCACAGAGTTTGGATTATAATCAGCAGTGGTAGTCGTTGAAAGCATAGGGTTAGTTAGTTGCAGTAGAAGTAGTTGTTGAATTAGTAGTAGTAGCAGTAGTTAAATGGGGCAAGCAAGAAAGAGACTACAACTAAACCAAGCCAAACCGAAGCCAAACCAAACCAAACTAAGTCAAGACAAGCCAAAATAAAGTCAAACCAAACCAACCAAAGCCAAACCAAACTAAACTAAACCAAGTCAAACCAACCAGACACACCTCCCACAGCAGCATGACCCTACAGGGGCATCACAACATCCTTAAAACACACCTCCCTTTAGTCCATCAGATGGTTGTACCATCAACGTGGGCCAGAGGTTTTCTCTGCTACAGTGGGAAGAGTTCATCTCTTCGTGGTCTTGACTTTCCAAACTAACCCTCAAGTTGATTTTGCAGAAATTCGTGGTTTTTTTTCCATCACCCAAATTGTGAAGAATTGAGATTTTTAAACTTGTAATTTAGTAAAAAGTTCAGAGTAGTTCATAAACCACTGGAGGGGATTGTGAAAATAAAGATGTGAGCAGACCTTTGTCGTAAATATATAAGTATATCCTCAAAGACCAAAATAACTCAACAGATCCAAATTCTGTCATTATTTTGGGACCCAGTGTACATCTTTACCTACACACAGGAAGATGTTGTAGAGAAGAAAGGATACCACATTTGAACAAAGCTGTGGATTAGGTTTTTTAATTCTCAAGTGATTTGCAAATCAGCTTCTTCACAGATACAGACCACTTTAAATCCCCTCACTGTACAAGGCTAGAAAAAGTTCACAGCAACAGCACATAAACATACAAAATAGTTTTACCAAATTCAGTTGTATTTGCTTTTTTTTTCTTAGTTTTTAAGCTTTTTCTTTCTTGTTAAATTACATCTGAACTCTAACCCTGGTGCGATGCCTGACCATAGCAAAAATTTCAAGTCAAATGTATACAATCTTATTTACACAAGGAACATTTGATCAAAGTGCATTGAAGAGAGTCCTGATCGAACGTCATGGTGGATTCATATATACAGTGTTTACAAATGTAGTAACCATGGTGATCCTTACATAACTCTGTAATAATTAATAATAATAATAATAATAATGATGAAAACGCTGATTGAAAAAAACAGCCTGTTAGAGTGCACCACAGGAGGTACCATATAAGAAAAAAACAAATACAAATTTACAAATCAAAGAAAAGTTACATCTTATTTTGCTGCCAAAACATGATCATACATAAATACTTAACACATCTGAGCCTGCTGGACTAAAAGGAAGCAAGAAATACAATTTGGACTATGCTCTCCCACGGGTTTCAGCCCTGAATATGGTCACAAGAAGTCTTAAACCACCAGATCCAGTTTTAAATCCTGTCCAGGACAGTTGATCCGTTTTCTGGAGAAACGCAGCGTACTTTTTGTCATTTTTCCAGCTCCTGAAGAGGGAACCCCAAATGACTGAAATCCACGCAGTTCTCTTGTCCGTTGCGAAACGATCAAAGACGGGAAGCTTAAAAAGACAGGAAGCTGTCCAAGGCCCATAAATAATGAAGACCAAAAAGCAAAGGAAAAAATAGAAGACAGAAAAAAATAACAAATCCTCACACTTTGGACGTACCGATAGAAAAACAGTTTAGACACTTAATTCATTGGAGTATTCACATAATAAATAACATTTCTTCCAGTAATCCTCTCCTCAGGTGATGGCATAATGCACTTCAGAAGGCATGTGGTCGTACTGTAAGGGCTGCTGCTGCTCTGGCCGCTGTAACGGACAACCGTTGGCATGGGAATGAGGAGGCGCCATGCATTTCTGCGGGTTGCCGTAAAAAAACGACGATCATGATAAATCGTCGTCTGTGCTCACTATTGAGATCTGAAGACATAAAGAGGGAGGGGGTGGAGAGAGAAATTCTTTATTGGTTGTTTTGATGTGTTTGTTTGTTTTGTCAAAGATTGAAGATTGAAAGTAAATAAAATTTGCCCAGTGTTTTCCACAAACTTAAGTCACAGAGCTTATGATCAATGATAATACATGTGACACTGCTAAGATCAGACAACATTAAACAGGAGGAGGACATTTGGGAGGTCTTCACAACCCAAGACCAGGTCAAAGATTTAAACCAAAACCTATGTACCTAAAGATCCAGAGACGATCTGAAGCCTGAAAAGCCTTCATGCTTTTCTTCAAGTTGTCTGCATGGGTATGTTACCATGTGAGAGCAGGGTTAAATCATTTCTCTTTCTCAGCTAAACTTACTGACGTGGGTTTATAACTTAACATCCATGTTGGTCATGAACAAAACCAAAAATTCTGCCGATCATTATCTATTCTCAGATGAACCAGCATTTGCCCAGCTTTACTCAGATCAATGTTTTAATTTATGATAATTTAAGAAGTCAATATTTGGTGGAAAAAACCCTGGCTTTCATGTGTATATCTTTTACATTGCTGTTTAGTGACATTATGTCTCTTTTGACCCAAAAGTATGAGCAGCTCTGCTTTGTTTGATGGCTTGTGCCTGTGCTGACGCTGGAACAGAAATAGTTTGATAAAGATACTCAGGAAATTTGTCGTGGTCTCAGTTTGGCACGGTTTTACAAGTCAACTAAGTTCAAACAGCGCATTTGTTTTTCCCAATGATGTTTACATTTTTAAAAGCAGTATTTTTTGTGTGTATCCGCCTGTGGGCAATCACAATATGCGTCTGCATGTTTAATGCTACACTACAAGAGGAGCGTGATGGTGTCTGTAATTAGTGAAAAAATATATGTGATCGGTTATGAGTCAAAATGAGTTGAACATTATTAACATTATTAACATATTGGCTGAGTGATTCTCTCAAAGGATGCAGAAAACACAACAACAAAAAACTTGTTCGTGTCTGTGTTGTTGGATCCTGCAGCTATTTTTCCAACTTTCTCTCAGTGAGAACGAACAGATGTTTCTGCTGCAGCTGTGACGGTGATGTCAGGGGTTTGTGTCCATCTTGCGGCTCCGGCCGGGCTTAGGCCTAATCTGTTTAATCTGTGTGCAGAGAGATGTGCTCTGTGGACAGCTAACAATGCTCTAAGGATTACAGAAGGCCACTGGGTCACGGTGAGAGTAGAGGTCAAAAACTCAGAGTCTTAATTCTATATATCAGGAGAAAGTTGTTTGAACTGTGCAGCTGCTCTGAAAGTTTGATGCAAAACAATACAACAAGCCCTTTTTTAAAAAGTTGTCATTATTTGGTAGCAAAGATCACTGAGGGTGAAGCCTGTTTCATTCTGTGGATTACTATAATGCTATTATACTAAGAGGTTGTGTGATTGTTTACTCACAGCTGGGTACGTGTGTCCCACGTTGGCGCCATGCCGGGTGATGTCGATGTTGAGGTCCTCTTCTGTGGTCTTCAGGTAGACGGGGTTGTCAAAATTCATGCTCTTCTGGTTCTTCAGCTGCCAGTTTCTCCACATCAGGTATCCACCTGCTGCAGCCATGGCCAGCAGCACTGAGCAGGGGGACGAATGAATAAAAGGAGAAAAATTAGACAATCAAAATTTCAGAATGCGCATATTTCAAGTTTCCCATTTTTGTTCATTTGCAAGTGTTATCAGTCAGCAGGAGCTCAGTTTGTAGCGAGTTTGCTAAGGAACTGGAGAGTCATCTTCAGATAATACAAAATAATACAATAGAAAGTTAAAAAAAAGAGGTACTCCACAAGTCCATATGACTATTTATGCAAAAATGTGAGTGAGTGACTGAATGAGTTTTCTACTCACAGACAGGCAGTATGGCCCAGGCAGCAGCAGACCCTCTGGCTGTTGAGTCCACCTGGATCGAGGTGCTCACGTTGGCTTCTATAAGACAAAAAGTAATCCACACTGTAAGACTACGAAAAATGATGACTCTCTTTGTAATGGATAAAATGACAAAAGTGAGCTAGGAGATAAATATTTTAATAGCAAAAGTAAAAGAATAAATGAAACTCATTTTTGTTATCAGCTGCTGTGCTAGCATCAATGAAGTCTTTTGTTAAACACCACAAAACATGAAATATCATACAAGAAAATCAATGTTTTGCTTTTAGAAGACATTTTACAAATGATCCCTACCATGATGATAAAACGGTGAGTGTAAGATTCTGACTCTAAGTTCTGTAATGGTATTTCTTGTTAAGGCCAACATTGTTCAGTCTCAGGATGTTGCAGGACAGAGTGTTCTGTTCTGGTGCTGGCAGCGAGTGAGTGACATGACTGGCAAACAGCTCAGCTCGAGGCAGCGCCAAAGACCTCAGAACAAAGAGTTAAACTAAAATAAAAGAGTCTGACAGTCTGCTCTGATGCCCAATGACTGACATCATTGAGACGCCTTAAAGCAAAGAATAAATGAGACTTAAAGCTGCCAAGGATGCCTGTTGAAGAACTGACCGAACTTCACATCTCTGTCTTCCTTCAAATTCTGCCCAGTGGCCACTCCTGGTACTGCACCTGAATGTAAACCTGCAGACTATACAGCGCTTTGCTAATAAAAGCATACTGTGACAATACCTCTAAACTAAGGCTGTAATGGTACCAGAGTTTGAAATTTATATAGGATTCCAGAAAAAAATTAACCACCAAAACTAAATATTTCTGTTTTGATTCCTCCCTACACACATTGCTCGTACAGAAAGTCACCTAACACATAAATTTATTGCATCTTACTTATGATAATAAAAGGCACAACAAGTTTATTTTCCTCAGACTTGAACAACAGACAAACTTTTATTATCCAACTTCACCATAGAGCAGAGATAAGTTTGCACTGAGCATGATCTTGTGATTTAGGACCCACAAAAAACACTGTCAGTGAGCTTTGAAGTCAGAAACTAAAGGTGGGGTTGAAGGAATTTTTGGAGACTATTATAGACCCATTAAATGTCATTTTAGGGTTGGAAATTTGGGTTTGAATTTGTCAATGGCAGCACCTGACCATCTTCTCAAACAAATGTTAAAAAAGGAAGCTGAAAAGAACAAATCTGCAGCCACAAAATAGAAAAATTTTGACATGGATCGTCTCTTATCTTTAGTTTCTCTACAGGATTCTTGTTGTGCATCTCCCACCAGGCAACTTTAACAAAATAAGACAGATATTTTCTTATTTCTCAAAATCCCATTAAGTATGGAATTCAACACTTACGATTCATTTAAGCATAATTTCTAAGTGTAGTCCGACACAAAGATGAGATAATATAAAAGTTAGAATGACCCTTCTCTTCTCAGACAAATCAGTCCTCCATTTATTCCCAGAGAAACTGAATTATGATCCCAGTAATCACACTTTGACTTGACTGCAGCTTTGCTTTGGTGACACTCTTGTTTGTTCACTAGGTGCTGCTCTTGGACTATGCTTGCAGACTTACATTTGCTCTGGCATTGGTTAGCTTCCATATGATGATCCCTCACTGGATAATGCTACAGTGACAGAGGGTGCTGTGTGATTTAAATGCTTTACACCATGTGAAGATACAAAGGAACTCCTGTAGACAGGCTAAATTGGCTGAATAAATATCATTAGAGAAAATGTTGTAACGAGAAACAACCTGGAACTCATTTGGAGAAAATCCTCAGGTTCCTTGTCTCTGCCTCTAATCATTTTAAAAAAACTTGTGTGGGAGACATCTTAAGTTTAGCTTCCAGACATGATGATACAAGAGATAGAGATTACTATTATTTTATTGGTAGCCCTCGAAAAGTAGCACAAGGGACTTTAAAAACAAAAAACAAGAAGAACCAACGATGCCTCTTTTGGATGATAACTCTCCAGAGCTGCATGGTAATCTCAGCACAAAGCCTATGCATAAATTTAGATTAAATTCAATGAGGAGCATGTGTAAAAATAGATAACGTAGTGATTTCAAGAAAATCAAAGCAGGAAACAAAGAAAGCACATTCAAAACATGGCAACCCGGTTGTAATATCGAAACTCAGCCACCATAAATGCTTATGTATCTGTTGTCAATTTATGAGAAACTTGATGGGAGTTTTTACACTTTCTATCAAACTGTGGGAAACAGGTCTATGTGGTAGGGTTGCTTTTCTGTGAACGCAATGGCTGTTTTTATCATGAATCCAACTGCAAATATTGCAGAATTTAACATGAATTACATCCATTATACAGAGATGGAGGGTGACCTGAGGAAAAATGGCTGAAACCTGTTTAAAAAAAAAAAATTTTAGCATTTAAAACGGATCTTTCTGTCGTCTGTCTATAAATAAATGAAATGTTTATCCCCTCTTGACCCTTGTTTTTCTTTGAACCAGTGAGTCAATGGGAGTTAATAATCATCATTTAAGATGCACTCATTGCAGTTTCTTTGGCTGATTCAGGCTCCTCATGATTCGACCTTCAAAAATATTGAGATCTTTTTGCTTCAAGAACGAAAAACCACAGCAAAAACAACTCTTCAACACTACAACGTACAGAGTGACAGGTGTTTGATATGATCAAGTCCTCTGTGAGCTTAAAGTATTTTCATGATTTGACTTCTTTGGTTAACAATAACCAAAGTCATGCCATGACTCTCACCTCTTAAGTTTTGCTGGACAATTTGCTGGGTGTCAGAATCTTCCCCTGTCATCCTGTTTAGCCTCAAGTCTCATTATCTCAGTTCATTCTGCTGGCCTATAGTGTGCTCCAACTACATAGTGTCTGGGCAGCTGGGGTTCAATTACAGCCTACAGCTCCCTACCTGCATATCAAAGCCCTCTCACTCCCTCCTCATTTTCTGCTCTATCCGCTGTCCTGTGATCTCAAAAAGTTAGAGAAAAACTGAACAAGAAAGAATGTTTTATGGTCAGCAGGCAACAAAATCTTTGTTGTGAATCAATTACTGAGGCAGCATTTATCTTCTCTTTGGAAGGGGATGATTTTTTTCCTTGGTCAGTGGCATTTCATCTCACTGTCACCCTTCGGTTTCTGAAGGGGAGGTATGAAGCTCAATGAAGATGACTGCCATGTTTACGATAGAAACACTGACTCAAAATCAGCAAAGAGGTGAAGCTGATGTGGGCTTTTAGCTTCCTAGTGAAAAGCTCCACCAGTCTCTCTACCCAGCTGCTCTCTAATTATGCAAATTAATACAAAATTCTTGACCTCCATATTCACAAAACACATAAATTCAAAAAGGCACCTAAAACAGTTAAAATAAACATGTCAGCCACACAGACTAAAGGTGGTATGCTTAACAGTCTGTAAACATGTTTAATTCTGCTGTAATAAAGAGCAGGTTATTATCATAAATGATACAGGTTATTATGGGGTTTCTGTGGCTTTTGGTGCAGCCTCAAGTGGACACTTAAGGAACTGCAGTTTTAATTTTTTTTAAACACCAGAGCTTTTTACCCACTTAATATAACCCAAAATATCAGCTGTTTACTGCTCATTAAAGCTTGAGCTTTTCGGCACATGACTCACTCAGCAGTAAGTCATTGACAGTGGTTCAGTGCAGATATGTAGTTACATAACAGTGCTCCGAGTGGTCAAAAGACAAAGAAAGGGCCATATAATCTATAACCAATTTGCCATTTCAATGCACCTTACAGGTTATAAAGATCTGTGAAATGAAAACTTTCACAATTGTTGAAAATCTTTTAATCACTACTCAAATGTCTAAAACTAAAGCACAGAAATATTTTGCCACGGCTCACAGCAGACCCAAAGCGCACTAAGCAGCAGAAAGCCAAGATTGAATTATCCCATGCATACCTCGGGCTACTTGACCACGAGTTCCAAATCACGCATAAACAGACTTAAATCAGTTATCTCTAATGCACCAAGCCCCCGAGCACCTCTGAGTGTGCACCATAACCCAGCAGGAAACAGCAGAGCACAGAGTGAAGAGAAGCCATCATCAAGGATGCAGCTGAGGAGAGAAAAAGACTGCCAACCCGGGAGCATAGAAATGTCCACACAGCACAGCGGACGCAAGAGGGAATTTTACCATTCAAATATGGCCACAGAAGAGGAGAGAAAAAATGTCAAATAAAATGCGAATGCAGCCACAAACAAGCAAGAGAGAGATGTTGCCCTCTGCAGCAGAGAGAAGAAGCCTTAATCTTGGCAAGGAAAAAGACAAGTTACTGTTCAAAACAGCCAAACATGCCGGGAGACAGGAAGCACAGTAGGCAACAACTGATGGATTTTACCTGAGGGTGGCTGTATTATGGGTTTCCCAGCATCCTTTGATAGTTCTGTCACAAAAGGAGCCAAGAGTCATGCTTTTGTTAATAAAAAGGAAAAAAAAACAGAGACAAAGCATCAAGCTGCAGAAGATGTCCTATTTTTGAAACTGCACACATATAAGTAGGCCTGTGAAAATAGACCAGATCTCAGGAGACCAAAATAGTAAATAAACACTCAATAGCTGAAAGTAGGAATCCAGTTTTGGTGATAAAGAAAGAAGTAAAACCACGAAAAGCAAAGATACTACATGAAATATTAGTGACACAAACCACAGTGTAGAAAAGCGGCAACATCACCTCTATACATAACACTTTTGACACTTCAGTAGCAATCAAATCTCACACACTGGAGACAAAAAGAGACAACACTTAAAGGCGTTTAAACGGGTCAAAAGATAGTCTGCATTGTACTGTAAAGCGCATTGATCAGGAGGTCCCTATCAGCTTCTGTACAACCAGCAGTAAACAATAAAATCCTTACAGTCTGATCAATAAGCCTCAGTAAGCAGAGGCAGCAGAGGGTTGCAGTGTTTACTGTAGAATCACAGTGCAGAGAGGACTTCTGCGTGGGAGGTGGAGAATAATGCATATCATCTGTGCTGACAAACAAAACATTACACGGTCAAACTCAGACTGAAGCTGATGCCAGAGCCCATCCTGAGACCAGACGATACTTGTTCTCACTAACTGATCCGGAAGTTGTGTGAAAGGACAGTTTTCCTCAGCTATTACTCGTCTGAGTCATTAACTGGATAAATGCTGTAAAATTCTATAGCAGGTCTGCTCAGATTTAGTGCTGCACTGCTACATATCATATATGGTAACACTTTACTTGACGCCTCTATAACGCATTATAAATATAGGTATAATGCATTATAATCACATTATAGCACTGTATAACTAGAGTTATAAACACTCATAAATGATCATAATGCTTTATAGCTATAATCATAACGCATTACAAAGCATTTTATCATGACTTACAAGGTCAGATATTGTAATGTGTTATTACTGACAATGCCCACATATATAACGCATTATACATATATTTATGGTGTTATAATTTGCTTATAAACTTGTATAACTATCATTACAAACACTCATTAATTATCATAAGGCTTTATAAAAATAAGCCTAACAAATTATAATACCTGACCTTGTAAGTCATGATAAAATGCTTTATAAAACGCTATTACATGATTATAACGCATTATACATATATTTATAATGCCTTATAGAGATGGGCGTCAAGTAAAGTGTTACCCTGTATATAACAAGTACCAAAATTGATGGTGTAGAACAAATAAGTTTTCAATCCCACATGGTCTTTCTGGTCTGAACATGCGTTAGAAGTTTGAGTCAGTGATTATTCAACATTTCCTTCTCTTGTCTCTGTGTAGTAAATGCCAGACATAGTACGTTAAATAACTTGAGTGTAAAACACAAAGATAACACAAGGAGTAGCAACAGTTTAAGCAAAAAAGCAAACAATTTTTTCTCCACCATGTTTTGAAATCAAAAGTAGAGCTAGAATTTCTTAAAACTTCATATTTTTCTCCTGCAGATGCTCACAATAAATAACACTCACATTTCTCCAAAATGTCTGTTTTCATATATCAGCAATGTTGTGAAGTTAACAGATGCAGAATAATAATGGAAATCATAAAACTGATTTAACTATTGTACCGTTACATCTTTAAGAATGTGAAACTATCCTCTGCTTGAAATCTTTGTAAGAGCTCATTTCAGACGTTGTGAACAACAAAACATTGAAGAACACTTTCATGACAAGAATAGAAATCCTCTTGTCTAAATTTAATTCTTTTAAAAGGCAGACATCTGTTATGATGACTGATATCTTTAGAAACCAACCGTGGCAATGAACAGAGTGCCAAATCAATAAGAACACTGAAACACCTTCACTATATCAGCCTGAGATCATTCAGCCTGAAGGAAAACGCTCCCCAGTCACCTTTAAAGACTGTTATGAGTCCCACTTTGGGTTCGACCCTGAAGTTAGAGCGTTGCTTATTACTTTCACTCGCTAACAGGATTAGAGCCGGTCAAAGCTGGAAGCACACAATGCTCTACAGTTCCTATTTGTAACAGCGGCAACGGCTGTTAAAAGGGATAAACATTTCAGCTGAAGGTTTAGTAAAAGCAGCTGGGACTTTGGCTGCAGCCCAACCAAAGAGAAAGTAGAGATTCATTCAAAGAGTGACGGGCATTTTTCTGTGACCCCTCCCAGGCCATTTCCACTTTTAAATAGCACCGCAAATAGACAGGCGCGTAGATACAATAGCAGCAACACACAACCGCATGCTTGCATGCACTCACATACACTCTGCACACACACAAAAACACGCTCACACACAGAGTCTGAGTGGTGTATTCAATGATTACTGCGGCTGTAAAAAAAGGGCCCGGAGGCAGCAACAGATTCCCATCCAGCCTGGGAGGCGTTGAGTCAGGCTGCGAGGACGTTCAGTACATGTAGGCTATGATGTTTCTGTTGTCAGGGCAGGCTGTAAAAGGTTTTGACTGGAGCAGGGAGTTCAGCTCACTGGTCTGTCTCCACACTTCTTTGTCACCCACAGCCATGAATTTTTCAGAAACTATGCAGGTATCAACTTGTTTCCTCAGCTTCTCTTAAAATTTTTATGGATACACCAGTGTCCCTCTTTGTACTAACTACCAAGATCGACACAGAGACATGTCTTAAAGAAATAACAATCCTGTGTCTAAATCTGAAACCTCCAACAGCTCAGACTCCACAGGGCCAGAATGATAAAGTTAGTGCTTTCTGGTCACATAAACAAACAAAAAAACTACAAGAAGACAAAACCACTGATACTCTTGGCAAGCTTTGGTAAACATGCCCACCCTAGGGCCACCATTAGCTACAAAGCTAGAGCTGACAAACATTAACACTGACAGATAAAAATCTCACCTCTAGTTTCCACTCGAGCCCAGAGCAAACCAAATCCCCTCAACGGTTTCACATCCAGACTTATTTAGCTTCATGCTCTCTTCTCTCATCGCAAAGAATCCCTAAAACAAGTTATAGCAGCACATCTGTTTTGTTTACGTCTGCATATACATGAGACTATGAAACATTCCCGCCTGCACACAATATCTGAATATCCCGTGGTGTGTCATGACGCTACTTTAAAATCTTCTAATGCGTCTATGTTGGATACAGACAAGGAAGGTCTGTGAAATTTCTGCATATGTGATGCATCCTGATTTTTAGCATTTTAGGATTCCAACTTAAACAGTCCAAATGCCACATTTTGAGCGTGGGCCCCTTTTGGCATTTTGAATTTAAGCATAGTAATACGAATTTGTTAATGCTGCCATGTTAGTGGAAGATTATTGCATTTTTCTCTTGCACAGCAACATATCATCAATTAACTGGTGGATGCGACTTGACTTTCTCAACAGGTAGACCACAAAGGAGCACTGAAGAAAAAGGTATCATATCAAAGTGTGTGCGACAAAAACTGTCAAGAAACTCTGGGAACAGATTCCCACATCTCACGTGGAAATCGGGAAGAGTAAAGAAGAAATGTCTGACAGGAAACCGAGCACGCTAACGAAGCAGACCTTCATTCAGGAGGACGGTGGTGCAGGGAGTTGTCAGGGAGATGTTCCAGTATGTTGTGTACAGCAGTGTCTCGGTCTACAGTTTGAGACCAATTAGGAGAGTATGTGCACTGAATTCAGCTGTCAGGTTCTTATCCACTGTGCTGCAGTTTGAAAAGGCTAATCTGTGAGAGCGCAGTGAGGAGCTGGGCAGCCTGAAATGAGAACAACTGGAGCAGAGTGGATCAAAAAGAGAGAGAGAGAGAGAGGGTGTCGGTGGGAGGTGGGGGGTGACGTTTCCCACAAACTTTTTGAATGCAAAAAGAAATCATAAAAGGGAGCCTTAATTTCTGGACAGTGGAAACTACATCAGACAAAATCTAAACCAGGACTTTTCTCTCTCTCATTTGACCTCATCTTTACTTTTTTCAAACCAAATACAGAGACAACATTTTAGCAGTTGACCAATATTGGTTTTACAACAGCCAAAAATGACTAAATATGCATCTTTGTCTTTGCCAGAAACACACATGTCCGAGATGATATAAACTCTGTTATTCTAATAATTATTGCAGAATATTTCTCTAACAAATGTCAGCAACTGTGAGATTTGATTAGAATGAGAAAACATGTTATTTCAGAGGATGTTGACATCACTCAAAAGCAGCCATATTGACAAGGCTGCCTGCAGTGTCTGCAGACGCAAGTTTTTAATTTTTTTATAACTGGCCTCAAACCAGGGTCTGATCTTGGTTTTCAACTTTGTTTTAGTAAAGTGTTTTCCTTATTTCCTCATTTATTTTGTTTTGAAATCAGTACATTGGTGAAAGAGGTAACTATTTTGGGGAGGGCTTGCTTTGTTTTAAAAATTAATCACTGAGCATTGAACAGCAGGTAGAGCCATGGGTCATGGTAGGTGTGAAATAGTAAGTTCATAAAGCATCAGGGCCTCAATGTCCTGAAATTGTCAGAAGTATGTCAGGAGTTCATGTGTGCAGAGGGGCTACTAATGCAGAATGAAAATCTTGAACTTCTAATGCCTGTGTTTGCTTAAACTTTTTCAACGTCTTTACATAAAACCTGTTTATCATGCATAACAGAGCCTTTTAAAAAGTCAGTCATGATGGTTCAACTATGTCTGTAAAGCCAAAGTTCTCCACTTTACTGTGGGAGAACTAGAGTGACCAGCACAGAGCCCTGACATCAACCTATTATCACTTTTGGGATGACCTGGAGTGCAAATTAGGAGCTAAGCAAACCTCAGAGAGAAAATCTCCACAGCCAACCTCCAAAACCTTGCGGGAAGTCATAGCTAAGGGGAGCAGAGGATTTCTGAAAGTATGTAATGAGATGTTTAATATTCACAAGCGGATGTTCCATAGCTGTCATGGCTTTAACACAGTCACATCCAACTTATGAGTCTGGAGAATTGAAGGCAGCTCAGACCAGGGCTGAACCCAACCAGCTGAAATGAGCAGCTCTGAACAAGCCGAGCCCCTGGAGCCTGCACAGTTCAAGCTGTCAGGATGAGACAACAAAGGCACTTTCAAACAGGAGAGGGAGGAGACGGCTGCAGCTGAGATGTGAAGGAGGATGGTGATGATACATGCCAAAGAGACACTGAAAAAGTGGATCACAATGCCAACTGAGTCAGCTACTGTTCAGCTGTCAGAGCCCTAACAGAAACAGACAGCTGGGTTTGAGTCTGGCATGGATACAGATAGGAGACGGGACTTGCGGAAAGGACATAATCACACCAGAGACACTTGGTCTGGTGGTTGAGAAGAAGGAAGGACGACATTTGCATCTGAGCAAAAGAATTCAATTGAATTCTTTCTGTTTCTCACAATTGATTCAGTGTTATGTAGGATCTTTGGTGAGCAAACGCTCCCTTTAGCCTTTTCTTTGTGATCAATTCTTTAGGAAGAGGCACATTCAAATCGAGCTGCTCAGTTGGATACAGATGAAGCAAAGAGCACAGCGCTGCCTTTGTATGTACAGGGATGCACATAAACACAACAGAAGCTACAGATTTAACATATATTTGATCGTTTAACCCAAGGCTGCAGTTTGCACTCTCAAAGACATAGAATTACAAACGTTTTCCCATGATGCAATTCATGCTGGCCTGAGGGCACTGAGAGGCAAATTAAAATCTTTCTGCTGGGTTAGTGGTACAGTTTCCCCCGGGGTTTCTATAACTTTCTATTTAAAGATAGGCTTTATATTCCTCGCCTCTCTTCCTCCATGTAATATCCAACCCAAAAATAGTATTAAGATATTGAGACAGAACTGAGAGGACAACACATAATGAGGCTCAGAGAGATAAAGGTGATCCCTAACCTGTCTTGCAGGGTTTTGCAAAAATGTTAATTAATCGAAGAGAGACTTGCATGTGTTGAGAAAAATCGCAATTTTGGGAAATAAATTCTCTCTATGCTCATGCAGCAGAATGTCAAAACATACTCACTTGTGTATAAATGAATATTAAACTATCGCTCTACTGGGTATTGCCACAATTTCTGTTCAGGCGGTTTTGCAGACGCAAGTACATGATGCTGAGAAACTGCACAGATGCCAGACCATGGGCCTGATTCAGACGTGTGTAGTTTTCAACAATTTGATTCGAAAATGTATATGTTCATGAAGTGAAAATGCGTACATGTACACTGGAACACCAAAAGGGAAATGAGTAAGTCAGTCTGACTCGGTTGACGCCGTGACTCACCAGGTCTGCAGCGCAAGCCGTCAGCAGCCAGCTCCTGACCCTCCGGACACACACAGGTGTACTTCGGGGAGTGTTTGTTGATTTGTGGAGCGGGGAGACACATGTAGCTGCAGCCTCCATTTTCACCTTTCTCTGCACACCAGTTGGTACCTGCACACAAGAGCCAAACATCCTGATTACTTTGAGGCATACAAATCCATGAAAGGGGGAACTCAAGATCTAAGTTACACCAGATTTCTGTTGTAAACACAGGAGCTACATGAGAAGGAACTGATTTTTTCCACACTGTGAAATTAGTGGTAGAGCTGCTTTACTGAACAGAACCAATCATACTCTGCAAAATGTATTAGATTACATTCATCATTTGCACTGTGTATGCCTTTATCATGTATAATTACAGTAACAGCTGATTTACTTTCCATTTTTAACCTTATTACAGCAGATACAGTTTGAAAAAAAGTCAATTATTAGATTACGTAGCACACCGTTTCTTCTCCTTCCCCTGTGTCTTCTTAGCAGATTCATACCTGATAGCTGGATGAGCTCATGGTACACGATGATGTCCTGGGGGTCGTTCAGGTTGCTTGCCAGCGTCACCACGTCAGAGCCAGTAAACTTGTTTGCGCCGTAGATAGCTTCATTTTCACCGTCTGTCCAGAAGACTCGATCCTAGATAAAAAAAAAAAATAACAGAAAAACACTCATCTTCTTTCCAACAGAAACAAGTGGAAAAGCTTTCCAAGAAGTTTCAGATAAACTTTAGAGCAAACTTCGACAAAAAATTAATAAGGTACAAGATTAAAAATGACATTTCCAGATTATAATTCTGACATGTTAAGAGTGTACTTCCCTCAATTTCTTGATTCTAATCTTGAAAAGTTTGTAGGAGTTACCCCATTATCAGAAGTTTTACCTGCAGGAAAGGTTTAATATTTGAGGTTCAATGCTTTTCACCTGCGTTACTTTACTTTACAGTCATTTTTGCACTTAGTCCAAAAAACGTTTCGCTTCACAACTGATTACGTTTTAGTATCAAAAAATAACACTCCTCACAGTAGGGCTGGGCGATAAACTGAAAATTTACCGATACCTTAATTCACGACAATAACCAACGTGATTTTTCCCATGTCAATATATTCGGTGTCAAAAAAATAAATAAATAGAAGTTGGTTTTGGATGTGTGTAGGTAGGCTATGGTCTCATGTCCCTTTAAGATGCTGTCCTATGTCGGAGATGTGACTCCATCCCATCCAGTCCGTAACAAAGAGGGAAAGACAGGTGAGGAGATGGAGGACGGTTCAAAAGTTGTAGCGGCTGGAGCGGCGACTGAAGTAGACGAAGTTAATGTGGGAGGGGGTGAGCAGCTTGTGGAGTAGTTATCATCCATTTATCGTTATCAAGGTGAACTGCTCAATATACTGTGAAATAGATTTGATGGTGTATCACCCAGCCCTAACTCACAAGATCTTGTCTTAAATCTTAAGCAGAGCTGCCTTTGTTGTAACTGGAGAAAACATCTTTAAAATTCTTGGGCCTCACTCTGTCTCTAACCTTTCTGCATGATTTTCTCTCACATGTCCCTGATCTCTCTTCTTAGCCTCTGATAGTCAAAGTACCTCATTACATGTCTGCCTCTGGGTGTCTATTATTAAAAACAGCAAAAAGGCTAGAGAGAAAAAATGTGTCAATATCCTCCATTAGCATCAAAAACTGAACCGTCTGTGAGCTCTGACCATCTGTGCTGTGTTGCTGCACTGCAGCTCACTAGGACCACCTGTCGTTCAACTTCACATCTCTTCTTTGATTTCCTTCTAGACTCAGTGTGCTTTTTTGTCTGCTCTTATTAAAACATTAATCCTGCTGTTTAAATTTTTATTCACCAAAAAGAACATCCTGTGCAGAGAAAAATGTTTTGCCATAGGGGAACAACAAGATCACAACAGATGAGGTCAATGAACGCTTAAATAGTGCCTTTATATAAGTTTTTAACACACTTCTATGAGCTAGAAATAGAAGTCCATGTTAAGTGTTAGTTCAACTTTAAGGAAAAGTAAGATCATGCTGCTCAGTTTAAATCACTTGTCCTTTATGTAACACATTGTTTGGCTGTAGCTGAAGCTCCTGAATTTGAATAAATGTGTCATCTGTCTGAGTGTGAGCCAGTCAGCAGCTGTGTGAGTGGGTGTAGGTGAAAAGACAGCTAAGCAGCCAGATGTCCATGTGCGTATGATTCAGTGGGATAATATGTGACAGAGACAGTGCTGGTTATACAGGAGTGAAGGCTTCATCAGTGCTACATACTAATGAGGCTGGAGTGCACATATTGAACAGCTAATTCCTAGCCCCAATTAAGTAAGAAATTTCTTAGCTGAGTTTTATTACACTCTTTATGTTCTTTTTAAAATTTCTAAACCAGAAATTTGTGCTGTGAAAAATAGTAAAAGACTAAAGCTGAAACCCTACAGGATCCGTATTGAACGTGTTCCCATTGTGCAGCCCCGGTCAGCTGGGCTCTGTATAAAGGAAACAACGTGCTCATGACAGGTTGTTTTGCCTTTCTTTGGTCTATTTTTTGCTAATTTGGATATAATTCAGTGACTGTTGAGCCTCTGCTATATGTGAAAAATCAACGTGATTTTACAGGTTCGTTTTTTGCAGATTTACTTGTGTTTAATAGAGTAAACCAAGTTCCTTTATGCTGTGCTGTTACCTTCAGACAGAGTTAGCAGTTAAAAGTCCTGTTGGGGTCCACAGGGATCAGGGATTGACCATGGGATTGTTCTGTGTTACTGATAAATCCATAACCAGGAAGTATTTCTCATCTACACAAACTGATACACAGTTGAAAGTACGCATATGGTGTTTTATTTTGAAATACCGGATGACATGCGCAGACATCCTGTCTAGAATGATCTTCTTTGTGGATTGACGCGTATTGGAAGCGTAGAGCAGCAAAAATAGACTTGGCGCGTATCTTTAGCAGTGCTACGCTTGATACGCTTCTGATACGGATCCATTATTTTGATTTCTAAACCGAGCTCTATAACTCCAAATATACCGTTCACACGCTGCTCTTCTATACCTTCTTTCGAACTAGTAACAGAGTCTGTTGGGGAAGACTGCGGCGACATGTAGTGTTGGAGCCAGCAGGGTGGAACAGCACTGCCTCCATGTGCACACCTCAGTGCGTGTTTATGTGGCACTTTACTGTGTCTTTACAAGTTGAACCTCCTGGATAGTCGTTATGAGATTCAGTATCACGCTCTGGGACACCAATATAGCACCATTTAAGGGTTCAAAGTGTAACTATAAAGAAGGTAGTGATGGTGTGTCATCCCAGTGTCATTGCAGGATTGCAAAATGTATTGGTGCTTTAGTTTTGCAACAAGACCAAAGTCAGAGATAAAAAGGCTGTCACTTTCTGTATAGTGAACAATATTTGAACTCGGCCAAAAATGAGTAAGTACAACTCAAGGCAAACTACACAAATCAGATCAGTCATATAGTCAGCTCCAACTGACCACCTTAATCACCATGGAGGATGAGCTGGGACATGAAAGAAGGGGGAAATACCTCAAAAACAGTGAGAGCGAAGGGATGAGCCAGATACTCCGAGGACTGGAGGACTTTCTTCCTGTTGTCTCCGTTCAGGTCAACACTACAGAGCATGTGCAGTTTGGAGTCAACCCAGTATAATCTGCCTTTGATCAGATCTGTGGTGAAGGTGAAGGGGATAAAGAAACAGAAGAAGAAAAAGTCAGGTAAAAAATACCAGAAGGAGATCGAAGAAATAGAGAAGAATGGATAATAGATGCGGAAAGGGAGAGTGGAAAGCCAACAGAGGAAGGCGAGAGGGAAAAAAAAGAGCACCAAAGATAAGAAGACGACGATAAAAGAGAGAAGTATAAAAGTATGTTGACAGAGGAAATGAAAAGAAGCAACAGAGAGGGGACAGAAAAAAGACAAATAGAGGAGAGAGAAGATGGAGCATGGCATGCGGCGATAACAAGAGGAAGAAGGAGAAAGAAAAAAAATAAAATCAATACGACATTTCATTAACAAGGATGAATCAATGGCTTTTCCACCGTGTGGGGGAGAAAGTGCAGCCAGAGAAAGAGGCATGAGATTGTAAGATGTGGGCAGGTGTTTGATGGGATGGGTTCAAATGAAAGCGTGTTTTCAAGGATTAGAGTCATTAAAAAGGAAAATGAACGAGCTCTAATGGAAATAAATGAATTCAAAACATCTGGAACTACTTAAATATCTAGTTTAGAGCTCATGAATTGTATACATTGCAGATGATGTTTTGTGCTTGCTGTACAGCCAGTTTTGTGCCAGTGTTTTATTTATTTAAATAAGCAATAGATTTACCCTCTAATTGGTGCATACATTTCCAGAAAGCATAGACTTGAATATTGTGCAGCTCAGCCTCAGGCAATTGGCGAGTTGGAGATTTGGACAGCGCTGCAGAGTACCTCTTTTTATCAGTCCTCCTTTGCAAAATATGCTCCAGTGATTACCTCAATTTTTTACCATTTTCTCTGACCACCCACTGTGAATCACACACACAGTGGAAATGCAGCCAACTCATTCACAGATACTGAAGTGAGTCTTGGCACATTTATATTCCCTTACGAGTGGGCGCTGAAATCTATGCATGATTTTGTGAAATATTGTTAATGTTCTCACCAAAGGGAAACCTGACATTTGATGTTGATGGCTGAAATAACTTCTGCTGTTCGCTCTCATTTGAGAGGACTGAATGAACACCAAAGACCTTACATCAAAGTAGGGAGGCTCCCAGGTTGTAGTCTGGATGAAGAGGACTCTTTAAAGCAGGGGTGTCAAAGTCAAATGGACGGAGGGCCAAATAAAAAATTTAGCTACAAGCCGAGGGCCGGACTGATGGAATGTTTATTGAAAATTTTTTAAATGACGCATATAGTCTAGTGAACCTAAGTGAACCTACTGAAAACCTAACAAATATATTCCAATATGATCAGATAAATAAAGCAATATTTTCTTATGGCTCTGTCAGTAATCTTTAATTTTCAACAGACACAAAAGACAAATTTCCTTTATATAAAAATCCCCATAACATGAACATTAAATGAAAGAAACCGGTATTATTCAAGGCACCATCAGTAGCCTATATTTTCTATTTTAGCAAAAGTGGGCTAAATTTACTTCAAAGAAAAAAATAATAATAGCAATTTTCTATCATCCACTCAACTGAAATATTTTTAAAATATCGTTTTAATTCCTCGGCCTTCTGTAGCCTTTGTTCCATGTCCATATTCTTGTTTTTGTCCGTGTGTTTCATTTCATAATGTCGTCTCAGATTATACTCTTTCAGTACCGCCACACTTTCTCCACACAGAAGACACACAGGTTTTCCAGCTGCCTCCGTGAACATATACTCCGACTCCCACCTTGTTTGAAACCCCCGGTTCTCAGTGTCCACCTTCCGTTTTGCCATTTTTGATGGGTATCTGAAAGTTAATTTTACTGTTATGCTGACGACTGCTGTGCTAATAAATATTGAAATGAAGCAGCCTACTGCTCGGTGCGTCACCGTTGCATTGTGGGAAATGTAGTATTGGTGCGTGTAAAAGATCTACGGGCTGCCGGCTTGCTGCGGTCTGCGGGCCGGTTCTAATAATAAATCAAGATCATCCCAGGGGCCGTAAAAAACCTTCTTGCGGGCCGGATGTGGCCCGCGGGCCTTGACTCTGACATATGTGCTTTAAAGTGTGATAGTGGGGTTGTATGAGGTACTTAAATTAACAGTCAGTGCACTGCATACAGGAGACAACTGTAAGCAATACAAAGATCCTTCATCGACACTCACCTTTACACTATGAGCACCACAAACAGTCCCCAATGATAAGAGTCCTACATTACCAAAACAATTCAGTCCAAGTGTACTTTATATTTTTCAAAAATGCCTGTAACTTCAATTCGATATCAGAGGGCTCTATTCTTTGGTTGTCATATCTAACCACGCAGCGACCTTGTACACCTCCACATGCAGCGCAGACAATACAAAACAAAGACTTATTCTGTAAATGGAGAAATACAGTCACAGCAGAAATTGAAAGAAAACTTTGATGTGAATATAGTCAAGTTACTTTTGCTCATAAAAAATCTCATAAAATAAGCCCTTGCATTTAATTTGGTATGAGAGGTCTAACTGAAATGGTAGAAATCATTCTGGTAAAATTTGACATAATGGAATTTCCCAGTTTGTCCCATCTGTTTATATGGAGAAGGCAAGCCTGACTCTGCAGCCAGGAGGTGGGGGAAACCCAGCATCTTCATTTCTTCCCTTACGAAGAGGGTTACATTTCACATTTTCCTTACATCCTACGTCAGCTCACAAAAACCTGAACTATCCCTTTAAAGTTGATGAATCAGCAGTAAAGTACAATGACTAGTAATGTTGTGACACGGTTTTCTTTCTCACCCAGTGTGATTCCATTGGGCCACTGGATGTCTGAAGCAACCAGGACCTGTCTGTCCACTCCGTTCATACCGGCTTTCTCAATCTTTGCTGGCTCGCCCCAGTCAGACCAGTACAGAAACCTGCAGGAACATCAAAACAACACAAAAGAAAAACAGATTTCTACATGAGCAGGAAGAATTAGAGGTAAACATTTTATCTGACACTGAACATCTAAAGCAGATTTCTTCTTCACCTACCCAGACAGGGGATCCACAGCGATGGATGCGGGTTCTTTGAGGCCCCTGTTGAACAGAACTTTCTGCTTGGTCCCATTGAAGTTGGCTACAGAAATGGTTTTGGTGCCAAGATCAGACCAGTACAAGTTCTTATAGATCCAATCCACAGCAACTCCAACAGGGGTCTGGACATTGTCAATGACTTTGTTGTGGTTGCTGATATCTCCTCGTTTGTCCAACACGGTGCTGCAAAGAAATAAAAGACAGGAGTAGAGTTTCTCCATTATGAAGACTTAAATCATGCTCCAAGTAAATCCCATCTGAACATTCATCAGCTGGACAGTCAGATCACCACTTTTTTCAACTTTATTTTCTACAATTACTTCAAGAGTCCGAAATTCTGAGAGTCAGATGTAGATAATTTGGCAGTTATGAGGATCACAACATAATTACATAGCTCAGTTACACAGAGACCATCTATCTGGATGATTGAACCCACAAAAACATCTCCGGTTACATCTCCGGCAAAAATGACAAGCCCCTGGTTTTAACTCCAGTTTGAGACAGACCAAGTTTCACAAATTACAAAACTGATCTGCTGATGAAATGAGAAGAAAATCAGGCTGGGGATGATGCAAAGAGGACTGAGTTATGTGTGCACCAAATTTCAGAAACAACAGTCCAATGATGCTGAGATATTTCACATGCTTAGTGAGTATTGGAGCTACAGGGAAGTCTGCGTGGTTTAGTGTGAAATCCTTTGGACTCCTAGTTTGGGACCACTCATGTATGCAACAAAGTTTGATATTTCACTTTGAACCACATGTTTATGTTGAAAATAAGCCTTAAAAACACATCAGACAAGATATGTGGGAAAATACAAGCCAAACTGAACTTTTTTCCCCTAGAGAAACAGGACCTATTACTTTAAAGGCACTATGAAGGGTTTTAACCGGCTGAGAAACAGATTAAAAATGATACTAATAGCTCCTTATGACTTTCAGAAGCAAACTAAACCATTAACATCGAGGCTGATCATTTCTCTTCAGTCTCTTTTAATGACAACTACCCACAATGTATGAAACATCTCACAGTTCAAAGGTAAAAGGACAAGGTTTCTGTCTGAAATTCTCATTAGACTAATTTAAGATAAGCACCACTTTGTCCACAGGGGGCATCAAAATCCACACAAACCAAAAGTTCCTTTTTAAAAGCAGCTTTTTTTAAAAAAGGGATAATATAAAAAGCACCAAAACTAGGAAGCTTGTGTAATTGCTCAGAACCTTAAACAAAACATGTCTGTGATAATCTGGGGATTTATACACCTCTGTGCTTTTTATATGAGTCTGTACGGCTGCTGTGTGCATCTAACTCACCTATAAATAGCCTTCTGTCCCAGATCAGCCCAGAAGATCATCTGCTGGTCAAAGTCTGCGTCCAGAGCCACAGTGTTCCTCTGCTGCTCCACGATCTGAGTGTACTCCTTCCTCTCCAGACCCAGACGACGGATGTCACGGCGGTTGGTGAAGATCAGGCAGGGCTCCTTACCTGAGGACAGGAAAGACACCTGTTTCTGATCTGAACTATACAAGATGTCTTTGGTCCGTTTGTCATTATGTGTCCATTATGTTACCATGGCTGGATGAAGTCGAAGTTACACTCAAAGTTTAAAGGATGTAAAGCTCTAGTTTGTAGAAAAACAATACACTGTCAGTCTAAAGAACACAGTGGGTGTCTTTGAATGTTTCTGCAGTGAAAAGAGTTGATTGTGTTGCTTGTTGACAAACATCATGTGATCATCAGACCAGAAGATGGCACCTGCATCTCCAGCACATGACAACTTCATTCGCTCATTTCTGGACCTTCGATTCAACTGGTGTTTGTGAAGTTAAAAAGAGGTGGAGTTATCTGAAGACAAGGTGTGTCTTCACTTTATCCTTCTATTTTCAGCACTATATTTCTGATGTAGGATAGAAACTGGATGGCCTGTTGTAACACAAGACTTATCACCCCTGAGCTTAAAAATACAAAGCAAAAATATATGTATGTAAACAGAAAACTCCATTTGGTTAAATGTGTCTAATCAATCTCTGCACTTAGGCAGGTCAAGGTGATCAATAAAGCCCAAACCAAGTTCAAGCTTAGAGGCTCAAGTTCTCATCCAATAAAGTCTGGAATTTGGTTGGTGATAAAACTCATGTCTAAGCTCCTTTGAGGTCATGACATGTCAAATTCGACCTCAAAACAAACCCTACTTCTAACCACAGCTGATGGTTTGAATTTGGGAGCCTGTTGATCTTTGCACAACATTACCATAGAGTAAATAAATCTACATAAAACGGCTCCAAGTTTAAAAAGGACATGTTGGTTCATTTGCCATTCTTCAAAGCTGGTATGCAAATTGAGTTGCCAGTTCAGTGACTTCACCCTTGTAAAACTGGAGCAGTCTTATTCAACAGCGAAACTGAAGGTCAGAATTTTTAGGTGCACTGGAGAGAAATGTGACCTGAAACACTGATGGAAAAAAAACATCTCTATAATACAAGAAAATGGCATAACCAAAAATATCCCATTTACAGCTTTTTCCACATAATAGAAACAATACCTTGAAACTTGGAATGCTCAAAAAACAAGAATTTCCTTGTCTTTCTACAGGAATTTTAAACCAAACTAGTTGATGGGTGAGAAATTGTCAGGTCAAAATTAAGAAGTTTATTTTACACGACCAAACAGTGGATCAGAGTCCGTGGCCAAACTTGTCAAACTGGTTTTCAGGGTGTGGCTAATGATAGTAGAGCTGGCACCACCAGCCTTCAGTCATCCTTGCAGGCTGACGTCCTCATGCCTGTGCGGGTTATGCATTGCTCTGGTCAAGTGGTTCGGTATTACAGCCTAAATACAACCTAATCTCCATTTTGTAAATAGTAAATGAACTGTTCATACTTCTTTTTCTTTAGTCTTCTGACCACTCAAAGCACTTTTACACAATATGTCATATTCAAGTAAATGTCACATTGATGGTCTTTCCCATTGTGCTGCACTATCTATGAAAACTGAAGCCTTGTGCTTTGTACATTGATGCCTTTATTAATAACATACATATTGAGCAAGAATATCTAGCTCACTAGCTTTGGTCAAAAATGCAGGTGGTGGCTGGCACTAAAAGAGTTCACAGCATCATGGTCGTAGTCATTGGCTGGAGCAATAGCTCCTGTGAGTGACTGCACTACAGCTTAAACCAACATGACAGTCACTTAAAGCCTGTCATATGAGAAATAATCAACTGTGCAGATGCTCAGGAGTTCTGGGGCAAACTAGAAAGGGCAATTCATCAATAAGTGAACTAAATGCACTCTTCCTTCTTAAAATATCACAACAACTAAAGATACATTTTTGATTTAAGGTTATATTTTAGTATTTCCCAAATAAGTAAAAATCACAGCAAATATCTTCCGTCATGGTTCACCAATGTGCTCCTTGAAGGTTGAGTACTGCTTTATCTCTGACTCACCTACAGCTTTGCAGACTGCGGTGGTCGGGTCCATCTGGTAGCCGTTGTGGCACTCACATTTGTATCCTCCCTTCAGGTTGATGCAGATCTGACTGCAGATGCCGGGGTTCAGACACTCATTGATGTCTGCACACAAAGAGAAAAAGAGAGAGGAGATAGAAGATACACCTGGTGATGACATGTTTGATCAATCACTTCATTCAATGCTTCAGTTCAGCTCATCAGATTTGCTCTGAAAAGAGGAAAATAGCTACAATATCACCTTCACAGATTATTGCTGCCAGGTTTCACAATAAATTACAATTTCAGTGTTACTACAACATGAGAAACGGCCTTAAAAAATATGAACAAAGACTGAATCCTTTATCACAATGAGCAAGAACATTTATTTTGTGTTACCAAACTGTCCAACAGCAGGGCGCACGTTTTTAATCAGTTTGATATTCTCAAAGCTCAAGGTAACTCAAGGATTCACCTTCAGCCAACAATTTGAGACTATCCACCATTCATATGAATATTTTGATTACACTTTATGGCTACACAACAAATTCAAACCCTCAAGTCAATCAGTGAACATGAAAAACAGTAAGTAGACAAAGAAAATGTGAGCTATAGCTAATGCACTTCAATATTTCTTTTCTTAGCACACTTTGAATCATCATTGCAATACCGAAAAATCATAATTGCCATCTCATATTAATGTTGTACCAGGCTTACAGTATTTCCATCATTTTTTGCACACGTCTGCACTCCAAAATGAGCTTTTCTAAATTTGCTGTTGGTGTTTCACAAAAAAAAAAAACAGCTCTCATTGGAATTTACTGAAGATTTAAAAATGTTTCCAGGAGTGTAGCTTATATTTTCACTTGGGAGCAGATTAAGCGCCGCCGTGCAACCACTGGGGTTCATTCCAGATGGGATTACACACATTTTCCAATATACACATCAGTGTTCAAGGCCAAGATTGGCTCAATAACAAAACTGTGTCAGATCAGTAGACAGCCAATCACGTTACACACTGATCCCCTCAGAGGCCAGCAGTGCACAATATGAACATGTTCCACTCAAAAATGAATTATATCCCCGCTACAACATCAGTCTACAGAATGTCTGACCCCGCCTGCTGGATTAGTGATTTCAAAGAAACTTGAATAGCAAAACATCCTGAGCCTCACAGTCTGCCGAGTGTTGATGTTTTCTTCCCAACCACAAAGAAAAGTAACCCGACAAGGTCAGCGTATTGTAATTCAATTTAAAGTGTGTGAAGCAAACAGTTCTGTCTGATCTATTTCTCGAACAATGGGAGATTATTGCTGCAAAGAAATAAAAGTGTGTCAGCAAAGACATCTTAGCTCAACAGAAAACAGGAAAGATGAGGGGCAGTGCTGCTCTTTCACTCTGCTCTGGAATTAATGAGTATCAGGCTGCTGCCAAAGTCAACCACTCTGTTAGTGATGACTTTTCGACTTGATCTGCTCTCTTATTTCTTAAAAAGAAAGGTTTGCATTTGGTCTGTCTGCAGTTTTCTTTCCAAAAATGAAACATTAATAAAAGTTCAATCATTCAGTTGGGTCAAAATATGAAAATATGACTTGCACATTAATAATCATCCCTCCTTTATAAAGATCACTCACCTCCGCATGTCTTGTGGTCAATAAGCTGAAGTCCGGGTGTGCAGTCGCACTCGAAGCCGATCACCATGTCTTTGCAGATGTGGGAACAGCCGCCATTGTTCAGGAGACACTCGTTCACATCTGGAGAACACAGAGGAGCTTTAATGTACTTTTGATAGTTAAGAGAAAATCCATCAGTTACACTTAACATTAACAGAATCCACATGTTAACCATTAATCAATTGCTTATTAGCATGCTTATTAGTAGCAAGTTGGCTCTTAGTTAGTCAAATAAAGGTCTTATTAACACCTGATTCTCCATAATTATATTCTACAACTATTAATTAGGCCATCTATTAAAGGGTTTTCCCTTAATAACCTCCTTATCATGGTTTATGTCAAATAAGGAAGTTGTTGTACTTTAACATTTTCATGTGCTTTGCTCAATAAGGTCTGATAAACGAATAAACAATTAGTTTGTCTCTTATTGGTCCACACAGGCTCCTCATCATGCCAGGCCTAATAAAAAAATAATTGAAGTCTGCTGAGATACACAGGTTCAATATGGTTGTGGAGAATAAGGCTTTAATAGGTGCTTCATAATGAAAAACCAACTCGGTACTGACAAACATGCTGGTGAGTAACTAGTTAATGGTTAATAACATGTGTACCCTCATATTGAGTATTACCAATTTATGTTCTAAACAAGAATAACTTTGCTCTCATAGTAGGACAAAAAAATACAACTTTTGGGATTGATTTGATTTTATGAAGGCAAAAAAAGATAATAATAATGCATCAGATTTCATATAGCGCTTTATCAGAGACCCTCAAAGCAATTTACATTGGATACATCATTCATTCGCTCACACAGTCACACTTTGGTGATGGTGGAAACGTGGCTGCCATTCTGCGCCTACGGCCTCTCCGACCACCACCACACAACACTCACAATCATACACCAGTGGAGGACACACACTGGGAGCAAGGTGGGTTAAGTGTCTTGCCCAAGGACACAACGGACAGACTTGGATTAGGGGGGAATCGAACCGCCAACCTTCCGGTCATTGGACGACCGCTCTACCTCCTGAGCTACTGCCGCCCCCCAAGATGATGAAGATCACCATCTCTTGTTATAAACATTAATAATAAACCCCAGAAATACAGTGAAATATGGATATGTAGAGTTTATCAGCCTGACTGACCTTGAATTAGTTGCAGTACAAGCATTTGTTAAGAGAGCTGTTATTCATGGAAGTATACTCTTTCATAGCATAGACCTAAAGTCATATAAATGAATTTTCATGACATAACAAAGCAAACAAAACCATCAGCAACAAGATCAACTACTTTGATATAGTAACTGTCGTTACAATTACAAAAGACTGCTTGGTTTATAAGAGGTGCCAGAGTTGACACAAACTGAAAGTTCCTCCGAGTGCCTTTAACTTTGTTGGAAAAGTAATAGAAATTTGACTTCATGAAAAAAAGGTGTCTCAGGGTGGCTGCTTTGTACTTTTAGTTTGAAATGGCTCATACTTGTTAATGTTCAACTTTTAACAAGGAAGCAGCAGGTTCTTGTCTTCTGGATATTTTCTAAAAACCTTCACTCTGCACTGTACGCTAACATCTGTTTTCTCTCTATATTCTATTATTTGGATTTAACAAAGGAGGCATTGTTATTGGAGTTTGACAAAGAATCATTGAGCTACCCATTGTATAACAGTTACAAAGAGCAATGTTTGAATGTTTTTATACTTGGATCTGTTGAACTGATGATTAACACAGCGTGCACGTCTTTTTCTCTGACTAAACTGTACAGTTAAGACTGGAACATTTAGTATGCTGTTTGCAGAAAGCATAATCACTTTTGGCCGAGTTCTTTGATCCATGAAAGAGAATTATTTAGACTCACTCCTCGTTCTCTCAGGCTGAACGGCATCAAAGCTGCACGGGGCAGCATGTATATTAAAAAATCCACACATTATCCGCATAAATCAATGTGCTGCAGAGAGAAAGGTCATTCACAGACGCTCTCCTGCCTGCATCTGAACTTTATGAAACACAATTTGTTTCTTTAAAAGCTACAAAGTGACTCGCCCTGAGAAATCCAAATGTTAGAGCCTCTTTCTGTGTTTGGCTTTGGTTCGGTGTAAAGCACAGAGCGACAGAATCAGGATCCTTGGTTCAAATATTTCTTGATCCAACTTTTCATGTTCCTGACATTTAGAGCTGCCAACCGAGGAAGCGCTCTGTGACATTCGAACAAGTGACATTTGCAGGAACATAATATGATAGCGACAAGATCATTCATGTTTACACATAATTCAAAGACAAATATGTAAATTTGCAAAATTCAAACATGTTGATTTTCCTCCTTCGCTCTGTCACTCTAGTGCGAAAGCTGCAGCAATATTCAGTCATCCTCTTAAGCGTTGTCATGTCTTTAATGTCTATTTGTCTTAAACAAATCCAAGCTTTGCTGCAACTGCAGTCAGTTATTGCCTCATGTATGTGGGCTGCAGGAGAACAGCCCTTTTATTTACTTTGTTGAAAAAACCGTGATGTCAAATAGACTGGTGCTAAACCTGATAAGCGCCATGAAGGTGCTTTAACTTTCAGCGTTAAACATCTTCAACATGTATGGTAGACATGAGGAGTGCAGTTGAGGAGTCAGTCATAATATAATATCTCGAAAACTGCAGGCAGCGTGATGTCTTTCCCAAAAAGGTAATATCTGTGTTTATGTCGACGCCACAGGGCAAACTCTGTGGCTGAAAATGAAGCTATTATGAAGCTCTCAACACTGGAGGTCAACAAATGGCATGAGTGAGTCATTCTATGAAGTTCATCATTTTGAACCAGATTCAAGCCTCTGTTACTCTTATTCAAAACTGCTGTGCAGGAGGTTAATTTGAGTTTCAGTAACGTACTGCATTCTTTGATGGGTTCATCACTCCAGTCGGGACAGTCCCGGGCTTTGTTGCAGACTTTACTCATCTCGATACACTCGCCGCTGCGACACTTGAACTTTTCTGGCCCATTACACTGAGTCACTGTGAAGAGAAGTGAAGAGTCTTACTTTTTTAAAAGCAGTCATGTTGTAAGTCAAGTTTTCAATATCAAAACACAAATGTTATAAACATCTGATTCATAAGATAGGTCATCCGTTCCCACCTGCTTCAAGATTTGATGCCAACCTCAACTTAAATAGTTTAGGACTGATGCCTGAACTTTGTGTTGTTCTATGATTTGTTTTTTCTCTCTTTGTGATTTTTCTGCCTGCTACTTTGGCCAGGTCTCCAATGAAAAAGACATCTTTGATGTCAGTGGCACTTCTTGGACAAATATAGGTACAACAAAAACATTTAAAAGATTAACACTGAAAAATACACTGGAACCACGAGAAAGATGAGATTTTAGCCTCATCATCATGTATTCAGTTTCTGAAAGTTTTCATAACTTGAAAGATGAAGTCCTTCTCAAACCCCCGTGTTCATCATTGAAGCCAAAATAAAAACAGCAAAAAACTGAAGCTTCTTAAGTCTCTAAAAGTAAAATGAAACCTTGTGAGATCCAAGAGTTAAACTCTTAGAGCAGAATGAAACATCCCTATGACATGGGACAAAAAAAAAAACCCTCAATTTTATCCAGATCGTTCTCCACACAACAAAATGGGTAACATTTCCTACCAACTCCTCCATTTTCGATCAAAGCAAGTCCAACAGTTTAGCCTAATTAGCATCATAAACGGCTGATTTGACTGTAAGGTGGTTGTGCGATACTCATTTGCCAGGAGACTAAATGATCGCTTAAGCTCCATCTCTAATGTTCCTAGATTAGCTGCATATATTAGCTAGAATCAGCACTTTTGATACCCATCTTTGGGCTACACAACACTACTTCATGAACTAATGAGTGACTACACTAAAAGTACATCCCTGTTTTATGCAACTTATAGTTTTTGTTGGAGCTTAATCAAAGGAAAGTTTCTCTCAGCTTGGCTTAAATATTGAAAAAACACAAAAAAAAAGAAACCTAATTTGAATCTGAATCTCTTTGTTGTTGATCTAAATGAGAAATGTAGAGGTAAATAAATCTTAAAAAGAGTCTTTGAGGACTTTCCACAACCTTCATCAAACAAACTGCTAATAACTATAAGCTAGGCGAAAAACTAAAGTGATGGAAAGAGGTGTTTAAAGGTACTTTTTAAATCTTTGTGTGAAATGCAAATGTAGCACAGACACAGAAATAACTTCAAATAGTCCTGGAGAGCATCAGTTCTCAGATACTCTATGTGAACATGCTCAATATAGAAAGCCCATTGTGATTGACATCTATAAAAACACATCTGCTAAGTATGCAAAGATTGTCAGCACAACAATAACATCTATATGACAACAGAGTTTCTGAACTTCAGGGCAGCCTCAGGTCTGACTCTTTGACGACGTTCAATAAAAGTGACGAGGGCATGTTGGTCAAAGGAGCATTATTTACCTCACAAGACAATACAAAGGCAAACTTGTTGAGTGGCACAAACACACACAGACACACAAAAGGGTATGCGTACTGTTTTTGCAGTTGACTTCATCTGATCCGTCGCTGCAGTCTCTCAGGCCGTTACACTGTCTGCTGCCAAGGATGCAGTTTCCGTCATCACATTTGAACTGATCCGGCCCACAGGTGCGAACGGCTGCCAAAGACACACCAACAAAACAGGATTACGCAGGATATGAGAGCTCAAACGACTAACTCATGTTGTGGCCGATGGAAAAATTTCGTGACTAATCCATTCATGGTAGCGGCTCTCGGCATGACAATCCACTTCTTATCTCAGTTTTAGGATATTGCTGACTGAATGTACTGTATTTGCTCAGAATGTGCAGACCCCACTCTAAAAATATCAATTTATATTCTAGTAGGTTTTGATGACTGCCTAAATTGCCTTATGGATTTATCAAGCGATAAACAGAAAAATTGATAATTCAGGATGGATTATCAATAGTCAACCTATAACTGAAAATAGTTCAAGTGTGACAAACAACAGATTTCAGCTTCTGCTGCTCCTTGCATTGATCATCTTAACTCTCCACTAAATGCTCAGTCTATACTTTGCGCCACAGCTGGTGTGTACGTACGACAGTTGGCTTCATCGCTGCCGTCCTTGCAGTCAGGGTCCCCGTCGCACCTCCACTTCTTGTGAATACACTCTCCTGAGCGACACTGCATCTCACTGGTTGAACACTTGGCCGGCGGCGTTGGGTGACGGCCACAGCGGGTTGGTGACTCATCGGATTGGTCCTGCAGGGGAGAATAAAACAGATGCTTCAGAGATGGAGGGACAATGTGATCAAGTCTATTCTCACCTGAGGAATCAAATTAAGAGTTAAAGCTTGTTTTTGATGGGTAAACAGATGTTTTTGATAGAAAAGTATGATGAAATAAACCAGATCAGATGCAGCCAACAATCAGTGACAGCTTTTCTATTCACAGTAAACCAGCTTTCATTAAGACTTAATTTCCAGTTGTAATTTCTTGGCTGTCAGCCTTAAGGTTACCAGCTATATTCACTACCTATCTTCAATCTCTGGCCTCTGCGAGAAACAACCGACTGTTTGAGGCGTCGAATGTTACAGACAGTTAGCAAATTAGGTCCTTAGGGAGGGAATGGCTTTTTTGTGCACTGCCTTTGTTTACAGTTCAACTACCAGCTTGAAAAGTGACAATGGAGTGAATGTGGCAAAGTGATATCTGTGGGCACGTTCTTGAGTACTCCTTCCTGCAGATGTCTGTTTATAGTGCATAAAAAAAGCCAAGTTGTCACTCGTTTACAGCTGATGGACCCCAAAACTGCATTGCAGCCTCTGCATTCTGCCTCTTTTACTCTCTACACTGACTATTTCTGTTCATCTTCATTGAAGAAGCCTTCCGAGACACCAGTGAAACACTCAGCTATGGCAAGCAGCAGAAAACACACTTCTTTTCCATTTCATTTGATTACAGAGTGTGTATTTTCTCTTTTTTAAAACTATTATTTAGAGGTACGACAATGGATAAATTAAAAAGGGGATGGGGAATGCCATGTGCTGAAAGACCACAGGCATAAATTAAACCCAGACTACCCACCTCTAGTCCTACAGCCTCTATGAAGCTTGATTTATAACCAGAGCCCTGTTTGAATTTTTAACAGGAGTCTGTGACTGAAGATTAGCAGGACATTTAAACAGGGAACTGAGTCAGAGAAGGGGCTTTCTTTTCTCCTAACATTGAGGTATTTTTTATTTTATTTTATTTTATTAGACAAATGACTTGACAGAAGAGGATCTAAAGTTGCAATAAGGCTTTTGCATTTTGTCAAACTTAAAAACTTTTTGGCACAAAACCTTCATCGGACAAGTTATACGAGTCTGAATACTTTTAAATGTTTTTACATCTGCTTGCCTTTCATCTCTTATTATTGTATCCAACCCACCAGTTGAGCTTTAGACAGCTTAGCGGGGAGTCTTTTGAAGTCTTAGATGAATGTTCCCCTTCTATTTAACTTGTATGAAGGGCGATCTGAACCAAAAAAGGGTTGTCACACTGGAACTGGCTGGGCTGGCGTTGTGCAACAGGTATACTGAATAACAATGAATTCATTTATGACTGCCTCCAATCACTGGTTCATCTAAGCAAGCTAAAAAGTGAAAAAGCGTACTGGAGTATGAGTGTAGCGTATTCATTTTCATGTGTACAAAAGACACAAAATGTTGTACAACAATTAGAAACACAATAAAAGTAATTTCAGAAGGTTTGCAGGCTTTCCGAAGCACCAGACAGCAGAGGAAAGAGCAGATTGACAGTGAATTGTAAAAAGACACCACAGCTTGCCCGCTCTGTTTGACAGACAGGTGATGAGGGGGACGTGCAGGGCAGATATGACAAGCCGGGGAGCTATTAGGACCCAGATATCACAGACGATTACCTCTTTAATTAGAATTTTAACAGTGCAATCTGACAGAATGGGATCAGGCGGAGCAGCAGGACGAGTTTCTCACACTTTCATCATTCTCACAAAGTGCCTGACTCATGCGGGAGCAGATTAATGGACTGTGAGAATGTGTGTGTTTGTCTAGAGAGCCATAACACGGACGCAGGACCGGCTGGGTGAAAGACAGGGAATAACAATGACCTTCCAACTGAACACAGTAATTTAAATATTTGTGGGTGTGAACGTTTGCATCAATATTCCTGTGCGGCCGTCACAGTGATAACCACACAGCTAATTAACAGGTACACAGCAGATCGCAGACTCAGTGGAACTTGTTCTGCCGTGTGTGAAAAACGTGCGAGGAGTGTCAAACTGTGTGTGTGAGAGAGTGTGTGTGTGAATGAGTATGTGTGTGCACATGAGGCAGGTCAATAACCAGCGGGTGCTGCAGAGATTGAACTTGCAGAACCAGTGTGTATGTGTGTGTATGTGTGTGTATTTATGCGTCCATGGTACTCATACTGGACAGTTAATTACAGTAAAAGAGAGGGTGTGTTTTGACGCCTGGCTTGTCTGAGTTTCTGGTGATAAAACCACAAAATCCCTGATGAGAAAGAAATTTTTAATCTTGTCATGTTTCTTTTAGACCAGAGGAACGTACAGTGTCTGACTTAAGGCCTCATAATTCTGTATTTAAACCATGAGTACATCATTTTTAAAGGATAAGCCCCGCTCACAATTTAATCAGTTATATCAGCTAAATTGAAAGCTCCAGCTAAGTCTTCTTTTACTCCATTATATACCACAAAGTGACGCTTGAGTCGACATGAGTCTCGAGTTTGGTCTGTAAAACGCATTCAGAGTTTTAAATCTGCCAGATATTAAAATTAGGGCTGCAAATTAAGATAAAAAAAATATACAATGTGTGATTATATATGTAATATTGCAACAACAATATCAAGTCTGGTAAATTAACAGCTGTGAAAAAAATGAATTAATCCAAAAAGCCTGCTCTTCTTCCTACAGAAATTGATGCCAAATCAATGTTGGGAGGAGGGAGCTGATGACCAGCCTGATCTTCATCTGCCTGCATCAAAACAGCCATTCAACTTAATCCTCCATCCAAAAGGTGAACGCTGAGATAAGATTGCTTGTTTCCATAAAATCATTTCTCTTTTTTATAACCAATAATTCAGGTAAATTTTTTGTTGCTAACAAAAGACCAAGACACCTCCTTTGGTTTGTAGATAACTACCTTTTCATGATGCTGTGAGTCTTGAGTAAATAAAATTCAACCAGATGGAGGATTTTAGACCACTACTAAGCTAAAAGGTAAGCTGGCAGCAGCTCACCTTGCAGCCTCTGAAGTCCAACCATGAGGCATCGAGAAGTAACCGACTTTGACATGAAACTTTCTATGGATTTTAACTGCACGTCTTTTTGTTAGGTTGGTTTTGTCAAGTTGATTTGCCTTCTGTAAAAAATGAACATCCAGAAAGTCAGCTAAGAAACACACCCGCTTTGAGCGTGAAACTTCTTATTCGGTGTTTCCACCTATGTGGGTGATGGATTGGGTGAACTCTACAAGGATTTCAAGCTGACTGTCAGTCTACGATGTTGTTGGTACTACAGCTATGTTCACTTTACAAAGATGCAGCTAAAAAACAAAAAGGCGTAGCTATTCCCCTGCAAAGTGCATGATGACACTAGGTCTTTGCTACCATAAATTTAGACTACCATAAATTAGCAGGGTTTCTTTTTAACTGTCTAGGGTGTTTTTAGTTATTTGTGATTCATTTGAAATAGGTCAAATTGTATCAGAATTAAATCATCAGAGAGAGAGAGAGAGAGCTGTCGATTCAGCGAAGCAAAAAGTCAAGATTTAAAGCTCAGCAGTCAGCAAATTAGCAATTCAGCTTCAACTCTGATGACCACACGTTTATTTTTAACTCCCCTAAAAACAACTTTCCTTCCTAGAGGGGAGGTTAAGAATCATTAAATTTTCTATGCAGAGAGCAGGAGCAAAGAGAGAAAACCAGAGGTTATCAGGGCTGGGGGTCAAACTGCTTTCTCTTGCCAGGAGGTGAAACTGTGCCAGATAGAGCTGATCTGTCCTGCTTAACTGCTCACATCAGGTTCAAGTTCAGAGAGGGGGGATTTAGAGCCAGACCTAAAGTCATTTTACATGTTTGTTTAGCTGACAAGTCTTGAAGAGAACATCAAGCAAATCTGTTCCCATGTGAAGTCTACTCCTTTATCGGGTCACTGGGTGCAGAGCTTCTGCTGACTGGAAGGAGATCAGGTTTGTTTACCTTTTGCTTAATTTTAGATGAGGATTGAAAAACACGAAATCAGTCATAACCTACAGTTGGGGTGATTTAAATAACAATGTTGTCTTAAGATTAGACCCACATATGTGAGCATGTTGGGAAGCTCAAGCAAAAGGGGTGCAGCATTTGGAAAAACAGCTTTCCATGACCTTTTTACACCATGCAAACTTGTTTTAAACATATCTATGATCCTAGTTACCACTTTTTTATTGGCTAAGAGTGTGTAGCAGTCAGATAATTCTTTGACAGTGTACATGTATTTATAGTTCTTATCTCTCTCTCCTACCTGGCAGTCCACGTCGTCGTCACACACCCAGCTGGCCGGGATGCAAGAGGAGTTCCCACACTGGAACTCACTGGGACCGCAGGAGGATGGAGCACACTCCAACTCATCAGAGCCGTCGCCACAGTCATCCTCACCATTACACACAAAGTTCCTGGAGATGCAGCGACTGCTGGCGCATGTGAACTCGTTTGGAGCACAGGTGACGTTACCTGGATGCGGTTTGAGGGAGAGGAATAAGATGTGAGAGGTTTGAAAGGGTTAACAGCTCCACAGCTACAGGCTGTCAAGGTCAAACAAGCAGTTTCATAAGATCATTTATCATCCTATGAAATGGCTTTCTTATCGAGAATCTGAACCTTTCATAATCTCTTCTCCTCTCCACAGAAGGCGTTCAACTGCTGATGCTTTCTGTTATGAATGTGCACGACATTATCTGTGTCATTGTGCATGCAAAAGATAAACACAATAGGGACTTCATACAGAATCCATGCTGTGGCCCCCATAAAGAGAGGTTTATGTTCCACATACTATTGCTTATTATTGCATAGAGTGCAAGCAATCCTGCTTTCTTGCATATTAAGACCGTGGCTGTACCACGTATCCTGCATTCCTTAACAATCGAAGCACAGCACATGTTTTGGTGGAAGGTAGTTTTACGCGACTGGAAGATTAGAGGATGTAAGAGTCTGGAACTGAGATTTTGATTTATGTGTAGACCATTGATGGCTTACTTTAACATGTATGCTGGGTTTAAGGTCACTGCCTGAAAACATGTTTCACTTTACACTGTAATAAAAGAGTTCAAGGACGTCAGCGGGCACTGACTTAAAGTGAGCAAACAAGAGCACAATTGATAAATGTCTCCTGCCTGTAAGCAGATCACTTCTTTGATTAGCATCGTCAGCCTGAGAGGATGGTCTGCTCGAGTGGAATCAATATCAGTTGACTCATGCGGATATGCAGCTGGTACTCACTCATTAGTCGCATGTTCAGATGGAGGACATACGTGTATTAGAGATTTCATTACAGGATTTCAGTGCTTGAAATTTATCTCAACCAGAAGGTGTTGATTGTTAGTCACTTATTTTTATTCCATTGAAGTGTTTTAATGGTTTATAATCGACTAAATTCAAATAAACAAATTACTCTTAATTCAAAATGTTTATCTCATCAAAAATTCCATCCAAGTCCCCCAGGAACAGCTGCTAAATACTGCTGAGCAAAAATAAAAAGGAAAAATAGATGTAAAAAATATATGCAGCACACTTGAGTTCTTCAGCATTTTCTGTCAGGTCCAATTGTTCCTCTCTGTACACACTTACTGCTTCTGATGTATTCACATTAGAGTTCAGGATAAGATGAGAAGTAACAACACATTATTTTCCCAATAAGTCAAGTTCAATAATGGCATTTGCCCTGATATTTTCTCCTTTAGCCTTCACGCTAGCTAGCTCAACTAAAAAGAATAATTCCCATCCCCCTCGCAGGTGGGTTAGTCAATTACTCATCAATAATGACAAGCCTGTGTGCTCATCTAATGGCTTGTTAGTCACTGCTGAGTGGCAATACGTGTGATGGCCTTTTAACAAGCCTCTGGTAAGGGGCCAGTGGTAAGGAAGGCAGTCACTAATAAGATTGGAAAATTCAACTGTATCCAAACATTTTCACTTCATGTTTGATATTCATTCAAAGGTGTGTTTTTGAAAAACCGTCAGCATAAGTACACTGACACTGACAGTAAAAATAAAAAGCTTTGCATGAACATTTAGGATTTTGAATATCATAAACTTCAACATAAAACTTTAACTGAAAGCCTTTCGCTTATGTTGAGCCAAAACTGAAATGTTCAGCAGGACTCAGCTGGTAACCAGTTACACTTCCGAGGTCATGTGATGTCTAGCCAATCAGACAGTGTTGTGGGCGGGACATTAGGTTAGACAGGGTGGTGCATTAATCAGTTTTGTGGGCCATGTGTAAAATAAAGGACTCATAATGTTGGGCCAAATGCCAAAGTCTTGCCTGAGTAATTGGCCAAGGCTGATAATCAGTCTACCTCTACTTTGTTAATGAAATTGACATGATTAAACCACAGACACTGTGATTCTCTATTAAACCACACTACATAAATTGTACTAAATCTTGACCGGTCTCTGTGCTCTTAGCTTAACACTCATCGTTTAGCTGAGCTCTAAATTTCCTCTTAAATAACCAGTAAAGAGGCTGCTTTAGGGCTTCCCCAGTAGCTAACCTTGCAGTCACCACTACAATGACACAAATGACTCAGAGTTCAGGTTATAGCGCACTGACCTTCATCTGATTAATGGAATCGTATAAATGCATGCCTCATGTAACCAGGGCTTGCATGTCAAATCTTCATGCGGTGTTTGAATGTAAGGGTGCTTCTATGCCTCCCTGGCATTTCTCTGCAAGTTTATCACAGACCTTGACTATGCAGATGACACAAGTCTGCTCTCCGACAACGTGGAACAAGCACAAGAACTACTGAACAGGGAAGAGCTAGAGTGTGCCAAGGTTGGCCAGGCCTTAGGCTAAATGCCAAGAAAACTGAGGTCATCACCTACAACATCAACCTCTGACTACAGCAGGAGGCGCTGTGCTGAAAGAAGTCGAGGACTTCAAATACCTGGGCTCATGGGTCAACTCAAATGAACAAGATCTAAAAGTGAGGAAGGCACTTGCATGGAGAGCCCTGAACGGCATGACCAGTGTGTGGAACTCCAACCTCCCCGCCAAATCAAACTCAGCCACTTCTACGCCACAGTAGAGTCCGTTCTCCTCTATGGCAGTGAATGCTGGACCCTGAAGCCAACCCTGGAGAAATCCCTAGATAGGTGCTACACCAGGATGTTGCGTGCAGTGCTTCAACATCAACAAGAATGCACATGTAACCAACAGAACACTGTATGAGGGAACACCAAGGGTGAGCAAGAAGATTGCTGTAAGGAAAATGAGACTAGCAGGACACTGCCAAAGGCATTGGGAACTGCCAGCCAGCAAATTGGTGCTGTGGGAACCAACACATGGGCATCGGTCAAGAGGACGTCCTACACTAACATACGTGGACATACTCAAGAAGGATGCAGGAGCTCAGAGTACCAACGAACTGGCAAGATGTATGGAGAATCGAGATGACTGGAAGCGACGATGGAAGGCTCGTCTGAGGACGACCTAGAGCGAAGTTTATAAAGAGATCATGCAGGTCCAGATTCTACCAGAATGAAAACTATCTAGTGTGATCACGTTCACAGCTGTCAGGCCTTGTGCGATGAATCTGGTAAAATGGTGTCTGCTGGAATATGGAAATGATTCCCCCTGGGATGTATTCAGAAAATGAGGTGCTCTCAGGATATCAGGGGGAAATTTTCAATCCTCCCAAAATGCAACCAGGAAATGTAACATGGTTTTTCAGCCAGTAATCCATGGTGCTGACAGGTTGGTCAGTTGTTCAATGAGCATTGAAGTGGTTCTCAGCAACTCAAGGTCAGAAATGATCCTGTGACCTCATTGGAGGTCATCAGAGTTCTAGACCATTTAGCACTAATCAATCTTGGGGAAATTCACAACCTGGTCTGAACACATGAAAAGGCGACAGCAGGGTATTAAATAGGAGGGAGACTTCATTTTCACTGATTGATCTTGACAAACACTGACACACTAATCACAGTGCAATCCTAACACATCCAGATCAACGAGAGCTGACCCAATTCTTATCGTTACTATGAATCATGAGCTTTTCTATGGCTTTAAATTTGTATTTTGACAGCAACTGCCAAGTGCCTGCGCTGAATGACAAAACCAATAAATGTTGAGGTTCTGATATGTAATCCTACGATGCTGTGCACCATGGCTGAAAATTGTCTTTTGAAGAAGAAATGCCTTGTTAGTTTCATGTGAAGTAGTATTTTTTTTAAATCATTTTACTTCTGTTATTCGCTGTAAAGACTCATTTCAATGTCTTGTAAACTAAAATTTAGTTTCTGCTCGTCTAAAGGTAAGAACACACAGACCTGTTGGGTCTCATTCATGAAATGTTATTAAATTTATGTGTAGATTTACACATAGGCGTCAACCGTACTAAAAAAATTACCCTGATTCATATGCTTTTTGTAACCAAGGAGCATGACATAGAAACAAGAGGGGAGGAGAAAGAAGGAAACTTGTTGGGTTAAGTAAAACTAAGAAAAAGACGTCACTTTCTCCTGTGAGTGGTGGTGTCACACCCTCCTTTAGATCACTGTTGGTGCTTCAACAGTCTGAGCCTGTATTGGGTTTCATAAAAGGCAGCTCCCACTGTGCGTGTGTGCATGTGTGCATGCATGCGGAGGGTCAGCAGAGTCAAAAGCCTCAGCTTCAGTGGGTAACCCTGCCTCCTATAGATAGATTAGACCTCTAGTTAAAACACATGGACAGATCCTCAAGGTGCCGAGGATAATTACATGCAAATCCCTGAGTATGGATAACAACTGTTCGACTATGTGCACGAATCTGCACGTCTTTTTTTTCTTCATCTGGCTCCTGAGGACTCTGTAAACATACCATGACGTAAACAGGGAATATTCTCACATATAACCAGCCGTCTTTTACTGCTCTGTGTCATGTGTGCTGTCGTGCAGAGTGACGCTGTTGTGTGCCCAACTAAGCTCCTCTGAGTAATCAATTTTCTGATCACCATTGAACATGTATAAATCACAAGTAGAAGACTTTTCATAGTTTTAACCTCACGTGAAGCTAAAACCTGCTTATTGCCAAATAAATTTGCTGAATTTTTTATATTTTAATATGTTAAAATTTGATTTTTCAAAAGTATCTGTCTATTGTGATCATAAAATAGTGAATTAAAATAGTGATTTCTGATAATAGGCAATATTTCACTTACATAGGCAGGTGTGGATTTTGTTAGTAGCGACAAATGATTCAAAACTAAAGTTTCAAAAGTCTGCTGGTTGTGACTAACAGTAGCAGCGAAACATTTACCAACAAAGCCTAACTTGCCAAATATGGTTGAGGTGCATCCTTAAACCTCTGAATAATAAGTAGCAGATGTGTAGGAAACATAGAAAACACACCTAAAATGTTTAAGCATGCAGGTCCACCTACCACAGTTGACTTCGTCCTCTTCGTTGTCACAGTCCTTCTCTCCGTCACATTTCCAGAAAACCGGGATGCACTGAGTGGAGCCGGCCCCGCAGCTGAACTCATTCACACGACATGTCCTCATGTCTGCATGAAAAAGCACAAAAACACACCATCAACAATATATTCTGTCATTTCTGTCCCACTTTTACTCCATTTCAAACGAGCAGGCCATGAAGAAGTCAAAAGGTCAAGTTGAATCATAAAATCAATCCCAAAAGACACAGACATTAAGTTTAATGTCATAAAATGAGTGGTTTGTGAGTCTGTCTGCTCCTTTTAGCTCATCTTGGAGACCATATATTGATTTTTAATTCATATCTGTTAAAATAGTCCAGACACAATCAAATGTAGGCATGAATGATGGTCTGTGCATCATTAAGACTTGGCATTGATCATATCCAAAGTACCATTCAAGGTGATTGTGTCTCATAGACCTTTCATTGTCAGATTAATTACACGCTGTAGTCTATTTGAAACCAGAGCTGTTTTCTCACTGACAAAGAAGCTGACAAAAGATTTCCACCTGACAGCAAAGTGAACTTGTCAACATGAGTAAACGAAGCACAGATGGTCTACAGAGGTTGAGGTTGTTATTTTGGAGTTAATGTAGGACTCTGACATCCTGGTTGTCTTTTTTTAAGTGACTAGGTGAACAAAAAAAGCGCAGCTCACCTTCTGAATTAAACAGTGACGCAACAAAACTGATGCAAACATAACAGAAGTGTCACCAGCCAAGCCAACACACACACGCTTCAGATTCCATTCACCGCTGCCAAGTTATGTGTAACAGCTGGTCAAACAGTACAGTGATATGACAGCTAGATATAGGGGCGAGGTTGACCTGCACGTACGCCATGGCCTGAACTTAACACAACCTTTAAAAGCATGCACACACACACGCCCAAGACTATGAACCGTTAAAGACCTTCAGTTGACTGATACACACTTCCAAACATGCTACCGAGTTGTACCTCTGCAAGAACAACCTGATGACATCAAAGAGCACAAGGACTGTTAGTGTCTGTTCGTGACTTTCTCTGCAAGGAGTTAAACGAACAAATTCAGCAGAAATAAAAGGAGGTGTGCTGGATAACATGGACCAGTGCACAGGTAAAAGAAAAAAAGGAGGATTAGATCCACTGACCGAATCAAGTCTGTGTTAGTTCAATCAAGTTTGGCTGCTCTTTATGACAAAGCCTCTATTCTTTGATCCTGGAGTTCAGCAGAACTGGAAAAGAAAGTTTATTTAATCCAAGTCTTTTTTTTCTCCAGTGAGTCTATCATAGTCTTCTGGCCATCGGCCAACTTCAGCACAAAACCAGGAGACTACAAAGTGACTCAATCTTCACTGACCTGGCTCTTACATAACATTCAAGGAAACTGATTATATTAGTGGCAGCTCAGCTATCAACAAAGAGAGGCTGAGTTTTTAGGTGTGAAGCTGTTACTTTAAATGCTAAATCTTTGTTTTTCTTTACATGGAAATCTCTACCACACGTTCTGAAGTTTAAGTCTCTGTCCTCAAGACAATGCAGAAACAGTGAAAATAAACACATAAGCAGGTAGATCAGAAGGTGACGATAATGTGTAATCAGTCTATCACGTCAAACACCACAGAAGAAAGTTGTTCTCCTGCTATTCAAATAAACAACAGCTGCAGTGGGCAGGTTGAGGTAACGACAACTTTTCTGTTTTTGTTGTCCACAAAAATACAGATGCAAAAAATGTTTAAGATTCTCCAGTATGGAAGGCTGCAGATGTGTGGACAGAGGACTACGATGATTTACGAAGACAGGGAAACCCAGAACAGGTGTTGTAAAGGTAAGACAAATCCCCCGACAATGTTAAGCCCGAGTGTTCTGGGAAAGACTTTGCATCATTCACTGTCTGAGTTAATGAGGCTAAATCACTGAGAATGACTGTTTCAAGTTTGTTTTCCACTTCATTCTCGAAGCTTATCCTGCAGCTGCTTTTAGCTCACACCTGTTATGACTTGCTCATTCAACACCACACAGCTCTTTGAACAACTCCGGTGCCATGACAACCCAAAATGCGCCACTCGGGTTTTGGCAGCATCACATTGCACACACCAGGTCTACATCAGAGTGAAGGAGAGATTGATCCCCACTAAAAACTAGCATTTCCTTTTTGCAAGGGAGTAAAAGTATTCATCGATTGGTGTTACTTCCAGGCTGACACACTGCAGCAGACACCAGAAGGACCGTTTTGTTCAAACCCTGAACTTTAGACAGTGAAATTGATTCTGATTCTGATATGGTCAAAGATGTGTGCACATTTGAATTTTACCCGGGTAAACTTTGCTCCCTATATGTGCACATTAAGCATGGAAGGTTAGTTTGTATGAGACATTTAACTAATATATATACAAGACTGTTGTGGCAGTAGTGATATGGTGGGGAGTGCAGAGGGGTGATGGGTCATGCACGTGTGAAAACAACCTCTGCTGCCCTTGCAAACATCACAAACACAGAAACTGAAGGTTATTCATGTTTTTAGTCGCTGCTTCAAAAAGGAGGTTTGTGTAATTTTCCTGTTTTTTTAAAACCCAAATGTCCTCCCTCTGTGCTTTCAAAGTTGGCTTCATATAAGACAGCTGAACTCCTGTTGGTTTGACACTGGGGTAGACCGACTATCTGCTTTGACCAACAACGGGGGCTTTGACTTTACAGATGGCCGATAAAATCAATGAACAAGTGTGCTACTTTGGCTCTGGGGCTGTTGTCGAGTACCACTTTGTCTCATCAAAGAATGAAGCTTTAATGTAAGTGTAACTGGTTATCTAATAACTCATACTCGACTTACACGATGCAGAACGTTTGAGTTATGGAGTGTCTGGAGGAAAAAATAGGGCATCTATGTATTCTTTAGATGTTGTGTGTGCACATGAGAAGCATGCAAGATGAACAACATACATGTTGCTCATACTGACAGTCTGATAAATGTTAAATCACACACCAGTATGAAAAACAGACCTTCAAAGGAAGTATAAGTTAACCTGAAACGGCAAACCAAAACGACCACTTTACCACTTCAGTAATCTCAATTTTGTTCTCATAACATGATGACTTAATTTTTGAAATCTAAAAAAAAATATATATATATATATATATATATATATATATATATATATATATATATATCAAATTCTGCCCTTATACTCCATTGTTCAAAAGAGTATAAATATGTATTGGTATTGATCAGCAGTATTAATCTCCGAGCCTTGCCTCTTCTTTTGAGCTATGGTTTTTCTGACTGTCAGTAATAAATCAAATGCCTGCTGGATGTGCTCATATTAAAAAATTCTAATACATTCCCTATGAGCCCACCCAGTTTAGAGAACTTCCCCTTTAATCTACAATCCAGACATCATGTCCATCTGAACAATTTGGCAAGCGTTACCTTTTTCTTCGACATGTTTACCCAAAAGAAAAGACCATAAACTAAAAAGGTTTGATAAAAGATATAAAGCTGCTTTTAGTCTATACTCTCCTCTGCTGCTGAAGTTCAAAAGAAGGTGCTGAATGTCTCATCAACCCCCTGAGCGAGGCTTTTTTTGTCGCTCTCCACTGAGGATACTGGTTTCATCCTGATACTCTGCCGTCTGGAAGTCAGGAGCAGACGTCAGGTTCAGTATTTACCATGAAACGAGTTGAAGAGGCACCTTCTATTTCTCTTCAGTTGCCTTAAAATCAGCTGTTTTCAGCATTCAGGAAGCTTTCAGGGAGCAAACCGAAGATCAAACCAACAAGTGTCTGATAAAGTGCCTCATCTTTCTTCTGATGTTTATCGTTTTACCTGAGGAGATGCCACAGTCCATTTGTCTTTACAACAACACCGTGAAGGCAGCACGGAGGAGAGACTCAATAAAAAGAAACTTCACTATAAACACTTTCCATCATCGCTTATCTACAACAAGCACACCAGCGTAACCTCAGATCACAGTTACGGCATTTAAAGCCCTGCAGTTCTCCTTCGTTTTATTTAAACAACTTATTTATTTGACAGAACTGCTCGCAGGAGACTCCCCCTCACCGCTTTTAAGTGCCTCGCTGAATTTCTGCAACACTAAGATACTTTCGGACACAGCAGGAACTCTCTGCTCTGCACTCTCTCGGTCAAAAGGGGGTTTTAAAAAACTGAAGCTGCTAAACCAACCCGAGGAATAATCAGCATTAAGTCTTAAACTGTTTTGGCCACAACAAAAGAGCTTTAACACTGAATTCACTCTCAGAAGAGGAGCCAACTCACAATTTAGTCAGTCTAATCCTACAGTTAAATACAGAGCTTTGATTAATGTCACATTTTTCTTATGACTTGGGAACATTCATAAATCCGCCTACGTAGTTCTGATGTTTTACCTGCATGACGGCCTTTATCTGCAGTTTTATTAGTTATACCACAGTGATTTTTACTGTTGTCCTAGCTAAGCTCAGAAAAATGTGAAATAAAAGGTAAATCGCTGTGGCTTGTAGGTTATGAAGTTATGATTATGGTCTGACATTCAAGAGAGAAAAAAATCATACATTTCTGAATTTTTTGTCCTCATTCTTTGTTTTTCATTTATTATTTTCATCGGTCCCATTGTTTTCAACTCTTATTGTGTTCTCACTTATATTCTTGAGTCTGTGTTGAGTCATAAATCTTGACGCTTTCTGGTTTGCTTTTTCTGGGTCATATACAGGCATCAGCATTTATTTCAGTCTGTTACATGACTATCTTTTAGTACTGAAGCTTGATTCATCTAAAGCTTTGCATTCCAGCTACTCACCCTTATGATGGACTTATTTATACAGTCCTAACATTTACGTGACTCTACAGCAGCTGCTTGGCCAAAATTGGACCTAATATTAGAGAATTTTGATTTTTTTTCCCGCTTACTCAAACAAAAATAGTATATAGATTTATTTAAACACCACCGATCACTAATAACATCATGTAGGCTTTTTGTTGGATCTTTGTCATCAGGGGGAAAAACCTTCCTAGAGAGCCCAAACAGGTTAGAAATAGTGTTTTTAGGTCACGTTGTCCTTGCTGCTTGAACATCTGCACACTACACTGCAGTCACAGAGACTGCAGTAATTAAAACTGCTAATAATATTGACCCCCAGGGGGACCCATGTGTACAAGACCCAAGAGAGGGTAATGGGCAGTCATTAGTAAGTATTTTTTAAGAATAATGAACAAAAATTGAATTGACCCTGACAGCTGTAGTAAAAACATACTTTTTACTAGATCATTCATGCAGAAAACTATGTCCGTGTTGACTAAGACATGGTGCCACCTGCCAAAGAGCTCACACCTCATTGTTTTAGGAAAATAATGCTCTAATTTCCTTTCAGCTTAAGAGTATATCGGCTGTATACCAGTAATCAGTGTCATTGTCACCTGTTCAATGGGTAACGGTCTGAAAATTACCATATCAATCAGACTCTATTCCACGATAAACTTGTTGGACAAAAAAGCATCTGAAAAAATTTGAATAATTTCAATAGCTTTGCATATCATAATGTTTTTTCCATGGTAACAAGTTTGGAGCTTCTCTCTACACCACTACGGAGTTAGCAGGGATCTAATACCACCAGTGGTAATAAGAGGATGTTGTTCAGCTCCAATAAAGTTATAATTTCTATTGTCTAGAGATCACCCTTCTGAAGACAGATTCATAGCTATCTACAGCAACTTTAAACCAGCTTTAGTAAACGTGCTTCTATATTGACCTTGGCATTTAATTCAACATCAACTTCAGTGTTAAAAATGGGGCCAGTGTGGGAGAGCACAAATTAAAAACAACTATTAACTTGAGGCTGGCAGCAACAGCCAACTGTGCAGCAAAGATAAACATGTTTACAACCAAGTTTTTATCGCTCATTTGTTTATTTGTACACTCTGTGCAGGCACTGACTTTTTTTTTTTACAGCACATCTTTTATGAAAATATGAAGTTTGGGAGTTCTACATAAATTTGTGTTTAAGGGGAATAGCTAAGTTTATAGATATGCATGTAAGCTTTTTGTAGTTGTTGGCCAGAGAAGCTGAAAGCCTTTCTCAGCTCCATTTCTTTGTCTGTTACTCAGCTGAACAAATCCTAGGTTGAGTCAGTATTTTCAACATGGTTCCCACCATCATTGGTGTCAAAACACCCCACTTCAGAGACCAGTAGGTGAGGTCAGAGACTATCCATCAGGGCTTGACACCAACTTTTTTCACAAGGAGCACACAAAGAACTTTAAGGGCACAATGAAAATTGATTAAATAATGTGTGTCTTGTCGGTCAATGTAAGTACTATTATCAAAAATCAATTTTAGGTCTTTTGGCCACATGACATGGAAGCTATTAAAGAAAATGTTCAAAATTTGATTTTAAATTTAACATAAAAATTTTTAGAGGACAAATTAGGAAAATAAAGAGGTGTATCTTATTGTCCGACCTTAGTACTATTAATTGAAATTAATTTTAGGTCAATTGGTCACGTGACATGAAAGCTATTGAAGGAAAACAGCCTTTTCTGAGAAAATCAACGAGTAATTTTTCAATGGTCCCTTACTCAACAACCGACGTGAAAAATCATTTGTTGCCTCAGCTTTTTTTTTTTTTTTTATGCGCACATGTGCCCCCAAATACATTTTACAATTTGCACACATCTATTTTTAGTCGCAAATGCAAGTGAAACTGTCGCACTGTTGAGTCCTGTCCATGTTTTATCAAGTTAAATCTTAAAAAGTACAGTGTCTAGAATCTAACAGAACAAACTTGGACAGTATGAAAATTGACATAGGTCTGTTTAAATAAGTGTATAATCCTCTGAAGATAAAAACTGTTTTGTTTTGATTAGCTTAGTCTACATGGTAGCAGGGTAGACGTGTTCTTGTATTTAGTGAGGGGTTATACAGTTGGGAGACAAAGATGATTTAATCTTGAACCAGAACACTAGAAATCACTAAATATTCCAAATTCTACACATGGTTCCCAGAAATCATGGGTGTTTTGAAGTCCAGAAGGTACTCACGGCAGATTTCTAGACTCTCGTCAGACCCATCCTCGCAGTCCGGCTCCCCATCGCAGTGCCACCGCTTCGGGACACATTGGCCATTGCGACACACGAAGTCTGCCTCTGCACAAGTCTTTCTCACTGGAGTGGGAGAGAAAGATAGATGGACTCATTAGAAGAGAAAAGGATAAGAGAGACAGGCTTCACATTCTTTAATCAAACATCTCACATTAGAAATAGAAACCTATGAATAATAAGAAGGGAAGGGGAGAAAGACCACATCCTTGCTCTCACCCCACAGGAATATGAATTACAGGCTAAAACTCAACCCTTCTCTCTGCCCACCTCCATCTTTACCAGGAGAAAAGGTCACCAGTTAAAGATTTGTTTCCTCTCTGTTAAAGAAAACCTTAAACTTAACATTTGCAAAGAACTCAACAAAAGTAAGCCCTGCTTTTAATGGTACGTTTACAAAGTTGTAACTTTTCTTTTCTGAACACTTGGAGTTTGTGTTTCTCATTTAACTTAGAAATGATCAGCCGAATTAAAAGGTCTCCTATCAAACACTTCTCCTCCTACACTTTCAGACTCTGTTAATTATGCAAACCTTTAATAACAGTTGGGCTCATGCAATTATACATTTAACCATGCCATTATATAACACTATAAATCATTTATCCCCATCTTAACAATAGGTTCTGCTGCAACGAATCAAGTTAGTCAGCCCAGACAGCACTCGCAACAGTCTGTAGGAAAATACAAGTTGGATTTCAGAGTGTCCATAATACAACACGACTCAGACCTCTGTCTTCTCAGCACCTAAATGTTCACACACACTTGAGTGTCTCCTTGAGGCCTTTCCTCCACCTCTCTGACCAGAATACAAATACGTGCTCCAGAAACAACCAGCCTCGGTTTGAGCCATGACAGCAGCAAGTCACAGCGGGTCTCATTATGAAATCTCCTCTCTTATTCTTTAATTTTATACTTTAACAGGCCTGTGTGCCTCAGTTTTTTTTTAAGAGTTGGAAGTTAAAGCAGCTCTGATCTGAAAATGAATAAATAACAGACATTCACATGCAGCAAAGTTTCAGCTGCTGTGAGAGAGAATGAAGAGATGAATCAAATCATGAAAAATTGTATTTTGATTGACAGACGATGCACACTCAACATCCTGTGTACTGTATCTTTGCCTGGATAAATCAAAGAGGATAAAGCTCTTTGAATATATCTGCACATGAAGAAGTAATTATTTATCAGTACCTTTTATTTGCATTTATACTTGCTTTACCCTTGGTTTTATCTCAGAGGTCACCTTTTTTTTTTTTTATCTGAGCGCTACTTATTTATGCATCTAATTTACTGATTATGCTCTCTCACTAAAGTTGTGATTGGTGGAGCCTGGAGTACTTTTTATCATACTGGATGTCATGGATGTCATTGGCTTCGTGCAAAACAAATTTACCAACAGGCACAAATAATGTAACCCGAACCTTTGAGTAATTCCAAATATCCAACTCAAAATTCATACTTGCTCATTCATACTTAGTTTAAGACTCTCTGACCACATTCACTAGTTGCCTTCATTTTGCCCATCAGGTGTACACAGTAAGCAAACAACAACCCTATGAAACCAATGTCCAGGTGCAAAAAAAAAAAAAAAGTAGTTGTATGAGTAACCAGCAAAGGCAAGTGGACAAGAACCTGCTAGGGAGGAGTAAATGACTCTGGTTCTAGCTGCTAATGGTAGCCACAGCTCAAATTTGAATTTTTTTAGCTTCAAACTAGTGAGCTGGTCGAAATTCAGTCTTCTATTCAAACAACTTTGATATTAGTCATCTTGCAATGTCCCTGTTTGAGCTTTGAAGTAAACATTACTGCCCGCAGATGTTTCACACCGATCAATATCCACTCGAATCACAATTTAAGTCATAAGCTATGCAGGACTTTGCAGCTCTGAGCCGAGCTACTGTTCAGAGATGTTTAAGTATGCTTACAACCTTTTTCTCTCCCTCAAGGACAAATTTTTATCAAGATGCTGTAGAGAGACTATACAAAATAAACCAGCAGTTGTGATTTTTTTCATTTGTGTACACCTGTACAGTGTGCTGCTGTTGAAAAGCATAAATCTGGACTTAGTGTTGCAGACAATGAAGTGCAGCTACTTAATCTCATACCGGCTGATTTACTTCAGGAAATCTCTTGTATTTCTTTGTGAAATCTGACTTTGAGGATTTTTCCCCCTGAATACCGACCCGCAGTAAAGACTTTGCTCTTCCTTGTATTTGCTTTCTTCCTTTCTCTTGATCACTTCCTTCACCCATTCCTCCCTCCCCTCCTCAGTTTCATGTGACCCAGATAGACGAGGGACAAAAGCAAATGGAGAAAGATCTGAAAATGTCTTACACACACATGCACACACACACACGCATGTACACTCTTCATATCCATATTTAGCTCCGCTCTATCTGCTACCTTCCATCACCGGGTCATTCTGTCCCAAAGGATGCTGGGTATGCTCACAGTGAGGCCAAGCTAACATGATGGGTTCTGAGCACCATGTGACATCCGTGTAAATGTGAAATAGTGAGAACAAGCTCCATCTGTGCCGTCTGTGGCCACTTGATACTAGAATACCTGTAGGGCTAATAAAAAGATCATGCACGCTGTGACACTCTCTCCTGGTCAGCATGAGAATATTACATTTTAAACTGTGAAGTGAACTCTGTGGCAGGCAAAACTACAATTCTGAGAGACCATGTGACATTTTTTCTTGAATAAGATCAACTCACACCCAAAGTAACACGTATAATTACATTTTTTATCAGGAGTTAATCTGAAGAATCTTCAATCTAGCAGCTAATATAGAGAACTGATTTAATCCACTGCTTTGTGTCTTATTTAAGCTTCCAAAATGGTCTTATCAGGAGATGTGGAGGTGAACCAGGGTATAGGGCTGGGCGATATGGGAAAAAGTTCCTCATGATACATTTTTTTTCATATCAGTCGATATCGATACATATCACGATGTAAAAAATGAAATTTAACAGTGCTTATTGGTCGCATGTCTTTTGCAAAACACTAAGCTACTGCATCTGTGACGTTTGACGTTTTGTCATAAGGCGTTGCAGTAGAGAAAGCAGACTGAATGGTCGGCTGTTTCTGTTGCACAGGCGCCATGGGCTCCTCGCTCTTGCACATGATTGGTTCAGCCTGGAGCGGACCCGCAGCAACTCCCCTTTTCATTGGCTATTTCTATAGTCTACCAAAATATGACAGAATGCCGACTATCGAAAAGCATATTGACCATGTTTTATATTGATATTGAGGGAAATTAATTTTCGATATATCTCGTTATCGTTTTATCGCCCTGCCCTATCAGGGTATAAAATTCAGCGAGAGATACAAATCCCTTCATAACTGATCCAGGAGTCCCAAGAAAATACTGTTTTGCTGTGCCTTCTGGAAGCCACCTTTGGGTGCAAAATGTAACAACATCTAAAAAACACAAAAAAACTAGGTAGGAAAACAAATTTTGGATCAAGCCCTGTCAGTGCGAAAGTTACCCAGCGTCATATGAGGTGGCCTTTAATGATTTTACCCAGACTCTCTTTTTTTGTCAGCTTCATTTCACTTTGGCAGGAAAACCTGCTCAATTCTAACGAAGACAGACTGTCATTCAGCCGCCCACACTTCCAGGCCACATCAACAGTTTATACAATACATTTTCAGCCCACTCATATGGAGACGCAATGAAACTGGAAACCAGTCCCCAAAGAAACACAGAAACAACGGCAGAGACAGCTTCAGCCTGGACTGTTGCACTTTTGAGGAGGACGACAAATGAGACAACAACATACTGAAGACAAATGTCAAAGGATAAAGATGGCATTTTATTCTTTTTCTTCCCCTGAAGTCTCTTTTTTAACTGTCATTTCTTTGTTTATAAATCCTTTTGGTCAAGTAGTGGTCAAAGATAGCAACAGCTCACCTCAGAGACCATCAAGCGCAGCTGAGGAGCATCCAAGAGTCCCAGATTTTTTTAAACATTTATTTAAACATTATTTAGACACTTATGTGCACCAACCTGTTCGTTTGGGGGATGATGAACCACACAGAAGCAATGAAAACAATAAAATCAGAACAAAGTATGTGCTGTAAAAACAAGGCGAGCAGCTCAGCTCGCAGCATCCATGGGATTCTTTGTCCACAGAGGACAGTCATTGCAAGTGTGATTATCATTGCAATTATAATTATAAGTAAACTGCTGAATTCAGAGTGTGAAGCTCATTTAAATATGAGGTCTGTTTGTTTTCCTCTGTGCATAATTCAGTCTTCTGTTAAAACCTCATAAATGATGAGCACTGAAGGGTAATTTTGAGACTTGTTAAAGTTTACAGTCTGCCCATCTGTTGCTCTTACTGCTTTGTGTGCGGTCTAAAAAACAAAGTGCATATACTTCTTTAATAAAACAAGAGCACATTTGGGGTCTAAGAGGCTGGCCTACTTTTGGGAAGGCCACAAAGTGTTAAGATATGGGTCATCCCAGTTTCTGAAGGAATATATCACCCAGTGTGTGCTCAAGTGTGCTTCACTGATGCATTTCTCATCAGTCATGGATGCCAATGGATACCTACATCATAGAGGAGTGGGATATTTCAGGTACTTGCTGCATAACAACACTAGAAATCAGGATATATTCATTGTTCCTCAGTCTTTTGATAAACACCTTGCAGCTGTACGCCTCTGCCAACCAGTCAATTTGCAGTTTTGTGTTTTCTGCAGAATCACAGCGTAACTGTGGCCAGGAGAGGGAATAAACATTGGATTAAACTGAAAAGGTGGTCACATCATCATCTAAAAGAAGGACATAATACCAGATTACAAGCCTCTCTCTGCGGGTTTCTCTGCTGAGCATGTGAGCAATACCAGACCCAACAGCAGAACCGACTGGTGAGCAGAGGTTCAAGTGAGAAAAGAAACAGATCAATTTTTTACTCAGACAGCTTTCTCTGTGAAAGGAATAAATCCGGGAGCTCACCACCTGATTACATGAAACTCAGAGCAAAATCCCCATTTCAAGGGAGCATCCCAATTCTGGTTGATGTTGCAACAAACCTGTAATCGCATCTGATTTTTAGAGCTTTTTTTCCACCACTAAAAGTGTTTTTATTGCCCCCAATTGACTTTTCTTTATCCCTCCTAAATTACCATTTTAATCTGATTCTGAAAAAAAGCCTAAGGAAGGGTGTTTGACTATCACTATTTGCTTTAAATACTATAATACTTACACTTGATGGCTTTCAGTATCTCTATGTATAATGTATGTCTGAAACAAATTAACACTGAACAAAAAGGTTATGAAGGTACAAGAAGAGATAGATATACTGGACAAAAGTGTCTTTGGGGAGGTTGGTTACACATATTTTTAGGTGAGACAAATAGTTGTTCCTCCTCTAATGGATACTAGAATATCATGCGGTACATGTTTTTTCAAACAAGTAATATTTGCTCAAGACTTTAGGTCAACAACTTCAAAACTTTATCAGCTTAACTCGTGAAAAATGCCCACTTTTACAAAAATACATGATCTCAATCCAAACAAATCCTCAAAGCAAACATGAAAGTAGGGCTGGGCGATATGGCCTCAAATCAATACCACAATATATTGAGCAGTTCACCTTGATAACACTATATGGACGATAACTACTCCACAAGCTGCTCACCCCTTCCCACTTTAACTTCGACTACTTCAGCAGAAGTGGACAAAGAGTTGTAGTGGCTCCAGACCCTACAACTTTTGAACCGTCCTCGATCTCCTCACCTGTCTGTCCCTCTTTGTTTCCGAATGGACAGGGTGGAGTCACGTCTAGAATGTAGGACAACGTCTTTAAGAGACATGTGACCAAAGCCTACCTACACACATTGAAAACCAACTTTTCCTTATTTTTTTGTCACCTAATATACTGACACGGGCAAAATGACGTTGGTTATTGTCTTAAATTTTGGCATTGGTAAATTTCCTGTTAATCGCCCAGCCCTACATGAAAGTGTGGTCATTTAACCAGATAAACATCATCACAGACAATAAGGTGACACTAAAGTACTCCTCAGGAAACCCAATCATATTAATTCAACAGGCATATATTTTGCTGTTAAAATACAGTGCTCACTTCTCTCTTTTTTTCACCCCATAAGATAACACTCAGGATCAAGACTCTCTCATCGCTCTCTGCCCCTCATATCTGATCATCTGTCACATGATCCACTGCAGAGTGAGAGGTCTGTCTGTACGTCCCTCCTCTTCCTGTTCAGTGAGGAGATCTTAACCACATTTATCAGGACAACCAAAGTCTAAATGGAGCATAACGTCTGTAAGTTTGTTCAAATCAGTGTGTTATCATCCAAATAAAACATAATATTTTTAGCTTTGGAGCCTTCTATATCTACATAAGGAGTTGGTCTATTTCCATGTAGGCTGTTTGGTGAGTGACAGTGAGAAGACAAACAAGTAGCATTGGCCTTTTAGATAGTAAAACTTGATAAATGGATGATTTTTAACATAATGCATCAAAAGAGCTTCCTGTCCTCTGACCGTCACTTCAGAGACTAAAAGGGGTGAGCACAGGGCTGTTTTCATCTAAATATCTGACTGACAGATAAATTAAATATTCTCATTTCCATAATCTCTACCTGATTTTGCTGCAATGTCACATAATTATGAAACTTCTCATACTGCTGTTTCAAAAGTTGTGTGCAACTTTTTACAGTTGATGTCCTTCTGATTCCTTCTGAGATTTATTCTTTGGTTGACTTCTAACTTGTTGCAAATGAATTTTTCAAAAGATCAAGATCAACACATAGAAAGAGAAAAACAGAAGTAATCATCAAAAGTTTGAAGCTCACAGTACTTTGGTTGCATCTGTTCGGCTTCTTACCACAGGAGTTCTCGTCGCTGCCGTCGGTGCAGTCTTCGTCACCGTCACACTGCCAGACGGACGGGATGCAGCGGCCGTTCCCACACTGGAACTGGTTAGCCTCACATTCTGTCTTTGTACCTGCAGAGACAGTGGACACAGAGTGGAGTGGTCAGACTTCAAATGCCTCTATAATTATCAGTTTTGTTCCTTGAAATGGAGTTCTCTGTGCTCAGTCCCAGGTAAGGCTCCCTGCAGTGCTGTACTTTCGAAACAAATTACTCCAAACAGAACTGGCTAACACTTGGAGTAGACCTCTGGAGACACGCAGTAGTTCAGTTTCTTCTCACCCCATTTCCAACTTGTCTCTGTTCCATTATCTAGGTGTGGCGATTACAGTGAAATATCTCCCCCCTCCTCTAGTCACATCACTCTTTTTGTAGTCCAAACACATCTTTCAAAACTGAATAAAAACTACCCAGAAACACTTGGACATTTTCAGGACACAACTTTTGGGTCTTCTGAAACAGGACATGTCAAATGATTTACTTTGACTGATTGGAGTTTTAAACAAGTGCAGATCAAACTACTAGGTTTCCTGCTTCTCATGCAATAAGGTAATTAAATAAGGCTGAGTCTCTCCTGGTTCAGAGTGATTTTGAACATTTGATGTCTTAAGAGGACATGGCTGGCTAGCTTAATTTGCTGCTACAGATTCCATCTGATCATGAAAGAGATTATGCATTTAGTAGCAAGACGACATTAACCCTTTGTGGTTTTCCCACCAACAAAAGGAGCAATTAGCCACCACCATCATCATCATGATTTCTGCATGAAATAAACAACACAGTCCAGCACAGACATGGTGAAATCCCCAGTCTACATCACACAGTGACCAAAATTAGCTTTAAAATCTGTGTAGCAGATTATAAGAGTACAGATACAGATTATAAATTTAAAATGAAAATAGAAATAAATAAAAAAATAGACACTTTTGTCTGAAAAAAGAAAACAAAACTACTATGCAAATGAGGCTTGTTCTGTACACCAGTTTCAGGGGATTATTATGAACAATTACAGACCCAAATGCTTTTGTTGGCAACGACAAACAACAGCTGGCACGCCATGATGTTGTTCCTAACATCTGCAACCACAAACCAACCATTGTCAACTGTGAAATAAATCTTACACTATTTTGATTACAAGTTATTCATGAGAAACTTTACCCTGACAAATCTGAAGTCTCTCCTCCCAGCTGCGTATGGAGGTACAAAAATCTGGATGTTGTCCTCAGCTCAGAATATTTATTTTTTTGGCCATTGAAAAACAAAAAAAGGTCATAGAGGACGACAACTGGGGATTTAAAATTACCTGACATTTTCCACAATTTCAGATGAAAGAATAAAGATGTGTGAAAAACTGAATCAGCTTTCATTTTATTCATTATCACTGATGCAAAGACTGAACCAAAATGTTCGATATCACTGGGAGCCATCTTAGTTTTTATTGCGAAACAGAAGTCTGTCTGAGGAGGACCAGACACAACCATCACACTAAATCATACATGAGCTACAGATTTGTCTGGTTTCTGTCTGATAAAAAATGCAAGAAACCTCAGGATGAGCAGCAGCAGAGTGATCTTTCATCCAGGGTGAGCTGTAGATGTTTTGTGATAATGTGTGAGAAAATAAGAAATCCTGGTAAAACAACCTTGAAGTCAATCAGGAGGAAGAGATGGATCTTTGTCGCAAACACCACAAGCAGAGACAGATATAAGGCAAAGCAAGTTTTTCTCTCCAAGAAAAAAAGTCACAAATTTAAAAAGACGGTCCAACATAGAATTGATATAAAGAGTAAAGGAAAACTAAGAGCAGGTTTTAATATGAAAAGACAGAATAAGAGACTTTAGTTTTCGCAATGCAGTGTACAATATGTTCAAGTGGAGGCAGTGAAAGTTTCGAGTCCTAAAATAACACTGTCTGACCTTGACGCTCCCTTCAGTCTAAACTGTGCGTCTGTACAGGTGCAGAAATGGAAAGAGCTCAGACGTCAACTCTGTTCAACAAAAGGTCACAAGTTGCACTTTTCAAACTTTTATGACAGCTTATTAAAAAAAGGAAGAAAAAAACAAGAACAGTTGAGAGTCCTAAAGCAGTCCAGGTCTCTACTCTAGGACTTTGACGGGAAAAAGTCTGTATTTTGTCACTGAAATGTCATTATGAGGGGAAATTGTGTTAAGTGGATCAGCAGCTCCTTAAAAGGAATCATCCCTCTGATTGAACCCGAAGAGTTTCAGACTTTTCACTGAAGCAGCAAGACACAACTGAAGACATGAAGTTATAAAATCAACGCCTATACAGACTTCATATGTCCTTGTTGTGGCCATCTTATCAAAACCAGCAGCTCAAATCCTGCAGAGTAATATGGTTAAAAAACAAATCATCTATTTAAAAAAAATTACTTTTAATAAGGATTATTTATTATCAAGCAGTTTTGATCCTCCTAAACAAGAGGATTTGGAGCTTTTCTGAAAGACAGTCATGTAATCATTATTTACTCTTTTGTTGTTCAACAGCAAATCACTATGTGAGCATAACTTGACAGGGTTTTCCCTCAGGAAACTCCCAAATGCCAATGACAGATTTTTTTAAGCCAAGACTTTATTCAGACCTGTTTTAGGGGGGCTCCATGACTAAAGGGTAGAAAAGATTTAAGAGTTGCTTTGGAGGTTTTCCTCCACGAGCTGCCATGAAACTGGTCATAGTGTAATCTTTGGGGGCAAACGCACCGTATCGACATCTGTCCATCAAAAAGCATTTGATTAAAAAACACTGTTTTTGGGGTTTGTTTGATTTCAAGAGAATCTTAAATAAATCATTGAATTAAATGCTAATAGGACAAGTTTCTAATTGTTATTTTGGTTAAATTCATTGTTATATTAATCGGTAACTAAAACATAATCGTAAGAGTAATTGATAAATTAGTTGACGAATTGAAAAAATAATTGTTTGATTAATCGACACAAAAATAATAGTTAGGTGCAGCCCTACATTATACCATATATTGTTTGGATCCTCCTTTTTTTTCTTTTAATTTCTCTTTGCCAATAAATTTGGATTTAGATGAACTCATTAAACAACAAGTCTATACAGACAGTGGCCTCACCGCCGTTTGAAAAGTGCTGCATATGATCAGTATCTTTGGAGGAAAGCATTACAATAAACTTTAAGAAATAAAACATGTCAAAAGCTCTGAAACAACAGAGATTCTGGACAGGATAGCAGTTTCTTTTCAAACCACATCTGAACACAAGAGAAGACAAACACAGAGGCAGCCATGCCAACAGCCTGCAGACCTCCATCCAACCAAGACTACACCAGCTGTACTCACTCCACACTCATGCTACAGAATGGAGAGTGGGCTGACCTTTCATCCGCATTACCATTACAATCACCACAATCAAAGAATGATGGATCTCATTGTATGGGTGTGCATTTTAATCAGAGCAAATGCAGCACATCAAACAACTAACCACCGATGTACAGAAGGATGAGAGGGAGAAAGACACGGTTTTAAGAGCAATGCATGACCAAAAATCAGACAGCACTCTACCATCAACACCTGACAGACACACTTATAAGCGTGTCCGTCAACCCTTCAACTCAAACCATCTATTGAAATGAAGATGACTCGGCCTTTTTGTCCTGGGAGGCTTCCACCAGAATGTGTCCGTGGGAATTTTCTCCCACTCAGCAAATGAGTGTTTCCCATAAGTCTGACAAGTGTGGCACTACAGGGTTGAGATTACGATTGTGTGAGGGCACATGACTTTCCCAGATGAAGCACGATCATGACAAGACTGTGAAGAGCCTCTCTCATGTTGGCTTTCATCACTCGGTTTATACTGCAACATGATCTGAGCTGCCGATTCACACGCTCTATCATGGAGCTCACTAAATTTCATTTTGGGTGCATCATGTTAACATGTTAGATAATTTAAACTGTCACACTGATATCAAATTAACATGAGGCTCTTCCCCCCTGGCCCCTGGATTTCTCCTTTTTATCTAATTCTTTCAGAGACCAGATCCAGTGTAAGGGGACATAGTCGACAGCACTCAGCAGCACTGCAGATGATGTGCTTCACATGGCAGTATGATCCCCACCAGTGAAATGAGGCAGCCGTCATAAGCTGCTCAGGGAGGTTGTGTCGGTACAGTTCAGGCCGACACCAAACCATGAGGAACAATCTTAGATTATTATCCTATTTCCTCTACTCTTTCCTCAGGATTACATGGTCTTGTCTGTGGTCCTCTCTTGCACTCGAAAAGCAATATTTGTCGATCAACCACCAGGTAGTAAACTCATTCCTCAGTGCAAAAACCACACCGCTGAATCCTGTTGCAGCCTTCAGGCGACACTTGACATCGTGCATGGTATGGTGAGCTTGCGTGCAGCTGCTCACCCATAAGGACCCATTTCATGATGCAGCCGATGCTTGTTTCGTGTGCAGTTGCTGCTTCCAGAGGCACTTTGGGTTTCAACAGGCGGTGATGTAATAGAAGAAAATTTTACATGCCATGGTTTAGGCCTGAACGATATATCGTTTGACTATCGTCATCGCGATGTACGTGTGTGCGATAGTCACATCGCAGAGCCTGCGATATTGGAGGTGAATGAACTCATTTAATTTAAAGGGTAACCGACTGAGATACACTCCATGTGACTCTGCATGTGCTGTGCAGCGATCCACCAATCGCCTTCGTCCTTAACTCAGTTGCCAATCAGACTCACTTCTCAGTTGCCAATCAGACTACCCTGCCAGCTGTCAATCAAAATCAGGGAGGAGAAAACCCACCCCTGCACATGTTCTGCACATGGAGGGAGACGTGTGTCCGCTGAGAATTACTTTCGGAACTTTACTCATGACTGTTAAGCTCAACAAATAAGAACTGTATGGGTTTTAAATTGTACATTTCCGTGGACCACTCTACTATAAGCAGTGCGCGTTTTGCGAGGTGCATGCAATTCTCGGAGGACATGCGTTTCTCGGCACAACACCGCTAACAACAACAACAACGATCGCAAAATGAACAACGAACAAGCGAAAACCACCGAAAATGAAGATTTGTTGCCAAAAAGAAAAAGGAAAGTCAGTTATCTGGAATTATTTCGGTTAAAAGAAGGATGATGTCGACCAAAACACGTCACAATAACGTCCCAGCACAATAAAAGCTAAAAATATCTCTGAGACAGACAGAAGCCGTTCTACTAACATTCACAAAAAGAGGTAAGATCAGAGCAGATTAACTGTCCTCAAGATTTCAGCAGTGCAGCATAACATTAAGTGCTATTCAGGTCATCTGGTGAAAATACTGTATTTTTAATATCGCAATATATATTGCAGGGTTGAAAAAATCGCAATATTATTTTTTTCCAATATCGTGCAGCCTTACCATGGTTCGACAACTTGAGCTGATTTGGATCCAGAGAGCTCCCACTTCACAATACTGCTTACAGCTGAGTGAGGCAGATGGAGAGGCTGAGATTTCACAGACTGACCGATGACGAGGGCTGTGTCCGAAATGAATCACTCAATTCCTAACCCCCATATGGGTTTTCACTATATAGCCGACTATGTAGTGAACTCATGTAGTGAGGTTTCGGACACTACATGGCAAGACACAATGCATGACAGGATGCCCACTACCGGTGAGTGACCATTGGATGGTAGCTACATTTTGCAAGGCTTTATGGGAAATTTTGAGTTGCCTATATGGGGCGCTGGAAATGATCACTCAGGTTTCGGACACCCCTCATAATGGCGCTAACCCCCATATAGTCGCCTACATGGGGATTAGGGATCCATTCCGGACACAGCCAAGGACTTTATGTGCGGTGCAACAAGAACTGGTCCTGTTTTTTTTTTGTTTTTGTTTTTTTTTTTAAGAAACTGCAGAATTTTCAACTATGTTTTGTTACATTTCATTACATTTTTGTTTTTTTCTCTACAGGTGAGGTGCTTGGTTCAAGTCCTCTTTGGATTTCCACCTCACCTGCACATAAAATCTATTCAACTTTCTTTCGTTTCTTTATTTTTTAAATTATTTTTTAGGCATAAAATTTTAGTCAATAAATTAAAAGACATCCAATAAATTAACAAGCACAAGCTAGTACAAGACATTTGTATGTCTTTTTTTACCCCACATTTACTATTATTACCTACAAATAGTCATAGCCAAATAAAAATGTTTTCATGAATTAAACTGAAGCTTTTGATCAGAGTTGTTAGTGTAGGTCGGTTTCCCTCCAGCCCAATGTTAGGTTGTTCAGTAATCCAGATTTTTCCATCAAATTTGGATCGTCCTATTTCGATACTTTTTTCTGTTTTTTTTTTTTTTTTTTTACAGTTTACCATCATCAACACTTAATGACTTGTAGCAGCCATCCACAAATTTTCCTTTTTTTTTTTTTAATACCACATCCAGATCTTCTCCAGTTAAACCAGATGGAGAAATAAAACAGCTTGTGTTTTCTGATGCAAGCAGAGATTGCTGAGTGAAGAGGAAGTTAAAGAAACACTCTGCAAACACACTCCCAGAGTGAATGGAAGAAAGCAAACAAGGCGAGAGCAGAATAACAGTCTCCCTTCATTGAGGAAACAAGGCAACATGGGACATATCTGAATGTCTAATTGTGAAGCCAACGACCGACAAGGGAGATGGGTATAACTGCTGAACTATAATTCAAACCTCTACAAAAGACGATGTACCATCAACCAGCCATAAAAGCAGTTTAAAGTACTGTGAGTGAATTGAATTGACTTGAGTATCCTGGTTTTGATCAGGTTTTTAAGTATCCCATTTTGGGTTTGGGCATAAAAACATCATATCCCAATTCCAGAGACTGGAATAAGCCTTTATCCTGGTTCGAAGAAAACAGCTCCAAAAAGAAAACAGTATCCTGTGGTGCAAATACGCCTCACCTCAGTTTGTGATAGACGCTGACTACCTCTGCCAGAGGCAACCTTGGCCAAGTGACGAATTAGCAAAACAAACAGCTGCTGAAACAAGTTGGTCTTACTTCTGAAGTGAAAAAGAAATGAAGTTTTGTCTTTTTGAGCTGAATAAAATTGAAAGTTAAGTTGGGTAAAAGCTTCAAAACGCTGATCTACTTAACCAGGACTCTCAAGACCATGTAAATGCACTCAAAGACTGTCAACATGTAAATCAACAATGACATGACTTTAAGAAAACTACAGAAAACATCAAAAGAAAGAATAATACTCATGCAAGAAGTAAGCGGAGGGGACACACCACAGCAGTGCTATGAGACTATTCGATTGTTATGGTGGAGGAACACAGTGCACATCAAAATTATGACCTTCTCTTTCCATTTATAGTTCCTGTACGGCGTTTCAGGATGAGAGAGGTGACAGGTCAAACATGCATTTGATCAAGCAGCTTTACATTGACCCAGAAAAGAAAAACGGCCTCGTAGCCTGCAAGTTAAAGGTCACATTGGACACACAGTACAGTCACAGGGGCCATGGTCATGTGCGCCACCATACATCGATGCAGCTCTAGCAAACTATTTACTGTCCTCCTGTGACTGACAATTCTTTGAGTCACACAGTCAAAACCATCTTCAGGCTACTTGGCACAAATAAAAGGTCGAGTTTATTTTTAGTTCACGACACATTATAAAGCCATTCCCAGGGCTCTGCAGAGACAAAATAGGTCAATCTGTGGATCCAGACAAATATGCCCGCAAAATGTAAATTAAGTTCTAAAATATATTCCAACCTTAAATTATGAGTGTCAAGAGAAATGTTTCAATGAACACTCTGAGCCCTTTGAGATTTGTTTGCTGTTGATTATTCAATAAAAAGAACGTGGCCTTAGGGACTGAATGAAGCCACCACTTTCCAATTTAGGAAATAAAAACTTGTTACAAAAGATACTCGAATTCCCCTTAAAGAAAAAGCCTTTGAGAGATATACCAGTATAATAGTAAATCAGTACTACAGCTAATTCAAGGACCTGACTAAGGTTATGTGAAGAAACTGAACTGAAATTTCACAGATCAAAAACCAAAATAAATATCCTGGGATTTTCCTCAGGGACGAAGTACTAGAGGAGCTGTGGTGAAAAGGAGGCGCAGAGTAGCTACACCTCTGTAAAATGATGATCTAAGCCAAAACCAGACAGCTTACATACACGTACAACAGCACCTCAGAAAACTGTCATCCAAAACCTCTAGAGTAAAGAGATAAATTTCAATGGAGAATTTATGCCAGCATAGACTTCCATTGGCTTGTACATGCATTTTAAATGGAACCCACCAAACATCCAGTGAACGAAAAGGTCCTGACGCCAGGTACACCCAACTAACCTAAGCTGACGACAGAGGAAACAAGTACACAAAGCTGGACTGACGCTGTGGCGCTTTTACTGTCTAGTGAAGGGGATGGGGATGGGGAAGGAGTCTGAGGGTGACTGATGAGAGGATACTCAGTAGAATAGCCATAACATCTTATCAGTGACAGTTCAGCTCACAGCCTTCTCAAGGCCTGCCAAATAGTACAGTCAGACAATGTTTTTGAGTTTGTAACTTGCTTCATTTGATATACTTATTTATATCACCGGATGGTTTGAATTAAAGAGGGGTAGATCAGCCTATACGCCATTCTGTAAACAAACAAACTAAACCAATCACAACTTTGAAAAAAAAATCCTCCTAGAAAAACACTTCAGCCAAAGCTTAGCTGTCATCTTCTTCCTGAAGCCCACTGCTGCCAAACACTCAAGGAGGGACATTCATTTTTAAACTTCAACCATTTTTTTAAATGGATCCACTCAGCAAGTGCATGAACTTCTATTACATAGTTCATGAGCAACAGACACTTAAGAGATGACTCTGGGGCCATGCAAAGGTCTCGTCTGGCAAGGTTGTGTCTAATGCATGTACGTTGTCAGCAAAGCTTTTCTGATGAAACGCAGACTGATGTCAGATCTCTTGGATAAAAGATTCACCAATTCTACAGGATCAGATTTGGGAATGGGTATTGATTAAAAACATTAATTGATATCAATGTCATTCTGCTAATGAATCCAACTTCTTTATTTCCTTATCAGTTCCCTTGGATTTTCTGTGTGGGAAAAAAGAAGAAGAAGGCCTTTACAGGATTTCTGTGTTCACAACACAAATTTAATCACAATATTTTTTCTCTTGTTTGCTGAGACAGGTACGTCTGGTTTCTGAGAGAACCTTTACAGGTCAGCTGTACAGACACAGAATCCGATTGGTTGGGAAACTGAAAGCACTGACTCATCATGTTTCTGACCTACTGATCACTGCTGACGCACATTTAATGCTGACATGGTAAACCCAGGAGAGAGAGGGCAGGGAAGCACGGAAAAAAAAAACTCTGTGCCTGCTGACTCCTTAGTTATGAGTTCATCATGAAGAAATGTGGCACGAGTTTCAAACTTCTCTTTTTCCGTCAGCTGTTCTGGACGTTTCTGTTCTGAGCCACAAAAATGTCAATGTTGAGCCTGGTTTGGTTTTGTAATTTTGGAAGAAAAAATTATAAAATGTTATGGGTCCAGTGAGTAATGATGCCAAGTCCCAGTACATTACCAAGCTTATGGCTTTGGTAATCCTTTTTTAATATACACATTTCTTCAGAAGCTAGCAGCAACATGATCAAAACAAGCAGTCCCTGGTCAAGGCCTAGTCAGTGGTACATGATAATATTAATACAGAATAAAACACATTACCTTAATACTTCATTATTTTTTTAATTTAGGAACTGCTTTTTTAAAATGACTGTCAATAGGAAAAAAAATCCATCTGCCATGTCGAAAGGTGACCTAGAATCCTCACCTGCCACAGCCAACATTATCCTGGCATTTGGCAGGTAGCACATGCTAATTTTGTTCCTTGGTTGAAATTTAGCATGCTTTCGACACATACAAACAGAGGTTTATGTAGAGGAGAGGGGGAATAATGAGGCAGCAGCTGAAACACTGACTAAACTGCGGCACAATGAGCTGCTACATGACAAATAAGGATTTTTTTTTTTTCTCTGTGAATCATCCAAAGCTACTCGAAGCAAATCCATGAATAGAAATAGAGCTAGAGATGAGTTTACACGGTTAACTTTAACAACATTTTAGAAATGATTTAACTGTGTTGATTTGTTGCTCATTAAATGAAGGATGATTTGAATTCTGTAAATAATCCGCTAACCACTTATACTAAACACCATCCTGGGGACATCCTATTACATTTATAACTAAAACCAACCGATGCAAAGATGTAAGAAAACATCTCAAGTCATAATGTTTTGCTGTAAATGTAAAATAAACACACCAAGTTGAAGGGGGCTGATATCTTTCCTTTGTCTTGCTGTTAAAGTGTGTATCCGCTTGGCTGACTTCTTCAGTGTCTCTCTAAAGACACCCATTGACCTGCTGTCTGTAGAACTGCACACCCTGCACTTTGATCCAATCAGTATGATGGCAGACTTCAATAGGAACCCGAAGGGTATAAACCTGTACCGGAGAATGCTCCTTTTCCCTGCACTGTTAGAATTTTCAGCTGGCATTTAAAGTCTGAATCCTACAAGCTGTGCGATGCTACCACAGAATCTAAACAGAGCTTTCATCATTTTGTCTTGTCAAAGAAATGCACTCTGCTCTCTTTTAAAACGCACTGTCCTGTGTCTTTCGATTTCTAGAATAATTGGAAGAAATGTTTTTATAATAACATTATGCATGAGGACATTAATACTGACACTCTGAACTCAAATTGATCTAAGAGTGACCTGTGAAGCAAAATCACTTTGTAGCAACAGCATCAAGCCTAACGCCAGAATACTCATGATAACAAAGCTGGCTTTCTTTTAAGGACAGGACAGAGAAAGGGAAGTGAAACTACAGAGAGGATTATGTGCGGACAGATTTTAACATCCTATGTTGGTTTCGATACATTCACTTTATATGTCTTACATGATGCAAGCCGGGATGTATCAAGTATACTGGATATATCGCACACTCCTACTTGTCTGTCTCTTTTATGACAGGACGGTTGCAAACTCATGTGCAATCTTTGACCAAATTGATAAATTAATCTGAATGAACTTAAAAAGCTGAGCAAGCTAACAATGAGAAAAAAACATCCATGTGATATGATATGCAATACAAAAGTTAAAGAAAGCTTATTTGCTATTGTTGACAGTCTATCTGTTTTCATTATTACTCAGCACTTGTGTTTGCAACATGTCGCTCCTGAATCCTAAATAAAACCTGAAAGCTTTTTCTTTTTTCGAAACTAAATGGGCGCCGGTCGCACATGCGTCCTGTCAAACTCGCTCTTGCTCACTTTCTACCTAAATGATTAAACGTCATCACCCTTGATAGTCAGCAACAAAATTACCAGTTAGTCAGACAAACCTTTACTTTCATCAAAGCCCTAAAACATGTCCTGTTGTTTTAAAACTGTAGGGCAGCCACCCTCCACTAACCAGAGCTGTAGCTCCAGTTAAAAGTTACTGCGTTTAATAATGCTCTACAACCTGAACATGCAGAGAAAATAGGTAGTGAACAGTATCTTGAGGGGTTTGGCAGTATTTGGCCCAGAAAATGGAGAGAAAGTTGTGTGTTGGCTCTTTGTCAAGCTGAGCTGGATTATAAAGCCTTGATCAGCATTGTGTTACCAGCCCAGGCATGAGGAACCTGCGAGGGGGACCTGAGACTTGGTTGTCCTGGCACGGCTAATATTAACCACACTCAGCAAAGCCATTTCACATCATTATTCCTATCAAGTCCATCATTTTCTCACACAGCTTGGATTTTTTCCCCTCAGTGTTACTTTTAGAAAAGTCAGTCGAAACTCATTTTTGTTTCACAATAATAGGAAGTTCAGTCACCTTCAAACATCTCTACATGCTTCTCTTGTCAAGAAAAAAAAGCCAAATCAAGCCTCAAGCCTTAGATAACAGCAGGACAAAGTCTTTCCATGGGGAAAAAAAAGGTACAGTGTTATGATAGTTCCTAACTGGAATGGCATTGTTCAATCTGTCTGGGTTATTTTTTTGATGCTTCTAATGTTTTTTTTTTTTGTAAACTCATGATAACTCAATATTCTCAGATTCACTCTTGGGGCAGAGGTTATTATTTTTATTTTACAGTGTCTCTCTCACACACTTGGGGAGTTTTTAAACTGATGTAATTTGTGTACATGTCTTGCTCAAAGGTCTACATTTACTTTCAAAAGGCCTATTATCTCGGAATAAGCTTGAAATTACAGATTATTCCAGATGATAATTATTCCTCTGCTGACCCTCCCAGTGGATTCAACAGGCACGGACCTGCTGTGAACTGTCTACCTCCCGAAATAGTAAATCATAGTGAGCTATATAAATGCTGTCACACTGGAGGTCATGGTAATGTAATTTTCCCCAGTAACAGAAATGGTTGCAGTGTTCTCCTCCTCCTCCTCCTCCTCCTCCCTCTGTCCACCACCCCGCCCACTTCAAGAAGCAAGCGCACCCCCACAGCCCCCTCCTCTTATAGCAGAGGATCTGGGTCTAGCTTGGTATCACAGTAACCGTGGAAGAAAAATACATCCATTTTAATCAGGCCAGCGTCGCTGCTGCTTGTGCTCTTGCCGCTATCTAATTTGTGTGACGTCTCGTTCAAATAGGCTCGCACAATCTCAATCTGTGTGAGCGTTTGTGTGTGTTTGGGTTACGTTTGGAGCAGAGAATAAAAAGGAGGGGTCGTTGGTAGTGGTGGGTGGATGCTACGGGGAGTGTGTGCACATTTGAAGCACTAGTTTTGATCCAATGTTTCCCCCAAAGGCCATTTTCCATGCTAGGTAGGCATTGAAGAGACTGAAATCCATGCAAGACACAAGCAGCCAAACACAGCTCAGCGTGCTTCTCTGAGCTGCTCTTTAATGCAGGCTGCATGAAAACTAGTGCTGATTTGATTAGTAACTGCATTCATTAAATTATGCCAAAGTCATGTAAATGTTTTATGTACCTGAGGCAACAAAGTAAGCTCCACAGTGTCGGCATGGAGCACTGACACACAAACTGCATCATTCCTGCACATCTATATCTGGAAATCATCATTTTAGTCGGTCAAAAAATCCACAAGAGTTGGAAATCATAAGGTTACTCACAATATGGTACTAAGTGCATTGTTCATAAAAGGTATAGACCAGGAATGATAATATTAGCACCCCTGAAAGGAGTCATAAAGTAGTGATGGAGTGAGTCAACCTAGGAGGGATATTGTATGCACATGCACAACATTATTTCTATTTTAAAATACCTAAAATTAGATACTTGAATTACATAAGACGATGTGATGTGTGCATTCACACAGTCTTGGGTATCCTGGTTTTCCTTTTCTTAAACTATCCCCATGTTTTTGAGTAATTTTCTGTTGAAGCATGAAAACACTGAATCCCAATTCCTGATTTTGATACCTGGAAAACCCCAACAGAAAAAAAAGATCCTGTGGTTTCTGAAAGAGATGAAGTTCAGGCTCCAGCATGCTGACCCCATCTTATTTACCCAAGCAAGTATGTTGCAGTATTTACAAGCTGGAGCATGAGTATTTATCATGTAAGAACAGGAAAAAACAGGTTTCCCTCCATTACTTTAGATTCTAAAAATGATCAAAACTGCTATTGGGTTGATAACTGAGATACTAATGTCCATGTGAACAAACTTGCTTATACATCCTCGGTACTATGAGTGGACCATAGCTTCAGAGCTCTGCTGTGCAGAATCAAAGATATATTTCTTCTTCTTACCAATAAGCTCTGTTTTTTGGGGTGTTTTGTTTGTACGATTTTGGTAATTATAACATATCTGCTCGCAAGAGACTCTGTGTAGATGCTAATATACGTAGAGTAGCTAGATAAACCCATCAACAATGATAACAGCAGAGGACAAAAATTAGCCAGGCACTATATTATGTTGGTTTTTTAAAAAACATAAATAACACTAGGGCCTGACCGATTTATCGGCAAGCAGATTAAATCGGCCAATTTTAGCCCGTTTGAGACTAATCAGTAATCAGCCAAAACTCGACAATTTTCGCCATAATTTTCAGAAATAAAATATGGAGAATAAGATTCGGTTTCACTTCGAAAATGTTCCGCCATTTGAAAAGTCCCCCGACTTATCCTGTAGATGGCGCAGCGACCTCATGACAATTTTCATCCACTAACTACCTCACAGCACAGCAGAGTGACGGATCTGAAGCAGACAGGACGCACGAAGGAGAGTGGTCCGCCTCAACAGGAAATAAACCAGTTTGTGAAATACACAATAAGTCAACAAGCTTCAGTTCAACCCACTTCACGATGTTTCCCGCTGTGCTGGTCTCGGTCACTTCGAGTAAAGCACTATGTAATATGCAAGCTAAAGTCAGAGTTAGCCACCTGCTATTAGCCTTGCTACACTGTTAGCCGTGCCAGTAACGGAAGAACAAACAACGGTACACATTAGTGATTGAGCTACTTCTCTTACTGAGGCAGCTGCATGTCTCCAGATGAGACCGGACCGGAAATGAGTAACATGAGTTAAGACGCGGAAGCACCGTAGCCTACAGTATATCTACATCTACAGTATATTTTTCTAACTTCATAATTTTTATTTTATTTTTATTTTTTTAAATCTGTCGATTAATCAGATTTTTTTTCCCCCTTATAATCGGTATCGGCCCCAAAAAATTCATATCGGTCGATCCCTAAATAACACTGGTTCGAAACAGTTAAAGATAAGCTTGAATCACTACAAGGCTACATTCAGCTTGGTTAATCAATAATCAATGAGGTTCATCAATTACCAATCATTCCAGCCCAAATGGCCTTGCCTTTTTTTGCTATAGACCCTCATCATGATTTTGATGAGGCCCTTAGCTACTATTTATCACGTTACTGACATTTCTACACATGTTCTCACACGAAATACAACATTCCCAAAAACAACCAACTTCTGTTGCCCAACAAATAGCTCTGAAAAAGTTGAAACAACTTGGCCCAAGCCATCCTACCTCTAATCAGGCCTTCATTGGTATCACCTGCACCTCTCCCTCTGTGATTTCTGCTGCAACTTCTAATCCACTGTATCAACGCACCTTAGCCCCCTATTCTCCCCCTCTACCGGCTCATACTTCAGGAAAAATAAATAAATTACCAAACCTGCTGGGGGGTGGTGATGGCTGAGGAGAATCCCACAGTGGGGGAGTGAATGAGAAATCAGGACACGCACAGACGCCGACACAGCAACAAGGAGCAGGGGTTTATCCATGAGGGCTGTGTGTTTTCAGGGCTAAATTAATTGACCAAAGGGCTAATTGGCCGTGAATGAGCAGCGACAAGCAGTTTCTGTACAAGCAGGCAACACAAACTCCACGGGCCTCTCCATCCTCCCCCTTTTTCTCCCCCTTTTATTTTCAGATATTGAGCTAAAACATTCAGCCTAAATCAGCCATCAACTTAGAAGACGAAGGCGTGAATTCAAAGCGCAAACAAAGAAGAAAAAAGACGTTTTTCACGGGGAGAATCACACGGTTGATTAGCACAAGGTGTAGCCGCGCACGGTCATTTCTTCAAGGAATAGACCGGACAGGTGTAAAGCTCAGAAACAGAGCGCGTGTCCTAACACAAACACACAAAATACACGCACAGCAGAAGATGAACTGACACACGGTGAGGTCGGGACTTACCGTAGACGCTGATACAGTGCTGGAGACATATTAAAATCGGCAGCAGAAGGATCCCCGGTGTGGACGTGACCATCTCTCGCTGTGTAACGTGCGGTTGTTAGCTGAGCGCTCGCGGGCTGCCTCTCCGCCTTGCCTTTGCCTTGCCTTTCCTTGTGGCTCGCGCTGGCCTGCTCGCTCTTTGGTTGTGTCGGTTCACGCGCAAACCACACATACATTCGCAAGGGAATCACGCACGCTCACACGCACACTCTCACACACACACACTCACACTCACTGAACAGGACGGCCGCTCGTGCCGACACCACCGACCGATCAGCAGCACGCGCAGTCAAAGAGAACTGTGACCGGAGAGGAGCCACGAGAATGAAACCGACGCGCAAAACCACGCGCCTTATGATCTCGTTCTTCTACTACCACGCGACGTTGGGGCCGTCCGGGCTCCCGTTCACTCCCCTCGAGCCGAAATCCATTTCCTAGATTTGACGGTAACGAGCGGCCTCGGTGACCGGTTTGTTGGTGGTGCCTCACAGAGCCCGTCACAGCTGAGGAGGTTTTTTTTTTCCTCCTTCAGTACGTCTTTAGCTCAGAGTTAACCCTTTACCGTCCGCAGTACATAATGATAGAATGAAATGGATCCCCTGAAAACCATCACAATAATGAAGGAAACATCTGATATTATGTGGCTGATACAAACTTGTGTTCTTAGAGGCTATTCTTATCTTTGTTGAACTAAACACCGTCAATATGTGCTGTTAATTAGTCAAAGAAAACTTCACAAAACCAAAAAGAAAGAAATAACATCACACAGTCCTAAAGCACATGCTCTACAACATGTTTTCTTAAATCAACTATTTTGGGGGAAAAAAGGTCAAAATCACATTAAAAACTGCAAATAATAATGAAATTCAAATGACAAATTTTCATAAATTTTCATTCAGGTAGCTAGTAAAAGGTAGATATAAGTCAAATGTCTTTTGAGGAGTTTTATTTTTAAGTCATGAAATAGACTGAAATTCATATTAGTTCCTCTTAATGATGTCCAAAAGTAAAAAGACCATCAACAAGAAGGCTGAACATTTTTATATCCTACTTTTTAATGCCTAAAACCACTGCAGGGGGGCAGGTGTCAGCTGACGAAACAGCCCTCTTTTTTAAAATTTCCACACTAAATACTCACAATGACGGATATATTTGACTGTCACAGGTCAGCATGATGAGATTCTTGGTCAAAAGTCATTTTCTTGGTTCCTTGTAGGAGCCTTAGTGTTGTTGTCTTTGCAGTTGTTTGCATTTGTTTGATAAGACGCAGTGGTATTATATTTACATAAGTGTCTTCAGTGCAGGAATATTTCATACAAAGATACCCTAGATTCACAGCCTTAAATGTCCAATGCACTCTAAGGAGATTTCAATAATATGGTATGCACTATTTTTCATACCACCTCCTTATGAGTCATACTCTCCAAATTCAACCTGAAGCAAGCATTATTTTGGCTGCTTAGCTCATACCAGTTTGAGGCATCAAAAATTACAAAATAAAAACAAACAGTGTCAGTCTTTTAAATCATGGTCTCATTTGCTTTACATATTATAAAAAGGTAAGATTATGAATTTTAGTCTGATTAATACATGTCAAAAAACTCCTCACAGGAGCTTTGAATTTTAAATATATGATGGGGAAAAATTGGTACTTTTACTGAATTGGAAACAATCTTTGTTTGGCCAAGCTGCAACTAATCAACTTTCTATTGATTAATTAATGATAAAAAATTTGAGGTGAATCTCTTCTCTGTGGCACTTGTCAGTGGGTGGGTTATGCTGCTCAGCACGTGAACATTTTGTCCTCAAAGGTGATTGGTTGGAACCAGGAAAATGGTCAAGTGTGGGGCAGATATCACAAAAATTAAGATCTTGTAGGACGTCCCTGGTCTGTAGTGGGCAGTATCTACCAAAGGTGGGTCTTGTATGGACAAGGCCATAGGGAGCTCACACTGGTCTGATCCACCAGGGAAGCTCCTGAACTTTGTTACTGATTTAGTTGATGTTTTCACAGAATAGTGGTCACTGTGATCTCTAGTGGTATTGCAAGAGGAATACTGCAAAGAAAATCCCTTACTACTGTAAAGACTTTTTTTTGTCAACCAGGACTAACAGGGACCTCAGCTGTTCGCAAACAATGAACCCAGACAGCTCATTGACTCTGTTTTGGTCTCTACAGCACTTACAAATTTAAAGGGTGATGCCATTGGAAATCAAAATCCACACAGAGAGCATCCTCACCTACCATGTCAAAGAATTCTTGATGGTAGACAAGGTGCACCATTTAATATGCTATTACTCCATCCTCCACTCTATTAAATTCAGTCAGAGGTCAAAAGGATCTGATGCCAAGTGGATTTCATAAGTCATCATTCCTCCTTTCTCCCAAAGTACCTACCTTTAAAAAGCACAACATGTGGTTTTGGTCCAGTTACCAATGATCATGAGGACAGAGATGGCAAATGTTTAAAACAGGGAATTTCATATTTTGGAATCCGACCCACCAACTATATTTCCCCCTCTGTCTGTCTGTCTGATGCTATTTCTGCCCATTTTGATCATGGGGTTTTTGGATTTTGGGTACGTCTGTGTGCTGCCAGGTTTCAGAGGCTCTCAGAGTTCTTATCAGGGGATTGAACCTCATCCTCAGTGATGGCTGATGGTTGCTGATACACCCCAAGGCTCATTCTGTCCCAGATTTTTACATTCCCTGAGAAAAACACTCAAAAACAACTGTACGATTCTGTATGAGGATCCGTCTTTTTTTTTCTCCTTTTACTGTCACCATCTCTCTCTCTTTCCCTCTCTTGCAGTCATCTCCAACATGCACACACATACACTGATTGGAGAAGCAGTAATCCAGATTCTCATGAACTGCAACTGTGGAAAATCCTTATTTGCAGACTCATTAGCAACAGATCTGAACTTCACACACAACTCAGAAAATCCAAATCTGTCAAATATTTCTCTTAATCTTCTTGATAACTGGTGGAAAGAGTCTGATTATGTATTTTTGTCATTGGAATAAGTGTAAAGTTTTTATTTTAGTGTAATCTCTTTTTTGTCAAACCAGGTTAAAGTGCACTCACTGAGCATCTAAAGCCCAAGTAATTGATTCTTATTAGAAGTTGTGAGTGTAACTCCATGTTCACAGGTGCAGAGAGTCTTAAACTTTGAAGTCTGTTCAAGCTGTCTTCAAAGTTTAAGACTCTCTGACTTATGAATAGACAACTGGACTCACTCATGGGAAATTTGGAGAGACACACGTAATCCAAGAAGCATGTCTCTAGACTGCATGTATAGAGAGAGGATGTAAACTCAGCACAGTAGGTCTACAGTCAAGATTTACACCAGGAACCCTCTTGTTGTGATGCAAGAACACAAACCACTGCACCATACAGCCCCCAGATGTTCATGCTGGTTATGAAGCAGATGCAGACTCCCTTGAACTTGAATATGTAAAGAGGCTCAGGAAAGATGTGAGATGTATTGCTATGGGGTTAGTAAAATTGACTCAGCCAGAAAGTTTCTCACAGGTGCATGTTTTTTTTTTCCCTGCCAAACTTTCAGTGGGTTTCACCTGCATGTGTGAAAATTGATGTATCCTGCCAAAATCCACAAAGAAGTATGTTTTTATCATGGTGAAATCTCAGCAAGAAGTCTACCATTTATTTAAATGTTTCACTCTGCCACATTTTAGATGATCTCCAAGGATTAAACCTAAAACAGGGTGATATTTCTTGGCCAGTTCTCTCTTACTAAAGAGATCTTGGATTGCAGTGGGACTAACTTGGTGAAACAAAGGTTATAATAATTATAAAAAACAGTAAGTTACTGTGATTTCATCATACAGTACATAATCCAGGTCCACCCTTGCATATGCTGTTTTTTAATACAAAGTCACAGCACCACCGAGGAGATAAACAATGTACTGACAGTTACAGACTATTTTCAATCAGCTTTAAAATTCACAGGTTTGAAGATGACTCTTACTAAACTCATCAACATGTACATTTTGCTAAAAGTAATGGTGCCACCTGTTGGAGCTGACCTGTATTAACTTACATATAGTTTTGACTGAGCTTTAAATCACAGTTTGATATACTGTCGTACACTTTCCATCAGATAAATTGTAGGCCATGATCAGTTTTACTGCTGAAACAGTGATACACTGTTTTACGTGTGGGTTATATACATGAGGTAAATATACATTTGTTTTAGATACTAATGGCATACATAGGTTCATGTCAGATATGATGAGGATGATGTCTACAGACATGGATATATCTATAGATAAAAAAATAAAACATGTCTTTATGTCAGCCGATGTTTGTCCCTTGGTATTCCTTTTGCAGCATCTATACTGTTATCACAAGGAATAGTCGTCAAATAGATGAATGACCTGGAAACCTCTGGCTCCAACTGTCAATACTCGGTGGTATGAAAGCGTATTTCAAGAACAACTTTTTCAGTGAGCCACCCGGGTCAATCTGTCTTTGGAATTACAACACGAGCACACGTTTTAATACTTGGCTTTTAATTACCTTCTGACATTTGTCTTTTAACAGAAAATGCCAATTGCCTCCAGTGCAAATGTTGTTTACAGCAGGGAGAGAGAAATGTCCAGTTAATGCCTCCAGCGCAACGATTTATCGGCTTTACGGCTGATTACAAAGATGCGAAGAACAAGACAAAAGTCCTCACATTCGAGCAAGTGCCAGTGGGAAGGTGACAGAAGCGTCTCATCTATAGATGGTTCATAAAGCCAGTCCACTTAGCCTTTCATCTCCATCCCATCTGAAAAATATGTCTATGTGTGTTTAAATCCAGTGTAGCTGCCACGTTTATAGGGCCAACAATCTGCACACAGCCTACAGATATCAACACTTCCTCTGACCAAACAGCTTTATCCTCATCTCACCAGGAAGCTGCAGGGACCCTCACCCAGAGCTGATATTAATCATGCACAGATCTGAGCCATGTTTTTGAAGATGTTTGTAGCCATAGGGGGTGCTTCTTTATCTCTCTGTGATGGAGGACTGCTCGTCCGCTGTCTTTATGATCCTTATTTTCTCCTCTGAGCCTGCAGAGAAGGCAGCAGAGAAGGGAAAGGAGGCTTTGCTGTGATCAAATACCACATAATTATGTCCAAAAGGAGCTGTAATCTTGTGAAGAATGGCCGCAATAATTGGTGCCACATCGCTGAAATATATAAAAGTGATACATTTCACAACAGTAGTTGAGAAAGAAACTGCAAACCTTGAGGCATCTTCTTTCTGTGATGACTAAAACAAGATTGAAACTTTACTTTTTACACTATTTTATTATTTTTTTTAGGTTTACCATGTACTCAAAAGAGATGCTGTTATCAAATAAGCCCTCTGGTAATTGGTTAGACCAGTCTCTTAGCTAAATCCAGAGTCTTCCCACTGTAACTCAATAAAGGAGCTTGAAAAACAGACTTTTTCCTGCTAGAAGTGGGTCTCCAATAACTGTAATTTTTTTAAACTTATGTGATTAAAGCGGCTGTGAAACAAGTTATAAGTTAAAATTACTTTGAAGAGTTTTTTGATGTTAATGAAATAGACTGAAACTCGTATTGGTGCCATTTTAGGACATAAAAAGGCAAATGTGACCGTTAGTGATAAGACTGAGAAGTTTTGTTCTATAATTTTCAATGCCTAAAACCAGTGCAAGGGAGTAATGTTAGCAGTGCAGCTAAAAAAAACAGCTGAGTTGGTCCCACAGTGCCGGGATTGCCTGCACCATGCCTGTGCCATAGCTAAAGAAACACTCTCTTCCTCTCAGGAAAGCATGAAAAGGCACTTTGACCACAAACCTCACATTTCAGTCTGTTGATACCTACTCCTGGTCCTGCTCTTACGCCTCAGTTTACATCATTACATCAGACTACATTATTCGTACTCCTGACAGAAGACGTCAAACCCGACTACGTCATCTTCATATGTTCATATGTTCATTATCTACATTTTGGATAAAATCCTCTAGATTTTTCTGTGCCACAAACAATGACACTAATTTTACCATGACACCACGATTTGTTGATCCATCACTCAAGGAAATTGTTAACAGTTAACAGCTTTTAATTGACTGACTCAATTAAATCCAAAGTAACTAGTAACAAAGTAACAGCAGCAATTTGATGACTTTAATTGTATGGCTTCACGCTGTGATACCACAAAATATCACTAGATGGAACCATTGCTCACTGTAAAGCAGTACAGACTCGTAACAACAGTATATACTGTACATGTGGGTTATCATAGCTGTACTTCAAACTGAAGAAGACCAATCATCTGTGAGTGTTTTTTCTTAGTAGTTTCAATCAAGTACATAAACCAGAAAATGTTGTTTAATTTTTTGAAAAGCACACAATTTGTTTCACTTATAAAACCATCATGTGTCTACCCTGTACTGCTTTCTACAACTTGTACAGTAAGCTATTCTGATTCCCAATTTAATCCAGCTATTAAATTAACTTGCAACCATAATGAAAGAAAAACTCTCATGTTTGAAGTCCTTTCATAAAAGAATCATTCATTTTGAAAGGATATATAATTTCCCTTTAAACTTCTCTTTATTACTTACAACTTACAACTTCAAGCTCTCTGGGAACTTTTGAGTTTTTTTCTGACATTTTACATAAAAATTGAATTATTTTCAAAAGGATCAGCTAATGGTCAGTCAAAACACAAAACTGATTAACAAAGTATTTCATCTGATCATGTTCTTTTGACGCTTGAAGCTTTGATTTTTCTTAAAATGACAATACTGGAGAGGATAAACATTAAGTTTTGACTGCAAACTTTCAAGAAGACAACAGGAACATTTTTACTCATCATTTATTTTCTGTATATTTTCATAGAAAAGAATATATTTACATTTTTACAGCTATTCTTTACAGTACATACAGATTTACATATAAATAAAGAGCGATTTACATTACAGACAGACTATAAAAGTAGATTCAATATTTTAGCAGTTTGAGACACAAAATAACTATTTCTTTATGTCCAGTCTGATATCAAAAGTCCAGATAGTTGATCCTTGTTCACACCAACTCTTCATCTGCATAAAGCTGCAGGAACATGTCCGATAAATGTCGTTTTTTCAGCCATGACAGATTTAGAGATTTCCATGTTCAACTTTGTCCTTATATAACCTCTTTATTTAAAGACGGTGATGTTTTCAGGGCACAAATGTGGATTAGGATTCTTTCTCTGCATGTGTTCGGTCGGAAATTGGTCTGGTTAAATTAAATAAAGTTTATGTTGTGTGACTGACAAGTGATTTTATGAGGTTTACACACAAAACTTGATGTCAGGATGTAGTCAGAGTTTCTGTCCTCATGATCATCATGAAGCTGAAAGGTGAATTCTGCAACAGCACTAGGTGAGGATTGAAAGAGGTGGACTTCAGATGCAGATTCATTTCCTTCTCTCTGTTATTCTTTGCTGACAGTTTGTATTTGATAGTTTTTAGTATGTGTTCACTGTCTCCACCCGAAGCTTTACATCCCTGTGTAAGGCTTCTGCAGACAGAGGGAGCCGTGGTGAGGAAGAGGGTGGTTGAAGTAGTGTTCGATCAGTGCTGCCAGATTAGGGAAGGTGAGTTCACAGTCCAGGAAAATGAGACCTCCCTATCAAGGAAACAACATCAGAGTTTAGCAAAGGCTTTTTTTTCCTTTTTTCAAATATTGCATTGTCCTTCACTATACACATAGATAACTGAATGATAAAACTATGGTTCAAAGCAGGTGTTTTACCTCTTCAAACAGTCTGTAGTTCCTGGCTTTGTTTATACCGCTGTCCCACACCACAAGCACCTGAACACGATACAACAATGATTTCATTTTATTTCACAATAACAGGAAGACTCCAGGCATAAACACAGATGCCAAAAATATCTATATAAAACATCATTTTTAAGATTTTAATTTTTTATTTACCTTGGATGTTTTGGTTCCTGAATTGCGGATGCAGTAGAGACCGTCCTGTGGAGAGGTGGGGCCCTCTTTGAACATCCTGCAGACAAGAGCAGCATTTAAGGTTACAGCCCACTTTACTTTCTTATTTATGCTACTTATTAAAATGTATTTGCATTGATGAGGCATTTTGTTGCATACAAGATTGGGAGTGCAAGAAGATTTGTTATTTTTCATTTTGTTCTTTAAATGTGTTAACAACTAAATATAAAATTAAAAAAGTCATCAGAAAGACAATAACAAAGACTACCTACAGAAATTGTAGTAAAAATTAAAAATGAAACTCCACTGAGCGTTATGAGAAAGTGGTTCTCCTTTTTGCCACTAGAGGGCAGCACAGATAAAAGTTATGTTTCTAGTTATCGCACTGCAACTAGATAAAAGTGAACGTGTCTTACTTTTCTGCAATGCAGGTTTCAGTTGTGTCGATGAACACAGTGTCTGGCAGCTGTGCCTGCAGAGAGAACAATTCATGGTTATTAAATAATGGCTTAGAGAAAAGATGTCAGACTTAAGAGTGCTCAAACTGAACAGTCAACTAAGACCATTATCCCTGGAAATAGCTCGGACAAAACAGTCATTTTGGAGTCAGGGTTAGTAAAAGTTTTTAGGTGTGAGGCCATGATGCCAGTTGAGATCACTTAAGGCTTTCTTACATTTTCATAGTCCGAGTCAGAGTCATCCCCTTTACTGCCTTTTGATGAGCCGTGTTTCTTCCTGCTCTCTAAGGGTGTCTCCTCTCCCAAAGATCGGAAACTCTGGCCCTCTGGAGACGCTCTTCTGGAGGAAAAATACATCTTAGTGAGCTTAGGTTGTCTTTTTCAGAGGAATCATTTGTTGAGTGTTTGGTTTTGAATCTTTTTACATGTTTGAGTCAGACTTACTGAAGCGGAGTTCCCAGCGGCTTGGACTTAATTGCAGGTATTGGAGGTTTAGCTGTAGGTGGAGGAGGCTTAGGTATCATTGGTTTATTGTGAAGTCCAGGCAATGGAGGGTTACTAGAGGGTGGAAGGGAGTCTGGCGGCACCAGCCTGAAGGGAAGTCCCCCAGTTTTGGCCAGATGTGGAGGTGGTAGGATTGGCTTGGTGCGGAGGTGAGGGGGCAACACCTGGTGGTTGTTGCTCTGAGATTGGCTACCTCCAGGAGGGGTAGGGGATCGCATGGGACCATTTTCAATAACTGGCGGAGGCCTCCAGTCTTTCTTGTCAGCTGCCGCCATCGAAGGGGTTCTGCTCTGGAAATTTTTCTTTACATTTGGGGGAGGAAGCGTCGGGGGAGGAGAGGAGGAGATGGTCTTTTGCAGATGGGGGGCAAAGGGAACAGGAGGTGGTGGGCCTTTGTTGGCGTTTAGAATGGATGGAGGGGGTATAGTGGGTGGAGGTTTTCTGGGTAATGGACTGGTGGGTGATCTGTGCAGGGGCGGGACTGGAGGTTGGACCCTGTTCAAATTTGGACTGGAGTCTGGGCGGTGCAGGAAGGCTGCTGGAGTAGGTACTGGGGGTGGCGGGTAAGACGGAGGAGGCCCTGTGGGTCGATCTGGAGAGAGAGAAAAAAAAATGTGAATACAGAAGATTTTCAAAAAGCTCAAAATATGTCAGACATTTTGCAAAGATGGGCCGTCTTGAAAGGTTACTATTTACAAAACTATGACTAGATAAAGTTGGGTACAGTCAAATGTTCAGTTCATGCTGATTGAGCCTGCAACAGGAAATGTGTGTGTTGTAGATTAAATCACCTGAAATTGTCGATGAACAGTCACTATCTGGTTTAAGATAGTCTTCCTCGTCGTCATCATCATCCTCGTCACCATAATCTACACAGAAAACAAGAATTAAAATAAATAAATACAACTGTTAATCTCACTCTTGTACAATGTGTTGTGTATCAGATTTTTTCCATGTCTTACAAGAATCTGGGTTATCCACTGGCTGTCTGATTTCCATGGGCCTCTCGATGGTGCCATAAAAACTGTCAGCATCTGAATCTGAGTCACTATAACAACAAAGAAAATACCATGATGAATTAATTTGAGGCAAAAAACAGTAAAAAAGAAAAAAAATCAATATTTTTAACTAATAATTTAGCATAAATGCATAAAAACATACACAAAAATGAGTGTCCTGTTGTGTTTCTGATGAATAGAGTGAGGTCAAAAACTTCTGTACTGCACAATGTAAAGGTGTTTGTCATAAGTGCAGATGTGTAGTTTTTTCAGTTTGATGAAAAATTTGTTTTTAGAGTTAGTAAGAGAGGGAGATGGCTTTATTTTTGCACACATAAATGAATTTCCCTTAGAAACTGGTTTCCTTGTCAGTGCAGGCAATCTGTGGGGGAAAGCTGTGAAACGAGCTGCCGATGTCCCCTTCCCTAATGACAGCATGTGTGATCTGAATAAAACTGCTGGGTGTAATCAAAATCAAGAGGCCGTTTTAATTGCCTACATAAATTATAAATCAGCCTGCAGGTTAAATTTCTTGCAAGGAAAAAGTTGAAATGGGAAAAAGATGAAAAAGCTTAAATAGTCAGTTTGAAAGGCTCTCTCTCAAATGTTCAAGGTGACTGAGGTCAGAGTGACGATGACGAGGCTGTGTGTCTGCTGACAGCGCAGTGAGAAAACTGTTGGGCACTGTAAAGTATACCTTTCAATTATTCCATCTTGTAAAAAGTTCTGATATAAAAGTAAGTGTAAAGTCACTTATATTTACAAGAGAGTCTGGTTATTATAAATGTAAACAGTTAGTATGTGTGATTTTCTGAAGTTACCTTGAAAATTGGCACTCTTTTCTGTCGTTGTAATGAGCTATCTCCCTCCGCAGGTGCCGCATCCATCTCTGTAAATGCAATAAAAAAATAAAAATAAAAAACATGAAATCATTGCATGTGTGTGCACTTGTGTGTCATTTACATACTTAATCCCAGTTACATATTTAGGTGATTGTAATAAAAACATTTTCAGGCCTTGATATGGTTTACAACTTTGCATAAATGGCTTCATGCTGGTTCAGACTTATGTATGTGTGTTTAAAAGTACATGTACAGTTGTTCTCACCCTCCTCTCATCCTCACTGGCTGCTGAGAAATACCATGTCCTGTGTTTCTTACTGAAGTGGACGATCTTAAAAGGAAACACGTTACTGGACGTGGTTTCTTCTGCTGCTCTCATTACCCTGCGAGGGAGGACAGATGTATTTTGGTTGGAAATATTTGCAAACAAAGTAGAAGTTCTACTTTGCAATTCATGCTGTATCAAATTAGCATATATAAACTGACTTGGGATAAACTGCAATGACAAAGAGGCAATTTTCTGATCCTAAGTGCACAGAAGTCCTTGTCGGTATATGAAATCATCATGCTTTTAAGGTATTTATTTGGTGTATGTTCATAATAGACTACAGCTGTTCTAAGTGTAGGAGTATGATAACATATAACATTACTAAAAGGCAACTACTGGAAATTCAACTGACCTGTTGTAGCCGTTGAGAGAAAACGCCCCCTGTGGTGCAGCAGAGGTACTGGTCTTAAAGTAGTACACACAGCCTTTGTGGATGATGGTGTACCTTAGTGGCCCTGCGAAACAGGCAGCGAACAATCAAACTGTTAGTTTTAGAGGTAATACATATGAGGAAGCTCTTGACATATTTTTAACCTGATTAAAGTGTAGAGGTTACAGGATCGACATAGATAAGACATTCTGAACAGTTTGGTCCATCATCATATGAACTCACATTTCAGGAGGCTGAACTGGCTGCCTCCCTTTTTATGGAGGTACCCTGCAATTGTAACTCCTCCTGGCATGGTGAGGAGGTTCTGAGCCCCGATGGCTCGCATCGGCACCGGCCAGCACACCTCTGGAGACGACATGGTTCTACAGGAGAAAAACAATGAGAGGCGAGGAAAAGTCAATCAATGACAGATGTGACAACCAGACAGGGACAAGCCTGACATCCCTCTGGGAACAAATCTGCATGTACGCGATATTTTAAACAGCAATAATCTAGCAGCACTTTGAGTTCTGAAGAAAGCATTCATGTGGTTGTTGTTAAGTCAAAAATGAAGAGGGTAAAACTGCTTTAAGATGCTCAGACAGGGAAATAAACATCTCCAATTAAAAAGAAAACAACAACAACAACAAATGTGAACGCCTTCACATCTGAGCTGTGCCAACCACTTGATCCAGGTTAGTCAAAACTCCATAACAAAGGTGAGTTATTTCTCAACACTAAAGTGATATAAAGGTCATCCAGATCACACTCATCAAGTCATTTATCAGTCCACAGAAAAGAGTGCTGCACATTTTACCTCTGCCTGTTGACACTGTGGTAAAAACACCTTTTACTTGGCAATTAAAAACATGGAAGACATTTTAACAGTACTTATAGTTTATTTTGATACATGGAAACTTTATTTTACTAGCTGACCAACCATCTCCAAAGAAAAATATTAAAAAAGGAGGCAAACTGTGAGGGAGGTTAAAGGACACAAAGAGCCAAGTAAAAGAGATGTCTATCAAACTGAAGATAGCAGACACACAGTATGGTTTATTTATATAGCGCCAATTCACAACAGTCGTCATCCCAAGACACTTTCCAAAGAAAAAGTGCAGGTCTAGACCACGCTCATTGTTTGATGAATTATCAAGACCCAACCAAAGATGGGATTTGGCCCATCTCATCTAACATGAGTGACAGTGGCAGGGAAAAACATCCTTTTAACAAAAAGTCAACAGATATCAACAGTCACTGGGCAAACGACCTTGTCTAGGTGCTGAAGCCGTTTCATATATCATCCCAAAATATCAAGAGAAAAATGTCACTGATTTGACCTCCAATTATCAATCCAACAAGCTCATTTATGGATCCAAATTTTGCATGAACTTGTTTTTGTCTTTATCTGGTTGTCTGTTTATCAGCTCACATTAATGAGCAGGTGGAACAAGAAGGAAAGAGACACTGATGCCACTCATGGTTGTCTACAACACTTTGTTTATATACTGAGTAGATATAAAGTTCATATTTAATGAAATGAATATTTTTGATCATTGCGTTGATGCTATTCTTGCCCTCTTTGATTACCTGGGTTTGAAATATTCTGGATTAGTAAAGCAAAAATTACTTTCCTCTATCTTCTTTAAAGTTGATTAAAGGTATTAGGATCCCATATCAGAAATATTAGTCAGTAAATGATCTTGGTTCTTCCTACCTCCTTTTGAGCCTCCTGCTGATGCTCTTAAATGCTGTGCTCTCCCTCAGCAGGCTAATAGTGGAGTCTAAAACAGTGGAAGCTAACGTTGGTAGTACATCCATGCTAGGAAAGTCGAACCGACAGCTGACAAGCCTCAAACTTTTTCTCTTCCGTCCGTCCTGAGTGGGTTTGCTGTTACGCCTCATCAGATCAGAACTAAGAGGGGCCTGTCTGTCCGGTTTTCAGTCTCGTCTGATCAAACTGGCTTTGATTTCACCCTCTGAAGCTCACTGAGTTTCTGATGATCTCTCTCTCTCTCTCTCTCTCTCTCTCTCTCTTGGGCTGTCTTTGTTGATTTATATCTGTCTTGCCTCCCCTCTCAAATAAACACCCAAATGGAGATAGTGGACTTACACCCAGACATTCACTTTGGACAGGAAACATGTCATGTCCATGTGCTGGGTTCAAGGCTTCACGTAACAGATATTTGTGTGTGTGTGAGTGTGTCTGCGTGTGTGTGTGTGTGTGTGTGTGTGTGTGTGTGTGTGTGTGTGAGTGGGAGCACGCAAGAGAAGAACTCAAAATTAACATCCAACTGAAGTGCTTTATCATCCAATGTGTTTACGTGTAACTTCCAGTCTATCAGCAGCATCTACTGACCTCAGAGGGAGGGACTGTGTGTGTATCTGCGTGTGCATGTGCATGTGTGTTTATTGAGTCCAGGAATGAGGACTATTTACCAGGACTTCTTGTAAAAATCTGCTTCCTTTCCCTGAGATAAAAACCTGCAGGGATGGCTGTTTGACGACTCAACTGAGACTGAAATAAATCCATCCACGTACAGCTTCTTTAAACGTGATGTAACTCTGACGATGACTGACCGGCAGATTGACATTTGATTATATTAAAGGGCAGTTTACTTAAGCAACAGAATACTTCATCTGAAGTGGTCTAGATCACAGAATATGTCCAAGTTTGTTTGTATGTTATCTACGGACTGGTTCAGATTATAAAAGCAGCAAAACTACTCTTTCCATTAGTTTTAAAGGACTAACAGGAACCAGAGTCAATCTTAAACTTCTGAAAGATGGTGAAAATTGACTCCTGTACGTGCAGGAGGAGGATTAATAATCAGTTGGAGTGTGATAAGTATGAGTGAGCATGACTGAGCATTTAGTCATTATTACAGTCTCCTCCTACATACTTGATACACATCATGATAAAAATCTTGACAAGAATAGAGAAAAAATTTTGAGGAAATTAAGCAAATAATACCCGTCATCAGTTTTCTGCTTTTCTTAGTAGCCACATGACCCACAGGATTAACCACGAGTAGCTGCACTTTGATTTCCAACTAAACGAAACACAGTTATATGTAAACATGGATAATTTCCTGGTGTTAAAACTGTCCAATCTAATCAAACCCTTGAAAAGATTTAAGACTCATTAAAAACAACACGCTCTGTATCTGAAGCTAAATGTGCACAGTAATCAGTAATCAGCTCGGAGACCACAGTTATTCCTGCTAAATTTCACAGAAATCGAGCAAGAAACAGTAATATGTCACTAAACTACTAAATTGGATTAAACTACCCTCATTTTGAGTTGAAGCTTTGTTATTACTCTGCTGGCACAAAGTTTAATCATGTGTCAGGCTGCAAGAATGTAGAGTAAAGGGAGTCAGAATGGAGAGCTGATAAAAAACTGGAGGGAAGAAGCCTGGGTGAGACTCCATAAATCACCAAGGTGGAGCTGTAGCATGTTCCCTTTGGGTGCCCTGCTTTGTGTGTGTGTGTGTGTGTGTGTGTGTGTGTGTGTGTGTGTGTGTGTGTGTGTGTGTGTGTGTGTGTGTGTGTGTGTGTGTGTGTGTGTGTGTGTTTGGAAGCCTTCAAGAGGACACACAAAGGCTATCATGTGGTTGTGATCATCTACTGCACAGTTTACTGATAACTGGTGGACAAAGGCCACAACACGCACACACACACGCATGTACACACGCGCACACACATATATAAGCACAATGAGAGATAAAGGCTTCAGCTCTGCAGTCTAACTAAACCTCATCTCAATTTGCACAAGGTCAAAGCTCAGCTGCTGCTTATCGTTGCTTCAAAGGTTTCCTGATGCTCTCGTTCTCAACCTGCAGCAGACCGATCTGAAACAACATGATGGACCTCTGACTGTACACTCTGCATTCTTTTGAGGGGAGTGGGGGTGCGGGGGTCAAGGAAAGAGCCTGATAGTCTAGAACCATCTATTACTACTAAGAGACACCAGTCAGAACCTGTTGTTAACATCTTTAGATTTTCACAGGACTGGTTTCTCATTCAATTGTATTAATCACAACAATCTCAAGAGGTCTTAAAAAGAGAAGATCAAGACCACAATCTTTGTAATATTTTTCATAAATAGCTACAATTAAAATATGTTTCAGGGTTTTCTTGTTAATTTGCCATAAACTAGGCTCTTTGTAGCATCATTCTACATTATTCCTTCAACCGACAGAAACCTTAATCAGAACCAGACAGCACCTGGAGACTTTATTGGGCCTGAAAAGAGGGATGGTGTTGTATTGGGAGAGACTAGGCCTGTCACGGTATCAGATTTTTATCTTATGATTAATATAAAAATCAAATATCAAAATAAATGATAAAAATGATGCACTGCTTCAAACACTTAACAATTAAAAACTGTTCACTTACATGTTTTCATCAATTTATGATAATGTTCAAACTCCTGTTTTATCTAGATGTGAAACTACATAGTTAAACTGTGCTCTTATTTTGAAACATTGTAATTCTTGTAAGTTATAGAACTGAATGAAAACTAACAAAATAATGGTTTGAAGGTGTAAACATTCACTTCATTTGTAAACCCAAAGAGGTCTGAGCTCCAATGTTTGGATTCATCATAATTTTTTAAAAAGATTTTTATTTTTTAAATGTCATATCATCTCTCAGAGGGCTGCTACTGCTTCAGCTTTCCTATTTTTATCATTTGTGGACTTCTACCATGATCTCACAGTATTGCTGCATGCTTGTTTTAAGCACTATGTCAATATCTTATAAAACAGATAGTTATAATCAATTACAGTACAATGCTACAGCTCCAGAAGACAAATCCACAGTTTTGAGAAAATGCAATTCCTGGTAAAGCTGATGATGAACATGGATAGTCTGAATATAAAATATGACTTCATAGTCAAGTGATTAGAGACACTTCCTAAAATTCTAAACCTTTTTTCCATGATCTTAATGACTCAAATATTACTTAGATGCTCGGACTATTACACTTTTAAATCAGAATTCAACATTTCTTGAAAGACTTTTTCTCCCTGAGAATTAAACTTGAATTCTTATTCACAGATTCTGTGAAAAACCACAGAGACGTCACAGAGAAAAAAACACTGTCATCTATGAATGAAGGAAATACAGCAGTTTCATTCACTGCACTGTTGTGAAACAGTTTGAGACATACTCTGTCAGTCAGCATAAAAGCAAAATTTTACCACCCTTACTATGGCGTCATTGGCGTGAGAAACTGAAAATTAAACCTTACTTTCTCACATGGGGCATTGAATCATAGTTTAATGACAAGAAATAACAAGGAAATTGAAAAAAACGGTCAAAAGGTTTACAGGACACATCAATAATGAGTAAACATCCTTGTGTCCATGGCAACTTTATAGTTTATCGTTGTTTTATTGAACAGGAAGGTGGCTGTCACTCATATGTAGGTTGTTATCTGTCAAAAATCTCTCAGTACCAAAGAAGGTGTATAGGCTTGTTGAACCACTTGACCCCATTGCTGCTGATTTCCATCATTTGTGAGGCTGAGAGCTGATCAGAAAACAGCTGTTTACCAGGAAGGGAAGGACGGGAGCTGCTCGCATACCAGAGTCATTCAATCGTATTTCCTCTCTGGACACACTAACACACACACCTACACAAACAAACGCACACAACTGGCTGCAACAAGGTCAAGTGAAAACAAAAGCTTGTTGTTGTAGAAAAACATCAAACTTATGCCTTTTAAACCAGAAAAATCAAATCTTAACCAGCTTAGATAAGAGATGGCAGACTGATGATGGCAGACTGACCACCGCTTCATCACTAAAACTGAAACTGAAACTCGAGCAGACTCATCTTGGAAATCCCCAAGATCAATCAAACCACAGAGGAATGAAGCCTGAGGTTACGATTCTTCAACACATCATAGCATTAAAAAGGGCAAACGAGACTTACACTTGAGCTGCTTACATTTCATTGTAAATTAAGACACAGTATATGTAGGGCTATCCTATTGGTCCTCCAGACTATCCTACATCCTCACATATCCACATGAGGGTATAGGATAATACCATTATGTAAAACTTGAGAGGGAGCAGACAGTCACAGAGAGAAAAATCAGCCCATCCAAGCTGAGACATCTGATTTGATGAATGTCAACCTGCACTGAGGACATTAATTCTGTTTGCTTCAGTTTGGTTCTGATCTGATGATTTGTCTGCAGCTGTATTTTTTATTCATTTATTTGTTTTTATTTGTTAGTTTGTGCGACAAAAAAGTTTGATTAAAATATTAAACAAAAGTAAGAATATATATTTTTTATATAACAGAATAAATATACAAAATTAGGCAATTATAAGGCTTCCCATAAAAACACTGAACGCAAAAGGGTTTTTGACACTGAAACTGTTAATTTTCGTGAAGTTAAGGTAAAATATAGGGCTATAAAATATCCTACATTTTAGAGCCGTTTGGGAGTTGAGTGAGCCGGCTCTTCTTTGGGACCTGAGCCAGAAGAGCCGGCTCTCTGAAAAGAGACAAACTTCCCATCACTATTCAGTGTGTATTTATTATTTCCCTTGCCAAAATCACTGATATTGAGTCGCATCTCTTTATATTCTACAGTTCTGTATTGTTTCTTTTTAATAATCTTCATAACTTTAGAAAAGCCCATGTGGTCCATACAGGGATGAATGCACATGATCATAAAACGACAGGCTGACATATAACATTGATCTAGGTCTTTTCCTCTACAGACAGCAGATTATTACAGACAAAATTGATGTAACCTATATGAACTGAACAGAGTAAGCCAGTTTGAACAAAGTTAACAAAGTTTCATGTTGCTGAAACAGAAAATCCGACTCTGTGACACCAAAGCAAACCCTATTTACTGATGAAGGCTATGATAAACCTGATGGTTCGCAGGTATCCAGAAAACAAGCGTACTGTATTCTATTATACTTTTTTGTCAAGTAAAACTTCTTCTATGTTGTTTTGCTTACTGTTTGTGAAATCATTTTTAGGGTAAGTGGATTTAATTTCCATTATGAACTCTTTGCATCTGCTGTGGCATCATGACACAGATTTTATACAGCTGCCAGGTGCCTGTTACAAACATTTGTGTGGGTAAAGTGAACACTGTTGCTATGCAGTGAGAACAGTTTGGTTTCAATTCCACCACTGACTCCCCAAGACACACATGCAAACCCACACAACTCCCTCCATCAGATTTAAAGGTCAGCGGTAGACCGCTGTCTTGGGTGCCGGGAAGAAACGTCTGTCCTGCTCAGGAAGCAGACTGTATCATACAGAGCTAAGGTTTTACCTCACCTCCTGTTCCCCCTCGACGTCAGCTGACCACAGAGGTTCCTCCGCTGCTTTAGCTTCACATGTTCACAATGACTTGAGTATGTAGGTGTTAAAATACAAATAGAGACTGAGGGCTGATATCTTTAGAGGTCTGTGTGAGCTGTGGGGAGTTAACTTCTCCGCCTTTAGTTTTCCTCTGACCAGATGAATGATTAACCACAATTTATATGTGTAAACTGGCGACAGGAACGGGTCTCTTAAAGGGCTCGGCCCCACTGACAGTGAACATGTGGAAGACAAGAAGCCCGTATTCACAAGCAGCTGTTTTCCTTTCAGACCAGGTGGTGCCATTATTGACAGTTTTTTTCCCCTCATGACATTATTAGGTGAGATAACCTGTCAAATCAAGCACCCCGCCTTATCAAGAGATGATCAGATTGAATAGATAATTCAGTTCAAGCAAACATGCGACCTGTGAGGTGTTGCTTATATTAACGGTAAACCCCCTGCATATATGGTTTTTCAAAGAAAAGCTTATCAGTGCAGCAGAGACATTTACATAAAAGGTATGATGAAACAGAGTGTAATGTCTGAAGATGGTGAGCCTGAAAAGATGGCCTTTAAATGTTACTGAAGAACTGATTAAAGGTAAACCCATAAGCAGAGTTATCTTTTGACCCATACAGTGTTTGAATAATGATACCACAAGTGTTTAATTTATACATAAAATTATATTTTGTTTGATTTAAATGCAGTGATTCAATGTCAAAAGACATTCAATGTATTTGTTTGTCATCAACACAGTGAATTAAGATCTGGCTTTTAAAAAATCTTGTAAAAATAAGTCTTGAAAAGAAGTGGTCATCTTCTATATATAACTAGGGTCGCTGTGTATTCAGGCCATTATGATTCGTAGAAATAGTCCGTTTTAATACTAATGGTCTCGTTCGCTTTATGAGTCATATAGAGACAATTTTAATTAAGTCTGTTTCATAATCAGCTGAAAATTTCCCACTGTGGCTTTAAGGCGACAAGAACAGCTGTTTATCAGACAATGACCTAACCATATGAGTCGCTTTCTTAGAAATAGGCCAAACTAGTTTAGCGCACAGCAAAAACGGTCATCTAACCGCCTGGAAAGAATAGAATAATTCACATTACCAACTTCAGGGTTCAAATGCAGGACAAAATGCAGAGCTTAAGTGGATTAACAGTCAAGAAAGCTTAAAAGAAGACTGTAAATGTTATAATCTTTTTACAGGGCAACTTTATGTGTGTTTTATAGGAGTGACCAGCCTGAAGTGACCTGACTTCAACCATAAAGAGAATTAGATATGAGTAATGCAAGTGCAGGAATAGTATCATGTGGCAGAGACATTTTCATGGGAAGAGATTTCAAACACCTCTAGTGTGGTTTTATGAATGTATAGTGACCTGATCAATGAGGTCAGCTAACATGTGATGTAAATTACAGTTTGCTGTTGGAGGATATGAATTCCACCGGCTTTAGGGACCACACGTTTCGGTGGCACTTTATAGGATTCTTTGGTTCCTTCTTCACAAACAAAAAAAACAGAACAGAAACAGAAAGTCAACGTTTACTCTACGCAAAAACGCACCTGCAGCTGTACACTCAAAGAAAGGTGAAACCGTAATACCAGGTCCTCTTTCTTTGCACATGGCTTCCCCTACACATCATCACTTCCTATGTCCAAATTTGACCATGTCACTTCACAGGAAGGAGTCAAACGGCTAAAGAAAGGATTCAACTCAGACCAGCTGACAAAAGCTGTACTTCACTTAGGCTTTTGGATAAAAAAAACATAAAGATGAATAAACTACAATCACATCTATGTTTCCTTATAGAAGCTGAATGCACTGACAGTAAAAACAGTAACACCAAGGACTGAAGTCAGGCAGATGTAGAGAGAGTGCAAGAAGCAGGAAGAGCGTTGAGATTTTGCATTGACTTGCAAGCCCACCTGCTGCACTCCTCCTCCCCCCAACAAGGGGCTCAAAAATGAGAACACATTTCCTGTAAATGTGGCCTTTTCTTTCTCTGCCTCTGACACATGGCTTGCGGAGAAACAACAGCAATGACAGCTGACCGCTTAGGCCAGAGTGGAAACGTCACGGAGCACTCAAAGCACTTAAATGCATTTTTTAGTGTGTTTCTTTCCAAAGCCTTTGTTCATACTTTAAGTTAAAAACTACAGGCTTCTTTTTTTGGCATCAAATGTTTACAACTATAATTTAATCTTCACAACCCAGGTTTGATCTGCGCTTCTACAAGGCTCTATGTCTTTAAAACTACCTACCAAATGATTTATACTGTATGTACGAAGGTTTGGTACAAAGTCTGAGTAGCAGCCAAAAGTTGTGGGGAAACAGATCATTAAGTTCAGTGTTGTTGTTGGTGACACATGTAAACAAATCCCAGCCTTCTCTGCCACTTGATTTTGTCGCACGATTTGGTTTTCTTTGACATTATTTCAGGAGGTTGAATCACATTTTCAGCGTAAAAAACTTGGTTTCTGAAAGAACCTAGTTTCCTCCCACAGCTGTCAGGTGTCTGCTCAGATTATTTTCCCTCTGTGATATGTAAACCTCCTCATGGTGCGTTTTCTTCCCCTCACAACAGACACAGTTTTCTGTTGGTTATCCAACCACAATAGCATAAATTTAAAATGCACTGAACGACTTTTCTTATGTATGATTATCAGGAAAACTGAATGAGTGTTTACTCGTTCTGCTCCTATCATTTTTTTCATAAAGGTTTAATAGCAGAGCTGAAAGGATCAAGTTGTTGAGGCTAAATAAAACTAATATGGCAGACTTGTTTATTTCATTGATGTCCGAAATCTGAAAGTTTAATTCTCCACTTCAAATCTAAAAACAGTTATGGAGAACAAGACTAACGAATGAGTAAAGAAAAAAAGCACAGCCGCTACTTGGTTTATTTTGTTTTTTCTTTGTAATTTATAATGATACAGTTATGCAGCCTGATCTTAGAGGTTAAAAATCACAACAAGAAAGAAAGAAAGAAAGAAACGATCCTCTCAAACTCACAGGAGATAGTTTGATGTGTAATCAGCATCTATATTTACAGATACATCTATACTTTCACCTCAGCTAAGAAGCACTGCAGCAACTTCAACATTATTTGAAGTGACATCCCACCATCAAAATATATTTATAACACATAACAGACCTGAGAGCTTCTTCCATAAGTTTTGACATTTGCTCTTTGATTTTGGACACATCTGATCCAGGACATGATCTTCAGTGAACCCTACTGTACTTTATCACATTCTGACCATATACACCCCCTCTGAACTCAGGTCAGAAACGTCCTTGACGCCTTGACTTGATAATTCTTCCCTTTCTCCTTTTTGTGTTTGTGTTGCTCAGGTTTACTCTTTGTTTCACTAATGTCTTACTCTATGGATAATGTCTCTGTCCTCCACTTTGAGGCCTGTGTCCACAACCAATATTGACCACCCACTTTCACACAACATTTCCTTACTTTACAAACTGGACTTGGATCTCTTCTTTTAACACTCCGCTGCACAGAGAAGGAGTGAGAGAAAAAAAGGTACAGTGTGTACACTGCAGCTGCAGCGTAGGTGTTCAGTCAGCTTTAACTGAACATATTATAGTTTTTAATGCAAAGTTTCATGTCCGGTGAAAGCTGTCAGGATGCGACTACTTCAAATGTGTCATGAGAGAATATGTTTACCGATGATTTCCTTAAAACCCACTCCTCTTCTCTTTTCTGGGCTCTGAACGCTTTGATCGAAACTACTTTGCTGACAGGGTTCACAAAAGAAGGTTAGTTTACTAATGAGTAAACTGTTAGATTATAATCCACAAGACTGAGGAAGAAATCTCAACAGCAAAAAGTTGAATCACGCCTTTATCGTTTGTTGCTCTAGCCCACAAAAGGACAAACAACCCATGTTTATAAAATCACAGTAATCTTTTCCCATGAAACTGAAACGACATTAAGAAAATGTGGAGGCCGCCTTTTATCCTGAAATCTCTTTAAATTCTGTGATTTCACGATATTACATAAAGCGAATGGTTCGTGATTTGCTTCAGTTTCAGATTCAGTTCCACAAATCCACTGCAGAGACTCTGATACACAAACACATCAACACTGTACAAGCACAGACTTTTCACTCCTCCTCTCAGATTACTTTTGCATATTTTAAACATTTGTGAAGATTATATTTCAGCACATTTCTGGGTCTATATTTGATTCTAACTTATTTGTTTTCTTTGAGATACCTGAATTTAAAAACAGCATTTTGATGTTGATCACAGCATCCTATAATGTGCTCATTTTTTGTGGCATCTTTGCTGTTATGTGTGAAACAAGGCCAAGCAGATGAACAATTTAAGAGAAAAAGCGTCATGATAAAGAAGAGGGTAAAGAAATATAGAGAAATAGCTCAAATTTGGAGATTCTTCAGAAGGAAACAGGCAAAGGAAACCTTAAAGTTGCTTCACTGATCCAAAGAAACTGAACCAAATCCAAAAAATCCTGATACAGACAAAGACAACCAAGAACGAAGTGATGCCAGATATCCACAACCAGCAGGGAAAGCAGATAAATCCCAAAACCACACAATATAATCTCACTTAAATAATGATAATGATCTCGATAAGGACAACCTGCAGATAGCTCTTTTGGAAATTCAGCCTCAGAGCCAAAAAACAAAAGTCAATGAGAAAATGTACCAGGCTCAGGATGGAAGAGACATAAAATGAACTTACAGGACATCCCTCTGTTCCCGAATACACATCCTGGTGCTTGGCTTGGAGCTCAGCATTAACGACTTCTTCCTCAGGGACGGGCCGGACATGTCAGCAGACATGAAGGGGGTACCACAAAACAAAAAAACACCATACTTTTCTAACGGCACGCGGTTTTAGTTGGACGGAGTCACGGTTGGATATGTTGGAGCAAAAATTCAAAAGCGACAGATCAAAGTTGTGTTTCGATTTGGAGGAAGGAAAAAAAAAGAATTCAGATAAAAGAATAAAATGATAATCAGTTAAAAAAAGAGGAAAAATGAAGTATTGGCTGGAGGAGCAGATAAAACAATCAGTCTTGATGGTTAGGAAGTCTGTTGGTTGTGTGAACCCTGATACTCTGCCAGTCATTTCCTCCTCAAGCCCTGGCCTGCTATTGGTCGACAGGCAGTGCGAGTTCCTTCCTGCTTCCTCAGAGCGAGAGTTTGATTGGCTGCTGCATAAACCCACACAACTTACTCACTCGGACACACAGGACCGGAGAAAGAGACCGGGGGACTTTCCAACCTGCAAGGGTGGAACAATTCGGAGGTCCAGTGTGCGCTCGCCCACACACACACACACACACACACACACACACACACACACACACACACTGAAACAACACTGCCAGTAAAGTGAAACTGGCTGTTCCTGTGCCTGCGACCTTGACTAGCTTTAAAAATGCCCCTGCATCCTGATGTCGGAGATACTTTCTATATCCCTGTGAGCTCTTTGTGACGCCACAAAACAAACATATTTACTGAAGGAAGTGGTTTGTTTCTTTCACTCAACTCGGTTAGATAAGTTTATCCTGATGGCTCACCGTGTTGCCAAAACTGTCCAATCAATACATGAAGTCAGTCTTTACAAATGAATGTTTATTTCTCGTAGTTTGTCTTTCAATGATCAGTAAGAAGAGAATCAGACCATAACTAAAGAGGACAAACATGATTACAGGTGAGGATGCACTAGTTATCTGTCAGAAGGCAACGAAAAAGGTGTGAGAGGAGAGGAATAACATCCATGACGGGAAGTTATCTGTTTATAGAGGCTGGTAAAGCAAATACACTTTCAATAAAAGCTGATGGGTTCAAGGATTCATTTATAAAAAAATGGTTTCTACCTCTTTTGCTGTTACCACAGACCTGAACACATACTATGATAACAAACATCTGTAACTGAATTCAAACATCCAAAATGAAAAATCACTCCAGACATCTATCATTTCATTTTGACCCTCCAAAAATCTATTTGGACTTGAGACAACTTTGCTGTAGATATACTATAAAAAAGAACATTTTCCAAATGAGAGTTCTGATACTCAAAAGGTCCATCATGAAAGAGGTGGACATCTGAAATGACAGGACTGAAACCGACAGGATTGTGTTTGCTTGAAACATCAAAACCGCTAGTCAAAAAACAAAAATACTCTCTGATACTGAAATTTACCTCCTTACCTGCAAGATTCAAGTTTGAGTGTCTGCATACCGAGAATTACACTGCACTTTTTATTTCTGTATGACAAGAATAACCACAAGGCTAATATGAGGTCAAGGTATTTATTTTTTACTACGCCTGTGAGCGAGTGAGCGACTAGGTCTCATTGCGCAGCAGAAATAAGTGAGTGGTGTAACTCTTACATTTGGGGTTTAGAGTTTTAGGTTATTCATAGTCTCTCTGTTAAATTGACGTGACTTTAATTCTCTTTAATTCTTTCCCTCCTGTGTTTCTGAAGAGGTGTAGAGTAATTTATCAGTAGCTGTACTGAGTTCAATGATGCTGCACTTTGCTTCCTTATCTCCTTATCTCTCTATCTAGAGCATTACATTCAACATTACAGCCAAGTATAGAACAGTTACATTCTGCTTTATATTGGTGCATGGTTTACAACTTTTATGTGCGAGCTAGAACCTTGGACCCCACCTATACATAATCTGATAAATCATTAACATTTTTTTAGCCTCTGTGTATATCTCCATACAGTTACACACACACTATATACTCATATAAAAGAAAAGCAACTACAAAACGACAGAGAAGCAAGTGAATATATACGCTTAAAGGCAGAGGTGGGGGAAAGTCCTTATGTTGCAAGTCCAAGTCGAGTCTCAAGTCTTTGCTCTCAAGTCCGAGGCAAATCCAAGTCCTTTGCTCTCAAGTCTCGAGTCCAAGTCCGAGTCCTTAACGTTTCTTTCGAGTCAAAAACAAGTCATATCAAAGCCATAAACCATTTGTTATATGTAAAGATTTACATAAATCATGAGCATTTTTCACTATTTGCATTTATTATCAAACAAGCGTTCTTGTTTGTGTTAAGTTACATAGTGCAGCTTTAACCAAACTATTTTACATGTCATGCAAAAAATAATCAGATAAACTTCAATAATTGGAAACTTAGACAATGTGCACAAAAATAAGGAAGACTCAAATACAATTAAACATTAAACTGATACTCTAATTCACTGTTCCAAAACAAAACAAAAGAGAGAAACAAGGCAACACGTGGAAACAGGCGGGCAATACTAGTGAGTGATTTATGTTCAGTCCTCCCGGTGTTGTCGTTATGAGGGAGGCTAGAGTTTGAGACAGTGTTGCCAAGTTTCGTGAGAGAAATAAGGAAACAGACCTCCAGAAACAAGACAAAAACAAGGGGAATTTTTTTGCGGGAAATAAACAGACTTGACAACACAACACGGTGTTACCAACGGCCGTAATTCCTGACTATTAGTTGATGCGACACTTTTTAAACGGTTTGGGCTTGCTGTAAGGTATTAAGTGACTTGAAAAGACTTGACTTGACTTTTCAAATCACTGGGCTCAGGTCAAGTCAAGTCAAGTCAAGTCAAGTTTCAAGTCTTTAGCAATCGAGTCCCAAGCGAGTCCAAGTCTTTTCTTGATTTCATCAAGCAAGTCAAAAACGGGACTCAAGTCTCAAGTCGAGTCGTCAAGCCCCCACCTCTGCTTAAAGGTATGAAACACAAGGAGGCCTTTTAAAGGACCAATGCAATAAAAAGGATCATTTATTTCATGTATATTTACTTACACTAAATCCACTACATCTTATATTTTAACCATGTTTGATTAATCTATAGATGGTGCAAAGATAATTAACACTTTATGCTCCCTGTTCTTAAACACACAGCACAGTTTATAGATGCGGCTGAAGCTTCTTGAAAACATATAAACTGCTCAGTTTTAAAGTTAGAGGTGTTAGATCAGAATCAACTATCAGTGGCCCGACAACAACTAAAGAAACTTGTTTTCCTGTAAATGTGCTCCTATGTAACCTCCTGCAAAGTGATAATGCGCAACCCAGCAGCACAAAATTCTTCTACTGGTCATGAAACCTCAAACCACGGTCCGCAGCAGCTAAAGCTGTGGGGTGTTAAAGCATGAAGGCTGAAGTTAGAATTGAAACCGACCAAAGAGCAGCTTCTCACGCTACTGCAGAATGCTGATACTTTCTTATTGGTATCAGTACAGTCATCTTTACACAGCAACACTCAAAATGTTATGACCGAAGATTATGCAAGCTTCATGGGACATTCAAAACAGAGAAGTCTACTCTTGACTGGATCTCAATATTTTTAAATATCATGCTTGATGTGAGAAAAGAGTTTCATTCCAGAGACACCTATGCTTCTTTCACACATGCACCCATAAAATATTCCAAAACATTTCAGAAGCTCCGCCCCCAAAATTTCCAAAGTTGTTGCCAACAATATTCTCAGTCAAACCAATGCAGAGACGCTGGAGCACACGCGTCTGTTTGCTCTCTCTTTAAAGAGTATCTTCTGCTGTAGCTGCTGCAAAACTCAACTGCGAGAGTGCTGACAAAGACGCGAAGGAGAGCCCACAGCACCAGTTTTAAAGTCTCAGAGTTGGCTTTCAGTATCTTTTAGAATTGATTTGAGGATTTCTTTTTTTTACCTGTTTTTAAAACTCCAAATTGTTTTTGTTTCAACTTATTTGTCAGATTTGTTTTGTTTTTGTTACATAATTGTTGTATGAAAAGTGCTTTATAGTAAATAGAGGTTGGTAGAGAAGAAAGAAAGCTATGTTTCCACGTTAACATGCAATAAAACCAAACAGAAGTACTGAGTAGATGTAAATAACCAGAAGCCCATCACTTTGCAGTACAAATAAACTAAATTTCCATGAGCATGTTGAGATTATGACACCTGGGTATCCTGAACAGAGTTCCTTACCATGGAAAGTTTTGTCAGAAACCTTCATTTTCAATCTAAAACTCTGTTTGTATTTGAATGAGAGGCCAAAACAGAAAACAACCCCCCCCCCCAAAAAAAAAAAAAGGAAAAAACATGCAGGTAGATGGGACCTTGGAGCACTGAGTGTTACTAAACAATAGCTATTGTGTGCTTAGACACTGAAAACCTTGAACTGCATTAATGTGTTTGTAAAATCTGCTCATGGGCGCCATTGGAGTACGTTGAACCATTTCAACAGAAAAATCTGTAGGTTTAAAAACTTAAAAACACACATCTATAAGTTTGCTGGATAAATAATTGGCTTAAGGTTCTGACTTAAACACAAAACAAGGGAAAACTGGCTTTGTAAGGTTTGATGTGGGTGGGTGAGGTGGTTTTCAGTTCCCCTAAAATAAAAGGATAGGGGTGATAAACACAAAGAAACAAGCACAAAAGTGAATTATTCTCAGTTCCTGAAAAAGCGACACCTTTCCAAAACCATACAGGTTTTTAAGACTGTTGGAATTTGTCCTTCTCAGTTCCTAAAACTTCAACTGTTCATGAGAGCTGTCTTCATTAGCACTGCTAACCACATCTGAGTTGCAGCTTGGAGCCTTTGCTTGCAGCATCCATTCTGGATGCATGCAAGATGACGTTCATCAGCTCTCAATTGATCCCATTGATCCCTCATTACCATCCTGATTACTAAACTTTTTTGGGGGTAAAAGAAATTAGATCAGTGTGCTACATGAAAACTTGTCATCCAATGTGACCACACAGCATGAATGTGACCATTAAAGCCTCCAGAATAAAGTAACTCTGATGTTATTGCTAACACAGTGTTCAAACTCTTGTCTCCTGTGTGCATGTTCTTTGTTTACTTTCTTGGCCTATGTAGGCCCACTAGGTGTCCATGTATATCTTCATTTCCTGACTATTTCGCAATCTGCGGTGAGAGCAGGTTTCTCTCAGTACTCATCTGCTGAGGTTTGACTTTTATCTCTAACTTGTTAACTTCAGTTTCAGTTGAGTGTGTATACAGTATTAAGAAATATAAGCTGGTAGACAAATGCATGTTTTAACCATGATGTAGGGTCCAACCTTTAAAGGACTGGCTTGAAAACCATACCAACCATCTCAAAGAGCAAACGGTGATTAGCTTGTTGGCAACAGTTGAGAAACTCTTTACAACAATCTGCTTTTGCATACACATGTAGAAATGAAGAAAGGCACCATTGAAGAGATTTAAAAGATAATTGGTTATTGAGTGATGCACACATATACATAAACAACCACCTGTAGTTCTAGCTTGATTTTGATTGACTTGATGGACCAACAGGATTAAGTCAAGGGTAAAGCATGCTTTATGGTTTTCACAGGCTGATACTAAATTTTCTGTGATTTTTACTTTGAAAAATGTACTGTAGTTTTATTTCTATCTTGAGGTTGACCGTCATCCTGAATGGCAGAATTTGTAGGATGATTCAAAATAACCCTGTCATCAAATTAAACTGCTGGGCAACTGGTAATAGACAACATTTCTCACATTTCTCTCGTCATAGTCTCATTTGAACAAACAAAACAAGCCAAAAAAGAAACAAAAAGAGCTAAAAATAACATGATAAAAAAGCAGAACTCATCAACTAAATAATCTGCAAAAGTGTAGAGAGCTGCTCTGACTGAATGTGGAACTCTCTTCCAACAGCACTGCAGCAACCTTTAGAAATAAGAAAAGTAAAAGCACACAGCTGTCGTTAAAACTTTGAATTTGACTCACCCATGGAGTGCTGTGTCAGTTGTGTAGCTCCTCTGTCTGTGTCTGTGTCATCAGTGGTCTGAGCCCTGCAGAGCTCCGTTTCAGCTCACTTCACTTCCTGGCGTGGCGATTCAGAGCTACTGTATGAAGTGTCATGACACCCTCCCTTCAACCACAAAAGAAACAGGCTGCAGCGCTCATTCAAACACAGACAAGCAGACACATAAACCAGTGAGCTCACTATAAACGCCACATTTGCTTCTACTTACTGAGCAATCTCCTGAGCCACATTAACTGTTATTTTAATGTGTGTCATATGAACTCTTTCAAATTTGGGAAGTTTACATTCAAACAGTGACAGTGCTCACTTGTGTCAAGTAAAACTGACTGTGTGACGCCAGCCATCCTATCGTGAATGACTTCCCCTTCACACGGAGCAGGACCACTCCTCCTAACATTAGCTCAGCAGTTATACCATAAAGACATCTACACACACCAAACTAGGCTTTATATCTAAATTGAGTCTGAATGTGGTGGAGTTAAGAATGAGCAGTACACACAAAAAGATATAAATGAAAATCTCAGGTATACATCCAACACTATACATGTTTGTGCAAGGCTTAAAAAGTGAAATTCACAGTGGAAATAGTGCTGCAGAGGAGGTCGTTCATCCTCTAGTGGACACAAATTTAAGCGACAATTTGAAACCCAAATACACCCTATATTATCTCTCTACTTGAGGCTCCTATAAGAAGTTTTTTACATCTATGGGATAGACTGAAAAGTGGACGAAGAAGTATATTTATCCCTTTTTATAATCCATCCATCCATTTTCTACCGCTTATTCCCGTTCTCGGGGTCAAGGGGTCACTGGAGCCTATCCCAGCATTTTCGGGCGAAGGCAGGGGACACCCTGGACAAGTCGCCAGTTCATCACAGGGCTGACATATAGAGACAAACAACCATTCACACTCACATTCACACCTATGGGCAATTTGGAAGTGGCCAATTAGCCTAACCCCACTTAGGCATGTTTTTGGGATGTGGGAGGAAACCGGAGTACACAGGGAGAACATGCAAATTCCACACAGAAACGCCCTGACCCAGATTCGAACCCAGGACCTTCTTGCTGTGGGGCGACAGTGCTAACCACCACACCACTGTGCCGCCCTTTTTATAATATTAAATAAAAACAAGGCTATGAGCAATGTAAGTGAAGATTTTTGTACCCCGGTTTTTTAAAGCCTAAAATCTGTGTAAGGGTGTAGGTGTCAACTGGCCACCTGATATACAGACCGATTTTTACAATGCCCACATAGAATATTCACAGTTAGTGGCACATTTCACCGTCAAAAGTCAGCAGGATTAGATCTTTTTCATCAGATACCTCTTAAAGGATATAGAGGACAAGACTCAGAAAGACTGTTTCGTTCAAAGAGGGCGCCAAAATTAACAAAAGTCAAAAGTCTTTCACAGGAGCTTGAAGTGTGTTGTATTTATTCAGTACATGCTTGGTAAAAAAGCAGCACTTGGGTAATTTGGTTTTAATAAGTTGTTTGCATTAGTTGATACAAACCCTAAACTGCAATAATTGTGTTCAGAAAGTAGGTGTTTCCAGTGCAAAAAAGAAAAAAATGCTTGTGACTATATGCAGCAACGGATGTGCACCTGGAAAGATAACCTGGTGAGTGAAACTTTCTGACCTGCTGTTTTGTCACGATTCAACCACTCGGTGTTCAGGTTCAGATAATTGTCATGGTTACTTAAATTTCACTAAGGAAGTGAGAGTTTGCGAGGAGTCAGCTAATTGTTGAGTCAGCAAAAACATGACATTATAATATCATAGAGAATTCAGCGAATAGATGCTTCAGTAAAGAAAAAAAGGAAAATAGTTGTTATGGAAAATGTTATGCTGATGATTAATTGGTGTATAATACTAAGTTTGTTTAAACATGGGCCTATAGAAAAAAATGCGGGGGTAAAAAAAAATGTTTTTTTCAAAAATATCCTCTAACATGTGAACAGAGCTGTGGTTGCTCCCCCAAGAACTGACTCAGAATATAGTGCTGGGTTTGCCAGTACGCAATATAGTCACACTTCATCAGAATCTGCCTTTCCTGGGGGTCAATAGGTCAGCAGCAGCAGAAAATAATGTCAAGAGGAATCAGAAAGGAAGTGCATAATACACCCACTTTAAGTTTATTCCCAACACTGCCTGTCTTTTGGATTTCTGCCTTTTGATTAAAAAACGAGTTCACTGTCTTTGCCTGCCTTCCTGTGTATGAAATCCATTTGACTTTTTTCTGTTTCTCGGTTGCACAGATTTTATCTCTTATATAGTAAATAAAAAATCCTTTAAATGCTTAACACAGTGTTCTGATTGTACAAGGGCAAATTTGTCTTTTTTTATTAGACTGAATGCATATTATATTTTCATAGTGTCAGTGTGCATATATTATCACAATATTAACCGTGTATTCCAGTTTAATCGTAGGGTTATATTCTAAACCCCTGTATGATGCAACAGCATAGACAGATCTTGCAGTTACGCTGTACTTGCAATTCTATGACAGAATTTGTTCGCAGTCTCAGACAATAAATGTAATGGAAAGACTGCTTTCAAACATCTATGTCGGCCATAACCATACCTTAGGACCTCTTTTCAGTAACTAAATATTATTTTTGTGTTTCATCTCATGTAATGTTTAAAAAAACACAGCCTTCAGGGTTTCTATTTCTTTCAATTTGTCAAGCTGAACCACAGTCATCTCACTGAAAAATTATACTAAGTGCTACTTGTCTCTCTCAGTTCAAAGGGAGTAATCTAACGTCTCTGAGGCTGTATGGGAGTCTCAGTAAATAAAACTCTGAGCTTGTTTCCACCACAACTCGTCTGCCTGAGACGTCTGTGTCGTCTGGTCTTTGAGCTGGTTGGGAGGACTGGAAACACTTAACCGCAAGATAAACAATCCCTGTGTAAAACCAAAGTTTAACACACACTTACTGCTGAGATTGAATAAAAGCATCTTGGACTAGTATAATTAAGATTTAGAAAAAGGTTTAAAAAATTGTCTTAAACCCATATTTTTCTCCAATCAGTCCTAAAGCACGTGCAGATGCTCAAACCTAACTGTAAAGAAGCTAAAATTAGAGGTCAAATACCTTTGCTGTGATGGCGAAGACTTGCCGGGTTCAAGCTCCTGCTCTGCTGTAGCTGAATGGTCTATAGAGAACTGAGGAGAAAACCAAAGACACGCCCACGCAGCGTGGTGACCGCAGCTGCTCAGAAATGTTGGAGCAATAAAAAGGTGGAAAAAACGGCTTGAGTAATGCTCATATACCATAGATCTGTAAATGCAGATACCTGACACACTTAAAATCAAAAACAAAAATGACTATCCTTAAAAATGTAACCTTTGGTCAAGTTAATTTTAAGTTCAAATAAAGCGTCTGAATCAGCCTGTCCAATCAGAGCGGACCCGGCACATGCAGTCACAACCAGTCATTACATTCCTTCAGCCCTGCAGTGATATTGGCTCGTCTGCTGTCTCAAAATTAAAGTGGCAACCCATAAGGCTCCCAGTTGTATTTAGTTGCCCCGTCTTAAGAGCAAATCTCTCCCAGCTGTGGTACTGAACCCTCAAGGGAGAACATAAGGAGTGCAGACTCTTGCCTATACTTAAGTATGAAACATCAAGCTGCTAATCTCATGTGGATGAGGAGCAGGCTAAAAAAGACTTAAATGTGAATTTGTCATATGCAACATACCAGGTCTTCATTGAACTATTTTCAAACATCAGTATATTTTATCATTTATTTCATTAAAATATTTATCATTGATATTGTCCTTAAAAAAATAATACCATGAATTCAAGGCTGAGGTCTTTGACTTTGGTTGCCCCAGGTCATAAAACGGAGGAGAGATAAAGAAGCAGACTCCTAATGCAAAGTTAGAGCTTGTGCCTCTACAGGTGACCAACAAATCGAACATTTTTACTTTCATATATTTATACGAACTGTTCTTTTAACCATTTTCATTCAGTACTTTAACTTATGATCTCAAAATTAAAACGTACCAAACAACCGTTGGACAAAGCAGTGTCTTCTCCAGCTTTAGTTATACAGCCAGTGATAAAGATCAATTATAACTACACTGTGTTTGTTACATCGGGATGGATTATTGACAATGTTGATGAGGTTTTCTTAAAAGACACTCACAGATAAAGGCTTCTTTTTCTGTTGGTACTAAAGCTGCTGTACTGCAGTGGATTTGAATGTAGAGGAGGTTATAAGGTTTTGTCTAATAGGTGTATATCTTTAGTCAAAAGTAAATAGTTAAATATGCAGACAGAAAAAACTGTTATGGTGCTTATTTAATCTCTGTGTGTGGGAGGCTCCTAAAAATAAACATGCAATCTGTCAAATGTCAGTCTCCCCATCAATGAGAAACCCAGTTTTTAATACGCTCTATCCTCCAACCTGCAGTACCTCTCAATACCACCCACTCACCTCCCCACATCCCCACCACATGTTTGCACAAACACCTACACCTCTTTTACCTGTCTGCCCCCACCTTTCAAGTCCCTTTGACAGAGGAAGAGGAAGACAACAACATGTAAATCAGTCTTTGCTCACCTCCTCCTACACACTTAAGAAGAAATTCATTTCAAGCAGCAGTGAAAAAAACATTTTGTTTTGTCAAACCAAAGAAACCTTTTGTCAAGGTGCCCCCAAAACTCCCCAAAAAAAGATGTAGGTGGCAAACACTGGCCTAATTCCCATGTCAGTGTGAAAAAACACCAAGGGTAGAAAACTAAACCCATAAATTTACCTATGAGAGAACCTTGACTTTATCAATGATAACTCATGGTGGATTTATATCCACTAACTTTTACCACATTTTTCAAATATACTGGAGATTTTACAGAGAAGCTGTTGCTTTTCAACTCTTTAAAGAAAATAAAACATTGTGTCAGCATCTGTATGTCCTGATTCAAAGTCCAGTGAACAAGCACAGTGGCTTTCCCTACAGCACAAATCTTTCCTGTGGCATTATTTTCGTGATTTCCTGTTGAGTAGTCACCAAGTTTTCACCACTGTTGACCCAG